GTGGTTGGGAACTTGAAAAGGGCTAAATTAAGCATCCAGAAAACCAACAGTCATGATCTCGAAATCAATTTTACTATATTTAATCACACTTAAATAAAATTCCCAATCTGGGGATTTTTATTAAAAGTGGTAAAATTTAAACACGTTTCAACACTCCCTTCAGGATTGGAAATCGAAAGGGTGGTTGGGAACTTGAAGAAGGCTAAATTAAGCATCTAGAAAACCAACAGTCATGATGTCGAATCAATTTTACAATATTTAATCTCACTTAAAACAAATTCTCAATCTGGGGATTTTTATTAAAAGTGGTAAATTTTAAACACGTTTCAACACTCCCTTCAGGATTGATTTTACTATATTTAATCTCACTTAAAACAAATTCTCAATCTGGGGATTTTTATTAAAAGTGGTAAATTTTAAACACGTTTCAACACTCCCTTCAGGATTGGAAATCGAATTAGTGGTTGGGAACTTGAAGAGGGCTAAATTAAGCATCCTGAAAACCAACAGTCATGATCTCGAGATCAATTTTTTTCTATATTTAATATCACTTAAAAAAATTCGCAATCTGGGGATTTTTATTAAAAGTGGTAAATTTTAAACACGTTTCAACATTCCCTTCAGGATTGGAAATCGAAAGGGTGGTTGGGAACTTGAAAAGGGCAAAATCAAGCATCTCTAGAAAACCAACAGTCATGATCTCGAAATCAATTTTTTTCTATATTTAGTATCACTTAAAAAAAATTCGCAATCTGGGGATTTTTATTAAAAGTGGTAAATTTTAAACACGTTTCAACACTCCCTTCAGGATTGGAAATCGAAAGGGTGGTTGGGAACTTGAAGAGGGCTAAATTAATCATCTAGAAAACCAAAAGTCATGATCTCGATATCAATTTTACAGCGTGACTAGAGGAAATGACATCTAAAAACATGTCATTTTTTCAGCATCTCGAGCCCCTTTTGAGTTTCTAACATGCATAAATAGGAATCTCACTAGACCGCGAAAATTTGACAGCATAAAGTAAAACAATAAAATTTGTTTATATATACTTAATGTAATGCTAAAATTTGATTGATTCTAGCGTGACTAGAGGAAATGACATCTGAAAACAAGTCATATTTTCATCATCTGTAGCCCCTTTTGAGTTTCTAATATGCATAAATAGGCATCTCACTGTTCCGAGAAAAATTTGACGGCATTAAGTAAAAAATTAAATTTGTTTTTTATATATTTAAAGTAATACTAAATTTAGATTGATTCTAGCGTGACTAAATGAAAAAGCATCTAAAAACAAGTCATTTTTTCATCATCTCTAGCCCTTTTTGAGTTCTAATATGCATAAATAGGCATCTCACCGTGCCGAGTAAAATTTGACAGCATAAAAAAAAATATTTATTTTTAAATATCAAGTTATAATAAAATTAAATTTATTCTAGCGTGAATAAATGAAAAATCATCTAAAAACAAGTCATTTTTTCATCATCTCTAGCCCCTTTCGAGTTATTAATGTGCATAAATAGGCATCTCACTGTACCGAGATAAATTTGACAGCATAAAGTAAAAAATAAAATTTGTTTTCTTTTATTTCAAGTAATGCTAAAATTGGATAGATTCCAGCGTGACTAAAGGGAATGTCATCTAAAAACAAGTCATTTTTCATCATCTCTAGCCTCTTTTGAGTTTCTAATATGCATAAATACGCATCTCACCGTACCGGGAAAAATTTAACAGCATTAAAGAAAAAAATGAAAATTGTTTTTATATATTTCAAGTAATACTAATATTTAATTTATTCTAGCCTGACTAAATGAAAAAGCAACTAAAAACAAGTCATTTTTTCATTACCTCTAGCCCCTTTTGAGTCTCTAATGTGCATAAATAGGCATCTCACTGTACTGAGGAAAATTTGACTAGGCATCTCACTGTACCGAGGAAAATTTGACAGCATTAAAGAAAAAAATAAAAATTGTTTTAATATATTTCAAGTTATACTAAAATTAAATTTATTCTAGCGTGACTAAATGAAAAAGCATCTAAAAACAAGTAATTTTTCATTATCTCTAGCCTCTTTTGAATTTCTTATTTGCATAAATAGGCATCTCACTGTGCCGAGATAAGTTTGACAGAATAAAGTAAAAAAATAAAATTTGTTTTCTTTTATTTCAAGTAATGCTAAAATTTGATTAATTCTAGCGTGACTAAAGGGAATGTCATCTACAAACAAGTCATTTTTCATCATCTCTAGCCTTTTTTGAGTTTCTAAAATGCATAAGTAGGAATCAAACTACACCGAGAAAAATTTGACATCATAAATTAAAAAAATTAAAATTGTTTTTATATATTTCAAGTAATACTAAGATTAAATTTATTCTAGCGTGACTAAATGAAAAAGCATCTAAAAAGAAATCATTTTTTCATTATCTCTAGCCCTTTTTGAGTTTCTAATGTGCATAAAAAGGCATCTTACTGTACCGAGAAAACTTTGACAGCATTAAAGAAAAAATAAAAATTGTTTTTTTATATTTCAAGTTATACGGGGGGGGGGGACGCATGCAATATTGGCGTATCAGCGGGTACCATCATAATGTCCTAAAGAAAATGTCCTAAATTGAGGTTAAAGACAATGTCCTAACAGAGAATGTCCTAAAGAAAATATCCTAAAGATAATGTCCTAAAAGCTATGGTCGCACATTGTCCTAAAAATTTTGTCCTAATTGAATTTCAAGAAAATGTCCTAAATTTCCGAAAAGTGGTTTATTTATTTAAAAAAATTTAGTTTTTTCAACAGGGACTAACAAGAACTTCATTCCTTATCAAATGAATTCACTTAAGCAGAAAGAATGATGCTAATTTTCGAGCTTCTCTGTCACATTTCTTACGATATAGTTGATCAAATAGTTCAAAATATTAAAGTTTGAAACAATCATATTATTTTCCACAAATACAAATTATTGTAAATAATAATATTATTACTACAACGTATATTGAAAATAAATTTAACGAATATTTTCAAATAAAAATTTTCATATTTTTTGTCTTGAAAAAATTGAATGATATTTTTAAGTAAACTTTTTCGTAGGAAACAAGAATACAAATGCCAGAGGATTTTTACGAAATTCTTTGAAACTATTGTCTAGAAGAAAGATATTTCTCAACTACCCGTAGAAAAAGAGAAAAAATATTAAAAAAAAAATATATATGTATTTGAGTCATTACAAAAGCCTAAAATTACTAAAATAAGTTCAAAAGTCTAAATATGTTTATTTTCCAATAAAGACTCTAGTCGTATGAAGCGTCAAATATTTTGAATCAGGATAAATTTTGAAGCAAAATTACTTGAAAGGACGAAATTAAATTTTTTTTCACATGACACATGACTTGTCATAATTTTCAGGCGTTAGGATATTTTCTGTTAGGACATTTTCTATTCTTAATTTTAGGGCATTTTCTTTAGGACGTTTTCTGTAGGACATTTTCTGTTAGGACATTGTCTTTAGGACATTGTGAGGCACCCCGTATCAGCATACTACAATTCATTACTTCTATTTTTAAACGTACTTTCCAGCTAGATATGCTCAGAATGACCTCTCCAAGATTTGTAGATGGTCGCCAGAAACCATGAATTTTTTATTCTAAGGCCAAACCCCCAAGGGTGGATCTAGGGTTGAGGGGGTAAATATCAGTGTTCGCCAAAACTAGCTAGAAATGCTCAGAATGGTATGTTTGGGATTTTTACACGCGTTACAGACAATACTCTTTGGGTTCAGAACTCGGCGTTGAGAAAATGCATTGATTTTTCTCAAATAGTCGGTTTTTGGTGGAAAATAGTCGCTTTGTTGCCGAATAGTCGGTTTTTTGTCAAATTGTCAATAATAGTCAGTTTTTAAATGCTTAAAAATGAACCTAATAGTTGTGAAACATGAAAATAAATCATTCTCATGAGTTTTAGACTCTAGAAAAAAATAGTCAAAAAAGTTTTTTGCCCACGGTATCAGCATAGTACAGTTCATTACTTCAACCAGAACATCAAAAAACTCTTCCCCTTTTCCATCTGCCCTATCCACACACCATACCTCCCGTGCTCCCCTGCACCTCCGCAACAGCGTTTTCTAATACAACTTATTGCGTACTTTCCAGAAAAAATACGACCTACCCCCTACCTCGCACCATTCGATCAGTCTGAAAAACGTTTTTTGAGAAAAAAAAAATAATTTCGTTACATATACACATTTCTGTGAAAATTTCTTAAATTTTACATCACAATTTGTGTAATTACTAATAACTCGTTGAGCGCAATTGAGCGCCGCGCTCACGCCATTTGCGCTCTAAACAAGTATGCCCCGCAGCAACAATACAGGCAGTAAAAAGGAAAGGAACGCGGTACATGTGACACGGAGCAGCAGCAGAGAAAATCGAGCGAAGCAAAACAAGCAAAATTTAAGTCGAACCTACGATATTTAATATATATGAATGATTAATAGCAAAAACTTTTAATTAAATTCATTATCCATTGGCGTTTTTGTCTCTGATGGCAGCTCAAAAGTAAAAATGATTTCTTACTCTCAAGGCATTAGCAAAAAGCAAAAAATTTTAAAAACTGATCTTTGTAAAAATAAAATTGGCATGGTAGCTTGTTCCCCTTGAGGAACTGCAATAACAAAATTTGTATTTCAAGTTAATTTTTTGTAACTACCTAGAAAGATTTATCAACATGCGTTCACCATCCACCACGATGGGCTTTTTGTCCACTTTCTGATATAAATTAATTCAAACATTGCACGAGTAAAATTTGCATACAAATCACCATCCAAATCACTCTTCAAAGCCACTTCTGCGATGTGGTTATAAGCCAAATTTCTAGATAGCAATATCCATAAACAGATAGAAATGACAATTTTTCCTTACCCCTCTCGCATGTCCAAATATAAAAAGTCATTTACAAGTACACTACAATTTTCTCCTATGAAAATACTATGCATCTGAAATTAACAAGTTTTTATTCTTGATTATCTTGTATCTTTATTATGTTGGTGTTGCAAAGAGAGCAAATTCACAAATAAAAATTGTTACAATAATTACACAAACGAAAGGAAAGTGAAGGCGAGGGAAGGAAAAGTTCAGTTCTTGTGGGCAAGGGGGTTTGTTTTGTTCTCCTGCCCGGGGTGGGTTTCCCTGCCAGCGATCTGCGCCTCGAGGCTCTTGATGGTGGCGAGGCGTTTGCGCAGCACGTCCTTGAACAACTTGCGGTCCTTGACAAGTTCTTCGTTTCTGACGGTGAGCGCCCTAATCTGCTCGCGCATCCCGTACAACCGGCCCGCCTGAAACATTAAAAGAAATTTCCTGAGTCCAGCAAACAAACGTTTCATTTCAATCGGAAAATATTATAATAATATCATAAATTCTTTTTTACATATTGGCACTTAAAAAAAAGGACACACTTTTGGCCACGGGCCAACTGTTTTAAATACAATTAGTCACAATAACAACAAATTCCCCCGACCCCCCCCCCCCCCCCCATTCATTGTTTGTTTCAGGTAAACCCTGAGATATTAAAACTAAATAAATTTACTAACTACCGGTCATGGTTTCTTGGATGGCAAGAAATATAGCTAAAAAAATGAAATGTACTTAATTAATATCTATGGCAATATCATACAAATAAATCTATGGTTTGTCACTGAAATGGAGAAAAATTCAGACTGACGTAAATTTTTTCATTGCAATAGTGGTTTTTGAATGTTGGACTTTACCTCGGTGATGGCGCTGGCGGGGGTGAAGCCCTCGAGCTGGTCAAAGAGCGCCTCGTTGTCGGGGGGCACCTGCACGCCGCTGTCCTGCACCCTGGGGGCGGCCGTTTGCACCCCGCACTCGACGCCCTCTGGCCGCACCTCCCTCTTCATGCGTGCCAACGTCGCCTCCACCTCCAACTCCTTCACCTGCAACCAACAAAACAAAAAATGACTTGACTTTTTAGTTTCAAATGAATGTTTATTGGGTTCAAATGAGGGCAACTATGCCCCATACATGAACTCATCCAAATAATGACAAAGAAACGAAAATTTTAAAACAAGAGAGAAAGAAAACATTAATACTGCTCAAGATATTGCTTTTTCAGAACTGCTTTGAAAAAATTAACATTTTCATTTAAACACAGATTTGACGTTAATGCATTCCAAAGCCTATAACATTGGGTACTTGAAAACAGTTTTCCGGCACCTCCATGCTAACAAACGGTGCGAGCAGTTCCATTCGATGCGCTCTTGTGCGCCCAAGCAAGTTAACGTCGTACATTGTTGTTACATAATCGTTCAAATACTCTGGGCAATTTTTATACAGAATTTTGTGTTTTCAATATAATTTTTAATTTATGCCTATCCGCAATTTTACGAATTTCGCATTTTTTATACAGGAGAGATAGATTTTGGCCATCGAAAATATACCTAATTAAATGATTTTGCAGTACTTGCAATTTATTAATTTGCAAGTTACAGTAAACAATGACGCAGTAATCAAAGTGTGGCAGAATCAAGCTTTTTACAAGTATAATTCGTATTTTATCAGGAGTTACATTTCTAAACTTTTCAATGCTTTTTAAGGTGCCATAAACTTTTTGCGATATTTTGGACAATTGTGCATTCCAAGACAGGTTCTGAGCAAAGACAACTCCAAGATTTTTCACTATCATTCCATTCATACCTCTTGAAGGAATTGCTGATTATATTGAATCAAGAAAATCTTAGAAAATTCATCTTCTAATTAATCTAATTTAAAATTGTTGTTTCCTTTAAATTTTGCTCAATAATTATTTTTAAGCACTTGATGAAACCTAAGATTGACTGATGATTTTAACAGACCAAGGTATTCCTTACACCGTGTGGGCTATTGGTTTCTCGCCAAAAAAGTAGCGAAATTTTTTAGAAAAACATTCCATCAACAACTGAAAATAGTAAATTGACAGCACAGAGAAGTATATTTGAAATTGCAAATTTAAGTATAAACAATAAAAAAATCGTTCCAATGAAATTAAATTTTTATATCATGATTACAGATGTAAGATTTTATTTTTGTTATGTTCAGGGTTCAGGGCCAGTATAAGTGAAACCACTGACAGACTTAGACATAAGGCTGGCGAAAAAATTTAAATTAACCTTTCAAAGGGCAAAAGAATTTCAGTTAAAAAATACCTGTTTCTGGAGGTGCGCGACCTTGCGCTCGAGTTCGGCGCAGGTGGCTTTGTAGGAGAGATCTGGGGGCGGATGGGGGTTGAGGCGGAGGTGGATGAGTTCGCCCCTGGCGGTGGAGAGGTCGCGGCGCGCCACCACCAGCTGCCCCTGCAACTCGGCCACGCGCGCCTCGAGCCGACCTGAATCCTGACGCGCCAGGGCGGCGCTCAGGGCCGCCTCCAGGCCCTCCTTGTCCTCGCGCAGGCGCACGGCCTGCGCGTGGAACGCCCGCCCCTTGGCCTCCACCTCCCGGTACGCCACCAGCAGCTCCTCGTAATCCGCGTCCGCCTCCTTCACCTTCTCCTCTAGCTCGACGCGGCCCACGCTCAGGGTCGCCACCTGCTCGCGCAGCTCACCCACCCTGATCGCCAGCACGTCCCGCTCCCCGCCTACCTGCAACACGCAAAATCATCCTTCAACAAATCTGACATTTCTCTAAAATCCTACTTTCGTTCAAGTCTTATTCCTGAATGTGAAAGACGGACAAATTCGATGAATCAAGTTTGAATGCGCAACCCCAATTGTAAGTAAGGTTTGATATTTCATAGGTGCAAATTATTCCGCCAAGCGAATTCATATCATACCTCAAGGGAAGTTGGTTCCCCACCTACGTTCAAACGCTTCCTTGCGCGAAAACGTGATACCCTGTTGGAAGTTGTTCAGGGTGTGATTTTGTAGAACCCGATTACAATAATTTTCAAGATATTTGGTATTCTTCCACATACAAAAGTTGAAAATTTCACCAATGTGCCTTGATCGTGGACCTTTTTTTGGCATTTCATGATTTCAGCACGAATTCGTTGGTACGATTCGTTGGCAGGGGTGGACTGATCAAAACCAAATTTGGAAGGCTTATAGCTCATGTTGTGGGTATGGCTGAATTTGTCTTGGCAAGTTCTACAACTTTGCTGTTGGTCACAAAATTGCATGTCAAAGGTCAAGGTCAATTTTGGTGACCTCGGGTCATTTGACCTTAAATTTGAAAACTTTCAGCCTTTTTTTTAGATTTTCAGGTAGCCATTTTGTAGAGCGTCATAATTTACATGATATGAGTAAATAAAAAAAAAATGGCAAAAAACGTGGTTCTCCGAGCTATTTTAGTTGTAAATTTTGTTTGAACCACCGTAACTTTGTTCTTGAGCAAGATAGCTTGTAAGACCTGATAACAAAAATTGTTTTTCTTTACATGACCTATCTTAATACTTATCACACATTATGACCAGGTCACAAATGGTCATTGACCCCGGCGACCTTTGGCCTTCCCATATTTTTGCCATCACGTATGGCACATGGTTCCAAAGAGGGCACGAAGGCGGTCATTTCTGTACCCGGAATTTTGCTGTGGCTCTGACAGAGGTCGAGTTTTCTCAGTTTTTAATTGCATTTTAAGCATTATTCTATAATTATCAATTAGTCAAAAACTGTGATAACTCGGCTTCTGTTAGAGCTACAGCAAAATTCCGGGTACCAAAATGCCCTCTTTCAACCACGTGCCATACGTGATGGAAAAAATCGCAAGGTCAAAGGTCACTGGGGTCAATGACCATTTGTCCCTTCACTATACAATAGCTTTCGCGGGAAAAAAAACGCGAATTCTCGAAAAAAAAATACTCTCTCGACGGAATCAGATATGGTTTTTTAATACAAGTTTCACTTTTTCGCGATTTCGCGATCGGTCCCGTACCCGCGGAGAAATAGGCAAAAAGGTCCGTTTTTTGCCCATTCTCCCATAAGAGAGGTTTTTCCGCGCTAGCCCCGCGTGGGTTGCACCTAGGAGGTCGATTCGGGCGCCGAAAGACGCGGAAAAAATCGGCGCGTCTAATAAAGCTTTTAAACGTTTGCGCAAACACCAGGACTGCGTTCAGGGTATTGACGGACACCTCGACATGTTCTCCTTCAAGATTTCCGTAGAAAACCGGCGGAGGGACTAAATTTCGCGATGTACTGCCCTCTGAAAATGGCACTTTGACGTCGGCCAGACCTTACATCCACGGTTGGCACGTTCTGACTTTGCACGTTCCACGGTGGGCACTTTTGAATATTGCACGTTCCACGGTGGGCACGTTCGAATTCAGTCACCGAACCGCTTTTAATGTAATTTTAAAAAAAAATTTACGACGATATTTTCAATCTTTGATAGGCTTTTAAACACGTTTGCGCAAGCATCAGGTCTGCGTTCAGGGTGTTGACGGACACCTCAAAAGGTTGTCCTTAGATATTTACGTTGAAAACCGGCGGAGGGACACAAGTTCACGATTTACAGCCCTCCGAAAGAGCCGGACCTTACATCTAAGGCGGGCACGTTCAGACTTAGCAAATTCCACGGTGGGCACGTTCAGAATTAGCTCGTTTCACGGTGGGCACGTTTGATCTTTATACAATACCACGGTCGGTTGGGCGGCGTTCTAAAGAGGCACGTTAAAAGGGGGCACGTTCCGAGGAAGCACGACTAAATTACCGAGACACTTAAAGACCCGCGCCGCATTAATATAATTAAATTATGGGAAAGAAAACTTTTTGTGGATAAGCACACCACCGAGGATAGGACCCGACCCCACTCTCAGGGTACGGGATACTGACCAGGCTTCCCCTTGTGACCTGGTAATAATGTGCTATACGTATTTGGTTGGGTCAAGTTAAGAGAAACAATTTTTGTCATTAGGTTGTACAAGCTATCTTGCTCAAGAACAAAGTTACAGTGGTTCAAACAAAATTTACAACTAAAACAGCTCGGAGAACCACTTTTTTTGCCATTTACACTTTTATAATAAAAAAATTGAAGAATTTTGCCATATTTTTTTTTAATAACTCATATCATGAAAAATTTGACGCTCTACAAAATGGCTATCTGAAAATTTCAAAAAAATTGGCTGAAAATTTTCAAATTTAAGGTCAAATGACCCGAGGTCACCAAAACTGACCTTGACCTTCGACATGCAATTTTGTGACCAACAGCAAAGTTGTAGAACTTGCCAAGAAAAATTCAGCCATACCCGGAATTTTTGTTCTACAGCCACGGGAAGCCGAGATACAGCCGTTTAAAATTTTTCAAAATCCAAATTTAAACGTCCTGTAAAACCCGCAAATTTTGAGATATCGGGGTAAAACGATGCATGTTTGGATAGCCCACGACATGATCTATAAGCCCTCCAAATTTGGTTTTGATCGGTCCACCCCTGCCAACGCATTGTACGTTTCACGAATTCGTGCTGATTTTCAAATCAAGTCATTACACAAAAATGTGCTCCTTCTTCGGCAATTATTGAAAATTGTTACCACTTAACTGCAAAGACTTGATTTTACTTTAACTGTGCACAGGAGCTGTAGCAAAATGAACAGTCCTTTAAAGCACTTTTGCAAAAGATGGGAATGTTTTTGCACCTTGTTGAGCAGCGTGTTGGTCTCGGTGATTTTGGTTTCGAGCGTCGCCACCAACTCTATCTGCTGCTGCAGCCGCAATTCCACCTCGAAGCGCGCGTTGTCCTGACGTACACCTTCCTCCACCAATTCCGCCTGCAACATTTAATCAAATCGCTAAAATTCCTAAATAATTTGGCAAATCCACACAATATTGTTTGTTTGTCTGGACAAAAAGAATAAAGATTTACTATAGTATTAATTTCTGTTATGCATAGTTGAATCAACGAATCTGCCACAATAGCAAAATTTCTTTCAATGCACTTATTTAGAAAACAGATTGTATCGTGATAAAAAATTTTCATGTGCACGCGTATTTTTGAATTTGATTTGTTTAGGGAGAAAGTAAAAAGTAAGAGTAGGGGTTTAAATAAATTGCATTAAACTAAAATTTTCTATTGTAATTAGTTTTTTGAGCTCAATTCTAATCTTTTTGCTGATATTTTTTTAACTTCAAAGAAAAAAGTTAATAATTCTTCCTATTAATTATTCTAAAGATTGGGTCACTGACGATTATCTTTTAGTGCCATGGAAATCGCATATGAAAACAGGAAAAGTTGCCATTGTTGAGTACCTATTGCGCTTATTTTAGCGGGTGATTTTCAGTGGGTTCACAATTCGAATAGGTTTGTGGGATTTGGAACAAAATTGAAAATATATCACGCTGAAGTTTTCCAACCATAGTTTTTTTGAGCATAAAATGTTGAACTGCAAAAAAATTTGAGTCGCATATTCATCTCAAACTATAATAGCCACAATAATGTAATAATAAATACACGATAAATAGCGAGTTTGGCACTTTTCATGTTTTCATAGAAAAAAGTAAAACTTGTTTACCTGAAAGGCGGCGAGGCGCGCCCTGAGCTCTTCGGTCTGCTGACCGCGTTTGGCCAGTTGTTCCTCAAGGGCCGCGAGTTGGTCGTCGACACGCCCCTTTTCTGCGCGCACCCTGAGCAGCGCCTCTCGGTCGACCCTGAGCTCATCAGCCTGCAGGGCCAGGGTGGTGTTGGTCTCGCTCAGGGTGACCCTGAGGGCAGCAAGCTCGGCCTCCAGCTCCTCTCGGGCCTCGACGTGGCGCAGGTTTTGGGCCTCAAGGGCCAGGGCCTGCTCTAGGCCGCGCGCGTCCAGGGTGGGCAGTTGCAGGGAGGCGTCGGCCAGGGTGTCTTGCGACGCCCTGACGCACGCCAGCTCCTCCTCAAGCTGCCGCGCGAACTTGGCGCGCGCCTCGGCCTCGCGCTGCGCCAGCTCGAGCCGCGCCTCCAGTTCGGCCGCCCTCGTCCCCGCCGCCTCCAGGGCCGCCCCCACCTCCTGCAGCTTGGTCCGAGCCGCTGACACCTCCGCGCTCGACGCCGCCAACTCCCCCACCTTCCCCTGCAGCGTCTGCAATCACACAAAAGGACAAGTCTAAACTCTTCAACTACAACCTGCAAGTCCTTCCAACAAGCTAAGGTACTCATAAATATTTTGTGAGATTATTTCTCTCTCCAATGCAAATTTTTACATATTAATTGATGGAATAACATTATTATCTTTTTTTTTAAGAAAATCCAAATATTAAAATATTGAACTCTGCTTTTTTAAGAGATAAAATATTTTTCAAAATATTTACACCAGAATTCAGAATTGTAATTCATTTATAAAAGAAGCAGCGTAAATGGGCAATTGGCCCAAAAGTATTAAGTTCTGGAGTACGCATGTAATTTAGTGTACTTTTTGACAATTTTTTAATTCAATCTGGTTTCATTGATCAAATTAAGCTGCTCAATTTAATTTTATTTATGAACCTCTTACACGCTGACCCGGTCGATTACGTGGACTGGGAGCTTTTCAGCAAGAATAAAGACAATTGCAATCAAGAATCTCACCTGAAGTTCCTGTTTGGCTGCGGTGAGTTCGACGACCTGGGCGCGCAGCGCTTCCACCTTTGCAGACTTTTGCTCAAGCCTGAGCCGCTCACTTTGGAGCGCCTTCTCGGCCTCCCTCCGGTCCGCCTCCCTCTGCAGCTCGGCCGCGGCCAGCGCGGCCTCCAGGCAGGCCACCGACCTCTTGGCCTCCGCCTCGGCAGCGGCCAGGACGTCAAGTTGCTGTACTTTGTCCATCAGCTCTTCCGAGGTTTTCACCTCGAGCGCCTCCGCCTCCATCACTTGCCGCCTCAATTCCTCCAGCTTGGCCTCCCACTTGACTTTATCTGCTGATTGTTGTTCCTAAAACATAAATTCACTATTGTAAACTCCATTTTCTCCATTAACTCAAATATGTGAAAAAAAAATATTTTTCATACTCATTTTACTTTAAAAAGCGTCAAATTCCTCTCAAACAACAAAATGTTATTGAAGGAAAAGAAAAGAGCCTATGGAGCTAACCACCAAGGAGTGTTTCATACCGAATAGCAGTCGAGCTCAATAAAAGCATTGACATGAAAAATATCCAATTAGATTGTCAATAAAATTGATTGCAATAATTCAATATTTATTTTTTTTATATACAAACAGCATTGGATTCAGGCTAAGTTTGATTTTGACTGACCTTGGCCGCCTCTGCAACTTTCATGGTCTCATCAAGCAGGGCGCGCAGACCGAGTTGGTCAGCCTCGAGTTGGGCGGCGCGATCTTGCAGGTCGGCCAACTGTTGCTCCTTCTGGGCCACGTCGGCTCGCAACCGGCGCTCCTCAGCCACGGTCATTTCCAGGCAGTCGCGCGTTTCATTCAGCTGCAGTGCCAAGCCCAACTCCTTTCCGTTCATGGTTGGCTGAGAATCGTCCAGAACGGCCTCAGCCGCCCTTCGACATTCCTCCAACTCGGCCTCTAGCTCGGCAATCTTCAGCTCTTTCTCCTTGACTAATTGCTGCTCTTCTCTCTTCAGCACTTGCACGGCCTCAGACTGCTCCTCCAGAAGATGCTTTTCCTTGCGCAACTTCTCCTGGAACAAAAGCAAATTCAAATGTCAAGCAAATATTTACTCCATCAAAAGAGAATCGGAACGATCTCATTTTGTGATCTAATGCTTTAGATTTAAGACATATTTTCACCTGCAGAGTTTTGATTTCACCTTGCAGGTCCGAGTAAATGGCCTTTGACTTGGTCATGAACGCGGCCAACAGCTGCTCATGAAGAGCCTGCAGATCATCAGATTCAGTATTCACCTCTTCCGTGGCCACTTCCTGTAGCTGTTTTTTCAGATGCGCCGCAAAAGTCTCGAAAATACTCTCCTTGGAAGACAGGGCATCGGTTTTCTACCAAAACAAGAGTAAAAAATTTTCAAAAGAAAATCAGGCACTTGATGGGTCACCTGCTGCAGTTGGTCCTTGAGGGACTGGTTGGCCGCCACCAAATCCTCCTTGGCCTCCTTGAGCTCCTGCAGCTGCCGGGCGATAAACTCTTCGATTTGTGGCGACGGCGCCGACAGTTGGCCGACCAGCTCAGACAGAAGACCCTGCTGCTGGATCTGCTCCAAGGTTTCAGACAGCTTCTCCTCCAGGTTGTGGTTCCGCTGCAACAGGTCAACGTCAACCACTTTGATAAAATGCAAGTGAGGAAACTGACCAGGGAGAGGTCGGAGCGCTGCTGCTCGAGCCCCATTTCTGCGAGCCGGGCCTCGAGCCGGGCGACCTGGTCGCGCAGCTGCTGCTCGACCTCGGAGGCGGCGGCCAAGGTCATCGAGTCGTGGTGGAATTCAAAGACCTGCGACTGGGACTCGAGGCGGCGCACCCGCTCCTCGGCCTCCCGCAGCTGCTCGCGGCCCTCCTCCTTCAGCCGCTTCAGCTCAGCCAGGTTGAAGTTGAGCGCCTCCTGCTGATACTCAAGCTGCGTCTGCAAATTGTCCTTTTCCTGCACCACGAAGAACAGTCGCTCGCGAGCCTCCTCCCCCTCCCCTTCCAATCTCTGCACCCTGGCGATCAGCTCGTCCTTCTCCTCCCTAAGGACGCGCGCTGCCTCCGCCGCCTCCCGCGACAACTCTTCCACCTGCAAGTTTCAACTAATCAAGTTAATTTAAGTGAGAGTAGAACAGCATTTTCATTTTTCCAATTCTATTCACCATCCATTATTTGATTCTGACCTTTTGATGCAATTTTCTCAAACAATTACGCAGCGACCATTCATTTTCTGGTGAGAAACTGAGTCTAAATCTCAAGGAATGTGCTGATGGGTAAAAAAAGCACTCGCAAAATCAAACCTATTTATCATAAAGTTGACAAACTTTTAAAGGTAAATTCACAAATACTGATCAAATTGTTATATTTGTAGACGGAATTTAACCTGAGATTTTTCAGTCGCAAAATGATCCATACAACGCCTTAGAAATCTTATTCAAATATTAGCATGCCAGAAATTTGGCTTTGGTTATGCAGAAATAATTTAATTTATTGGGAAATTTTCAAAGGCGAATTGAGATGATTGAATAAAAATAAAAGCTGACCTGCTTGGCTCGGTCACTGGCCTGGGCCGCCTCCAGCCGCAGGTCCGCCACCTCGGCCTCCATCCCCTCGAACCTGAGCCTGTCCTCCTGGCTCTGCTGCTGAGGAATGTGCAGGTCTCGAGCCTCTCGGTCCTGCCTTTGCTCGAAGGCCAGCAGCTGGTCGTCGTCGTGGTCAGTCTGCGAACTGGCCTCGAGCTTGTGCGACGCTACGGAAAGACGGCGCTCGGCCTCGACCAGCCGCCGCTGCAGGTCCTCGACCTGTGAGCTGGACGCCGGCAGCTGCTCCAGGTCGTGGTCGGTCTGCACGCTCGTCTCGGCCCAGCTCGGCTCCTCGTCGCCCTCGGTCTGACAGGCGCCGTCTGCCCTGGCCTGCTGCGACGCCCATGCCTCTTCCAGCGACGCCGTCAGCTCCCTGATCTTGGACTCGTACCGGCCCTTCAGCATCTCCTTCTCGTCCACCCAGTCCTGTGACTGGTTCTTCATCTCCGTCATCTGCTGCCGGCACTGGTCCTGCAAAAAGCAAACTCACTTTTTGACTAATGGCTACCACCAGATTTTTATGAATAGTCAAGGATGGACGCGATCTCAAATTTTTGCGATTGCGATCTTGAAAGTTAAAAATTGTGCGATTGCGATCGCGATCATGAAATTGAAAAATCGTGCGATTGCGATCGCGATCATTTGCGATCAAATATATTTTTGAAAAACACATTTCCGAACGGTTTTTTATCAATTCTGGTTTCAGAACGAGAAGTCCCAACAAAAATGAACTCCGTAAATGAAAAGCCTTAGTTTAAGAAATTTTTCTGTAAAAATACCTTAAATTGACATTTTTCCTTCCAGATTTAGCATTAAATTTGCCCAGATTAAGGATAAAAATTGCTTTCTTTGATCGCAAATGATCGCCTGCGATCAATCACCTTTTGCGATTGCTATCGCGATCATCTTTTCAAAAATTGGTGCGATTGCGATTGCGATCGCGATCGCAATCGCGGATCGCAGATCGCTTTTGCGATTTTGTCCATCCTTGTGGAAAGTAGCACCTTGGTTGGCCATTGTTGAATATTTCAATATGCAAAATTACATATTCCATAGGGGCTCAGATTATTAAGAGTTAATTTTGAAGATTGAAAATATTTCAGCCACTTTTCAAGATAACGTGTGTGTGTGTGTGTTCGTATTACTAAAGTTGTAAGAAAGTAGATGCCCTTCAACTTTGCGAGAGTGAACAATGTCGTAGGTCACTTTCCGTGACTGTGAAAGTACTTTCAACCCCAATGATATTTTTTTGTTTGATTAAATACCAATTTTTGGTTACCAAAATGTTCGAGTCGATGTCCCCATTATATTTCTGTGCCATAGGTTTAAAAAAATCTTAACAGGTCCGAAGAAGTTAAGGGCATCATTATTTTATCATTACAGATTTTGTCCCAAATCTAGTAGGAAAAAAGTTGTTGCGGTTAAATGATAACCCATGAAAAGAGCTCGGAAAACCACAATTTTACCCTTCGACTCTGAATAACTTAAAAAGGATGAACAATTAAGTGCCATCATTTTTTTTTAACTAAATTTGGCAAATTTTAGCTATTTTGAAATTTAAAAAATTTCTTCCCAGGTACTTTGGCAGAGTAATTAATTCCGAAAGGTGACCTTGAACTTTGACCTAAAACATCGGTCACTGTTGCAAAATTGTAGGGCGTCTAATTCCCCAACAACTTTGGAAATGGGGACATATGTGATATCTTTTACAGAAGATAAGATATTTTCGATTTTATTATTTTCAAAATAGCTTTTTAAAAAAATGCCCAAGCCCCTGCAGAGTGGGCATTTTGAGAAATAATCAAAATCTTTCTAAACCGTTGGTCTAGAGTCTAGACACTAAAAGAAACCAACCTGCCAATTATTGTCAACATCGGCTGAGTCAAAATAAAACAAAAATAAAAAATGAACGACATTTTCAAAAAAAGTTTCTAAATTATTGTGCCCTTTAAGCGGGAAAATTTGCAAGATATATTTTGTTTTAAGAAGTTACCAGTTCCTTCTTCCAGAGAAGCTGCTGCTCGTTGGCCTTGGAGTTCCAGAGCTTGTTGGTCTCGGTCTCCTTGGTGAGGGCGTCGAGCGCGGCAGAGACTTGGTCGAGCTGCTCTCCAAGGTCGTGGTTGCGCAGGCCAAGGTTGGCGTTGTCCTTGCGCAGGTCGCGGCACACCTGCTCGAAGTCGGCCAGCGAGAGTCGCAGCTGCGCGTTCTCGTGGTGCACCTCCTTGACGAACATTTGCCGCTCGAGGGTGGTGAATTCGCGCAGCTCGTCCAACTCGCGCTCGACCGCGGCGCACTCCGCCTCCAGCGCCCTCATCCTCTTCCGCAGCAGCGCCGGCGGCGTCCCCGGCAGCTCCCGCGACATCTCCTGCAGCTGCTTTATTCTGCAAACAAAATTCACAAACTTAAAAAAAAACCACACACAGTCCAAGAACGTTTCTTTTGCCATTCAGAGCAAAACGTAACATGCGCGAGAATGAAAGTGAATTGTGGCAAATGTATAATTTACACCACTTTCGGAAAGCACGCTTAAGATGCAAAAGACTATCAGGTTCGAGTCATTTTTATGTTTTTCCAGCATTAAATTTTATTGCTTTTATTTTGCATCTCAAAAGTTTCTAATTAACTCAAATCTATTCTTCAATTTTTACAACATGGTGGGAAAGGGTCATTCAAATATATGTTGATGTATAAGATCGATGAAAAAGGCAAAACATTTTATGATGATTAAATTGCTATGTTGTACATTATAAAAAGTATCACACTTAAATGTCGGGCCAGTCAAGGTCTGTGAAAATTAAAAAAAACAACAATACTTTTGTCTTGTGCAAAATAACAAGTCGCGTTTACAAGAGGCGTTTACTTTAAACACATTCAATTTGATGCATTTTAAGCGAGGTGAACCGGTGTTTTTTTTTTATGTGCAACCAAGTGCATCCTTGGCAGAGTGTAACTGAACACCCCTCATTAAAGGCAGAGTATATTTACAAATTTTCAGTCTCGAATTAGATGATTTGATGTAAATTGTGTTCGTGAATTATGTGACAATCCGTGTGAACGATACCATCTGAAAAACTGTACCAAACGAGTGAAAACTCTTGTCAAATACGCGACAACGAGGATGAAAAAATATCAAAATAACAAGTAAAATTTTTGATTATCCCAAATCCAAAACTGTGCGAAATCGGTTTCAATAATACGATTCAAAGTTGAAATTGCAAGTACCTGTCGTGGAGGACGGCGACCGGTGTGCCTGGAGCTTCTGGCCTGTCCGCGAGCTCAAACTCGCGCGTCTTGGCCTGCAGCGCCTCGGTCTTGCTCTGCAGCTCGTCCTGCACCAGCTCAAGCGTCCGGCGGAAGTTTTCGCCCTCGGACTGCTCGGCCTGGAGCCTTTCCTCGAGCGTCCTGATGCGCTCCCGCAGCTGCGGCGCCGGTGTGCCCTCAGCCGGGCTCTTAGCCCGCTCGAGAAGGGCGATGCGCTCTCTCAGGACGGGGGTCGCGGCAGCCTTGGCCGCCAGCTGTTGCCGCAGACTGGCCACCTCCGACCGCAGTTTCGACGGCGGCGTCTCCGCCCTGAAATTGCAACAACAAACATTTTTCAAACCAACACTTATTTCAAATGTTCTGACAACCTCAGGGCCTTTACAGGAATTTGTTTTAAGGCACTTTTACAAAGGAATTGTTTACCTAAATTGTAGCCCAAAAATATACTTCACCCTCTTTTTTTACATTTAGGACAAAATAATTAAAACGTGTATAAATCTGCAACCGCAATTGCTAGAGCAAAAAAAAAACAATCCACCTTCTGATGTAATTTATGTAATTTTGCATGCCAATCAACTTTTATACCGACATAAAAGCTGTAAGTCCCAGGTAAAATGATTGGTTTCCTAAAAAATATTCCTCCAAAGGTCCTCAGGGTACTCATGAAAATGCCCAAATGAGTTACTCCAATTCCATGTTAAAAGATGATTGCAGAGTAATTAAGAAATTACAATGCAGATTTTCCAACTTTTTACTTATTTTTAGGCACAAGAACTCTCTGGAATCTTTTACGACTGTGATAGCTGAACTTTGAACGAATCATACCCGCTGGGGTCTGCAAATGGTGTGATGTTTTCGAACTCGTCAATGGACATGCAGACAGAATGGTCAAGGTCGTCGCCTCTGACAGTGACGCTCTCGGGCAGGGACACTTTGCGCTCCTCCAAAAGGGGCCGCATTACAGGCACAGACCGGATCGCGTCCAACACTGATTGCCAAGGGTAAATTAGTTTTGGCCTGCAAAAATAACAAGTTCAATTCGGTCTCACTGTTTGCGTTCGTCTCATTCTCAGCGTCCTGCTCGTCCAGGGTCAGTTTGAAGGCTGGACCGCCCCAAGTCTGGCGCCGCAGCGCTCTCTGTCGGTCCTGCTGAAAGCAACGTCTCATTAATCCTCTGCTCGAATTTAAGTTGGAATTGCATACTTTATATGGAGGCAGTCGAGAAACAATCAGCATGTCTTTCAACTTCTCGATCTCCTTCTCCAAAGTCTGATTCTTCTCTTTGAGCAGGGAAGCCTCCTGAAGGTTCTTCTCCAGCTCGTGGATCCTTTTCGTGTGGCGCTTTAGCAGGGTAGCATCGTCCATGATTTCATTCAGGTGAGGATCCAGTTTGATCGTACTTGCCCTCGAAGCAAAACTGTATACAAATAATTACAAAGAAAATCAGTTTTGTGCTCAATTTTTTAAGTTTTGCTAATAGCAGAACTCTGATTAAAAGACAAAAGCACTATTTAATTGGACCTACTTTAGTCAAAAGGGCAACTAATTTCAATAACAGCTTGACCACTGGTTGCCCTATGAATGCAAGTAAATATTTTCGAAGAATCAATTCTAAAACTTGTCTTTTAGACAAACAAACATGAATATTTCAAAAATTTCAGTGAATCAGTTTCAATCTGTTCCTGATAAAGACACAAAGTGTGTAATAGTAGAAATTAATTAGGTCAAAAGTTGCTCTAGTTGATTGTGACAACTGCAAAATTTCCAAATTGATAAAAAGCAGTAATCCTTTATAACTAATTATCTACATCTTTGAAGACCCAACGAAATGTGCCCTATTTAATTAAAAAAAGATTGACCCCTGAACAAAAAAGGCCGTCTTTAAAAGGGTGGTGGATTACAGCAAAGTGTTGGCCGTCTGGTCGGCGCTGAATGGTGTCACATTGCAAATCATGACAATGTTCGCATTCCCGGAGAGAGACGGCTGCAGAATTCGAGTGAGTTTGCTGCTGCGGTAGTCGATGAACTCCCTGCGGAATGCTCGGGTCATTATTTTACCAGAGGAAACAGCAAAATCGATTTTTACCCTTTGTCCTCACTGAGCTTCTGGACGACGTTTCCAAGTTGCAGCAGGGAGCGGTTGATGGCGCAGCCCTCTTTGTAGCGCTGGCCGGTGGCGCCGGTTTGGGACGCGCGCTCAGACCCTGCCAGGTCCACCAGGTTGATCTGGGAGACGCGCGCCACGCCGCCCTCGTCGCACTTCTGACCCTGGCTCTCAATCGTCTGAGCACAAAAATTAATAAAACTTTTTAATGACCATCAAAGGATTACAATTCTGAAGATGGTGTGCGAGCGCGAGCTGCGTTCGTTCATGTTGGTCTCGCCGATAGACTTGTTCTTGTTGCCCTGGTCCATCAGCTCAATCATCTGGGTGGACGTGTTGACCATTTCGACGTGGCAGTCGGTCGAAATGTTGCCGTCTGGCGTCTCAAACACCTTCAGGTCGCTTTTCTCAGGATTCAAAAGGTCGCGCACCTTTTCATTGTACACCTCCAGAAAGGAAACCCTGCGAGAGCCAAAGTGTCACTCCCTCGTCTTTGAGTGAGCTGATGTTCCGCAATCCAGGTAAAGCGCCAACCGATCGTAACCAAATTTTTTCAGGGTCATATTAACGTTTAAATGTTGTTGATATTGAAAAATTGTCATTAGGAACTTTTACCCATTTCATACACATCAAAAGTTCAAGACGTTCAAAGTTATTTCTCCATCTACGTATCCGGAAAATTACGTTTTTAAATTTTATTTTTTGTTAGAAAAACCGTCCTGCTTTTGTTATTTAAGTTCATACAGTAAAATTTTGCGTTTTATGAAACAGCTACCTCAGAATTTTGAAAACTGTGTCAGCTAATTCTCAAATTAAAGGTCACCAGAAGTGACCTTGATCTGTGACCTACAATTTCAAACCCAAGAGTGAAGTTCTAGAGTGTAACAAGACAATTCCTAACCACCCATAAAATTATATGATAACACACACAGACATTAAAATTTTTCCAAAACCCCAATTTGATAAGCCCATAAAACCCAGAAATCGTTACATGTAGACATGTTTAGAAACCTCTCAATGGTCTATCAACCTGACTATTTTGGTTATGATCAGTTTTCCATGCCAAAGATCATCTGTCATCTGGATTGGCAGATTATTGTTTTTTTACCCAAGCAGAAAACTGCGCTCCTCGGGCAGGGTGTCGATGGCGTGGAAAATATTTTCCATGGTCAGCGGAACGATGCCTCGGTCCTGCGCGTTTCCAATCATGGTGTGGGTTTTGCCTGCGAAAGTAATGTAAATTAAAAATTAAACCGAGAGCTAGTTGGACGGATTTGAACCAGAGGAGGTCTGTCCGTAGGCGAGGATGGTGGCGTTGAAGCCCTTGACGGCATTCTGCACCAGCGGCTCCACCAGAGTGTTGAAGATGTCCGTGTTTGTGGCCGTGTCGCAGAAGACGTGGTCTGCGAAAAGCAAAAAAACAAAATATAATTCATCCAAGGATGGAGACATGAACGCCGGGTGTCGTTTGAGCAAAATTTAAAATTCTTGCGAAATCAACGAACCGAATTCCAAAGGGTTTGTGAGGCGTTGCGAGTCGGCGTCGAAGCGGCTGACGCGGCGCTCGCCCTGAACCTTCCACCGCAGCGGCTCGTTCTCCTCCCTGGCGATCGCCGGCCGCATCCGCACCCCGACCTTGATGTTGCCGGCCATCCTCTCTCGGTTGTCTCGGGCGAGCTTCAAGTTTTACTCTCTCGCGACTTACGACCTCAACCAACTGCGGTCACCAGTTTGTCCGCAGCTTCGGCATCGCCAAGAGTACCAAAGGTCGCAGCAACAGGTCGAATTCTCAGAGGTTTTACTAAGTCGAAACGAAAATGTCAGTTGACTGTTGACTCGAACGAAAATTTTTCAATTCTCAATTCGGCGCGCAACAAACGATCAACAAACAGTTGTACCATCCAAACAAAATGCCAAAATGCCGTCCTGTGCCGTCCTGTGAGGAGAGTACAGAAAGGAGATACGTTGAAATTCTGATTCTAAGTAATTTTCATCCTTAAGACTTAAAATGGGTTGCTATTAAGGAATTAAAAACTTAATTATATGAATTAAAGTCCGTTGTATTGCCCGTTAATAATTCTAAATGCTCTTAATCGAGATTAGTTCACAGCGTTTCCACAGCTCCGTTCTTCACACTCTAGCATTGACTGCACTCAAACTGCACTTGCAGTGCCAACCTAATTCTCGTGACGTCAGCGCAGAGCGCGAACTTGATCTGGCAAATTGCTAAATTGGCTTGTATCAGTTACCCAGTATTTTTCCTTTTTCAAGTTTATTTCGAGCATGGGAAATAGGAGCATCACGATCAAGTAAAAATAGCATGAAAGACTGAATCTCACTGGATGTTAAGTGAAATTATTAATATTCCACTTTAAGTCACCTCTTTGTTAAAAAGAAAGATAAAAATTTCGCTTGGGAATTGGGAATTAATCAAAATTGCAGGGGAAAAACTCGCGTATCATTTAATTTTATTACACACATTTTGACAGTCGATTCAAAATTTGAATTCAACAGAAGCCTTGCGTAGTTTATAATGCAACAAATAAATATTTACTCTGATTTAATGATTGTTGGTTGTGAGAGGAAATTAACGGAATTTTTTAACACAACATTCATAATCGTTTGTGAACTTTCAAAAGTTTCAAAGCTAGATCAGCTATTCAGCGCCATTTTAAATCTCCTAACTTTACGGACCATAATTCAACATAATTGAGTTTTATAATGCGCAAACACACATACAATTTCCCAGAAAGACTTGGAATGAACAATGTAGAACATTTCAAAGAACTTAAACTTAAAACGTTGATGCAAAACTGTTTCAAAAGGGGGATCTTAAAAAAATAACTGATATTGAGGGGAACACGCTTGTAATTGTTTGTCCAACAGGCTTAATTCCGAAGTGAGCGAGGCACACGCCAAATTTCCGACTCCTTCTATCACAGAACACAAGGTAAAAGCAACAGCTAAAAGTAAAACTAAACTTGATCATTCAACATGTGGGTGGGTCGGAAAGGTCGCCCGAAGCAAACAAGAGAACTAATCACAACATTAGCCGCTCATGGGGGCAAGAGAGCTCTGGCGGGATCACAGTGGCGACGTTGGTCACTCGTACTCGAGGATTTGCTTGTGGTAAAACAGGAGGTACCTGCAAAATGCAATCAGTAAATTGCGATGCATAAAGAAATAATAACAACGCACCCCTCGCTGTTGAGCACGTCCTTGATGTTGGCCTTGGTGATGATGTGGTCATCGCACTTGAACCAGTTGTCGCGCTGCTGCCGAATGTAGGCCGTGTAGTGACCTGCTTCCAGCGATCCCACATGGTTTATCACAGCAAACAAAGAGTACCTGCAAACAAAATAACAATTGTTATTAAAAACAACCAAAGAATGAGTGTTGCAGAAAAATACAAGTTATCAAAATGTTTTCAAGATATGTAGAGTATTGAAATTTGATAAACTTCGCTAGAAATTCGGGTTGGACACAGACTGACTGACTGAAGTAGCGGTAATAGAATTTTCAAGAACAAAAATGTTAGGAATTAACAACCCAATTTAAAATTGGATTGATTTTCACTTTCAAAATATGGACGTGCCTGTTGTCGGTAAGGAGGGGGGCAGACGAGTTGGCGGCTGCGGTGGCCGAGTTGTTGTTGTTGTTGTTGCGACGGTGGGACATGAAGGGAGTCATGTCGAGGTGCTCAGGAAAGCTGATGAACGAGGAGATTTTCTTGTGGAAGCGTGACGAGTGCTCGAACCTCTGCAAAAAGTAAAAAAGTCAAAGGGTGGGGAGGGGAAGGAGGAAAGGGAGACCTTGAGGTGGAAGCTGGCGACGACGGGCAGCTTCTTCATGGTGAGCTGCTTGGTGCTCTCCTGGTAGCTCTGGCAGGTGTTGCACTTGATCTTGGCCGACGAGCCCAGGTGTTCAGGGCGCGTGAACCGCTCCAGGCAGTCCACCAGCGACCTTGGCACCTTGGACGAGTCCCCAGACGACGACGAGGTCGTCCCCAGGTCCAGCGAGATGTCCCAGAAAGGGTCGATCGTCGTCGACACTCCACTGCGCAAATAACAAATTTTGTAATGACGGGACAATCAAAATTGAAAAGAATGGTCATTATATCAATTAAGATTAAGCATTTTAAACTTTATAATTTCCCAAAAAGGTCGTGTGGTATTGTAGTGTACAAATCGTTTCACATGAAAAAAGGGTTGGAGAGAAAAACTAAACAGGGTGAATTTACCAAATTCACCATCAAGAAATGAAAATTTAAGCGTAATCATTTGGAACTAGTCCAAATGGCCTCCTGCAACCAAAATTTGTCAGATTCGTTGGCATAGGATGAGAGATCTTTATCATTTTCTATGACCTTAATTACCATGTCAAGAGGGTTTCCAAAAATATATAGTTTCACCTCAATATCTCCAAATTTACAGCTCTCAAGGCTTTGAGGCTCAGTAACTCTTTCCTTGTTAAATTTAGGACAAAACTACGTGATGATAAAAGGTGATCCCCTTGACTTTTGGACGTTAGTCATAGTCATAGTTACCAGATATCAGAAGGTCATTGATCTATGTGACCACTGACCTTGCCTCAATATATTCAGTAAGTGTGACACAGGTTGAGAGAGCTCATCAAGAGAAACATTTTGGTACCTGGAATTTGGTAGGAGAAGAGTTATAGCAGTTCGAAGATTAATTATTCAAAAAAAGTTGCATTTTTGCCTGCAAAAAGATGAGGTAACTATGCTCTTAATTAAGGCCCTAGGTCATGGTCAAGATCGCACGACCCTTGCCAACGAATCGTAGCATTAATGAATTTTTACCGCCCTGGCAAGTTGATGATAAGAAATCTGGATATTTGGGGACTGAAATCCAGACAAACTGAGTATGTTGAGAAAAATTTCAAAAATATGCATAAAAAAGTTCAATTAGCTGTAGGTAAAATGACCAGTGTGACTTTTCTTATTGAATTGTACAACAGGTGGTTGCACGAATGAATGGACTTTGAAAATTTCAAGCAATTATTGTGGTTAAGTTTTTAAAAAATCAGTTTTGAATTTAGAATAAAGCGAGATTTTGGAGGTGAAAATGATGCCGGTGTGCAAAAGTAAGTGTCAAAGGTTGGACCTGCAGGAGGTGCAGACGACATCGGACTGGAGGCCGCCGGTAAAGATCTGGTCAATGATGCAGTTGCAGAGGTGCGAGTCGGCGGGGGGCTGGTCAGCGGCGCCCTTGCAATGGCGGTGCAACACGTCAAGCGTGGCGATGAAGAACTCGTGCGCGTCCTGCTGCTCGTAGCCGGCAAGGTGACGCGCGTGCGTCCAGATGAGGTGCAGCAGCCGGTTTAGGGTCAGCGCCTCCTGGCTGCCCGAGTAGAACTCCTGGAAGAGGCGCGACACCTCGCACACCAGACAGTGCTCGGGCTGCTCCACGAACTGGCACACATGCCGGTCCGACAGGAAGTAGTCGCGCAGCAGCGGCGTGTGCGTCAACGCCTGCACGATGCAGTTCATGAAGCATGTGTTGCCCAGGTTGATCAGCCCTCGCAGCCCTGAAATTGAACAAACACTCAGATCTAATTTGCAGGGCATCAAATAGTTTGAATTTCATCGCCTACAATTTTATGTCAGCAATGGTGTTTTATTACAATAAATATAAATTTTAAATGCACTTTTGTGCAACCAACACATTATCTCTGTGTAAAGTGAATAAAAAAACAAGCATATTCCTAATTCACCAATTAATGCCACCATCGTCAATGTCAAATTTGATAATTTTGTTTATAGTAACTAATTTAAAATTCAAAGTTTGTTTGAATTTAAGAAAAAATTCCAACATAAAAAAATTTATAATGAATTTTGAAGCTTTCTGGTAAATTTTAGTTTAGAACTAAAAGAATGCAACAACAACAAAAGAGTGGATCTTTCCAGATTTCTAGTTTGTTACCAGCAAAACGATAATAGGTAAATTGATGAAAATTTGGTTGTTCAAGAATGAAGCTTTGAATTTTCCTTCCAAGTTTATAATTTACAACTTAGGCGCAAACTAAATCAAACATACAAATCAAAGTAGAAAATGATTCAGACCATGGGCCAAATCAATACGGACTTGAAAACTTTTCAAATTCCACTTCAAAATTCACAACTGAAGCTTGTTTTTTGCAATCAATTTCTATGGAGATAATAAGAATTCATATTCAAATCAGAAAAAAACGATTTGTACAGGGACCAAGAATTGAACTAAGTCCAGAACTAATTAAGAATGAAATTCATTGAAGTTTGAACCTATGGTGGAGTCATTGGTGATGCGTTTTCGGCGGGGGTGCTCGAGGAGGAGCTCCTGCTCGACCTGGCTGGGCTGCCAGGGTCGGCAGTGGTGGTGGGGGAGGCCAAGGCTGCGGCTTGACACCTGCTGGTTCTCGCCGGCGACCTCCTCGTACTCGGCGTCGTACACGTAGTCGCGACACGCGAAGCACAGGATGGTGCCGTAGCTCATGTCCATGGCTGAAACGAGCAAACAAGGGTCAGTGTGCGCGGAAGCAGGCATGGTCGCGAAAGGACGCACCGAGCAGGTGCTGCTTGCGGTGGGCGTGCTCCTGGATGTGGCCGCCGTAGCAGCCGAAGTAGATGCAGTGCAGGCAGATGTGCAGCCGCGGCCCGCGCTTCTTGCACGCCGAGCACACGCCCGAGTTGGCCTGCAAATGGAAAAAAACATTTACTCAAAAACCGACATGCGAATTCGAAATTCAAATCAAACCTTGCGGCGACGCGCCTCGGCCGACGTGCACGACACGAAGTACGCGTGAATCAATCGATACGCCTGGTAGCCCTTGGCGTTCTTGTAGTCGCGCAGGTGTGGGCACCCCTCGCCGCCCCCGCTGCACCCCTCCGCCATTGTGCACCCTCGCCCTTGACTGCAGACCCTCGAACCTGCTGCGACTCGGACTTCGCTTGTTTAGTTTTCTTCTTAAATTACTTCAGCTCCGGTCGTTTGTTGTTCGTTCGCTCGGACTTGTTCGCCGCTGTAGTTGCGTGCTCTGCCGCCAGGTGGACACCCCGACGCGGCCGCAAAACCCCGCGAACGCCACGCGTTTGAGAAAATCAAGCAAGGCGATCTCAGGGACCGTCACGAACAAGATCCTTGGTCACGAATGATTCTCGCCGCGAATTAGTCCACAATGAACAATGCCATTCTGTTATCAAAGCATGATATTAAGGTTGATAAGAAGGTCCTCTGAACAAAATTTGAAATCAAAATTTTGCGTGTTTTTTTTTAAATTGCAATTATCTTTGCTTTTGTGAGAATTTTGATGAGCTCTCTTCTTTAGTTTCTTTACCCAGCAGCGTTACTCCATCGTAACGTTGTATTCTGAGCAACTTTTCATTGAAAAATTTGATGAAGAACAAAGATAAAGATCAAGGTGTCGTGACTCTCGACAGGACTTTTCCCCGAAGTTCTCACTTTGCGCAGAGCTGGAGACTTTCCCGGACTCGAACGTGCTTCTTAATTAATTATTGACTTAACTTGGCGGCCTCATGGAAATTGGCTTTAATTCTTATTGGCCTTTAAGGCTTTTACTCTTTTAGCTTTTGTGCTTTAACTTAAAAGGGTTAATTGATATTTCAAGTAAACAAGTTAATTAACAATAACAAATAAAGTGATGGTTTATTCTTAAAACTAAACAATAATTGGCCAAACTAATGCGGAATTACTATTAGATTTAATATTCTAATGCTGAGTTTTAAAGTTCGGACTGAATTAGTGAACGGATTAAGCTGATTTAAAAGGATATTCAGTTCGGAATTTATCTAGCGTGGGCGCCAAGCAATACCTTTTAAAGCGGGAAGGGAAACCATTACAACCACACTCAGTCGAGTCCAGGAAGCGTCTGCTTGGGCACTCAGGTGGCGCCCTGAGCGCGGCGGTCGTAGTTCTCGGTGGTGGCGTGGCGCGCGGGGCGGGAACTTAAGGGTTGTGCTCAGCTTTGGTTAATATACTAAATGGCCTTAACGCGCGCGGTTACATATAATAAGGTTTTTGTACAGTTAAGTTTCTTCTTCTGCAATACAATAATTAAAGATCTCTGTGGTTACACCACACAAGGTCACAAATTTGCACAATTGAATTTTAATTAAATTTTTTATTTGTCGGATTTCATTCTCTTAATTTTACCAAACTGTTGTCTGAGTCACTCGAGTATATGATTATGAATTATGAAAGAGAATTTGCTGGCTTTTTATTCCCAAAACAGAACCTAAACGTACCGAATAAGACCTAACATTAGTTTTTTTTTTTTTCATTTTTATCTGCATCTATTAGGTTTTGTGAAATAATGCACGAAATAAAAGTTTTGAATAATGAATTATAGTGGATGGAATTTTTATTTCCAATAATTACATGCTTTCAGGCATTCAGTTGTGATTGGATTAATCAATTTACTGAATATTTACTGCAATTAATGAAATATAATTCAATGCTATGAATTATGATTCTCTTGCCTAATTTTGTATATATCAAAAATATAAATTACAAATATTGAAAACATCGCTGCCGCTGTAATATTGAAACTAACAATAAGAATGAGAATAAATAAATTATTCTATTAAAAAACCCGTTTGGGTACAACATATGCGCTGCTGAAGCGGCAAAAACTATTTAAAATTTTGGTGCGCAGGTAGTGCCAAGTTGTATAGAAAAAAAGTGGGTGCGTAAAATGAGAGAGTGCTGGCAGTGCTTGGAACGAAACGCGGCGTGTTGGAAACACACACACGAAGAGCGGAAGTGTGAGTTGATATGTGGCGAGGATTTCGAGGTGGCGAGTCGCGGCGCCGCAGGATGAGTTGGCGCTCAAGGGACCTGCTCGGCGCCGCCTTCGTCGTCTCCTTTGCCCTGTACGCGGTGCACACCCTCCTCTGGGTCGTCGATGACATCCAGCTCAAGGTTAATTTCCATACAAAAATTTCAACTTGTATATTATCGTGCCGTTGTTTGTTATTCTTTTAAAAATAAAAGATCCGTTTTCATCAAAAACACATAAAAACCAAAGATAATAATTGTTTCTAGGCTTTTAGAATAGCTTTTGATCATTTTGATTTAATTTTTAAATTCTTTTATGTATCGTAAATTGGAGCAGAACCTATATAAATTTTTGGTTTATGCTAAAGCATCGAATAAAAAGGATGTCATATATAACTTTCGCTTTTTTTTGCCATTAATGCCCTAGGACGGTAATATTCTTTCCAAGCTTGTAAAATAGCTTTTAATCATTTTAATATATAAACTAAAAAAAATCATCAATTTAATATTAAAATTGGAACATTGTCTACATTTTATTCGTTTTAAGCAGGAAATAAAGAGTGCCTTGTTAAACTTTTATTATTTTCAACTGTTTTCAACTATTAATGCCGAAGGAAGATAATTCTTCCTAGAATCTGTTTGAATAGCTTGTAATCTTTTAAAAGATTTTATTTAATTACAAATCTTTAATTTAACATAAAAATTGGGACAGAGTCATAAAACCTAATTTTGATTCATGTTAAAGCAGCAAATAACAAGGTTGTCTTATTAAATTGTCCCTATATTTTGCTTTTGCCATTAAATCCCAAAGGACCAATTTTTTCCAAAAACGTTGCTTACCTATATAAATCACTACATTCAGAGCTGATCAAATATAGAGAATTTTAATTTTCAACTGGCCGATTGCGAAATATAGGACTATTGTATGATTAATCATAAGATCTGACCTGTCTTTTGCAATAAAAAAAATACGTTGCCAAAATATAAAATTCACTAAATTCAGAGCCAAATAAATAAAGCGCGCGAATTTTATTTTTTTAACAGGAATTTAGGACTATTGAATGAAAAATAACACTATTTGACCTATTATTTTTTTCCAAAACGTTGCTTAAATATGAAATTCTCTACATTCGGATCAGAGCCGAATAAATAAAAATATAGCTGAAATATTATTTTTTCAGCAGGCTGATTGTGGAAATCAAATGAGTTATTTTATTTTATTTTCATAATTTGTTTTTCTTTAAAGCCCTTGGACGACATTTCTTCCTTGGCTTTTAGAATTCCTTTAATTTATTTTTAATATTGAATTTGTAAAAATCATTTATTTTTTTACGATTCTTATATCATACTTGGCGTGGAAATTAAACTTCGCAGAACTTGGATTTTGGCAGCGACCAGAAGGGGAACGACGAGGTGGGGTGGTGCCCGTCGGCTGGTGAAGGTCCGAGTGGCGTCGTCGTTTCGGCGCCGGCCGTTGAATCTGTGGCGGTGGCGACGCTGCATTTCTGGAGCGCTTGGGCGTTGGCGCGCAGCCGACGCTTGAGGGTTGCGCTGCCCCGCCAACTCGTCCACACCCTGCGCACCACCTTTGCCAACTTCTCCTGCGCCGTCCTGGAAGACGTGAGTTTTTTCCCTTCATTCATTTTTATGAATTTATCCATCAAATAATAGGCAATGGCTGCCTTAAAGGTTACAACATTTGTGTTTATAGCAGTAAAATAATTGTACAAGCAAAATTGAATCACAATTTTCGTCTCAACCTCAAATGAGATTTATATAGATATTGACATATCTCATTAGCAATTAGACTTATCTACTCAGCAATGTAAAAATAAACATAATTTATGTTGACTTTATAAAGTTCGCACCAATTGTAATGTTAATGTAATTTTTTTTTTTTTTTTTTTTTTTTTTTTTTTTTTTTTTTTTTTTTAGGGTCAGGCCAAGACAAAGTCTTGTCGGCCTGTGCCCTTTATTGGTGGTACAGAAGGCACCACCCAATTAATTTTATTTTTTATTTTTGGGTTCAACTTTATTTAAAAAATCATCATTTTTTGCTGGCATATCCTTAATTTTGGTCCACGCGATGATGACAAACAAAGCTGAAAACTAAAAGAGAGAAAATAGATTAAGAAAGGATGTGGATTTGGTTGGGGTAGGGGAAGGTCAGATTTTGGTATCTTTTGGTGTTAAGGATTTACTGCATAATTTTTTGTTTCAATAATTTTGTCTATTTTTATTTTTATTTGTGCTGCAAATTAAAAATAAAAAGGTTTTCATTTAATTTTGGGTTAATTTTTGTGTGTGCTGGAACTGCAATTTTTTTCAGTCTGGAATTAAGGTTTGATACCATAATTTTATGTTTTCTTTAGCCGTATTAATTGAATTAAAGTTTTTTAAGCGGGCAGGCAACTTGTTCCACAGTCGCGGCATAATAAATTCCCACGTTCTTTCGTGAAATCTATTCTGGCTAAGAGGCATCACTAGCGGGTCGGTTTTCGCCGTGCGTGTTGAATAATTGTGCGTTCTCCTTGCACCAAAGTTTCCGTCAAAATATTTTATGAGAATAATATTCTGTTCAAATATTAGCTCAAGCGGCAATGCATTCCAAATTTTAAAAACATTTTCATTGTGTGCTTTTAATTGATTTTTTCTGGCCATTATGAAGAGTAGTTTTTCTTGTAATAATTTTAGGGGCGTTATTGTGCCGTGGCCCCATGCCACAAGCCCGTAAATTAAATGCGAGTATGCGAGAGAGAAATATACGGTTCTCAATGAATCCGCGTTCAGTCTGCTTTTTGTTAGCTTTACTTCTCTTATTACGGAGCGTAGTTTGCTTGCCACTCTTTTTATTTGGGGCGCCCAACAGAAATCATCATCAATGAGAATTCCTAAATATTTATGCGTTCGCTCCATTCTTATCGCCGCACAAGTGCAGCCTATTTGGAAGTTATGCAAGCACTCCAGAGAATGCAATGTGATATTAGGGCTCGCTGCGGGCCGAGTTGATTTCTGACATATGTGCATTGCCACTGTTTTCTTAATATTTATTAAGAGTCCATTGTCATGGGACCACTCATTTAAAACGTTAATTTCTCCTTGGATTTGTTCTTTACACGTATCTAAATTTTCGTGGCTGCACAAAATCAAGAGATCATCCGCAAAAATTAACACTTTTGCTATTTTTATGTGCTTTGGCAAGTCATTTGTATAAATGATGAAAAGTTTCGGTCCTAGGATTGAACCTTGCGGCACTCCGGAATTTAAGTCGAAAAACTCACTATTTTTCCCATCAACATTTACACAAAATTTTCTATTTTTTAAGTAAGTAGAAAAAAGGGAAAGCAATTTTCCTCTAATTCCAATATTTTCTAATTTTTTTAGCAAAATGTCATGGTCTAACACATCAAAGGCCTTGCTGTAATCAACAAAAACAGCTAATGTGTGTTCTTTGTTTTTTAAATTTGTATTTACATAATCTGACAGATCAGACAAGAGGTGATCGACTCCTTTTCCTTTTTGGTATGCAAACTGGCGTTTGTCAATTATCTCAAATTCATTTAAGTAATTTGTTAAGTGCAGGTCAAGGAACCTCTCAAATATTTTATCAAGAACGCTTAGCATTGCGATCGGTCTGTAATTTGCTGGGTCTTTGTGCGCGCCGCTCTTATAAATTGGTCGGACTATTGCTTCTTTCAGTGGTTCGGGATACACACCAGTGCGTAAGCAATTATTAATTATTCTTATTAAAATTTTGACAAAGTCATCGCCAGCGTATTTTACATCATTTAAACGAATTCCGTCCGTGCCAGGACCTTTCTTTTTTAGTTTTTCAATTATGTAATTTATTATTGTCTCGCTGGTCGGAGGAATGTGCATTGACTGGGCTGCTGGTAGCTCCATTATTGGTGGGCGCCTCGCTACAAAATTGCAGGTGTGGCGCAGTGCCGCGACTTTCACAGAAAATTGCTCTCCAAATTTTTGCAATATATCCTCTAAAGATAGATTATTCGGCATGTAGCGAACAATATTTTCATCAATTGAGACTGATACTCGTCCAAGGATTTCATTCAATATTTTCCACGTGCGCGCGGAGTCGCCGGCGCAATCAAACAATAGATTTTTGTAATATTTGCTTTTGGCTTGTTTAATTTTAAAATTTACTAAATTTCTTATTTTTTTATAGTCTTCCCTGTACATTTGATTTGTTTTATTTCTTTTGCATTTTAAGAAGTATTTATCTCGGATTTCAGTCAAGCTGACAATTTCTTCTGTTATCCATTCATTACCATTTTTTCTGGATCTTGAATTATTAATATATTTTCTTTCAACATTGGCTTTCTTTATGAGCTGAATTATTTCTGCGATCTGTGATATCGGGTTTTTATCTGGATCTTCTAAGTCGATGTGTTTATTCCAGTCAAAGCGACTAAGCATTTTATATACTTCTGCATTATTTATTTCATCTTTGTAAGTAATTTCTTCGTTTTTAATTTTACTAAATAACATTGAGCAGGTCATGTAATGATCTGAAACTTTCATTTTGATAACTGATGATAAATTTTGATATTTGTTAAATTTGTGATACACGTGGTCGATCAGAGTAGTGGAGTAATTATTTCCACAAAATTCTTCGCGCGTCGGCGAGAAAATGCACCGTTCTAAACCGAATTCTGCCATTAGGTTTTGGTATTTCTCTATTGTGGTGTCACTCTCGTCCAACAAGTTCAAATTAATATCACCTGTTATGAGAAGGTCGCTTTTATCAGCGTTGCAAGAAACATCTGCTTTTATTAAATAATTTTGGAGCTCGTCTAAAAAGTATTTTTTATTGCTGGAAGGTGGCCGGTATAATGCCAGCAGCAAAATATCATTATTTATTTTTATTTCTAGACTCTCTGCTGTATTAAAATCAGTATTTTGTATTTTTATTTTGAAAGAGTTTCTATAGAAAATTATTATTCCGCCGCCGCGGCCAACTTCACGCGGCTTTGCTACTTGAGAGAAACCTTCGATTTTATACTTATTTAAATCTTCCTCTTTACAATTTATTTCTGTGAGTACAAGAAAATCGATTTTTTTAATATCTTCATTAATTGTACTTAAAAAAGAGTTAAAGTTTGCATTAATTGATCTGATATTCAGATGGGCTATTATGTAATTTACGTATTGGTTTTGCATAAATGATTTTGCAGTAATGTAAAAATTTTCAATTTTTGCAGCATTAGTTAAAACTTGGTCATGATAATTGGCTAGATCAGTCATTTTGAGGTGCTTGCGATGTTTTCATCGGATTTTTATCTATTTTCTGATCGGCCCCTTTGTTCAGTTCAATTTTTGTGATAATGTCAGCAGTTGTTCTGATGCGCATTGCCACGGGAGTTTTCTCGTCTTTGCGAGCAAAGATTTTTCCTCCTTTCGTCCACACAAATTTAACGCCATTCTTGGTGGCTGCTGTGCGCGTATCAAAAAGCAACTGCCTGTTTTTGAAAGTGAGTTGCTCAAATATGCTGATGGATGGCTTTTGCGGGCCGCGCGAGCCAGCGGCGGCGCCGGCCACCGCGCTATAGGGCCTAGCGTAGTTTTTGAACTCCTCGCTTTTTTTCCTATCCAGCCATTTTTGTTTATCCTCAGCATATTTGAATTTGACGACAATTACTTGCGGCTTATTATTTGTTGTCCGGCCGCGGTAAACTGCCTCAACGTTTTCTGCAGTTTCGGGCACTTTCATGACCTCGGCAATGTCTCTCACAACGGAATGCAAATCTTCGTTGTTTTTCTTTTGTACGCCGAGAATTTCGACATTTAGAGCGAGCTTTTCTTGCTCGAGGTCATTCACTTGCAGCTGCAGTGTAGCAGTTTGCTCTTTCTGGTCTTCGAGAGCCTTGTTTGTTTCATCAATTTTCTTTTCAAGTGTTTTTATTTTTAGGTTTTGATCATTGACAGTTTTTTTGAGCTGATCAAGCTCGTTCAGCACCTCCGCGAATTTGCCATCTACGTGCTTGCTTAAAGTGTCTGAAATCATTTTTTGGTTCATTTTAGCTTGCAGCACTGGCATATATTCGCTGAACACAAATTGACCAGTTGCTATGGTGGTGGGCGAGTTGTTGCCTTTATTGCATTTGCTGCATTTCCAGGTGCGCGAGCTGCCTTTACCTGTCTGTGATAACGACACCAACATGTTGAGGCAGCTCACGTGCGCACCCGAAGAGCAAGCAGTGCTCGAGCATTTTTGCATTGGATCATCGTCCTGCTCGCATTCGTGGCATATTTCACACACACCACTGACTTTTGGTGGCATATTGTAATAATTTTTATTGATACAGCTGCAATCGTTTTTGTCCGTGCCCAAGTACGACGTACGTACGAGGTCAAGGGTCCCAAAAGTCGTGCGTCAGACGTGCCCACGGCCCATCTCACCCCTTTGGGGGCTGATGTAAAGAGCTTTTTTATACTCTGCAAAGGCTTTTGGTCTGACACAAGATGACCCAAAAAGGGCTTGGTGACCCAGAAGGGCTTAAAGACTTTGGGACAAAAATACAAACTGCAGCTGTTTTAAGGAAGAGTTGGAATTTGAATTTAAAATTTCTATTCCTAGTGGGGGAACTCGAGAGAGCTGCACGTGAAACACGTCCTCTCTCTCCAAGAACCACCGCTCGAATGAATGAATTGACATAAAAAAATGACTAGATTTGTTTTAAAATGCTCTAATGACAAATTTCCCTTAACTTTATTGGGGGCCGGTCCGGCCGGTTCAGAATTATGAGATTGAAAATTGACATAAAATTTTAATGATGTCTGTGAATTTCTAAGATTCATTTAAAGAAATTTGATAGGTGGTCTTTCAAGGCTTCATTTAACGCCTTGCTCGTTAATTTCCAATCCTTTGAGAAGCGCTGAAGCACATAAAGAACAACTTTTTATCGAGATTACCAAGAATGACACTTAATATAAAATTTGGTTCACTTGTAAATCCAATGATTCATTTTAAGAACCTGGTAGGCAGTTTTTCTATCTGCACTTATTCTGTATACCACACTTATTTTATTCCCAATCCTTTGGGAAGTGCTAAATCTCACACAATAACAACCGCCTTAGCTCAGAAATCGAAAATTGAAAGATGATTTAGGATAGGTATCAGTTGTAGCATTGTACTTAACTCTCGTCTTTTTAAGTAGTAAAGAAACAAAGTACGATTGAAATGAAACTTTGAACTTTTTGCAGGTGGCCCTGAGGTGCAACGCGAGTCACCTGCTGGCCGAGCTGGAGAGTGTGGGGTCGGCGGGCAACGCGGCGCAGGTGGATCGCAAAACGGCCTTCGGAAGGTTGCGGCCGCAGCTGTTGGTGGTGGGGCCGCCGCTGCTCGAACCTGACGTGATGCTCGGCGAGTGGCGCCTCCTCGCCAGGACGCTGGCCTTCCGGCCCAGCCTCAGGGAACGCGCCCGCCGCTTCCTCCAGGACGCCGCCGACGCCCTCCCCGACAAGGTCTCATAATCCAAATTAACCCCCTTGGCCCTTTCGATGCAAATGCTTTCAATTTTTGCGCCTTAACAACAAGAGAATGATTAATTTAAACTTCTTCTCCTCGACAACTGCAAAAATTATAAACATGATTTTCATTTAGGACATATACAGAGTGACATATATTTCCTACCCCTATAATTTAATTTGACAATAAATTTATCACAGAACAAATTTTTTCCCCCACACTTTAAAACAACATCTTAAACCTATATATAGTAATAAAATAAAAAATTTGTATTTCGTCTCAATTTTTAATAAGATTATTCTTACAACGGAGACCAAACAGTAAAGCAAATAAAGACCAAAAAAAATATTACGGAAATTGGATGTTAACCAATTTTTGCATTAATTATTTTACATTAAATTTTCATTTTATGATACCCTGTCCCTGTCAAAAACTTTTGATCGAGGTAAACCAAAATTAAGAAAACAGTAGTCATTCATATTCTTTTTTTGACGCCAAAGTTGCAGCTGAGAGACTACGAAGCAAATTGATATCTTTTGCATTGACTTACTGTTTTTATGTGCAGGGCCATCACGGTCGCGTCGAATTCGTGGGCGTGCTGGCGGCGCCGTCGTCGGCGCCAAACGCGAGCGCCGTGTTTACGCACGCGCTCGCAATGATGCGTTTCCGGTTGACCGGCCTGGGGGCGCCGCTGTTCGTGGTGGTGTGCGGCGCCGATGACGAGCGGCAGTGGTGCCACGAGCAGACAAGTGGCGCCACAGACGCTGTGCTGGCGGCGGCGCCGGCCGAGGCGCCGCTCGGGCTGGCGCTGCTCGCCTTTTGCAACCACTCGGTATTTCCATTTGACGCCGCCGGCGTCATCACTGCCGCGCGCACTGCCGACGGCTCCAACTTTGTCTACCACTTCGGCGCCGCCCTGCAGAGGCGCCGCGCCCTGCTCACCTTCCTCGCCAGGGTCAGGCCGCCCTGGTTCCAGCTGCAGCCCTGACAGTGACAAAAATTCATCGCACGCGTCCGAGTCCGAATGCTGATTGTTAAATTTATACAATTTTGATTACAAATTACTAAATATTCAATTAGTCGCAATTAGTATTTTCTTCGATTGCAATCCTAGAAGGCGCGGTCATTCAAAGTGGCGAAGAAAAAAATTGTAACATTATGTTTATTTTTAATTTGTAAAATAAAGTTATATTTGTACAAAAAAAAGTGTTGGGCGAACAATTTATAGAAATGCAGGAGTGTCTTTTGTCTTTTGTGAAGTGAAGCACTGAAATTTGGCTGGCCGCTGTTGAATTAAGCGCCCCTTCGGAGGGTGGACGTGGCGAGCAGCAGGGTGGCCACCGACCCTGAGACCATGGAGGCCGTCGACCTCTCGCTCGCCGCAAATCCGGCCGCCGCTTTGTCTTTTGACAGAAAATAAATTATGAAGTTCATTAATTTTGCTAAAAGGGTTACCTGTGAGCAGGGGCGGGTTGTTGACGTGGATGGGGTTGTGCAGGTCCAGCGACGGCTCCACCGGCAGCACCATGTTCCCCTCTTCAGTTTTACCTGTGCGGCGCACCAAACTTTCATTAACAATTCGTTGTCATATATTGTGACTTGATTTTTAAATTTTTCTTCATTTCAGTTCCTGCAAGGCTGTTTTTCTTTTAATTTTTTTAAAGGAACATATATTATTAACGTATGCAATAAAAAAACTGAGCGGTTTGCTCTGAGAGCAAATTTAAAAATCGAAATTTAAACTAGTAATTCAAAATTTAAAAAAAAAAATATGTCACAGTTTTTTTTTGTAATTCCTTATTTCACTCAGTTTCTGAATATAACGTTAAAGTTCTTGTAACAATTCCACTTCAGCAATGAAATGCTGCTAAATTTCAATAAAAGTGTTATTGCTAGAAATGTAAGCCACTGCTAAAATATAATGAGGGCGATCCAAATAGCTAACATGGCCCAGGCTAAATTAACCTGGCCCGGGCTAATTTGACCTGCCATTCAATTTTGCTGGTGGGCTAAGTTAACCCGGTGCTAAGTCAAGTTAGCCTGGGCCAGGTTAGGCTTTTGGATCGCCCTCATTATCTGAAAAGAAGAAAAATGTAGAGCAGGAAAATGTTCTACTCTTGAATACTTGCGCCTAGAAGTAATAATTTGAAGGAATTATTTGATCGGGCGTACCTTCAATGGCGTGGATGAGGTCGGTGAGGGTGTCCGAGTCGAGGGTGGCGGTGACGGAGTGGTTGGCCGGGGGCAGGACGCTGCGGCGGCGGCGTTCGGGGGCCGCCGGGCGGAGGAGGTGGTGGACGGCGGCGGCTGGGAAGAGGCGGTGGAGGAGGCGGGGGGTGAGATCGGCGCCGAACTCAAGGCACTTGCCGCTGACGCAGTAGGCCTGTCGAGAGCCGCGGCCGCAGTCAGTGCCAAACGGGAACCACCCCTCCTCGCCGTTCACCAGGTAGAAGCGGTGCGGCACCGCCTCGTCCTGGCACGCCACCCTGCAAGGTCGGTCAGGGTCCTCTGCAAAATTCAAACCAATGTTCAGAAAAAATGTTTAATTAATCTGAGTGAATTATTTCTATTAGAAAATCTTCTTAAACAATCTATTTTTTTGCAATTAACGTAGAAAGCATAGAAATGAAAAAGGAATTAAATAAATATTAGGGTGTCAAGTACTATAATTATTTTAAAATTAATTTGAATATTTTATTGTATTTGCTTTTGTTGTAGCACAAATCAATTATTTCCAACTGGGTGCTTTCTTTTCTGGTAAACAAGAATAGACACGCGTTTTTTCAACTTTTAATGAAACGCCTCTCAATAACTTTGCCGGTGACCCCATTTTTCTGATTATCAAAATGATCCTTATGGTCTTAAGTGTATTATTGAAAATCCAACTTTTTCTTAGGGGGTTCTAGATATTATTGAATCGCAACAACAACTTATTCCAAAGATCAGAATAACAGTTTTATTCATTTTGAAATCAATTTCAGTCTAAAACTGATTAAAGAAAAATTAAGACTGGTCTAAATTTATTTTTAAATACTTTTCCCGCAAAAACAATTTTATCACTTAAATGTAGGCTTTAAAATAAGTTTGGATGGATCGAGAGAAATTTTGCATTGAATGAAAATGAAAACTTGCCAACGGAGGGTGAAATCTGCATGCCGATGCCCGAGAGGCGGCGCACCCTTTCCTTGTAGCGCGAACACACGGCGCTGGCGTGTTCGAACGGCGTCTTCAGCCGCACGCAACTCTGCAATTCAAAAAAATCTCCTCAAGACACTTGAAATGTCAGCGGCAAAATGATCGCCTGTTCTTGGGTTAATAGTTTGCATGTAACAATGATAAATTCTTTCAAAACAGAAAAAAAATGCCCAGAATGGAGAAAGTACCTTTGAGTCCTCAGGTTCGCAGAGTTGGATGCTGCGCGCGTCGAGGTTGGAGGAGCACGCGGCGCCGTGGCAGTCGCGCGTGACCAGGCGCAGGCCGCGACCTGGCGCGATGCAGTTGGACTTGCACCTGCCACCCCCGCCCCCCACGGCCCTCCACGCCGACCACATCGCCTGCGAACTCTCGTTCGTCGCCTGAAAATATTTCAAAGTAATTATTTCCTGCTTGAAGCACTTTCCAAACGGAAAATTATGAAAATAAATACAAGTAATCGATTTTAGGTACACGAAAAAGGCCAATAAATTTTAATTTATATTTGTTTTAGGTTTTATTTGGGTGATGTTTTCAAAATGTGAATTTTAGTGAAATTTATAATTTAAAAAAATATGATTTTGCATTAATTTAAGTGATTAATTCTTTTAGTTTTATTAGGCTTTTTAGTTGAACATTAATTACCAACAAAAGTTAGGGAGGTGATATTCTTTTTCCCAAAAAAGAGTACAAAAATTGAGCTCACAAGGATGGAATTGGAGGCGATTCGCGCGCGATGATTGTGCAGGGTGCAGATCTCGTGGTCCTCCTTGAAGGGGGCGTCGAGGGCGCACGAAAAGGACTCGCATCGCCCCGACACGCACAGCCCTCGACCCACCCCCGGCAACACCCCTGAACGCCGACTCACGCGTCGGTTGCTGCAAAAATAAATCATCAAATTGGGAACTTTTCAATTCACGCCAGCAAAGATAAATTTAATTATTTGGTGCCTTTTGCACCACCCCTAAAAAAACTTTTGTACCTCGCGGAGAGCCCCTTGCAGGCTGTACCGTCGGGGAAGGTCCAGCCCCTGTTCTTGGCACCGCCGCGCTTTTTGTAGCACCACACGGCGCACGCCTCCACCGCTGTTACAAATGACCAATTTTTTTAGTAGTCATTTAGAAAAATGAAAGACGCACCGTCCGAGGACTCGCGCTGGGTGCCGGTGCCAAGCAGGTCGGCGTCCACCTCCTTGGCGCGTCCGCACACCTCATCAGCGAAGTCACGCAACGTTGTCCGCGGCACGTTCGAGCAGATCTACAATTTTCAGGGTCAATGTTAACATATTCAACATTTTATTTTTTTTCTGTCATATCTGTTATATGTGCCATGAACTGTTCGTGAACTAAGAAATCCAATCGCTTGACCAACTTTATTTTTATCATTCATTCTGTCCCACAACTTATTTGGATTGTCAAACTTTTTTTCCAAAAGAACTCGCAAAATTAATTGCGGTTTCATGTCTTGTTAAATGGTAATTTTAATTGTTTTTAATTTGAATGTTCTGTTTTTAAGTAAATTAAAATAGCAAAAATAGAAACACTTTGTATTTTGATCTTTTTTAATTTGCTCTTTGAACCATGCTGGCGATATTATATAAAATTATATTTTGCATAATTTCTAAACATCAAAATCCCCAATAAATTGTCTTTTTCGCCACGTATTAATGAAAATTTCAAGATTATGTTGCGCACCAAGCCAAAAGATGAAGGGTGTGTCTCACCTGAGCAGCCTCGCAAGCCCTGTACCTGCGGTCGCTACCCACGCACTGCTTGCCTCCATTTTCGGGCCTGCAAGAGAGTGAATATTCAGGGGGTTGAATAATTGAGGAAGGGGGTTGAAATTGACCTGGGCTTGTCGCATCTGCGGACGGAGACTTCGACGCCCGAGCTGCCGGCATCGAGGCCGCCCGAGCCGTGCAGACAGCTGGATGCGCACTCGGAGAAGGGGGTCCACTCGCCCCAGCCCCCGGCCACGGCCCCCCGCTCCCCGGCCGCTGCCCACGCGGCTCCCCTCGCCACGCACCGCCCGCTGCGGCACCACTGAAAGCAAGCGAAAGGTCAGCAAAAGGTCAGTTGGAGGTGCAAGGTCAATAGCGCACCATGTGGAGGCCGCAGGTGGTGCCCTCGAGGGCCGGGTGCGACGTCCACGTGTACCGGTCGCGCTGGCAGTGCAGGTCGCGACAAACGTCGTCCAGCGGCTGCGTCCGCGCGTGCACGCTCCCGCTCCCGTACTTCAGCATGCCTGGCCAAAATTAAAAATTTTACACCAAAATCAAGACTCAAATTTTCGTACAAGTACACAAGTACATTTTGCTTCAAGTTATAAATTTTTTACTTTATTTTTGTGCATTTTAGTTCATTTCGAAGAAAAATTAGGGGAAAAATTGATCCAATATTTTACTTTCAAAAGGATTATGAGATTTAATTAATTGATTGAAATTTTCATATTGGTTGGAGGTTTTAGAAGTGAAATTATTTTCAAAATGAGACATATTGATTTATAGTTACACTGGTGGTCGGCGGAGAAGCGTTCGCCGGGCAGGAGTCCGCCGGCCGCGTGGTCGAGGGCCGGCTCGGGGACGCTGCGGTCCCACAGACAACTCGCCTGCTCCGTCCTGAACAAAAGAAAACTCGGAATATGATTCAATTATTAATTTAAGGAGGATCAGACGAACTCGAGGAAGGCGTCCAGGTAGCGGCGGCTGCACTGCGACCACGTGATCTTGCCCGAGCCCAGCGTCGGTGACATGATGAAGCTGCCCGGGTCGCACTCGTTGTCTGACATGGGACCGTCGTGCCGCATCCCCAGACTAAAAACAAAACCACCCCCCGTCAGAGTAAATAGGCAAACGACGCAAGCCAAAGCACAGGTCGTGGATAAAAAAAAAAAAAATCAGAAAATCAGTAAAAGCACAATTGTAAGGATTGGCGAGGCGAAAACTCGGAGAAGTAAAAAGCTTTCCTGGTTAAATGCAACTGTAGGTTCATGGAATATGCCTCAGGTTTTAGTTGAGTAACAGGAACTTATATTTTTAACATTATTGGCCGATGGTTGAAATTTATTCTGAGAACTAAGAGATTTTTGAAAATTTAAAAAAAAAATTGTCAAAACAATAAATAAATTTATTTCAGACGCGTAATTTATAAAAATAAGTACAAGTTTGACCATCCGCAAATTGTGAAAAGTTAGTTTTTTTTGCGTTTGCAAACTTAATGTTAAAAATCTAAAAAGGTAGCCATTCTGAATTTTTAATTTGTTGTTACTTGTTAAGAATTACCTAAAATTATCTATCTATCTAAAATTAAGTAAAAGTCCCAATCAAAGGTGAAAGTGCCATAAAATTTTGGAAGAAATTATTTTATACATGTAAACCTTTGACCTCAGAATTATTTCACCTTCAGAGTTGAAGAGGAGGTTAAAAGAATTTTTTTTTGTTCTAGCTGCATTTGTGTAATTCAAATAAATTACGAGGTATTAATTTTGAAGTTGAGAAGTTCGATTGCGTTTTTCCGGGAAGGCTTTTTTCCCCTAGTTTTCTCCACGTCAAAATCCATCAAATTATGTTTCTTTTCACTGATTTTTTTTTTATAGAAATGCACGATCTGTGCGCTGGCTTGAAATTTGTCAAACAAAAAGGTGAGAACCGAGAACGCACTTATGTCCGATCTCGTGGGCTACGACGTAGACGCTCTCGAAGTGGCGACCCTCGTTCACTGTGCAGCTGCTCGCCCGTGAACACATCCCGCCCACCGGAGCCAGACCTGCAATGCAAAACTTCTTAATTTACATCATTTTTTTCTAAAATTAATCAATATATCTGATTGAAGTCACTGAAATACTTTTCGTTTCAAATTATAAATAATAATAATAATAAATTAATTCTTTAATTTTGAATTTACGGCTAGATTTAATTTTACTTATTCCTCTTTGTGTTCATTGAAAAATGATCCCACAATTTGTATATTTTTTACCTATGTTGGCTATGTTTGTAAAATATTTTCTGTTCTCAGAAGGGATCGCCGCCAATGTCATGAAAATTTAAAGAATTTCAAGATTTTGCAACGATTGTTGTGACCACTTTTCTGATTTAAATTTGAATGATCTCTCTGTTCTTTCAATCATTACCAGGACATAAAATTTGGATTAGAGATTAGATGTTCCAAAAATGACCAATTTTGCAATTGAATTAAAAAAAAAAAAATACAGTTCTATAAGATTGCAATTTAAAAAAAAAATGGCTTCAGCTCCCTCCGTTGATTCAGGGGTGAGTTTTAGGAAGAAAATAAAGGTTGGCGAGCCGTTTCATTTTCAGGGTAAAAAAAGTAAATTTGTGTACAAGAATTGGAAAGTTCGGACGCACCGACGACCTGTGAGGAGAGTTTTGCTGGAGTCTTGCTGTTGGCGGGAGCGCCGAGCTGGACGTAGAGGTCGAGGCCGGTGAGGAGGACGGCGTGGTCCCAGTGGAGAGGGTCGGCGTCGAGGGGTGGGTTCTCAAGGCGCTGCCACTTGCAGAAGCTCGAGAGGAAGCGGTCGATGTCATGCGAGCGCGTCAGTCCCGCCGGCTCCGCGTGCAAAACCTCGAGCCGCTTCAGCACGAACGTCACCGCCCGACCCAGCGACGCGTCCTGGTACAGCAGCTGCACCTGCGCCATTCATAAACTTTTTACAACTTTCCCTAAATTGACAAAAGTATTCTGTATAAAAAGAAAATCAATTTCCATGTTGTGACACATATACCGGTCAAAAGTTGATTCGAACTAATGCAAAATTGCTTACGGCGTTGACCATGGCGAGGACGACGCGCGTGACCTCGCGCTCAGTGTCGCGCGGGAAGTTGACGGCCATGTGGCGGAAGAGGTCGCGGTCGACGAACACGGCCAGCTCGACAAACAGCGGCCCCTGATGAAGCACCCCGCGCCCGCTTCGCCGCCGCCCCGAAGCAGCCGCCGCCGCCGAAGGCCTCCACCACCCCCGCGACCCGCCCACCCGAGTCCCCGTCCGCGGCTGCTGAAACAAAAACAATTTTATTTATTCAAAATCAAAGCAAAAATCTCAACTGTTATTATTGTCGTCATTGCGGCTTCTTTTATTGTAGAAACCTAATGACACTTTTTGCAAGTCATCAATTTAAAAAAAATTACAAAAATATCATATTTGAAAGTTAATATTAACAACATTGAAAAAGCACAAAATTTTTGAGCGAATTCTGAAATAAAGCGGTCTTCCATATATCAATTGACATTGGTAATTTGTAATAAAAAAATCTGCTGCTTCACCTCAAAACTGATTTAAAATCACTTCTCGTTCATCACGATTCCTCTAAATAGTTTTTTAAATTTTGCCAGAAATAAGGTCTGAATAAAAAATAAAACTTAAAAAAAGCACTAAAAATACTTTTAAATCATTTTCCCCAAGTTGCGAGCAATGGGGGCTCGATGCAACAATGAAATGTGTTATTAGCCAATCAGAAGCGGTACCAGGTTTAAAGTTTAAAGTTAAAGATTGGCCCTCAAACAATGAAAATTGATTTCATTGTTGCATCGGGCCCCCATTGGTTGCGAGCAAGAAATAACGCGTAAGAGCCAAATTAATCGGCAATAATTTGTATTTCCCTATACAAGGATTGGGATATTGCATTGAACAACAGCATAAAAGACTTGTATAAACAATTCGAGCCAACTTGATGTGATACGGGAAACATATATATGAGGTAGTGAAAATCCGAATTTACTAATTGTAAGAATTTTTGTTTAAACCATGCATGATTCAACTGTTTTATTACAGTGTACTTTTTCGCGATGTTACGTTGAATTGGAGAAGAAAAAAATGTACAGATTTTAAGGAAACAAATTTGAAAAAAAGTGCTAAATAATATTTTATTTTATCCTGAAAGCGCTGCAAAGAATGGGTAAATTTATCAGTTCTAAGTACCAAGCGTCATTTGAAAGGCCGCGCTAATTGCCCATTGTTGTTCGCGATCGTTTTGAAAATAAAATTTGCGCGCTCGGCGTGGGTGCAATTATCGAGTGCACAAAATGTGCTTCCTGTGTCGCCTCCAAGGCTAAAACGAATGTCACCTTTGTCGCTCAAATTTTAGCTTTTTTCTTCTTCTAAATAAATTCGCACTTTCTCGCGTGACGAAACATCCGCAAGTTGCTAACAATCGCGAGCGAGGGATCCTGCGCGGCTCCCCAGCATCTGCATTGTTATGCTAATTAGGCTGCGCGCGATTATATATCTTTCTGCAACCAATCTCGTGAGAAGGTGTCACGGCCGCCCCCAGCAAGTGCGTTTTAATTGCACCTGGCGTAACAAAGGCAGCGATCGAATCGAATTCTCCAACCAATATTATTGCACGACTTTTTTATTTGCAGAGGCGTCGCCCGTATATGTTTGTGTGTTGGCTGAATGACAGCTGCTTGGCTCGATAAATTGATGACTTTACGATAGAAATCGGGTGAGCCGGGCCATTAGTGTCCTCCGGCAGGCGGTTTGATGTCTTGTTTACTGCTCAATTTACGACTAATGTATTCTATTTAGCACTCCTACTTTATCAATTTCTACTTTCGGCTCTGCAACGATCGCTCCTCCCCGCCCAACCACTTCTCTACTACTAAAAGAAAAAAAAAACGCAGGGACAAAAAGGATCTAATTAATTTTACAAAGAATAAAATTATCTATTCAAAACTTAGTTAATGAAACGGCCAGAAAGATTTGCTAGAATTATTAGATTAATTCTGATAATTGGTAACTTTAATCTACATTGGTTTATAGATGTCAGTCTCAAGGTGATGTAGTGAGAAAATTTTAAGTCCTGGGAGAAGTGAATTTTTGTTATATTGTTTTATATGGGATTTTTCTAAAATACTTTTTTCCAATCCAAATTGGCCTTAATGAAACTGGCTGTTTGATGTTGGAGGAAAGTGCAATTTGATGGAAAAACTCACCCTGAAGAATTGGTTGAGGTTTCGTTTGCGGCGGTCGAGCGCCCTCTCGGCGGCGCATTCAAAGTCGTGGAGGGAGGCGGGGGGCGCATGACCCCTGACGAGCACGTGGGGCGTGTCCCGGAGGGCGCCGCGTGCGGAAGCGCGGCGCCGCAGGCGGCTCGGCAGAGGGCTGATCACCAGAAACTCGTGCTCGCGCGCCACCAGCCCCCTCTGAAAAAAATTGCTAAAAATAAATTCATTTTTTATTTAAAAAGGACTCACAATGACGGCGCCGCAGAGCGAGACGGCGGCCTGGCCGGCGCCAGCGGGTGGCTGCGTGGCGGCGCCGCGCATCAGGCACTGCTCCTCGCGCCGCACCGTCCAGTCCGGCAGCTGCGCCGTCGAGTTGGCAAATCGCGACAACACCAGCAGACCCTCGTCCGCCACGCCTTACCAAAAATCAAACGTTATAACTTCATTCAAACGCGTACACGGAATTCAATAAATTTTTTAAATTTTTTGAAACAATAACAAACAATATTAAAAACCTCTTTTTACATTAAAATTATTCATGTGTGCGTTACATATTGTTTTCATTCTTTCAAAAAGAAACAAATATTGACAAATTAACTAAGTAGTATTATCAACTCCATAATGAATGTAAATTAATCACTACTCGGTATATGCAATTCCTTTAAAACCAGCAATAAAAATTTCTCAAAACTGCAAAAATGGAAAGCAATCATAATTTTAAAATTTAATGACCAAATTTGCACAATTTTATTCAATTGGATTTAAACTAACGCATCCACCTCTATTTTAAACAATATAACACGTCTCGTGTGTAATAAATCATTGTAAACTACATGGAAAACCAGCGGGATAACAAAACATAAGCTCACTAAAACTACCATATTTTTTTTATTATTAATCTAATAGGTACTTTTGAATTTCACTTTTAATAATAAATTATTATTAAAATCTAAAACAAGAAAACATTAATAAGCTTCAACTAAAAAAATATAATTCGAAACAAATTAAATTTAACGCATTCATCATAAATTTACAACAAATTTTGCAAAGAGGCATGGAAAAAATTGATTTTTCAAGTATTCAAATCATGTCATGACAAATATAAAAAGTGGTACAAAGGAAATTTGATTTTAAATTATATTCAAGTTTATATATTTATCCGTTCACTATTAAATTTTTTTATTTAAATTCACCAATTAATTTTATCAATTTTGAAAAAAAAAATTTGGCATGGAGAACAATATTGACACGTGCAAAAAAGCAAAGGACATTGAACAATTTAAATGCGAACTTACTGCTGGAGGGTGGCAAGTGGTCGAGATGCAGCGTGAGTGGTTGGACGGTGTTGTTGGCGAAAATGAGTCGCACGCTCTTGGCCGGCACCGACTTGCTGCGGCGCCGACGGCGGCGCCGCGACTCGCGCGGCCACACCACGCTCACGCGACGCACGAACTCAGCCTCTGAAACAAAAATCAATAGGAATTCACACAACTTGTAGAATTCACACCGACTTTGTACATTTATAATGTACAAAAAGTCAGGGGAACAAATCGTGCGGACTGAGAAAGGGGAAAAGAAACTCACTGTAATTTAATTTGTTTTAGAAATTGTTTTCATTAATTAATTTGCATAATTAAACATAGAGTTAATAACAAAAGGAATTGTTTTGAATGGTTATATTTGATTTAAGAAATAAAATTAGTAGTTTTTTTTTTCACTTGTCGTACTCTTGATTAAATAATTTTGGAATGTTTTATATTAAATGATCAATGGTGAAAAATTCGAGTGGAAAAGCTTTGGTTGCACAAAACTTGAAGAAAGGTTTTGGGCGTTTTGGGCGGCGGAGACGATTGTCTGCAAATTGACAGGGCGGATGCTTAAATTAATGAGAGAGCGGCCCATCCATTAATTAGGCGCGTGCCGATCCGTTACGCAGTCTCGTCCGCTCCCTGAACAAACAAATTATCATTGTCAGCCGCGAGTCGTGGCGTGAGAAAAGAAAACGAGCGAGATTCAAATGGGAATTGCGAGAGAGTTTTTCGCTCCCACGTGTGCGTTGAGCGCGGTCAGTTCCTGCAGCTTTTCGTGACGAGAGAAAAAAAAGCGCCGACGAGTCACGCTTCGTTTGCGGAAGGCCAATTTTGCATTTTCTCGATTCCAAAACGGGACAACAGCTGCCAAACAATTTGAGAGAATCAAAAGCGAATTAGAGATGCATCGTTTGCGCACTTTACAAATAAACTCTCTCCAGCATTAAAAGCCAATCAAGTCGTGACGTCCGAATCAGGCAAACAAAAGCATCCGTCCAAAAGTGTCCAGTTGCTAAAGGAAAAAGAAGGTGTACCGTCGTTCCTGAAGAGCTGCTCGTCGGGTCCGAAGAGGTCGCGCCACTCATGGGTCGTCAGCAGGTGCCGCAGGTTTTGCTCTGTCACCTGCGAAAAAAACACTCACAATCAGCTCATGAAAAGGGAACAAAATGAGAATATATCAATTTTACATTGAGGCTTTTGAAAATCGAAAAATGACCCAAATTTTTACAATTTAGTTTTTCAAAAAAAAAACACCAAAATCGAGTGCAAGGTCACTTATCATAGCTAAATTTTGAGTAAAGTTTCTGAAAGAGCATCCCTTGCAATACCTCAATTTTTTTTAGGTAAAAGGAAAAATGTAGCAAATCTAATTTAGATTCGAAATATTGAATTTCACAAGTGTGCAATTTTTTATTTAAATGAAACTAGAATAAATAATAAGGGCGATCCAAAAGGCAATTTTGGCCCTGCGGCTAAATTAATCTGGCCTGGGCTAATTTAACCTGCCATTCAATTTTGCTGGTGGGCTAAGTTAGCCCGGGGCTACGTCAAGTTAGCCTGGGCCGCAGGTTAGGCTTTTGGATCGCCCTAAATAACGTTTATTTGGTTTTTGCAAACTATGCCTTACGGTACCAATCGGCATTAAAAATATATTTTTAATTTTTTTATTCGTTTCTATATTTTCCAAAAAATGAAATATATTTCACTTCTGATATTTACCAATACCAATATCAAATCATAAGTAGACGGGCTACATTTTTTCCTTTAATATGAAGCAAATTCAATAAAATTTGCCAAGGCCATGACTGTTGAACTACGATTTTGGTCATTGTTGTGAAAAGTTGTCGGACGTTGCAAATTTAATTTAAAAATGGTGGTTTCTTTTTTTCCAATGTGTGTCGCAAACAGAAAAAATACAATCAACTGATTTTTTTTATTTTTTGGAGAAAAAATTGTAAAAAAATTTGAAACTAATTTGGGAATTCTTAACCTATTAATGGGGGTGGTGGCCTATGGATGCCATGGATGGGTGATATTATTGACCCATGTCATTTTTGATCTGCAGTTCCCTGCATGAAATTAACGAGAAGTTTTCCCTGGTTGGGAATTGCGAGCGGCACTCGAGCGCAGACAATTGCATTTTGAGCGCGTTCTTTGAACCCGCCGTGTTCATTTGCGTGCACCTCGGCGCGGAACAACAAATAAAACCGCCTACTTTTTATGCTCCTGACAGCACGACTAAATTGTCCAAGTACAGTTTCAAATATAATCAAAGTTTCTGAAAAAGTGAAAAGTTTTGTGAAACGTGTTGGCCTGAATGAAACTCTTTTGTTGTTTGTCCGCGGCCGATACCTGTTTTTCTGGCCAAGGCTGCACGTATAATTAGCGCGCACCGAGACCAATTGTAATTGTCTGTTCTGGCCTCATGCAGCGCCGCATTCGGTTCCAAATTTCATCCTTATAATTCAAGGCTACCACGGAAATTATAGTTTCATTTTTTAATTCAATCGTTTTGGAAAATCTAAAAGCGTGCGCGTATGCATATTTGGAACGAATTAAAGCGAGAATCAAAAGTTAGCTCTTGTTTGTGTGCGCGAGTGCGAAAACGCACGGCCGAATTATTTTGCTCCCGTTCGTAGTTTTGATTCCGCGCCCAGATATCAATTTCTGAAACTGCACGCAGACACATCAAGCCAAATTAAAACTTTTGCTTCTAGCTGCGAGATAGACTGAAAAAAATGTGTAATTTCCACGCTCCGCCGCTTCTGAAAAACAATGACTTGTTGCAATTTCATCTGCAGCTGGGAGCTCGTGAAGGACCAAAGTGAACGGCAGACAATTTATTCGTGTTTCAATTTGTAGAAGAAGATAAAACCACCTGACAGCAGCATAATCCTCCTTAAAAACTCTAGTACTGAAAATTTTTGTCTTTCATCAAATTACAATTCAGCTGCCGGGATATTTAAGTATTTACATAAACTGCTGTCACATTAATTTGGACAAATATTATTTAAATTTCTCGGCGAGAGGTTGAAGGCATCCTTTTTCGGTGGTGACAAAGTCTCTAGATCAAGTACATTGACTCTGGCGAAAGGCTAAAAAGTAAAATTTTCTGTCCCTTGAAAATGTGCAACCTGAACAAAATCTGCGATTGCCTAAAGATCACTTCAATGTTAAAATTTTCAAGATTTTTTAATCAGCAAAGTGGATGGTTAAAAATTATCTTTGAATAATGACTGAAATGTAGTAAGTAATTTTCATAATGCATGCGTAATGAAAATTAGGAATATTTTCATAATATTTTTGGCCATATTGATGAGTTACATGCATCCAATATCCAAATAACTTAATAAAAAAATCGTTGTTTAAGTGCACTTATAAAGCTAAAAGCAAATTTGCTCTTTTTATTTTTAATTAAATTGAAGAAATTTGCAATTCGCTTTAGTTAATTTGGGAAACAATTGCTCTTTTTGACACGCGCGCGCCTAAATGAAATATGACTTTCACTGTTGGCGCGGGTGTGGGTCTCAACAATGCGAATTCTATTTTTGCGAGCACTTAAGCGCACGCAACACTCGAAACGCGCGAGATAAAGAGGAGAGAGCCACGTGGCGAGTTAGTTTTGTTGTTGTTGCTTTTTTTTTAATGCAGCGCGATTGTGATAAGCCGAGAGAGCGAATTAGAGCGCGCATTATTTAATTTGCAGCTCGACCGCCGCCTCGACCGATTCTTTAATTCGTTTGCTCGACCGACCCTCGCGAGAAAAAAGAACATCTGCAAGAGTGTCATTTTCAAATTGAAGTGCGGCTTTAATCGAGCGAAATTTGAAAACTTTTTGGCCTCGCCAATTTTCGTTTCAGTTTTTTGTGGCGCAGCGGAAGATGAATGGCCAGAGACGAGTTTTGGCAATTAATTGGCCTGGCTGCAGACCGCACGCAGGCCTAGTTTTGTGTGATCTCATCCGGCCGGCCAAACGACCGGCGCGGCTTCTCCTATCCCCAAGTCTATTCGCTTCAATTGAAACCGCGATTTTCCTAATTCATCCCGCACCACACTAAGAGTTCCATTAAAAAAAAAACGGTTTTGCTCGTTTGCAATGAATGAGTCGCTGCAAATTTCCTCAACTTGTACATTTTATATTTCTAAAACTTGAACAAATTCTGGGAAAGACTAAAGACTATGCACTTTTCCTTGGTGAGATTTTATCCCAGTAAAGTTAAAATGAGATTTTTTTATCCATGTTAACAATGTTTCAAGCTTTTCACTTCAAAAGAAAAGCGTAAATTCGCTATGGAAAGTACGCTAATTTTGAATTGTGCTCCGCTGTTTGTAAATAATTTAATAATAAATTAAATTAATATTATATTTATGAAATATTTTATATATGCTAGCTTTTTGTAAAGAAAAATGGTGTTTCAATTTTTTTAATCTTATTAAAAACGGTATGCAAGTTGAAAGAGCCAAATATTTGCCTTATTTATTTCCGATTTCCACTTTTAACACTTGCAAATTTAGTCTTCTGCTTAATAATGCTTTTAGATGTCCAAAGTAAAATCTTCAAATAACCATAAGTACTTGCATTTTACAAGCAAAATGAAAGAAATTGACTCAATGAGGGGAAAGAATTGATTTAATTTTGTTAGAAAAACATGCACATTTATAATTTCTCTTTGATTATAATTATGTTAATTGCCTTTTCGAATTTGTTATTTCATATTTCATCGGGAAGACCATAACATTTGAGAGAAACCACGAAAGACCAATCAAAAACAAAGTTATAAAAAAAGGCAAATTTTCATTACGATTATGCAGTCTACTGTCTATAACTAAGCCAAGTATTTGACTCTTGGCGGAACCAATTCAACCAATAAATTTATAGGACTTGTTTTATATTTTAATTACTTTATATAACTTTAGATTACAAAAGAATTATGAACGCATCGCAGAGCATTATTAACAAAAAGTAATCCAGCTATGCTATTTCGTTTCTGTCCAGAGTAAGAAGTAATTTTATAAAATTGAGGCAAATGGACATGGGAACTGCGGAAGGAGGCGCGAAATCGCGATTGGCGTCGGTCGGCCGCGGTTGTCGGAAGCTGCGATTCGCGCCGTTCGTCCGTTCGACCGATCCAATTCACGCCGCGCGAATAAAAATAAATACGCCAGAGAAAGGGAGATTTATTTTGTAAACAGGCGCAAGAGCCATTCGGAAAAATTGCGTGCGCGCCGCCCGGCCGGCCGCGGACAGGGTCTTCGACCTAAAAAATAATGTCCCCGCGGCGGCCACTTCAATCTTCCGTGCCACTTTATGCAAATCTCGCATTTCTAGCCAGAAACTCACAAAAATCATGACCAGAGATGAATCGAACTCAAGCTTTGTGGGAGCCAAAGTATTTTTAGAAACCATTGGAAAGAACTTTCAATTTAGAAGCAAAAAGATATTTAAAAAAAAATAATCAGTTGAATTTAAAAGAAAAAATGATGTGGAAATAATCACCCTTTTTAAAATCAACTTTTACATTCATCTTAATTTACATAATTTAATAATTATGCAAAAAATGTTTCCTCAAAAAAAGGACCTGTGATTTGGGCGCGTTGCGTGCGTGTTGCGGGAGCGCGAGGCTGAGGAGAGCGGCCAGGCCGCACCACATGGCCGTCGGCCTCATCGTCCGTCCGTGTGTGTCCTCGCTAATATCACATGTCCCGCTGGCAGCACGAGAGGCGCGTCCGCAGCTCCGCACACCGACTGAAACTGAAACTGAAGACTAAGAGACATACGCCGAGCGAGGGGCCACCAAAGCACAGACCCCCCCCCCCCTCCAACGCCAGTTTCCGTTTCGCCCGCAAATCCCGCAGCACGTTTGCCACCGACACGCAAAAATACAAATTGCAAGACTCACAATTTAGTGTTCCAACAAAATTTGATACTCATTTTTAAATTATTAGCTTTAATAAAAAAAAAGAATGATATTATATGCAATATTTATAAGCAAAGAGGATTTTTATAAATACAATTAGACTGGAAATACATGTACCATTCCGGCCCTCCGCGTTTTTTTCTTTTAATTGAGCTACTTGCAAAAAAGAGCAAATATTTCAAGACTTTCAATGGGAATACTCGTGGGCAGCAAAAAGAATTAATTGCCAGTTTGATACTTTTATTTTGCTTGCCAGAATTATCATTACTAGAACTCCTAAGTCGCGCAAAATATGAATAAAAGTGCCTATTTATGTAGATTAAATTTTTTAATTAGTTTCCTGTTGGAAGGCTAAATAAATTTGCTTTTTTATGGCCGACTAATATACTGTTATTAAGTTTGTAGGTTATAGTTTTTATAATTATGAATGCACACAAAAGGTTTTATATAGAAAAATGTTGAAATACAAAAGTTTCTACTTTTTACTTATTTTTCAAAATCATTAATCATTACGTAGTCAAAACTCGCAGAAAAAAATACTTTTAACAATTTTTATGAAAATAATCTGCAGTCTTGATATTGATGTTCCATTTTATAAATCTCGACTTTTTAAGGAAATGAAATCTAGCAAATATATTTTGAAGAAGACACGTAAATATTTACGCAATATGTAATTATTGGGGGGAAATTAAAATAACACAATGTCACGAAATCGAGAGCAGGAATCGCAAGAGGGTCGTGGCGCGAATTTCACGAGTTTGTAAAAAGCTTTCTCTCGAGAAGAGTCAGAAGAGCAGCGAGGGAAGCTGGGAGAATTCCCAGCGGCTCTCTCTCAGCGCGGCTTTTGCAACAAAACGCGCGCGCGGATGAAATTCTAATTTGGTGCGAACGCGAAAGAAAAGCTGCGGATCCCAAAGAGATTTGCGTAATTATTCCACGGCAGCGGGTAGCTAATTGCTCACCTTGCTCCACTTTTCTTGCAATTACACTTGTCATTTGCTCTGTGCGCATCCTTTTTAGATAAATAAACCACCATTTACTATTTTACTCTGGCTAATTTTTAGTGTTTACCTGATTTGTGACTATCTTTATTTAATTAATTTTGCTAATTGTAAATTTGTATTAACAAATTACTTGTAAGGTGTACAAGTAGTAATATTTCCTGTGATTAATAATGGTATGCTGATTTCAGCTTGAATTTTAACTACAAAAATTAAACAAGATTTGAAATTTTGCAAGTTCCTAAATTAAATTAACCACCTCTGAAATATTTTTCAATTTAAATAGAAATATTCAAATCAGTCTCCGGTTTTTTTTTCATTTTTATAGAGAGGAAACAAGCTAAGTCTTGAATGTTACAGTAACAAACACAAACAGTATACATAGAATTTCCACATCAGTTCATGCAATTAAGGACTCCTTGTTGACATAGTCAAATCAAATATTTACAACAATGGTGATTCAAATTTCTAAATGTCTTCCAAAAATCGCCAAAATCTGTTTCTATTGTTGTGGGGACTTGATTTAACTATGTAAATAAGGAGTTCTTAGAAGTAACGCAAAGCAAAGTGATCAAAACGGGTAGAAAATATAATTTGGCTTCAGTAGATTTTAGCAAAAATAATCGCTCTTTTTCCGAAATTAAAAAAGATGTGAATTATTCAATTACAAAACATTTTAAAAACTGCCAGCAAAAAGAAGACTTGAGACACACATTTGAATTTAAATTACATGATGCAAATTCCACTCGATAAATAGATTATCTGAAGATATTTGATTGCAAATGCTTTGAGAAGATTTTCTTTCAAAGGTCGAATGCGAAGGACACGCGAAGCACCACATTTATTTCCTTGTCAGGTTTTGGGGCTCAGTCGACCTGCCACTGAAAGAGAAGTCAGATTTAATTGAGCAGGTCATTAGTTATGGTGACTTTTACCTTGAGGCCGCCGCCGTGGCCGCTGGCCCGTTCCGCCTCCTCCTGCCGCCTCTCCGTCTCCTCCTTGCGCTGCTGCGCCCTCTTCACCTTGTCCACGTCCTTGACGCCCCTGCTCTCCTGCTCGAGCCGCCTCCGCTCGGCCGCCTCCAGCACCTGCTGCCGCCTCACCTCCTGCAAAGTCATCACATTTTTTATTATTATTGTTGTTTATTGAGCAGACTCAATTTGCAGAACGGTCACGCAACACACCGGCCGATTATTTCATTGAAATTATAACTCAAGTTGCGTCACGAGACTCGAGAAGGAGAATTGAATAAGAATACTTACGGGGTCCGGCGTGACAAGGTTTTGCGTCGAGTCGCTCGGACGACAGCACGACGTGCAAATTCCCATGCTCGGTGTCGCTTTGGCCAAAATCACTTCAACTCGAGCCTCCGAATCGCACGGACGGACATAAAATCCCTCCGCCGCGACCAAAACTTCAGAAAGGGTACGTTACGTAAAAATTGAAAATTGTCTTGGAGATTTGCAGTGTTTACATCTCGCATCGACAGAGACACGCCCCTTTTGCTGTCACTCTTTTCAAAAGGGGGTTCATTCGGGAGACGAGTTCTCGATTGTCCATCTCGGATAGATGAGTTGAAAAATCTACAGCTTGATACAAAAACGTTTTTAATTTGCAACTAATTAACTCTCTTTATCAATTACATGAAAAAACTTGACTTGCTTTAAGCCAGATCAGTCGGAGTACTTGTCTCCTTTGTACTCCTTCCAACCGTAATGTAATGTAAAGGAGCAGAGAAGATTCAGTGCAATTATTCGAATTTTTGCATAAATAGACTTGTACTATCGGCTTTATTTCAGCAAAAGTAGGGATTTGTCTGATTTTTATCAATTTTTGGCCATTAAACGTACTATTTGCAGTACCAGTTTCCCAAAAAGGGCATTTACTGTTAACTCCCTTGTGTAGACTCCACACGATGTAAACGTAAACAAAAAACAAAAAATACATAAGTCAAATAAAAAATCAACATTCAAAAATTTTTAATTGGGCGCTTTGAAGTGAAAATACGCCACCAAAGGCTGAGAATTTTCGTCGAAATAACAATATTCGTAATTGTTTTTTCTTCAGAGAATCGTTGCAGTTCATTATTTGTGTGCAAAAGCATGAATTTATGTATAATTTAAATTAATCGTAAAATTATGCATCATGCTGCAGAGTTGACGAATTTGTTGTGTTTATTTGTTTCAGCGATCGACCGAATATTGGATGCGCGTCAATATTTGACCTTGTCGAGTTGTGCCTGCAAAGGTCACATGACGAGCCGCGAATGAGTCACGACGGACGAGGGGCGTACGAGTGAATTGAAGTCGCTTTCGGAATTGGAAGAAGCCAAAATGCCCGCGGCGTCCGAGCAGAAGTACTCGACCGGGGTGAGAACGAAAAGTTTTATAAGGCAGAGTTATGCAGACTAAAATTGTTGGTTGCAGACGGGCCTGGTGTACATTTTCAACCTGATCGTGGGCACGGGCGCCCTGACGCTGCCCTCGGTGTTCAACAGGGCGGGCTGGGCCGTTGGCGTCGCGCTCGTCCTCCTGCTCGCCTTCATGAGGTCCCATTTTGCCTAAAAGTGCAAGTTGCATTTTGATGAAAAAATTTCTCTACAGTTTTGTGACGGTGACGTTCGTGGTGGAAAGCATGGCGGCGGCAAACGCGGTGCTCAAGTGGGACAAGCTGCAGGCCAGGGCCTCCCCCGCCCAGGACGATGCTCAGGGCGAGGAGCAGCCTGCGGAGGAGGACGAGCCTCTGGTGGAGCAGCGGGACGGCCACACCTCCCTCGCCTACTTCTGCCTCGAGCAGAAGGTCGAACTGGTAAGTGTCTGCGCAACTGACCATTAAGCAAGGTTGACCTTTGTTTGTCCTCAGGGTGAGATGGCCAGCCTGTTCTTCAGCAAGTGTGAGTTCCCCGCTCAACCTGAACTTTGCTTTTCACTTTTGCTTTCCCAACAGGGGGCCGCGTCCTCTTCTACCTGTGCATCGTTGTCTATTTGTACGGAGACCTGGCCATCTACGCCGCCGCCATCTGCAAATCCATGACTGACGTCATTTGGTACGGAAATTTACTTAAACAACTTAATTTATTAAATAGGAAATTTTTATTTTTCGAAAAAAGCTCTTAGTCAAAATAAGATTAATTAATAAAAAAAAATGGAATATATCCTATATTTTCCATTTTATAAAGGAACCCTTTTTAAATCATAAAGTTATTATGTTAGCTAAATCAGCTAAATCATTACATTACAACAATGGTTTCACTAGGTTTGGTGGCGTTTAAAAGGTCATTTTTTTTTTAAGTTGAGAGCCTGACATTTGTATTGATTGCATGATAAAGAAAGGCTGAGAAACAATATTGTGCACAAAATTATACTATATAATTTATACAATTTCCATAAATAGATTTTCAAGTACAATTGATTTCTTTCTTGGTGTAAAAAGAAATAATTTGCTTTTTTATGATTTTGCAGCACCCTGAACGTGGTGAATGGCAGCGTTAACACGAGCGTGCCCGAGTGGGCGGCTTGCTGGCCTGTGGAGGGAGAAGAGGGGGAGGCGGAGAGCGGGGGGTGGCGGACGGCGAGCCGGATGTTGGTGTATCGGAGTTTGCTGGGCGCGTTCTTGCTGCTGGTCGGGCCGTTCGCCTTCTTCAACGTGCAGAAGACCAAGTACCTGCAGATGGCCACCTCGGCCGTGCGCTGGACGGCCTTCGGCACCATGATCGGCCTCGCCAGCAGCCGCCTGGTGGCCGACGGCCCCCAGAACCACCCGCCCGCGGCCGCCCTCGCCGGCGTGCCCGCGCTTTTCGGCGCCTGCGTCTACTCCTTCATGTGCCACCACTCCCTCCCAGGTACCAACCCTCGATTTTTAATTCATTTAGAAATTAAAAGTGGCTCTAGCAAAAGTTGAGAAATCAACATTTTTAATTATTTCACGTGAACATTTGCATATTTTTTTAAATAAATCAACTTTTGTTGGAGCTAAAGCAGAATTCTGGGTACCTTAATGACCGCCTCAGTGTCCTCTGTCCATCACTGTGTCACACTTGATGAAAAAATCAACTGTGGTAAGGTCTAAGGTCACCGGGGCAAATGACCTTTTTTGACCTGGTCAAAACGTGTAATATGTTTTAGATTGGTAATTTCAAGGCAATTTCTCTTTGTAATGAGATACTTTGGACTATCTTGCTCAGGGAAAAAGTTGCAGAGGCTCAAATATATTTTACTAAAAAATGACCCAAATAAACCATTAGCACATTTTTTTTTTATTAATTGTATAAAGACACGCTATCTGGTTTATTTTCCCATCAACGTTACATTTTACTCTCTACAAAATGGCTATTTTAGAATTGAAATATAATTGGAGGGATAACCTTCAAATTTGAGGTCAAAGGTCTTGAGGTCACCCGATATTTGTTCAGTGACCATGGAACCTTTTTAATTTGTTCCAAAATCCAAATTAGAGTGTCCCTTTAAAGCCATAAATTTTGAGGCAATGGGGTGGAACTACACATTTATGAAAACCTCCTCGCAAGGCCATTGAGGTCTTCAAGGTCGGTTGTCCCTGCCTGTCATCTTACCTTTGAAAAACCTTTTCTTAAAACATTTTTTCGACAGGGCTGCTGACGCCAATTTCGGACAAGGCGCGGCTGCAGCGGTGGCTGTGCCTGGACTACGTCCTCGTGGCCGCCTTCTACCTGCTGCTGGCGCTGACAGGGGTGTTCGCGTTCGCCCACCTCGAGGACCTGTACACCCTGGTCTTCTGGCGGCCCGGCCAGCCCCTTGGCTACTTCCTCGCCCTCTTTCCCGTGCTCACCCTGAGCACCACCTTCCCCGTCGTCGCCGTCACCCTGCGCTCCAACCTGCGCGCCCTCGCGCCACCCGCCCTCGCCAACGGCCCCTTCAAAGGTAACTTTTTATTTTCGCCCTGAATTTCCAAACTCGATTTCCAATATTTACGTTTTGGAAGGCAAAAGTAAGTTACAAAATATTTGTGGGCCCTGTTCTATAAATAAATAGGCATCCACCCTTTGGCTTGGCGTTGTCAGATTTTGATGACAGGTTGGAGGGAAATACTTCAGAGGAATTCCCAAAGCTGTCGAGTTTTAAACCGGCTTCAGATTTACAAGTTTGTTAAAAATTTTAATAATTTCTCGTTATAAAAAATAGCTCATCTTTTCTAAAGTAGTTTTCAATGAGACGCCCTTCCTCTTGACTAGGGAACGGAATTGCAGGTCAAAGGTTTGCGTACTTATTTAAGGACCCTGTTTACTTCTGCTTCCTGTTGATGTAAAGAAAATTGTACCTTGACAAATTACTAAAATTGCTTTCGATTTGCAGGCGTGTTGGCACTGGTGGCGGTGCTGCCTCCGCTGGGGGTAGCGTTCATGACGATGGACCTGTCGGTGCTGGTGGGCGTGACTGGGACGTACGCGGGGGCGGGGGTGCAGTACGTCATCCCCGCGCTGCTCGTGTGGTGCGCGCGCTCGCACTCGCAAAGGCTGCTTGGAGTCTCGTCCTCCGAGAGCCGCGCCTTCGCCTCGCCCTTCCGAGGACCCTGCTGGGTGGGCGCGGTGTTACTCTGGGCCGCCGCCGCCGTCGTCCTCGTCACCCTTAACATCGTCGAGAAGTTTGAGGGCAAAATCAAAGCTGCAGACTGACTTCACAGACCAGACAACTTTTAATTCCGAGGCAAGACTTGATTATTACTTAGAACGCGCGACAATATTTTATCTCTTTGATTATAAGTGAAGGAAACGCTCAATAGGGCATTTACCCTGGCAGGGTTGATTTAGTTTTAAGCATAAGTGCCAAATTCAATTTAAATTGTACATGGAAAGGTTCGTTCATGTATCTGCGAATAAACTCGTTGAAATGGAATTTTTTCAGTAATAATTTATTCTTAGCGCCTACTCAGCGGCGTCTCCCTGCCTCAGGTGCTCCAGTTGGCACCGCGTGTTCTCGCAACTGCTGGTCAGGGTGGCGACCTGACGGTCCGCGGCCGCCTTCGGCTGTCCCACCAGGCGCACCCTGGCCGAGGCCTGCAGGGCGTCTGTGGGCCTCGCTGAGGCGCAGTTCGGCATCGGCACGTTGCCACTCAAAGGCCTCCTGCATGGCGCGCAGGGCCTGCTCCGACTGCACAAATCGGTGCTCGCCGATCAGCCGCTCGTTCTCTACGTTAAAGTACGTCTCCTCCGCCTCGAGAGTGCTCCATTTGCAGCGCGTACAAGTGCAAAATATTTTAATTTTTTATATTATAGGCAAAAAATTTCACTGTTTGTTCATTTCGTTTCTTGAACACTCAAATTATTGTTTTGTCTTAATATTTTTAGTTTTTAAAATGCAGGATGATTTTGTTGAAATTGTCACAGGTCGCATTTTAAGTTTTAAAATTACCTTTCTTTTCATCATTCGAACCGCAGATTGATACATAATTTATTTCAATTTATTTATTTTATGATTGGAATTTAATTTCATATAGCACGCTTCGCTTCGAGATGAGACTAACCAGGAGAATGTCTTGCTGCTGGAGGTGTTGACGCTTAGGGTCGGGTCGGCGGCGGGGCTTGGCGGCGGCACTGGCGCGCTCTTCGCTGGCGGCCGTGTCGTCCAACTCGCCCTCCAGGTACTGCGACGCGTTTTGCTTCTGCCGCTGCGTCTGTTCTGCCAACTCGTTGCTGTATTGCCAAAAATCAAGCTCCAGCTCGGTGGCCACCTCCTCCTGCATGTTCCCCGACGCTACGTCTCGGTGTCCGCGCTGGATATTTTGGCGGCGACGTTCGTCGGGGACTCCGCTTTGTGCCGCCTGGACTCGGACCTGCTGCTCAGGGCGTTCGCCTCGCGGCCCTCGACCTGAAACATGAAATTCAAAGTGTTGCATTTGATGTAGAGGAGGGCTCGTCAGTGGGACACTTATTATGGAGGGATAATGGTTGTACATAAAAAAAATGGTACCTTTTTCGTCCACTTGGATGTCCTGAGCGTAGGAAATGTCGAAGGCCACTTTCTTGGGAACGTAGCCCTCCTCGTCGTACTTGGCAAAGGTGCAGCTGCGGATGGTGGGGTCCGAGTCGCAAGTCATCGCCACCTGGCCGTCCTGACGCCTGTGCAGCACAAACTGGTGGCACAGGCCTCTGCCGTGGATGCCGCAGTCTGAAATGCGTTAATTAATAACTAATTTTGCGCGTGTGTGACAAAATAGCACTTACATGTCGTGCACAGGCGCCACGACTTGCCGGCGATGCGCACCTTCTGCGGAAGGTCTTCCAGCAGCTCGGAGGGGTCGCTCCTCGTCAGCCGCATGCCGAATCGCTCGGCAGCCGTGCTCTCGATGACTAGAGCGTCGCTGGCTAGAACGAGGACCAGCCTGACGGCCTTGACGGTCCGGCACTATTTTTTATGACATAAATTAGCATTGAAAAACATTACGATGTAAATAATACCGAGGTGCAATAGTGCCTGACCGTCTGGCTGGTGGTGGGGTCCGTGATCCGCACGAAGTCGGCCAGGGTCAGGTTGCCGGTGTTTGGCAGGGGGCGAGACCTGCCGCAGGTCAGAAACACGCCCTTGCTTGCCCTGACAGTGCGGATCCGGAAGACGTCCCTCAGTTCCCTCACCCAGACCTCCACGTTGGAAACACCGGTCGAGCGGCTTTTCTTCTCGACCTTGGGTTTGCTGCGTACAAGAGTTGTAAATATTGTGACTTATCGTTGTGAAAATTACTCACAGTCTGAGAACTGCTCGAACTCGGGCCCTCTCCGACTGAAGGGAGATTTTGCCTCTGTTCCGACGGAAGTGGTCAAGCATCTCGCAGATAGATGTCTTTGTCGGTCGCGTCGGAGGTCAAGTTCTTCAAAGCCCGAGTGTTCTGAAATACATACATGCAATAAATACCGCAGCTCATAAAAAGCGAGTCAACGTACGCGATAATGGACGAGCGGGGCAAGGATGAAATTCACCGTGCTCGTCATCGCGCAGTTCCCGGTCATAACGGTCTGGGGGACTCTCTTCGTTGGCCGCTGTCGAGGGGGCAGCGTCTGCAGGTCGATTTTGTTGTCCTGCTTCACGAAACGCCGCCGTGTTTGCGTCTAGTGCAACCAAAAATTTGTTACTTTGGTCGTAGCACATTTAATTCAAGTAGCTTCATAACTTTGTAGACCGTTCTACAACCGGACTTGACTTGCTTATCATTTCGCAGGAGGATAAAAGGACTGAAAAGAGTGTTTACTTTTAATAAAAAAATAATTTTCAACCTGAAGATTAGCATTTACAAAAACGAATTTAATAATAAATTTTAGTTGAATTTTTTATTTTGATTATCTGCTATACAGGATTTATTGAGCGCGCTACTTTGGCAAAAGCCAGTTTGAAGGACAGCTTGTCTGGCGCTCTGTCTCGGAACAAACGCCGCCTGCTGCTAAACAAGCGGGGTATTTTTTTACAAGTAACAAGCCAACGAGTGGACCAACAAATAAAAACCATGTTTATTGATAAATTACAAAATTAATAATATATATTGTGTTTAACATATGTTCAGTTTTAAATTTGAAAGGTTGGCAAAGTAAAATCGTCTGCTTTGAAAAACGACTTATTGCTATCAACACCATTGCTCGATGATTTAAAAAAAAAAATGCAGGAATCAAAGCCTAATATTTTTATTAGCTAACTAGTGTTGAAAATTTTAATTAAATATCATTAATTCACGATAAAAAAAGTTGTTGGTACAAAAAGTTGTCTGTTTTAAACACAATGTTGGAATTTAATTTATTCATTTTTTTAATATTATAATATATATGTCATAATTGAACTTAAATCAGACCAGTGCGCATCCCTTATGCGCTTTGGCATTTTTTCTGATTCAAACTAATATTTATCTTGATCGGTTTCTTAAAAACTTTGACATCATCTTTTCAGGCATTTAATTTGCCTGACAATGAGAGGAAGAGTAATCATGTGCGACATAAACTGACAAATCCTGATAGACGAGGAAAACAGACGAAAGCGCAAGTTTATTATTCAAACAAAATTAAGGCGCGACAGGGCGACCTCGCCGTCCTTATTCTTAGACACGATTTTTATTTTATTTATATAAAGGCTGGGGTGCGTCGCATTGCTCTCTCCTGGAAAGAAATCCAGAGTGCACAATTGATGTTTGCCAACTTTTCATCATACGTTTGTAGTGAATAAAGGTTAAACCTTTCTCTAGTTGGCACTCTTAAATTGCAGTAAAAGATATTTTTTGCTCTTAAATAATTCACAAAAAGTTTTCCAAACGACCAAAAATGTTTTCAAAGAATTTCTTTAATTTTTTTGTTCTTAAAAATTCTCTTTTTTTATATTGGGATGCAAAATTTGTTCATACATGAAGCAACTCACCTTGGCATAGTAGATCACCAATCCATTGCCGCGGCTCTATAATTTGTCAGCCAGGGCGGCCCGTTTCAACAATTTCAAATTTCTGGAAAACAATGTTTAAAAAATACTCAAAAAAACATTTACAACAAACAATTTTCAACACTCATTTTTCATTTCATCAACAAAACATAGATTTTAAAATTTTCAACAATGAAATTGATTCTCAAATTTCAAAAGCAGAATTTTCCTAAAGCGCATAAATAATTCAGTTTGTTTAAAATTATTTTCATTTATTTTTGTTAATTCTTCAAATTTCCACGTGAAGAATTCTTTCCAGTTTTCAATAAACACGCTCCGATAAAAAAATCTTTGTTAATCCTTGACAAAGGAAAATTCCACTCCAAAAATCCCTCAAAATCCTTTTCGTTTTACTAACCACAGGATTTAAATTTTACAATCAGGTACACATTTCAATATTCTCATACGAATTTTTTAGAAATTTAAATTTTCATATAAACTAAATTATGTCATCTACTTATATGTGAACGTTTATCATCAAAAACTTAAAATTCGCAGCTTTAAGTAAAGTATTCTTTCCTCATACCTTTCTAATACAATTTGCAATTAAACAAATTTATATTTCCTGCAGAAAAGAATTTTTTAAAAAATGCATAAAAAACCGTTACAAAAATATATTTCCATCACATGATCTTCATTTCTGCAAAAATACTTGCATTTTAAAAATGTTCATCAGTGAAATCTTAATATAATCAAGTTTCTAAATAAGAATTTTTCAAAAATACCCAAAACATTCATGAAGCGATTGTTCGGTTCTTTTTTAAACTTATTTTTAAACGTTCCCACACTGTGATTTTTCGAAAAAGAAAAAAAAATTCTGGAATAAATTTCAGTGTGAACTTGGCCCTTAATTCAAAATTTCACGAACAGGGACTCCAATATTCGTCATAATAATTTAATCAAATTTTAATATTCCAACGAATTTGATTGAAAATTCTCAATTTTAAGCCCGTTAATCATCAACAACTTTAAATTCACAACTTTAAGTGAAGAATTCTTTCCTCAAACATTCAAATATTCACAAATTAAAAAAGTTCAAAATTCTTAACTTATTTTTTAAAAATGCCTGAAAAACCGTTACAACAATTAATTTGTCAACCCCCAACCTTCACTTCTGGAAAAATACTTCCTTTAATTAAAACGCTCATTAAGGAAAACTTAATATCCTCATAAGAATTTAAAAAAATCTTAATTGGAAAAATTCTCACATTTTCAGTGTGAACTTGCCCTAAATTTGAAAATTTTCAAACAGGAACTTTAAAATTCTTAACAAGAATTTTCATCAAATTCAAATTTTACAACGACTTATAATTGGAAATTCTCAAATTTCGATACGTTAATCATCAACAAATTTAAATTCGCAGCCTTTATTTGAGAATTCTTTCTACGACAGTTCAAATTATGAACTGGCAAATTTTCAAATTTAATCAATTATTAGCCCGAGATTACAATTGCAAAAATTATGAATTTTTTAGCCTTACCTGCCGCAGCATCCTGAGCTCAACTTCTCGACGGCCTGCAGGTCATCCAGTTTTTTAAGGCGGCCGTCGAAATTGGCCACTCGGCGATGCAGCTCACTTTGTTTTCAACCTTCTTTGGCTGCATTCTTACAACGTCTGACGCGAATTCCAATTGTCGCCGCTTTATATTTGAAAGCAACAATCGACTTGTTGTGTAACAGAATTTGGCAGCAACGGTTTCGTTTGCTAAGGGAAACGACAATAGTCACCGTCGCCATGGCAACGGAGTTGTTACTTTGGTTTCTATGCTATTGCGTGCATTGAAGTCTCCTTTGGAACGCCTGCCTTTCAGCGAAATGCAACCGGCGCAACGCACGTGTGCTGCCGGTTGCATAACTTTGCAATTCTTTCACACGAATAATTCAAATAATAAAAGAATATTTGTTTACGCGAAATAATCAACGAAGATTAATATAAAAAGGTGGCAAAATAAATTACGGTTTTCACCCCAAATGCAATTCTTTAAATCAAGCCTCAAGAAATTGCAATTGAAATTAAAGTGTTTCTTCTCTATGATGAAAACAATTGTATTCTTTGCTAGAATTAGAAGAAGCAATGGCATGAGGTGTTATTGAAAAGCAAAGGCCGTAATTAAAAATTTAATAAAACGCTAGATTTTATTAGAAAATGTGATTGCGAAGGTATGTACATGTATATTATCAAAAATACGTCTGGCAAAGACGGTGTAGATAAAAAATAATACTGTCGCGAAACAGAGAGATCTTTGATGCACGGTTTGTCGGAATAACAAGTGGGGGGCGTGGTCATCACAAGAGAGGGTCAGTCTTGATCACATGGCCGTCTCCAGGGGCTGGCTCTTGCTGCGCGCCGCCCTGCTGAGGAAGTCGCCCTGCGTCGCCGGCTGCAAGGGCTGGAAGTCAAAGGTCGTCTCCAGCAGCGCCTCGCTCTTGGAGCGGGGCGGCGCCAGCGGCGGTGCCATCGACGGCGCCGCCTGCGAGTCCAGGTCTGTCTCAAGCAGCACGTGGCTCTTGGGCCGCTCGGGGAAGTCGTCGTGGCCGTTGTAGTAGTACGGGTCAGGCGACGAGTGGCTCGGGTAGAAGGGCGGGTCAGGCAGTGTTGACGGGGTGTACGACTCGCCGCGCAGTTCGCTCTGGAACTCGCTCACCTGAAAATCACACCCGAATCAATTAATTAAGTGATGCAGAAAATTTTATTTGCCTCATGAACAAGGATGAACATTTAAAATATAAAACAGCCAATTTTCTACTTCCGAATATCAAATCCTCTAAATTCTTGGTTTTGGTAAACTGACCGTTTCGTCAAGCTCCCTGTTCTGCTCAGGGTAGAAGGAGCGGCCGCCGCAGGGGAGGGTGGAGTCGTCATAGTCGGAGGGGGAGGCGCGGTAGCTGACAGAGGGGTGGAGGGGGTCGCGCGAGGCAAAGGTGGAGTTGTCCTTGAAGCCCTCGTTGCGGAAGGCGAGGTCAAAGGCCGACGGCCCGCCCTGGGTGGAGGGGAAGGGCGCCTGCTTCCCCTCCTCCGCGTACACGTTGAACGCGTGCGGGTTGTGCGCCTCGTAGATGTCGTACGAGTGCGTGTCCGCCCCCTCCACCGACGACTCGTTCAGCTGCGACTTGTCCATCGAGTCTACGCTCCCGTTCATCCGCTTGTACTCGCGCACGTTCGTTGCCAGCGTTGACGTCGAACGCGCCTGCGCCTAAAATCATCCAAATCAGGCAATTAATTTAACCTATCGAAGACTCGAAGATTTAACTTTGCTTCCAATCATTTTGTTAATTTGACCAAATTGCCAATTATTGTTAAAATATATACTCTGGACCAAAATTAAATAGAAAGTGCCGTACAAAGGTTGTTGCATTTAAAAGCTAAATCGTTGAAGACAATAAAATGGAAATCTTGGTATTTGTTATCTAGATTAAATTACATCCAAAATGAGACAGTAAATGAATTGTTGGTTTAAATAATTAGGACTGACCGCTGCACGTCTGTATCCGAGCTCTGCGAATCCGTGGGAGGAGTTGATGGAGCGGAGGGAGTGCATGGAGGCGCGGATCGAGTTGCGGCGCTCGAGGCGTTCGACGTGGCGCCGCTTGGACTTTGTGTACCAAAGCGCGGCGATCAGCAGCACCAGCACGAGCAGCAGCCCGATGGAGCCGACCACCGCCATCGCCACCACGTCCTGCGTCCACGCGTACGGGTCGATGAATACCTTTGGGTCTTCGGGACAAAAACGTCAATACAAAAAATTTGAAAAGCGGAAAAACAGACCGATTTCGCAGAGGAAGGGCAGCAGCTGATCGCAGTGGTCCTCCTCGATGGTCTGGTACGTGAAGGCGGTGCAGCGGTTGATGCGGTTCAGGTGCTGCACCCACACGCGGTCGTAGTACATGTAGTGCTGCTGCTGGTGCCGCAGGAACTGGTACAGCGCGTAGTAATTTCCCATCACGTATGGCATTGTTGCGTTGTCCGACTAAAAAAGGGCAAATGAGTCTTCATCAGTTCGAACAACAGGTGATTCTGTCAAGGAATTTTTGACAAAAATTGAAATGCAACAATGGATTGCAAATGATTAATTTATTTTAGCCCCATTGCTTTTTAAGAAAGGATGGAAGATCAAAAATTGATAAAAAAAAATCCATGTTTTTCAACCCTCTTTGAAGTTCCGAAGGGGCAGTATATTTTGGAATTGGGCGATATCAAATCCAGGCCAGTTACGTTGCTCTGTTTTCCTTGATTTTCCGGGATTTAATTAAGTTGTTGATTTTTTTGAACTATTTGGTATTTATTCATCTATTCCATTATTTAAAGCCACGTTTTTCTAGCACAGTTTCAGTAAAATCGCGTAAAACTAAAACCTCTTATAATGGAAACTCCGCAACTGCTTTACGCTTTACAACACACAGACACTACTCTAATTAGAACAGAAAAACACACGCTAAGTAAAAATAATTTGAAGAAAATAATTGTAGAAAGCTTTCGATTCCCAAGATGTCAAAGTATCCTTAACAGCAAGAAAACCTCTTCTGACGTTTTCTCAACCTCAAAATTAATAGTTTTTTTATTGTGTTAACAGGCTATTTAAAAATTCCAGAAAAGGAAAAGGTTTTTTACTTTTTTTTTGATACTTTGAGATCTTGGGAAACAAAATCTGACTAAAATATTCATCGACACTTTAGTTAATCGTAAGTTAAGAGCCTGAGAGGGTGAAAGTTTTTTTTTTTTTTACCAATTTTCAGATACTTTAGCGCTATTTGAAGAAGGCAAAAAGAAATGGTTTTTCATACTTGAACCCGCAATAGTTCAACCCTGATAAAATCTGGAAAATTATCAATCCAATGTTTCATTTCAAATGTTGTTAACATCAAAAGAATCGCCTTAATTAGAAAATAAACGGGAAAGAACCGAGTAAATTGAGTAAAAAGAAATTATAGCAAATGGGAAACTGACCCTGCAGAAGTCCTTGGCCTCGGCGAAGGTCATGGGCGCGCCGATGTAAATGTAGCAGGTGTCGGCGACCAGGGTCCAGCCGGGGGGACACTTGCCGCTGAGGATGGTGCGGTTGGACATGTGGAAGGGCTCAAAGTCGACCTCGAGCAGGTCGAGGTCGTCGCGCCGGTCCTTGATGCGGCTCATCACGGCCAGCGAGTTGTTGTAGCCCCACCAGTTGTGCTGCGCGTCGATCGGCGTCTTCCACACGTCCAGGCTGCTGCGAATCACAATTCAAATCTCAACCTCGATTCCATTTCAAATTTGGCAAAAGCACGCGGACACTGAGAGGGCGAGCGGTGCGTCAAAAAAGGCTGAGGGAGGCCCAAGTTCAGCCCCCCTCGGGCGCGGTGAAAAAAAAAACAACAACAAGACAAAAGCACACTAGAAGCAGCACAGGACAAAGGGCTTCCAGCTTACCTGTTGATGCCCGCCCTGTCGGCCGCGAGTCATGGAAAGTTAGAATTTCGTTTGAATAAAATGAGTTAGTCTTGGGGCTGGTTTTTGAAAAAAGACAAAGTTTAAGGAGAGAAACTTACAGGGATCGGTTGACTGTGACGATTTCGTAGTCGTTGGCGGGGTTCAGCAGAATGTTGTCCACGTAATGCTGGCCTGCGGTGCCCGCGATGATAGTGCCGCGCGACTCCAAGTCGATCGCGTAGTTTCTGTTCAAAGAGAACAAGTTTTAAAATTTAAAAGTTGAAATAACCTTTTCTTTCAAAACCTGGTTTTGATTGCATCGGGCAATCAACATGATTTAAAATAAACTTGAAAAACAGGGAGAGACTTAAAATTGAAGGAACTCACTCGTAGAAGCCGTTGTGGGAGGTGGTCTGGTAGATGGGGAGGCGCACCTTCTCGAAGCCGGACACCTCGAGAATGTGCCTGCCCAGGTTGTTGTGCAGGTAGTTGAAGGTGAAGTTGGAGACGACCTGCTTGAGGATGATGACGTTGTCGTAGGGCACGCTGCTCCTGGTGAAGTAGTTGCGGTAGATGGTGACCTCCTGGTAGGGGCTGCTCTGCCGACCCTCCACGTAGATCGTCGGCCGGTTCTCGTTGTCCGCGAACAGGTTGTTGTGCACGAAGCCCTTGAGCGAGGTCGCCGACCCCCGCGAGTCCGCCCGGATTGACAGACCGCCCTGGTTGAACCGCACCAGGTTGTTCTGCAAACCACAAATTATTAGCAAAAAAAAGCCACGTCAACCTCTAAAGGTATTAAAAGAGCAAAAGTGAGTCAATGCGAATTGAAAATTTTAATCTTTGAAATTATTATTATGGATATTTATTATTCAGAACGCATAAAATGTCATCTGCCCGAGCCGAGAAAAATTCGACAGCTAAATGAATGAAATAAAATTTGCTTATATTTAAGGGTAGGTACAAAATTAAATTGTTTCTAGTGTGGCCAAATTAAAAGGATTCAACAAACCAGATTTTTTTTTAATATCTCTGACCCCTTCCGAGTTTCAAGAACGCATAAAATGGCATCTAACCTTGCTGAGAAAAATTTGACAGCCAAATGAATCAAATACAATTTTCTTTTACTTTTAGGCAAAAATTCAATTGTTTGTAGCGTGGCCAAATTAATTGGAATCAACAAACCAGCAATTTTTTTTCATTATCTCTGGCCCCTTCCGAGTTTCAAGAACGCATTAAAAGTTATCCATCGTTGTCGAGAAATATTCGACAGCTTTGGGAGTGGAGGAATCGCTCTCTTAGTGCGCTTGAAATAAATTTTAGGTCAAAGGCCACCTAAAACGATCTTGACTCGAGGGCTAAGATTTTGTAATCAACAGCAAAGTTGAAGAGGCTGACAAGACGAGTTCAACGTTACCCTGATTTTTGTTCTAAGACCACACGGGACGCTGAAAAAGCATTTTTAAATTTTCAAAAATCTAAATATGAGTGTCCCGTGAAAGCAATCAATTCTGATTTGCTCACCCTGAAGTAGACGTTCTGCGTGTTCTGCACGTCAATGGCGACGGCGGCCTTGCAGGTGGTGAAGTTTCCGTAGAGCTTAAGGCAGTTGCGGTCGAACTGGGACCACTCGAGGGTGACGACCGGGTTGACCTCGCCGGCGGTGGCGTAGTGGAGGGCGCCTTGGCGGTTGTCCCTGAACACCGAGTAGGAAACGTTGTGCTGGGTGTCACGGTCAAAGCCGATGGCCGAGATGGGCAGCGTGACGACCTCGGCGACGAAGCCGTGCACGGCGCTGGCGCCGTTCGCGAACACCTTGACACTGAGCGAGGGGCCGCGCGTGCGGAAGAGCCGCTTCTCGTTGGCCCCGCCCACCGTGATCTCAGCCAGCAGGGTGGTGCTGACGTTGTAGATGTCGCCGTCGAACAGCGAGATGCTGTCCGGCCGGCCCGGCTTGCCCGTCGAGTTGAACAGGTTGAACTGCAGCAGGCGGAAGCCGAAAGGCTTGGCGCGGTACACGCTCGTCAGAATCTTGACGCAGTTGACCGGGTTGTTGTCGTACTTGTAGTACAGCAACACCCGCTCCTCGATCACCACCTCCTTCTGCGAGTCGCACATGTCGATCATGCTGAACAGTCCGTATGACAGCGGCACCTCCTTCAGCGGCGCGAACGAACTCTCCGCGCTCTCGCGACCCTCCCCCGTCAGCGACACCACCGACATCCCCACACCCAGCGAGTCCACGATTCTGAAATCAAACAAATTTCACATTAACAAAATATTCTTCTGTGGGATTCCAACAAATGATCAGAGTTGATCTATTGCGGGTTGATATGTTTTCAGTATGCAAATAATTTCTACTTTTCCAGCGCCAAAGTTTTGCCCAAACATTGGAAATTGGTAAATATTCTCATTTTTCTGCCTTCTTCTTCTTCTGATTTATTTGATTTATTGGGATAATTTTTTCTAGAGATTTAGCAATCAATTTGCATGAAACCAAAATATTAAAATTCTCATCAACAGCAGTAATAAAAAAATTCTTAAAAGACCTGTTGAAATAAAAAACCTTTTCAGAGGTTAATGAAGTTCCAGAAAAGAGGTTGAAGTTTTTTTATGTGCATTTGATTCCTAGACCTAGACATCTTAAAAATTGATTGTTATAAGCATAAAATATTACTGAGAACTTTGCGATATCAAAAGTGATTAACAGGATATCACATCATTTTTAGTATTTTCCAATCATCAAACGATAGATTGGCTGGATTTGGTTGCATGCTTCGTGGCGCACTCGACAAACTTGAGGCAAGTTGACGAATCAATCCTTTTCCCCTAATTTTAAACCCAAAAGTTGCCAATATAAACTGTTACCTCATGAAGCGCATTCTCATGGTTTCCGTGGGGGACACGAGGCTGATGCCGTGCGAGGCGCTCTGGTTGAGGTTGAGGTGCGAGAGGCGCGGTGAGCGGACGATGCTCTGCACGGCGGGGGCCTTCTCTCCGTGCAACACCCCCGCCCCCGTGATGTTGACAAACTCGAGAACCGACTCCTCCTTCTTGGTAGTCTCGTGCGTCACTGAGTCGTGGATGCGGTGCTCGTACAAGTTGTACTCAAAGTCCGGAAACGCGAACCTTCGCAGGATATATAAAAAGTATGTAGTTTTGAAAGGAGTTGGTGTTCAAGAGGGATCGTTACCTGACGCCGCCCCAGTAGTTGAGACCTGGCTGCAGGTTGCGCCGGCCGCAGTGGATGAAGACGAACTCGCTGTTCCACGCGCACTCGTGCCGGTGTCCGTACAGCTGTCCGTTCAGACGCACCGGACAGTCTTCCAGCCGCGGCTCGTCGCCTGTTGCAAATGAGAACAATTTCCTCGAATTTGAAATAAAAGGGTCACTCACCTGAGCACTGGAGGGGTTCGGGCCAGGACCAAATCCTGGTGAGCGAGTTGGAGTGGAACTCGACCCTGGGGCCGTGGTGCGAGTGGACGTTGAGCGGGTCGAAGCCGAGCTCGCGGCAAACGACCTCGGCGTTGCGCTCGGTGAAGCGCGAGTCGCACACGGGCACCCACTGCAGCGTCGTCCGGTTGAAGTACTCGAGGAAGCCCTCGCTCGCGTTGCCCGCGCAACTCGGCCCTGTGCACAGCCGGATCGAGTCCGAGGGCCGCGCCACAAAGTACTCCTTCGCCTCCCGCGCCGCCTGCTCCCTGCGTCACACCCACGATTACTAAGAATTACCCTTTCGGACGGCTGCTTACCCTTGGGAGGGCGTCTGCGGCCGCATCACGATCTCCTGGTCGCGACGACCCTGAGCCCTGAGCACGCCCAGCACCAGGATGCCCACGTTGGGCGCGAACTCGAGCACGCAGCCCGGGGCGATGGTAAGGGTGACCCCTGGCATCACCGTCACGTCCGACTTGACCAGGTAAGGCCGCGTCCTGAAGCTCAGGGTTATCGACTTGGTAAGGCGGCCGCCAAGGTGGTCGGCCAAGGCCGCCGCGGCCGTCGGCGCTTCCCACGGCGACGACAGAGAACCCTGATGGTCGTTCTCCAGAAGGTACGGCCGGAACTCGGCCACCGCGTGGTTGTTCCAGTCGTCGAAGTCGAAGATCCGCTCCTTGATCTTGCCCAGCTCGGCCGTGCCCCACCAGTTTTCGGCCACGTTCACCTGCAATCAAAGGAGATTTCAAAGCTTGAGGAGATTTCTACGCTGGAATTCCGTCAAAGAAACCTTCAGAATTTAGAACACCAGACTACATAGCACGGCGAAAGATTTTTGATTGGCAGGGTCAATCAATCTTAACCATATTCTTGGACCTTAAAGACCGATAACCCTTGACTTAATCACAATTATTTCATTAACAATAAGTGTGATATCGATTGAAAGAGGAGATCAAGGGGGTCATTTTAATTTCTGGACTTTTCTTCTAGCTCTGATATATGTAGAGTTATGAAAGTTTTACTATATTTGAATTTCTTCAATAAAAAAAAAATAAATAAAAAATAAAAAAAACCACAAATTATTTTGCTTCTGTAAGAGCAGCAAAAAATTCCGAGTGTCAAAATGACCCTGAATATACAGTAATATATAATTATTATAGCTTTGAAAATTTCTTAGAACTCCACTTTTGATTCTTTGAAGTGACGAGATGAAAACAAAACAAACCTTGTTGTCGATCTTGGCGGTCTTGATGCCGGCGAGCAGTTCGTAGTCGAGTTGGTTGTCGCCGAAGAGGTTCCTGTTGACCTTGACCTTCTGGATGCCATTGAAGCCAAGCGTGAAGGTGGGGTCAGTGAACTTCTGGAGGCGGCGCGAGAGGCCGGCGCGGTTGCCCTGGACGCGGTTGAAGCGGAAGAGGGCGTCGACCTCGCCGAGGATCTCGGACTGGCTGTCGACGCGGAACTCGACCATGAACTTGCCCACGTTGTTGCGGATCTCGTTGGCCTCGAGGCGCATCTGCTTCTCCATACCGCGCACCGACACCAGGCCGCTCTTGCACGCGTTGTCCACGAACCGATTGTTGGTCAGGTTGAAGTGCGCGAAGTGGCCGTCGACCACGAAGCGGAAGTCGCGGTTGTTGCGGAACGTGTTGTTGTCCAAGAAGAGCGAGTGCGTGAAGTTCTCGTCGTACTGCCACACGTACGGCAGTGACACGTGGAATCCGCCGCCCGCATTCCGCTCCACCGTGTTGTCCTGCAGCACCCAGTGGAACAGGTTGTTCGAGCTGCGCAGGTCGCGGCTGAACTGCGTGATGCCGCGCCCGTTGTCCGTGATCAGACTCCCGTTTATCATGAACTTGATCTATCATAACAATCAACAATTTAGTAAAAATAATGAAGGCGATCCAAAAGCCTAACCTGGCCCAGGCTAACTTGACTTAGCCCTGGGCTAACTTCGCCCACCAGCAAAATTGAATGGCGGATTTAATTAGCCCGGACCAGGTTAATTTAGCCTGGGCCAAGTTAGCCTTTTGGATCACCCTCATTGTATCCTTAATTTAAATGACAAGATAAATAAGCTTTTTTTTAATTGTGCCTGTTTGAAATTTCTACCTTAGTCATTTTTATTCTCAAGAAACGCAAATGGACATTTTTTCAATACTGTTGAATTTATGGATATAATAATTAAATAAAAGTCGAAGGTTCAAATTGAAAATTGGTAACGAGACTTCAAAATAATGATGTTGAAAATATTCCGATCTCATTAAAATCCCATATATTTTTAAAATGAATCACATTTTCATACTTTTGGAAAAAAAAATTAATTTTTCATAGCACAGATTATAACATAAGAAATAATTAAGTCTCAAAATAAAAATATTTGAATTATTTCTAATAATGTCACTCCAAAAACATCAAAGGAAAAATTGATGATTGAAGTTAACGCCTTATCATATAACTAAATAACATTGGTTCTTAGGACAGCCCAATCTTGGAATGACTTTATCTTTTCAATCCTAAGATATGTAATACTAGATGCAAAATAAAAAATACTGGAGTTGGAAAAATCAAGATTGGTTGTCAGGCGACCAAAGAATTGCAGAAACTCCAAGAATTGGATTTGGTTGCCTAATTTACAAATATTCGATCACCTGACTTCAACCTGGACCAATTTTGAGTTTTTCCAACGCGTATTTTTTATTTTAAATTTGCATCTAGCATCACAAACCCTGGGATTGAAACGATACAGTCAATAATTCTAAGATAGGTCTGTCATAAGAACCAATGTTATTGAATTATACAACTGGTGAATTACGTAAGTTAGGTTTAAAAACTGCAATATTTAATTTAAATTGAACCTTCTCCCCGTTGTTTAGGGGATGATGAAAGCAAATCAATCAGTTTGCATGTTTCCCAATCACTTTAGTCTTTAAAGGTCAATTCAACAATTGATAGACAAGGAAAGCAACAAACTTAAAATTGGTGAGCAGTATATTTTGATTTTTGTTTTGATGTGTTGAAAAGTTTTGTGGAAAATTTGCAATTTAATTCTTTATAAAAAACGTTTTCCAACCTCTGAGATGTTAGAGGAGTGGACGTCCCAGTGGGGCGCGTAGACAAAGATGGCCTCCTCCAGGTTGTGCGAAATGTCGCAGTTGAGCAGCTTGATGGTCTGGTTGGCCTTGCGCAGGTACAGGTCGCCCACGTCGTTGAGGTAGCGGTTGTAGAAGCGCGCGGCGACGCCCTTGCGGTTGTGCCTGATCTTGGAGTTGCGCACCTCCAGGGTGGGCACCTTGCCGCGCACGATCCTGCAAAGATTCGAGTCAGAGAGTTTTCTTGACACATTCGTCAGGGTACAAACCTGTTGGGCACGTTCTGGGTGGGCGCGACGATGGCCGAAAGCAGCAGGACGGCGCCGCCGAGCGCGTCGGCGCCGCTCTTGTAGTCGAGGACGACGCCGTACGAGCTGCTGGCGGTGGGGAAGACGCTCAGGTCCCTGCGCAGGTCCCACGCGTGCGCGTCGGCGCGATCCATCGGCGCGTCCACCACCAGCAGCGTCTCCGTGCTGCGGTTGTGGATCGGGTTCAGCAGCTGCACCCCCACCACGTACCCCGGCGTGCACCGCACGTGCACCCGCACCCCCTTCTCGGCGCCCCCGGCCACGCGCGACGTCATCACGTACTTGCTCTCCTCGTTCTGCAGCACGATCTCCTCCGCGCTCTCCGGCAACACGATCGGTCTGTCAACAAAAAGTTGCAAATTCAATAACAATGGCAACGTTCAACTATTTAGGCTAATATTCAAGCATGAACGCTTCTTCAAAGGGTGGCAAAGTTTGGAATTCTTTTACGGGATTTAGGCCAAAAATTTAAAAGCAACAATGAATGGATTGAAAAAAGCAGATTTTATCAGAGTTGAACAATTGAAAAACCATTTCTTTTAGTCTGATCGCTTTTAAAAAGGTCACCAAAGTAAGTTCCGAAATTTGAAAATTGTTCAAAATCCACGTTTTTCAACCCTCTTAGATTATAAATTTTGATTATCCAAAGTGACGATGATTCCCAATATGTCAAATTGTCCAAAAAGGCAAAATACTTACACCTTTTCTGTCATTTTATTTACGTCCCAGAAATAGTATCATGATAAAATCTTAAAGTTTAAATCCACGAAAGTTTGTCTCTCTTAAAACGTGATCTATTTTAACGACTGGTGCATTTTAAGTTGCGCAAAGGGTCTTGGAGGAATAAGTTACTGACCTGTAGGGCGTGTAGGCGTTGTCCTTGGGTGGCTTGAACCAGCCGGCAAGTTCGCGCTGCTGCTTGTGGGGCAGCTCGGGGTCGTGGGCGACGCCGGCGGCGGCGTTGCGCTCGACGGTGCAGCCGCTCAGGGTGAGGCCGAGTTGCCTGAGCGAGACGCCGCTGCCCGCGTTGCCGCTGAACTCCGAGTCGGTCACCGTGTTGGCCGCGTCCGCCGAGTACAGGTCCGAGTACACCACGCCCAGCCCGTCGTGCATGTTGTCCACGACGCGCACCGAGTGCAGCGCGTGCCGCGCCAGGTCCATCTGCAGGGCCGGCTTGAAGCGCGACGTCGAGTAGTCCAGCAAACCTGCACAACCAAGTTAAACTCCAAAAGAATTAAAGGTTTCGACTGGGAAGAAATTGAAGGTTTTGCCAATGAAGTACATTTTCTGAGATTATCCGAGGCTTTCAAATGACGCTACCCTTCTTAGATAAAAAAAGTACCTTTGAAAGGTGATGTATTGTTTTATTTTTTGTAGTAATCTTTCTATTCTTCGTACAAACATGAGGCCAACGCCAATTGATAGGAATTTTAATAACCTCATCGTTTTCCTGATTCAGACACTTTTTGGCTCCAAAAATTTCATTTGTTTGAACAAAAGTCAATTTTATTGGTTTTATATCTCCAGCTCTTAGGAAAATCATTTTAGAGAAATATATTGCGGACAAAAGTTGTAGATAATTTTATTCTACATACTTTACGTCTAGAAAAATTTCTTCTAAATCCAAAGCGACAAAAGATATAAAAAATTAAAGGTTGAAAAATGAGGTTTTTTCTACAAAGTTAACCTCAAGAGAGAAAATCATCCAAGGTGTTGCCCTTGTACAAGGATGAATCGTGCCAATGTAGACATTTTCTCTTGACAGTTTAAATTCAGCTTTGAACTGAATTTTTGTACGTGCAAAATTATCATTTAGTGTTTTTCAAATTTCAACAGCCACAATTCATCCTTGGTGATTTTGAGCATTCCAGGCACATGATTTTAACCTATAGTGCAGAAAACCTTATTTTTTTCAGACTTTTTACTTTTATAACTTTTTCCCCTTAAAATTTAGAATAAAATTATTTAGAAAAAAAAATTGATTCTCTACTGGTCTTGAATTCAAATTTTTTTCTCAAAAATTTTTTCCACGAAAGCTTTACACCAAAAAAACCAATAAAAAAATTGACCATCGTCCAAACATTTGATATTTTTGGCACCAAAAATTGCCCCATTTAGCTTGGTAAAAGTTTTTGAAAGCTAATTAAATTGGTCTCACGCTTGTGCATCAAGTGCAAATAATAATAAACGCTACCTTTTTAAGGTACTTTTTGACTAGGAAAACCCCCAGAAAATGTATCTCAATGCAGCTAATTTAGAGTTATTTTTGAGACGGGGAGACACTGACCGGCCTTCTCGATGGTGATGAACTGGAGGTCGGAGCGTTCGGCGAGGACGCCGAAGCGCATTCCGGCCCACGAGGGCAGGTAGCAGCGCAGGCCGACGTCGTTTTCGTGGCTGCACGAGTTCTCAAAGTCGGCGAGGCCCTCGGCCCTGCACGCGGTCACGTCAAGGTCGTCCTCCAAGCACTGCACGTTGGCCAACACGATCGGCTCGGCCGTGCCCGCCTCGGGCATGTCCGCGCGCTCCAAAAACCAGTCGTCAGGGTTCAGCACCAGGCCCAGCTGGTGACACGCCACCTCGGCCGCGCGCATGTTCCAGTTGTAGTTGCAAACCGTGCCCCACCTGACCAAAGCAAAACATTCCAAATTTTAGTTCACAAAACACATTCCATGTTTTTACTCCAATTTTATCATGAAAGTAATGAAATAGATTCAGTTAAATTAAGTTCTACCTAGGTTTAAACCTACATCAGTGAATTTAATGGGCAGTTTTATTTTGACCTTGTTTAGGAAGGGTAAACAAATTTGAATGATTCCTTGAAGTGTATAAAAATGAAGTTACAAAGGATTTTGACAAATTCATAAAATAACCCAATTTAAAGGGCCTCAAAGTTGTAAATTGTTTTAGGGGTTTTTTTTTTAATCAAAAGTATCTTGGATTTCTGTTTGAAAAACCACGTTTTTTACCCTTCGACCCTGAATAATTTAAAAAAGAAAAAAGCTTCCATCACCAATTTTTCATACGTTCTTCCTTACTAACATACCAAACTTAAGGCTATTCTGAAACTTGAAATTTATATTTCGGCAGCAAATTTAAAAATTCATGCTGGCAAAAGTGACCTCGAACTTTGACCTGCAACCTTGGGCACTGCGGCAAAGTTGTAAGTCGTATCAATTCCAACAGCTTTTTAACGAATTTCTAACAAAAACCAAGATATTTTGAATTTTCAAAATCTCCTTTTAAAAAAATTCTATCTTTGCGCGCAATTTTGAGAATATTTCCAAATCCTTTGCAACTTAATATCTCTATAAAAGCCCCTGCCAATTTTTATCCAAGCCCATGTCAAAAGTTGGTAAAAAAACCTGCCAAAAAACTTTTCTAGAACACACAAAAGAGAATTGTTTAATATTGAATTATTGAAAAGAAATTACAAGATTATTAAAATGTTGGTATTTGGGGGCGAAAACGAAATTCAAAACTCACGTTTCGTTGACTTTGAGCTGGAGGCGGCCCTCGCGGTCGGTGCGTCCGCCGAGGAGCCTGACGGGGACGGCGGAGGTGTCGTTCAGGGGCTCCTCGCGCTCGAGGGTGAGGAGGATGTCGTTGGGGGCGCGGCCGCGCGCCTCCAGCTTGCCGGCGACCATGATGCCGACGGAGGGGCGGAAGCGCAGGGTGACGCCGGCCTGCAGGGTGAGGCGGCCGCCGACGCGCACGCTCACGTCGCGCGTCACCAGGTACTCGCCCGCGCGCAGTGTCTCCTGCCCGTCCACCTCGCCCCCCACCTCACCCTCCTCCGAAAACGCCGCCACGAACGTCGGCTGGCTGATGATCGTGTTCGCCGAAGGGTTGCTGCTGTGCAGCAGGTACGGAATGTACTCGATCTGCGCCAGGTCGAACCGGTCCTTCCGGTGGAACAGCCTACAAAACACATTTTCATAGAAAATCAATAAAAAATAGAAATAAAAACCGATAAGAACTGAAGTTTGCATTAAAAAAAATTAGTGTCCTTACATAATATCAGTATAGGTTGTAAATTTTCTACCAAAATGCCATCAATTTTACCAAATTACTACCTGATATTTGATTAAAGGAGCATCGTTTTTTGAAAAATGGTTGTTCATTGAAATTTAAATTGTGAGGAAATAATTTAATCTTCTATGAAGACCCATGATTCTATTATGAATATCAAAATTTATTGAGGGCGATCCAAAAGGCTAACTTGGCCCAGGCTAAATTAACCTGGCCCGGGCTAATTTAACCCGCCATTCAATTTTGCTGGTGGGCTAAGTTAGCCCGGGGCTAAGTCAAGTTAGCCTGGGCCAGGTTAGGCTTTTGGATCGCCCTCATTAGCTTTTAGTAGCAGTTCTACTCATTTCTGATTATAATAATGAACTTTTCTGAAGTTGATTACGTTTCAAACCACTTTTGATCTTCTTCTGAAGTTTTCAAAAGCTGTACGAAATGGGAGAATAAAACTTTTTGCTATTTTGATGAAAACAATTCCAAACTCCTTTATATCAAAAGCTCATTAGAAACAAACTTTAACTGAATCAAGAAACAACCCCTCAGTTGAAACTCTAGAGTCATGCAACATGGCGTTCAAAATGCCAGGTTTTGTCAAGAGATAGAATTGAAAATCTTCGGACTGACCTGTCGTAAATGGTCCTCTCGTTGGCATATCCGAGCCAGTTGTAGGTGCAGTTGATGGTCTGGCTCTGGTCGAGGAGGCGCGAGCCGATCTCGTACTCGGAGGCGTGGTTTTGGAGGATGTTGCGGAAGACGTGGACGTTGGCCGAGGCGACGACGACGGCGGCGGCGACCCTGCTGCGCGGCGCCAGACTCTCGAAGGGCTCGGCGACCGCGTTGTCGCGCACAAAGTTGCGCGTGAAGAGCAGGTGCTGCGCCTCTCCGTACGGGGACAGGCCCAGCTGCACCACGAACACGCCAGAGTTCTCCGAGAACTCGTTGGCCTGCACCAGCAGCTCCGTCGGCAGCACCTCGAGCTCCTCCCACGGCCCGTTGTGGATCTGCAGCGCCCCGAACGTGTGCTGCGCGAACCAGTTGTGCTCGATCTTGCCGCGCACGTTCACCGCCGGCGCCATCCGCAGCCCCAGCCGGTTTGACGCAAATTTGTTGTGTCCAACCTGAAAATTTCGCACGTCAAAACTCGTCCTCCAAGGTCAAAAGGTCACGTCAAATACGGATAGACTTCGTCAAGACGAGTTCAACGACAGGTCGCAAGGCTAGTCTTTGACCAAAATTTACAAAGTTATCCAAGTTTTGGCAACGGCCGCCATCTTGAAAAAATGAGAACCTTTCCAAGATTGGCAAAAGAGGGTTTGCACATGAATCAAGATTCAAAATGATTTTAATGGTCTTCCTGAACAGATTATGTCGGAGAAAAATTTAAAATTCACTAAAAAAAGTTAAGTTTGCTATTAAAAATAAACTGGGCCTTTAAAGGAGAGGTAATCAAAATATTCCTCAGATACAATCCTGGTAAAATTGGTCAAGAGGATGATGATTGTGTAAATATTTTAGCAAAAGGACCAAAATTGAATCAACCATGTGAAATTTTCAATTGACGGCCATCTTCTTAAAAATGGCGGCTATTTGGATGTTTCAAATGCATCTTTGTCAGTTTTTACTGAAATTGGTCTTCGTGACACATCGTTGGAATCGTCTTGGCAAATGCTATCCGATGGTGACAAGGGTTTTCAGATTAATGTTACCTGGAGAGTGACGAAGTGGGACTTGTGGAGGGGGCGCCAGCAGGTGCGGATGTCGAGGGCAACGCGGGCGCTGTCGTTGAACCAGTTGGCGGAGACGTTGACGAGGGCGGGCGTGCAGAAGTTGCCGACGAGGACGGCGGCCTCGAGGTTCCTGAAGAGGACCGAGTGCGTGACGATGGCCTCGTGCACGAACGCCACCAGGCCCTCGGTCTCGTTGAGGTGCACGGCGACCCCGTGACCTTGGTTGCTGCTGACCACGCACCGTGTCACGTTGACGCTGCCGCCCGAGTGCGTCACGTTGACGCCGTCGCCGACGTTGAAGGCGACGCGGCTGTCCGTCACGTTCACGTCGCCCACGCCGCTTGCCACGTGCACGCCCGCCACGTGGCCGTTGCTTGAAACGGAGCTGTTGTGCACGTGCACGCCGCTCCGCAGATTCTCCACGCCCACGCCCCGCCCGTTGTTGTCCACCACCACGCACTCCGTCAGGTTCAGGTCAAACGACTTTTCTGTTCACGCGAAAGCACAAAATTCAATAAATCAGTTTCACAAAATTTGAGATTAGGAAATTGTTTATCAAAATTTAAAAATGCTTCTTTATAAATAAATGTTGCACGGTAAGAAATTCACCTCTTACAATTCTTAAGGTGGTGTAAGAATTTTAACCGATTTTCAACCTTCAAAAAAGAGTTTGGAGTTTTAAAAATGAAATTATTTTCAAAGCTTATACTATGGTTGCACTATTTTTAAATTGGTTGGAAGTTTCACGTTCTACTTTTAACAATAAGTGCAAAGTGTATTTCAAGTTTTCTGTGGCAACAAATCCCACACTACATTAAACAAATTTCAAAAGATAAATTTCAGCTGGAAAAAATTTGGCCCACACTCAAAATCATAGCTCGGCCAATTATTTTAAGTTCAATTATTAAGTTAAAAAAAAAATTAATTGGGTGGGTGGTGCCTTCTGTACCACCAATAAAGGGCACAGGCCGACAAGACTTTGTCTTGGCCTGACCCTAAAAAAAAATAAAAAAATAAAAAAAAAATTAAATCTTGACATTTCTGGCCTGTTTCTGGCTCGAAAGAAAATCCTCAATTTAAAGGTAAAATTATCTCACTGTGTCCGGAGATGAGTTGCATGTAGACGAGGGTGTGCGTGCGCGGCTGGGCCTTGAAGCGGATGAAGACGTTGTTCCTGGTGGAGGTGACGCTCTGCGCGAAGGTGCCGTTGCGGACGACGTACCTGGCCAACAAGCGGTCGGCGGCACTGGTGCCGTCGAACACCTCGACGGTGGCGCTCTCGTTGCGCTCAGTCTCCACCGAGAGGAACCTGAGCGTCAACACCTGGCCCTCCTTGGTGAAGAAGTACTAAGGAATAAAAAAGAAACAAAATCAGGACCTGTCGCCACTCGAGGGTGCGAAACTCGCCTTGTTGCAGTCCTTGTCGACGGGGTTGTACTTGCCCTGCTCGGCGAAGATGGGGATCGGGAACGTCTGGCTGTTGGTGATGGGAAACGTGCAGAAGTCGAAGACGTCGGCGCCGTCGATGACCTTGCGGTCGGGCACCTCGTCATGGTGCACGTAGCGCACCCCGTCCGCCCCGTTCCCCGTCACCACGCTCCCCACCATGTGCACCAGCCCCGTCGAGCTATTCACGTACACCCCGAAACCTGCAATTTTTATTCCAAAACATGCACATTTTAACAAAATCCCATTTTACAAAACTTAAAATTGCAACCCAATTAATTAATCAACCAACACAGTGTAAATAATTTTTTCTAAAATTTTTTCTTCTTTAAATTCCAGTTTCCATTTTAAATTTTTTTCCAAAGAAAAAGTTAGAAACCGAGTGAGAAAAACAATGCTAGGAAAACGAATTAAAATGTTCAAATATCAACTTTTAATTGGAAATTTTCATTCTTATCTTCAAAACAGATTTATATTCCCGTTTTCAAAATAATTAATTTTTCCACATTAAATTCAATACAATTAGGGCATTACTTTTTAAATTAAAAATAAAAATTCTTTCCAAAATCCATATCTTGCGGATTGAGCTAATTTTTTCATATCCTTAGAAGGAATAAGAAATAGCGTCCCTTGATGGATTGGCACAATTGAAAATTGACACTTTTAGCTAATAAAATAAAAAATAGTAAATAATTTTTAGCATTGCATTGTGCTATTTTTAGTACCAATTCATGCAAATTTGATTTAAATTGACTCCTTTAGATTTAATGTTTTAAATCGAGTAATGTTTTTTAATGAGAGCAAAAAATGTATGTAACTAAATGAAACGTTGTAAAATTGTGCTGCTTTGTCAGCGGTGGAATGGAAATGACAAATGGGAAGCAGAGTGAATGGAGAGTTTGGCAACGTTGCCAACGGAAGTGACAAAACAACCTACGCCTTGACTAATCCCTTGCGCACTCGGCTGGCTAACGAGGGTGGGTCGAATCAGGTCAAATGTCACTTTATTCCATTTCAAGCATATCAAATTCGCCAAAAGTGAGCGAGGTTCAAAGTGGTTTTAATCAGACAAATAAGCTCAAGTTAAATTCTTAGACAAATATTACATTCAATTGTGATCATGGGGAGCATCATCGCATAAATTTTAAAGTTTTAGTTGCTCAAAAGCGTGTAGTTAAAACCTAATTAAAACGATGGCTGAGCAACTGTGTTCTAGAAACTTGCAGGCCACTCTTCACCAGACAAAATCTTGACATGCATTGGAATGTATGAAACTTTTGGTAAAGCAACCAAAGAAATTGCGAGAAAGACTGAAATTTCCTACAGCAGAAGTCCGAAAAAAATTGAAAAATTCAATAACACTGTGTTGAGATTGATGCTCACTTAGATATTCTTCACCAAAATCCAATAGTAATGATAGCTAGAATATTAAGTGAGCATAAGAATAATTAAAAATATATTCTTTATGAAATAAGAGAAATTGTACACAAATACCAATTCTAAGATATGAATGAGTTTTTAATATGCTATTTTGAGTAAAAAAAAAAAATGTGTAAATTGACTTCTAGAATTATGTGAAATAACATATTTCAAAAGTTGTCAATGCGTTGACAATTATATGAAATAAAAATTCTACTCTATTCACAATTTTGGTTGTCGCAAAGAGGAATTTTGCCAAAATTTGGAATAATTGCAAAAAATTCACCTGCGTTGTTGGCGAAGGTTGAGTCGGTGATGGCGACGGGAGCCTGAGGCCTGGTGACGTTGAGGCCGTGGAAGGCGGCGTTGGTGACGGTGAGGGCGTGCATCTTGGGGGGCACACCGGCGACCTGGAGGGCGGCGACGAGGGCGCCGTCGGCGGCGACGCCGGCGTGCCGCAGCTCGGTGTGGCGCAGCTCGGACAGGGACACGCTCGCGTACAGGGTGTTGCCGTGCGCCAACACGCGCTGGTGCCGCGCACCCTCGAAACTCACCCCGCGCCAGTGCTGCGCCGCCCGGCCCCCCGACACCCGCCCCAAACACTCCAGCCCCAGGTCAGGGTGGTAGTCTGCAACAGCAACAACAAATTCATCAACATGCAAGGACTATTTTTACATCTAAACTATAATTAGAAAATTTTAAACTCTTCAGTAATCAGAATTTGTAATTATTGCCTCGGCAGGCTGATCATTATTGATCAAATATTTTATGACTGGTCAAACTTGTATTTTTATATCATTAAGCCTCTTGACAATTAATTAGACGGCGAATAAAAATTTGGAGAAAATAGGAAAATACTTAGGATTGATTCCATACGAGGGCGTTAAAAATTGTCAGTCGAAATACATAAAAGTCGATAATTTTATCAATGAAAACCGCCTACCCATAAGTAACCCCCCCCCCCCCCCCGAAATAACTAAATTCTTCAAATTGCTTTCCATATATTACAGTTGTTTTATTCCTAAAACAGTTAACTCAAAAGTTTAATCTTTCTGTTTGTGATATGTATTTGAAAAAGACTTTTCAAGACCAATTTTGAAACCCCCGAATACTTTTCAATGGTGACCAAACGTGTACGGACAAGTTTAAGGTCACTTGCAGACAAATTTTTACTTCGCGTCGAATTTTCAAAATGAACCACCTTTTCGATTTTTCTGAAGGTGTAGGAAAAAATTGCCATTCTAATTACTATAAAATGGTATGGTGAATTTCAAAATTGCGTTATTAGTTTTCCACTTTAAGTTAAAAAAAATGAGAATGTTGTTCGACGCACTATCTGAATGTTAGTCATCAGCGATCCCACATTTTCAATTAGTTTTCATTTTATTTATTACAAAAGAATAAAACATAAAAAGTACTTTTGAAATTGGACGGAATCTGTTTTAACAAAAACGATTGCAACATTCAAGTTAGACATTTGATTATCACTCAAAATACGGTTTTAATCCAAGTTTAATGTACGTTTAAACGGGAGCCGGAGACGAAAAACCGCAATAATTAATATTTCATTGTGTAAATGTTTATATTGCGGGGCGTGCAGAGAAGTGTGGGTGGCGGCGCGTGACTCGGAGGAGAGGAATCCCCCGGCCTGGGAAACGCTTGGTTGCCGTTGCTGCAAAAAAACGAGCCACCTGTTCGAAACAATCTTCGTCAGGAAGTGACAACTTGATTCGAACGAGAAAAGCGGCGCTTTTACCGCTACAAAGACGAACAAAAATTGGGTCCCGACTCCCCAATTAACGCCGTGATGATAATTAAAAAAATTATTACCACAAACTCCGGCGCCCATTTGTCTGCTGGGCCAGTTGGGGCAGTTTTGCAGGGCGTCGTGGGCGGGGCCGCAGTTGGGGGCTTCAAGCAGCAGCCGGGGCTGCGGCAGCCCCGGCTGCCGGTCGAGCCACGCCCACCACCGGCCCCCGTCGAAGCCCATCTGCCGACACGCCACGTCCACGTCCGTCAAAGTCCAGCTGCGAAAACAACAATCAGACGAAAATGTTTTAATTTGTTTGAAGAATAATCGCGAATCTTGCTTGGGCTCAGTGACCTTTCACACAATGTCAACTCAAGTTTTATTTATAAAGGACACGCAATTGACATTATTGTGGAGCACGCCAAAAATATACTTTTTCAACTCTCCTTTACATAATTATATATATGAAAAAAAAGTTTTTTTTCAGAGCGGCTTTTGCTGAAAATTTTTTTTATACAATTGTGATAATTGTTTTAGATTTCCAAGAGAACATGTAAAATGGAACAAATTGGGAGAAATGAATTTTTGAAAACTAAAATTGTCCAATTTAATTGTTAAAAAATTGGCTTGATTGAAAAGATAATTTCGTCAAACCCCAATCAAGTTGTTAAACAAAATCAGCTCACCAAGTCATCATACAAATTTTCATAAATCATAGATGAGAGAGGAAACGTCTTAAATCAAACAATTTTATCAGCGTAAATACCCCACGCTTCTCTTTCAGACAGAATTTCTATAGTTGCAAAAAGTGATTCACGTGGCTTTAACTTTCCCCTTATTTATCATAAATGGAACATGAATCAGGCCGCATTAGGTGATTCACCCTGGTGACCCGAGGCAATTATATGAATTTTTTTATAACACAATTCCAAGAAGAACAAGCGCCAATGTTTTGTCACAATTATATGTTGTGACTCAGATAAAAAGTGTTTTTAGTCAATTAACAGTAATTAATAAAAATTGCCTGCATCTTAAAAGCAGAATTAAATAATAGCTTGAACGCTGATTATAATTATTCAAAATCATTTTAAAGAACCGCATTTATTAAAATTGATTCAATCAAATTGAAAGACAAATTAAATGGAAAATTTATTTTATGTAAAAAAAAAATGAATTTAACCAAATCAAATCACATCAATTTAAATGGAAAAATCAAATAGATTTAAGTCACATGAAATTATATTAAAATTAAGTTTAACTCAATCTATAAAAGTAATGAAATTAAATGTAATTCATACATTTAATTAACTGAAACTAAATAAAATTACATAGAATTAATTTAAATGAAATTGAATTATGTGAATGCAAATTGGATTTAATAAAATTAAGTGGAATCAAAGTAAAGTAAATTAAATGTATCAAAAGCAAATTTAATCATTCAGACTAGTTTTAAAAAAATGCTATGCAAGTTAAGTAAATTATGAAATACAAAGATTTGATGAATAGAATAAAATTAAACTATATCATATTAAATGAATTTGAGTGAATTGAAATGAAATAATAATATTGAGTTATGTATAATTTAACAATGAGGAGAATCGAATTGAAATTAGACTTTAGACTTAACAATAAACATTAATTATAACACTTGAAATGAAAAGCAATAAAATATTTTTAAATTTAAAAAAATGAAAGAAATAATATTGAAAAAATTGAAACAAAACTTACTGAAGTGCAATTAAATTAAAGGGGAAAATATTATATCAAATGAAATTATGTCAAATTTAAATGAATTTTAATAAATTAAATAAAAAAATTAAATATTTAAATGAGTTTTCTTTTGCATGATTTCGCTGAAACTGTGTTCAAGAAAACCTCACCTTAAAAAAAGTAAATGGACTGAAATTCTAAAATAAATGAAAAAGGAGGATAAATTTGCATACTTTCTGGAGTTGGTGCAGAGGGAGCGCCATTTTTGGTTGTGCAGCACCTGGAGTCGTCCTGCGAGGGGCGAGGGGCCGTCGACGAGGCGCAGGGGGGCGCGGGGCAGCGGCCGGACGACGTCCTCGGCCGTCGTCAGCACCACCTTCCGCTCGGCCGTGCCCTGCAACAAACAAATTCATAATTTCAACTTCCTGCTCAGAACAAGAAACTCGCACGCGCATTGTTTTAATTTACGGTTTTTGTGCGAAAACCGTTTCTTCCTCCGACGATTCGCTTTGAAAACTTTTCAAAGCCCTGCGTGTTGTTTGGAAAAAGCAGGCTGCGAGCGGAGCAGTGTTTTGAAAACAAAAGTCGCGTGCTCGAGAACAGAGGCGGCGACTTGTCTCGATTGAGGTCAAAAGTCGGATCCTTAATTCCTCTGCAAATCGAAAATCGCAGCAACTCGCTCGCCCATTCATTCACAACAACTCCATTGTTAGCAAAACGACGCGCCAGTCAATGGAATTAATCAGTCAAAATTTGGCCACAATCGCTTTTTTAGATGTCAATTTTTGTTCACACACATGATTTCTTTTAAGAAGTAGTTTTTATTTGACCTTAGATTGAACTCAACTGCTCGCAAAATTAACATTTTAAATACCTTTTTCTAAAAGTTTGTCTGGTAAAAATTTCATCAAAATTACCCAACTAAAATCAAACAAATCCACTTAAATTAACCTTTACATATCCTTTAAAAAAATATTATTAAAAACTTTGCGTAATATAAGTCTGCTTAATCAAAATGAGTTCTAGTTTTTAGCCAAGCGAAGGTGAAAATTGTGGAATTCGGTGGCGGAAAATCGATTGTCGCCGGAAACGAAAGTGACACGTGAACCCCTCATTTGACTCCCCCTGCCCATTTCCCACGCAGTCACTTTTATTGTCAGTGATGTGAACGAATATGAATCATTTTCGTAGAGACACGGAAATTTTCTTCTCCAATTTCAACATGAGTATTAGTCTCGTCGCCGAAGTCAAAGGAAAATTGAAATGGAAAGAGTTGATTAATGGAGGTGGGCGTGTCCCTCGATTGCTCACTTGTCTCTTATCAAAAGCGAGATATTTTTGTTATCAATGTTTGGTGAAGCACCTGCGCCTTGACGCATCCACAGCAAACATTGCTTTCCTTATCTCGGCTGCTCAGAAACACTTTGATCGCATTTAATTGGGCCAAACTCTGAATTAAAACAAAAGTTTAGGTGAAATCATTGCTTTCAATCTGAAGAACGGGAGTTACAATAATTACTTTTTCTCCTTCGATTGATGACGTCTTCAAATAATTCCAATTTACTTTCATTTCCAACTAGTTTCTTTTGTAAACAGATATTCTTATATTAAAATCAGAATTAAACGAACAAAAGGAAAATATTTTGCGTTTTTTTGGATTCATTTATAAAAGTAAGTGTCTTTTTTTGAAAAGGAAACATTTTTGCATACACCATTAAAAATTTACGTTATAAGTTTAAATGATTTTTCTTTTTTAAGTTAAAATCAAATTAAAATTCTTAACTTATTCACATGCCATGCTGTTTCAGCTCTGATTTTTGCAACCTGCCTTAACGATCGGCGGAAGCGAGTTTTCGAGGAGGGCCGCCGCGGGTCAAACGTTTACTTTCGCCAAGTCTGAGGAGAAAGGCAAAGGATGAGTCACTTTTTTCAACCGAGGAAAATCAGCGCGACGAATTTCCGATCGAAAGCAAATTGAAAGAAGATATTCTTTTGAAGGGAATTTTTTTTATCGTCACGTTCAAAGTGCATTTTTTGTCGCGCGCAAGTGGATGCACCGCGTGATGACGTCACTCGAGCTGCACGCGACGAAAACAAAATCCCCGAGCCAGCCACGCGAGATAAAAAGAAAAATGAAATGAGCACTTCTTTCAATACGCGCCAGTTTTCTTTTCAAATTATTAAAATATATCTGAGAAAGTGATATTTTTAAATTAATTCAAAACGACAGAAAACAAATAACAAATGTAAATTAAAAAAATATTACACGGGAAAACTTGACAATTGCGAGTAATTGCATTGAATGAATCGATTCGTAAATTGATTTCGTTTGAGGAGTTGCGCAAGGAAAGGGGCGAGCAGTGGGCCAAGGTCACCGCCACTTGACCTGCGCTGACCCTGTCTCCGACCCGGCACGCGCGATCCCAATCAACGCTTCAATCGAAGGAAAACCGTTTCAGTTTGCAAAGCGATTTTTCAAAGGAATTTTAAAATTTTTTATTTCGTAACTATTATTTTTTAATTAGAAAGAAACTTGAACAGGGTTAATATTTTAATCTGCACTCATTGCAAAGGGAAATAATAATCAAAAAATTATTATTTTCATTCATTTCTGCAAGTCTTGTTGGCGGATCTGAATTTCCGAGCAATGGATTTTTCGGCTCTCTTCATTTCTTCACACTCGGAGTTAAGTGAAAAAAGCACGCGTCTCGTTGCATTAAACTCTTGTGGTTCTGGTCGGTGCTCGGCCGACGCCAATTATTCCTCGGCGAAGCGTGCATTTCTAACAGTGCCTGCCCGCCTCTGCCCCCCCCCCCCATTTCCCCCAAGACCGCCGCGAGTTGAAAAACCTCCGCAGGATGAGCTCCGAGTGAAATTTGTTTCAAAGAAAAAAAAAACGTTTGAAAACCGGCTTTTCATTCTTGCTTTCCTTTAATTTCTTTTGTTGGCCAAGAAAAGAGATTTTGGTCGCGGCCAATTAGCGAGCAAAGAATAAAAAGTGGATCAAGTGGATTTGGCAACAGGTGTCGCGCGGCCGCACCCTCGCACCTACCAACGGTCGAACGGTCATCCCAAGGCCAACCGACACTTGTTGCAAAAGTTGCAAATCGCAAAATGACACAATTTTTAACAGAATTGCAAAAATTGTAGTCAAATCTTCAAAAACATCAAAACTGCAACTTTTCCTTTGTTCCGAATTTTGATGTAAGAATTGGAAACATGTCAATAAAAATAAGCAGGATTTTAATTTATATTTTTAGATGAATTACATTAATTTAGGTTCAACGCCAAAAGAGTTGCAAAAGAAAATTTTAAATAAATTCAAACATATCAAACATGAATTCCAACTAAAATTTAAACTTTGTTCAATTGATTCTTCTTTTTATTATTGCTGAATATTTTTCAAATTATTCAGGGCAATATCTACGGACATAAATTAACATTGAATTTTCTCACGATATTCAAATTGTGTTTACAACTTAAAATGAACTTGAATCAAACGATTGAAAACTTTCTTTCCTTTAGCAGAGCAATGAAGACAATTTTATTGTTATTATTTTGCCGAAGGTTCGATTTGCATTGGGACGTATCGGAATTTGGTTCGGAGGGCGGAAGTCGAAACACCCCGCGCGGGTTGCCAAGTTTCCGAGCCGGCCGAAGGTATTCGCCCCGGCAGGAGTGGTGGAGCGCGAGAGGGGAGGCGTGGCAACGCCGCAACCTTTGCCAGGGCGTGAAAACAATCAGGTGGAATTTTGTTTACCTGGGCGGAGAGGATTCCGTGGACGGTGATTCCGGTGCGGGGGTAGAACCTGAGGGTGACGCCGGGCCCGAGGACGAGGTGGCCCTTCTCAGCCACCACCAGGTCGCCGCGCACCAGGTACGGGCCCCGCTCGAGCCGCTGCGTGCCCGTCACCACGCCGCCCTGCAGCTCCTCCTCCTCGGCCGCCGACAGGGACGTCGACCAGCACAACAACAACAACACCGCGGCCACCAACAACCGCATTTCGCGCATTCACCAGCGCATATTCCCAGCGAACGCGACGCAAACTCACTCTGCTCCGCGCCTGTTGTGACTGAATTGTCTGAAATTAACTGCTGCAGGCAGGTCCGTGCGAGTCTCTCCCTCCCTCGTGACGTCACCCAGGTGAGTGTCCGCTCGCCGCTCGCCAGGGGGCAGCAACGACCCTGCCCAGACGCCCGCGCTCCAACATCCAGCGCTCCAATAAATTGTTATTATTATTTTATTTAATTTTATATTTCCAGTTTATGTTTAATTAAACTCATGACATCAAACCAAGTCATTAAATGGGAGAGATTTAATTCATTTTTGTTCAAATTGAACTCAAAAATTTTATAATTAATTAATTAACGACAAATAATTCTCACATGTAACTTTTGTATTGGCGCTTTTTGTTTAATATATAATAAGTAATTAAAATTAATATTAAAATATTAATATCAATTTTTGCAATATTATTATTATTGAAGGCTCAAAATTTATTTCGAAGGCTTTTGAACAAGTTCAGATCTTCTAATTCAACGTTAAACCACTTTAATTAATAATAAATAAATTTTCAACAATTAATCAAAAATGACGAGAAATATAAATAATTTATGCGTACTTTTTTTAAATTCTTTTCCCGCGTAAAAACTGTAATAAAAGCTCATACTCATTCTCCTAATCCTCAGCAATAATGACGACGATGCCCCTGCACTGTTTTATTCATTATCATACGCAAATGCATTGGGCTTTAATTAAAATTCCAAGAGCGGAAATTCAAGTGCAGGTTATCATTTTTCAGACTGAGTGGAAAAATTAAAAACTTTCCAAAATTGTTATTTTCCTGAAATTATTTTTATTTTAAACTTTGATGCTTCTTTTAATTGATATTGCATTTTTATCAATTACATGATTATCAATTGCTGCAGATAATTTAAAAGACATGAATTAGAGACAAACGGGGGGCACCTCGCAGACGACATAATCTTCATCAGAGCAAAGAGCGTCTTCAAGCTTGGCCGCCGTTTTAGGGGAAAACTCTGCGCACACATCAACGCCCTTCTTGTATGAATCGGGCTCATTATTTGAACTGTGCCACAAATCGTCACTGTGGTAGAGCCGAGTTCCGTCAGCCCAGTAGAACTCACCAGGCCGGTTGTGCATTTCGTCTGTCGCAGAAGTCCACCACCATTCTGCCAAATCCAGATTTTTTTTAAAAGGTTCAACGAAACATGGTGACACTTCTTACTGTCACTTGCATGATATGAAGCGGTTCGGTGCAGCGCCGAAAGTTCCGACTGCGTTTTCGGTGTGGCCATGATCATTCCTTTGTCCTCGCAAAATTCCTTGGCTCTTTGCCAAGTCATCTGTAAAAATTGTCACATCATTGTTTCGCGAAATGAAAATCATAATGTGCAGGTTTTGAGAGACAAACACTCACTGCTTTGTAGTGGAAGTGGTACCTCTTGCCCCCAACTGCAGTCAACTCGTAAACCGAATCTGAAATTTACGCAACTTATTTGCTAAAAAATTACATTCCAATCAATTGGAACTTACTCGCTTTTTGACATGCCGTGTATTGCACCTGCGTAGATTTTGGATAGTTAAAAAATAAAAAGCGGCGACAATTTTAAATCTCACCGTTCTGGCAATCTGGTATTGTTTTTCTCTTGTGTCCCTGACGATTGAGGCCAACTTTTCAATCTCCGTTGCCATTCTCACAAACTGAAATTCAATGCTTTTAATTACGGACAAAATTTAATGAAAATAATTTTGACAGCAATAAAAAAATTTGTAACACTTAATGCGTTATAATAAAGGCAATAATGTGCCTTTTTCAGTGATTGGTCTAACTAGAATACTGAATTTCAGGAGGAAAATTTTCAAAGTGAGTACAAGGGTCGTTTACGTGGAAAAAAATATACTAAGTTTTATGGAAAAGCAAAAATTTAGCGGAGCCGAGAAGGGACCAAAACTTTTATAAAATATTTTACTCACCGTATCGTCAACTTTCTTTCCCCAAGACTCGATCCTTTCCCTTTGAAAGATGGATTTTTATTTCACTATTACGATCACGAATAGTTTGAGAATTTCAAATACAAACCCGCATTCGCTGGTTTTTGTAAGCTGATTTTTGACCAGTCGCGTGCTCATCTGGCAAGTTTCGTCGTCGGCGAAAGATGTTGGGACGCACGCCGCCAAACTCAGCAAAGTATAAACCGAAACAAGCAACATGGTGGTTGCTTAATTCTGAAGTGGAAATAGAAATTAATTTTTTATTCCACTTACAAGCATCGGAAAAATTCGGCCTCTTAAAGCAAAGTTCCGCCAGCGTTCTAACCAGCAGAAAAATCTCCCAAAACTATTACAAGCACCTATGATGGCAATATGATTGAGATAATTGATTAGTGAAAATCAGAAATTGAAAACTTTAAACTGCTCAGTAATATTGGGGGACATTCACCACAGATATCCTCCCATGCTAGCTATACTTATAACATGGTTATCCCGGGAGGATATCTCTAGTGAATGTCCCCCATTATTGTTAATGAGAGTGCGATCTAAACGGCTCACCTGGCCCAGGTCAAATTAACCTGGGGTGTCTAATTCAGAATAAGGCAACAAAAATTGTGGGTAAATAGCGCGATTTTTGAAATAACTAAATATATAAGAGGTAAAAAAAAAATATTTGGAACCATTTTTAAAAATTACAAGTCAGCTTTTACCGAAATACAAAAGGAGTTTTTTATACCTTGAATACCGAAGTCGGGGAGAGAGATATTGGACTAGTCTCACTCCTGAGAGCTGCCGCTTCAATGAATCTGGATTTGGTAATTTTCGTCTCATCTTTATATACTCGGATTTGACGCAAACAAGAGTGGTGGCAAAATATTTTTTTGTAACGCTGCCCTCCGCACTCATTAATATTGCGACCTCTTTTTATCCTCCAACGACTAAAAAAAGACAAACAGCATAAGTTTAAGTCGTGTTTCCGAATACATGATTTTGTTTCTCTCGTAACAAAAGCTGCACATATAGTTTTGGTCAAGCAATAAAACAAAACGTTTTAAGATGAAAAAAATTGGCAATGTTGTCATCACTGAAAAAAAAAATGAGAAAGGGTGAACACACAAAATAAACAGGCCCAGAAGATCTGGGTCTATCTGGCTCACTTTTGCACGCAGTAAAGCTCATCTGAGGATTGCAACGGTCTATTAAAAATATCCTAGCAGGGACGCGAAATGGACTTGAAATCTAAAAATAATACCAAAGTTCTACAAGTTTTGTTTGTGTCAATTGCCAAGGGAAAACCTGCACGTAGATATTGAGGGCGATCCAAAAGCCTAACCTGGCCCAGGCTAGCTTGACTTAGCCCCGGGCTAATTTAGCCCACCAGCAAAATTGAATGGCGGGTTAAATTAGCCCAGGCCAGGTTAATTTAGCCTGGGCCAAGTTAGCCTTTTGGATCGCCCTCATTAGTAATAATGCGTCCCTGCATTTCCTGCACTCGACGTTGCTTTACCTCCAAAGATGTATCCGCGGTGTGTCCAACGTGACCTCAAAAATTTAACGTTTAATGTATAATTTTTAATATAATTTGTGAGTTAAAACAACGAAAAAAAACATCGGAAACGCAGATACAAATAAAAAAACATTAACAGACGCAGGGTTACACGCGCACAAAACACGGCTTTTAATCAATTTTTTCTGAGTCTAGAATAATTTTTTTTTATTTTGTAGCACGCACAGTTCTCATGCATGTTTTTCAATTGAAGTGACAAATAAGGAAAATTTTACAACGAAATTTATCCCTGATAAATTTAATGATTTTAATGAAAAGAAAAACAAGGAAAACATATCAAGAGTAATTAATTAGAATGATCAATATATTGATGAAGAAATAAAAATAAAAACAAGGAAAATGTCTTGAATAACTAACGCAGCAGTGATAATTTTAATGAAATAAGCCGGATGTAATAAATATTTATTGTGCAACATGTTTTTAACTCTCAAAATTGCTGAAATGTTGACAAGTCGTTTGGCTGACGAAAATTCACGCGGAGTATATTCCCCGTTTTTTTTTTACAATAATGATAAAAAGGGCAGACAGGTCGCGGCGGCTGGTTCAATGCCACCACGAGGAAAACATTAATTAGGATGCGAAAATGAGATATAAAATTTTTTTGAAATATGATATAAAAACCTACTAGGTGATTCTTTTTAGGAAATGTTATGGCGTGCAGCTAGAACCACTGTTTTTTGGGGGGTGAAAAATCTAAGTCATTCTTGATTTTTATGGCAATATTATTTTTGCTAAGATGACTTTTTAGCGGGGCCCAGACAAATAAATTAAATTAAAATCGCAGAATAACAATTATTTTTTTGTTGCCACTATCAATAATTAAATTAAGGTTTGTCAAACGTTTTTGTAAATTATTTCAGGGAGGAAAATTAAACACGAATATATGTAAATTCTTCGAGCAGTTTTAAAATTCGCACTGACTAAATTTACATAGTGGCCTGGTAAGACTGTGCAAGGTTAGCAATTTGGTTCGCCCTCAATATAATATGGATCAAGAGTAGATTCATGAATTGATCAATAGACTTTTGGCACCATAATTTCATTTGTTCGCTTATGTGCCTATAAACTCACGCCCTTTTATTTTGGAAAAATTGTTTCCAATTCGCTACAAAATCAAAATGCTATTTAGAGGAAAATAATTATAATGCATTTTCTTCAGAAATATGTGTCAATCTATTGTCGTTGAAGTAATGTTTTGACACAACTGTTACAAACAAATACAAAAAACGTCCAGCAGCACTAAAAATGCTTTTAATCATTATTGTTTGCAATTTGCCTTTGTTACAAAAACTTTTTAAATGAAAATAAATTTCTTGAGTTTGAATACATTTTCACAAATTGCCTTCAACTTTTTTGTGTCCAAATATCGCAAGAAGGAATGTTGATCCATCATATTTGCACTGTTCTTTAAAATATTGCATATACTTTTTTTAACGCAATTGAGAAGGTGTGGATTTTAGCAAAAACTATACCATCAGTTTCTTGTGTGATCAATCGGGCCGGGTTGCAGAATAAGGTTTCATATCGAGGAAGTCATTGTTTTTTTCAAAAGGTACACTTATTTAGATTCATTGAAAATTACACATATACATAAAATTCTAGTACATCAAAATATAAAATTTAGCAATTTTTTTTATAAATAAAATCATCCCTATCTATAAAGGTGTATACGTTTTAAGACGCTTCCACTACAAATAAACATGAAATCTTTCCTCGCATGGATTCTGCGCGCTGCAAGATCGCTCGCGAAAAGTGAACTTAAATTGGCCTAGCTCCCACTCAGCACCCAATACTTCTGTGGCCACCGACCATTGCAGACTGATTGAAGAGAGCCATCAACAAAATTGTCCTCATGGTGAGATTATAGTTTATTTTTCTTAAGGCCAAAATTTATTTATTCTCACGTAAACCCAAGAAAAAATCCATAATTGTTATTTTTCTAAATTTTCTCATCTTTCTAAATGCTGAAAAATAAGATGAGCCATACATATGTCAGCGCGTCATGGAGTGTATGCACAAATAATAACAAATGTTATGTTATTTAATTCAAGGAGGTGATATACTTTGCAAAAGTTTACAATTTGCCCGAAATTTTGGTTCATTGGTTAAACTTATACTTTTGATTTATGGTTGTTTTATGCACATTTCAAGTCCCTTCCACGTAAGAGCCGATTTTAATACCTTTTAGTTTTCATGAAGGGCGATTAATCGTTTCCTTTTCTTTGAAAAAAAAAATGTTTGATCTTTGTCTTACCATATTATACATGTATGTAATGGGACTAATGAGATAAACTAATTGATTTTTTGAGGGCAATTCATTCTATTAAATTCATATGAGACCAATGTGGCCTTGCCCTCTCATGTATTTTATTTCTAATCTTTCCGCAAAAAAATTTTATTACCTTTAGTTCCTTAAAATTGCAAAAGAATTTGCAGAAGTTTGGCATACAAAATATTATATAGTTTAAATTATAATAATTCTTCCTTTTTTTTTTATAAATTTATGCATGATCAGATCTAAAAGCAGTGGTATCTCTTCTATTTTATAATTGTGTAAAAAATATTCGATCGGACACTGTAATTTTTTACGTCATTGATTCTCTGCTAAAATTCTGGCGACTAATTGTAAGATCGCTTGGCGCTTATTATTTGGTAGACGTCATCGCCTTATTCAGATTTCAGATTAAATTTTCAATTAAGACCGTTCTTAATTGGCAGCAATCTCAGCTTTGCGTCGATACTGTCAAAAAAATCAGGAACTCCACTTCCCTTAAATATTGTAGGCTTCAATTTTCAATGAAACCTATATTTGAGTGCACAAAATTATTATTATTATTTATTCTACTCGAGCCATACATGAAAAAAATTGAATTGGAAAAAAATGAGCAGAAAGGGTATCACAAATCACAACTAGCAGAGGTCTGCTAAAACGCCCGACATCAATAAGAGAACGGCCACCGCGTGCACTCACATTGTCGAAAAAAAAACTATCACGACATTTCAAAATTGCTGCCACAAATGCTGTTTGCAAAGGGAGGGAAAATTGCTGGTTGGGCAGTCTTTGAGGGTCGGTGGCTTGACGACCCTGAAGGAAAAAGCGCGCTGGCCGAACACACTTCGGACCGGGGGGTGGCTGGAGGCGGGGGCTATTGTCGCCTCGCAGCACTCGGCCCTCGATGATTCGGGCACGCGCGTCAAAATTTCAGATGTTTTGCTTAAAGTTATTTGGGTGTTTGTTTTTATTTTTTTATTTTCATCAATTAATCATCACTTAATTCATTCAACACAAGATTTATTGGGCGAACGTTGACGAGTTCTAATGGATTTTTTGATGGTATGTGGTAATGTTTTTTCCGCGGCTTGATTTCAATTAAAAAAATTAGTCCAAAGATGGATATTGATATTTTTTGTGAAGATTGTAGAAAAATGATTTTGAAAAATGGCAATAACTTTGTCTAAACTTAGTCTTAACTGATGAGATTTAGATGATATTTGGTACACAAGCTCTTTTTAAGCTAAAGAATAAAAAAAGGTTATCAATTCACCAAATTTTCTGATTTTCACGCATTTGAAAAATTTTAAAAAAGGAGGAAAAATAGTTTCCACTTGAAATTGATACGCATTAGTGTCTGAACAGTTTGGCTCAGGTTATGATTTTTTTTGCATACCTGTAGGGGAATGTCATTTTAATTTTTTACCCTGAATTCTGGATTCTTAAATCCTGAATGAGAAACTTTTGTATGGGCAAGATTGTAAATTAAATCAGCATTCATTATATGTACCACAGGGCTTACTTTTTACAAGGAACGGAAACCAAGATATTAAACGAAACGCAAACCCCTTAAAAAATTGACACTTTCCGGGAAAGGCAGCACTTCAACTATGTACTTGTTTCTATTAAAACTTTGGGTCAAATTAATACATTTTCCACAGTTAATAATTAAGGCAAAAAAGAGGCGTCGTATGACCTTAAGAACATTTTAATCAAAATTAGAATTTAAATATAGAATATAGATGGAAGATGGGTCTAAGCATGACCCAAAGTTAATGTGGAAAACCTTAAAACGATTTGTAGATGAAAAAAATGAGGCTAGAAAGGAAATTAAGGATGTGGAAGCTGTTTAAACGATTCCATAGAAAATAATTTTAATAATTTTTTTAAGGAAAGTTTGCAGCCAGTTGTAAGGTCGATAAGTGATGTGGATGAAAGTGAAAAGGGGTTGCTTTTCTCAAATTCCACAACTTGATCGTACCTTCTCATTTAGAGAAATTCAAATGGAAGAACTTGTGAAAATTGTAAAAAATTTAAAAGCGAATACTGTGCCAAACAACACCAATTTAAATGTAATTTTGAGTGTTTTTGACATTATTAAGGAGTGTTATTTGGATGTCATAAATTCTATAATAAGGGAAGGCACCTATCCAGTAGAGTGGAAAGTATCAATGGTGGTACCTATTCCTAAAATTAAAAACGCAAAAGAAGCGCAGGATTTCAGACCCATTAATATTCTGCCCTTGTTTGAAAAAGTACTAGAGATTGTTCTTCAAAAACAAACTGTGAAATATCTTGACGAGAAATCTATTTTGTATGATATGCAATCAGGTTTTCGTGAATCACTCATGTGAATCAGCCATCCAATATATTCTGGGATAGTGGAGGAAAACGGCAGAGGAAGATAAAATTACAATAGCTGTTTTCTTAGATTTTAAACGGGCGTTTGAAACCATTGATTGGGATAAATTGATTCAAAAGCTTGTGAAATATGGATTTGCCGAGAGCAGTGTGAAACTTCTAAATAGTTTTTTAAGTGAAAGGAAACAATATGTATATATGAATGACAAATCTTCAAATAAGATTGATGTAGAAATAGGAGTGCCGCAGGGTTCTGTCCTTGGACCTCTACTTTTTATATTGTATATTAATGATCTACCAAGCCAATTAAAGGATGTACATGCCAAAATATTTGCGGATGACACAATGCTTTCAGTCTCGGCGGACTCTTACGGAAAAGCTGCCGCAATTATGAACAAAGAGCTAAAAATTGTGTCACCTTGGCTGAAAATGTTTATGGTGAAATTAAATATCGAGAAGTCGAAATTCATGGTTATTGCGAAGTCGAAATATAAGATAACCAAAATGCAGCAGAGTATTGAAAATAATCCGATTGAAGTAGAGAGTCATGAACTAAAACGAGTGGAAGTGTTCAAATACCTTCGTGTAATGATTGATTGCTGTCTGAAATTTGATGAACATGTTCCATATGTAATTAAAAAAGCAGGAAAGACAATAATGTTCCTTGGGAGACTTAGAAAAAAATTGTCAAGGAGCACCAAGAAGCTATTGTATAATTGTATCGTTGCTCCTCATTTTGACTATTGCTCAACGGTGTTTTGGAAAATGAGTGGCGAAAATTTAAATAAGTTGCAAAAGCTTCAAAATACAGCAATGAGACATATTTTAAGTTGTAAAAGACGCACAAGCAAATCTTTTTTACTGCAGAAAAGTGACTGGCTTGATGTCGAACAAAAACTTAAATTGAACGTTCTTGTTATGGTAAAGAAAATTATGAAAGGGGACCTCCCAAATTATTTGATGAATAATGCGCAATATGTAAGTAATGTTCACAATTATGATACAAAAAATAAAGAGGATCTTTATGTGAACAAAGTCTCAAGTGAATTTGGTGTGAAATCGCTTTTCCATAGTGGATTATTAGCTTACAATGATTTACCAGATACATTGAAAAGTATAACAGATATTAAAATGTTTAAAAATGAATGTGTTAAATATTTGAAATCCATATCTAGTGTATGCTATGAAACAGTGCAATGAACAAATAGTGACGTTTTTTCCGAGAAAAATTTACTGGACGTTAACATGAGTGTATGTTCAAGTGTATATATAATAGTCTATGACTAATAAAAACCTTACTAAATCAAATCAAATTATTTCTATATTTTAGTAGTATGTATACTGAATTTTTTGGGTCAGGCCAAGACAAAGTGTCTTATCGGCCTGAACCGGAACCAATTTTTGCAGAAGGCAATCTCTTTTAACTATTTATTGGATATTTTTATCTATTAATTTTTATCTTCCTCTCTACTAAATATAAAGGACTTTTTTATGTTGCAGTTATTGCTTCAGCAGTGGAGCTTTTTGGGCTCCCTCCTCCTATGCACAACAACCGCGACGATTCCCTCAGCAGATATTGATACTCTCTTAAGAGTAAGTTGATTTTTATTTGATAAAAATCTGAAAATTTTAATATTTAAACTTAATCATAATGTGACCAGGGGTGCGCGTAAAAGATTTATAAACAAAGTTATAAAATCCATAGATCCATGGAATTATTCTTATAGTTAGGAGGCCTAAATTTCCTAAAAAACAAAACTATCAATGCCTAAAATCATCACTCATTTCCGGAAATATTTTTACTTTTTTAATGCTCTGGGCAGCTAGTTTTAAAAAATTATGTGTAATGTTAAGTCGTTGTTTGGTGCCGTTTTGAACATGGTTTAATATTAATAAGTTAATAATATTTGGAATCAAATCTCAATCACTGGTCGCAACTACAAATATGGCCAAAATTAGTTTCAATTCTGTGTTTATGCAGTTAATGAATAATATATATTGTAAAAAAATTTAATTTAAAATTCAGAGGCCAATACAAAAGCCTATAGCATATATGCACTGCGGTTTCGCTCTAATAAAATCAGCATTGGCATGATTGGCATTGGAATGAGAAAAAAAATTATGATTTCAGGAAGGAATGCTGGAGACGAATGTTAAGGGCGAGCAAGACTATATTGTGCTTGTCGGAGGAACCGGAAGTGGCAAAAGCTCACTCTCTAAGTTTATTCGGAAGGATGAGTCCATGACAGTGGTGCTAAACAAACAGTCTGATTTTATTCTGACTGACAAAGACGTAAAAATAGGTAGCGAGAAAAGTCACGCGTCCAAAACTTTCTATCCAAACATCGACAAAGACCTTGAGAGTGGAGTGCTTATGATCGACTGTGCTGGTTTTGAAGACACTCGCAGCGCGACATTAGATTTCGTCGCTTCTTTTCTGAACAGAAGACTTCTGAACTCGGCAAGGAGGTTGAAGATAATCATTGTGGAAAACTACGGCAACCTTCAGCTTAACAATTATCGCTCAGGTTTTTCAAATATCTTAAAGCATTTGGTTCATTTGATAGGAAGCAACATTGACTCGTTCCAAGGGGCTATTGGATTGATCGCCACCAAAATCGATAGACCTAGGAAAAGTGACGCAGTTTTGTTAGAGACATTAAGCGTATTCATCAGAGACACCAGAGATTTTCTTCTAGATGAGCAGAGCAATGCCCTTTCAGCTGACGATTCCAAGAAAATAGAGGAACTCGAGCTTCAAATTAAGCTAACTGATTACCTGTTGGAAGGTAACTATTTTGGACTCTTCCGTCGACCTGAAGAACTCGGTAGTCCCTGGAAATCGGCGCCGATGAATCGGAATTACATTTTGAACAGGAATCTTCTCTTCAAAAAGCTGAATTTCTCTTTGCCGTTCCAAGGTGAATTCAGCGTTGCTGTCGCTCCGACAACGGTCATTTACATCAATGAGCATCTTTTGACGGACACCACTCGCAAAGTCACCTCGCTTTATAACGATTTTCGAAAAGAAATAAGCAAGATTCTGGACTCAAAAATGAATGAGCAGCCGTATGAGAAGAACTTGGACTTAATTGTCAGTTATTGCAAAACCATTATCGAACATCTCACAAGAGTTAAGCACGTCGAAGACCTCGAGTATTTCTTCCAGTCAATGCCGATTGACCGCGATTTATTCCAAGATATAATTTTCCAAATCTACAAAATGCATTTCCTTTTCGAGGTAATCGGAAAAAGTGTTGGGCATTTAGAAGGACAAGTTGAAAATATGTTTGGAGCGAAAAATGAAATACTGTTTCATTTTGAACAGAGTCGCGATTTTCACAATTTTTGCAAAAGATTTATTGCCGAATTCGATACGTACACGGTGCAAGCAATGGCAGGGGAAATGATCATAAATAAAGAAAGCTTTGACCTCTGGAAAATATCGCTAGGTAGCCGTGGCTTTAGCAATCGCACGGCCCTCGCCGCCTCCAATATTAGCGCTACCGAGGAAATTATTAAAAAATTGAACAGACTTGTCTCCAATCTGTTTGGTAGAAAAACCAGCATGAAGTTGGTGTCGGGAGTGGCCACTATCACAGGCGAGTACTTGGTTCTCAGTCATTTTTCTGACCAACTACAACTTAAAGACAGCATTCAGGAAATCGCATTGATAGCCACCAAAAAGGTGTTCATAGATTTCGATGTTTTGGTTCTAAATAATCACCTGACAATTGCGAGCCCTTCAATTGAAATAGTGAACGGTGAGAAAAAAATTTACATGAAAGGTGAGGACGGTCTCGCTCACGAACGGACAAAAGCAGCGCGAAATTTACATGGAGCAAATGGAAGAAACGGTTACAGTTCAGGAAAGCTTACAATAGCATCACTGAACATTGTCAATCCTCAACTTCTCAAGATTCATTCTGCCGGAGGATCTGGGAGTCGCGGCCAGGATGGTGGAGATGGCTTCACTCCGATTCTTCCTACTATCAGCGAATTATACGGATTGCAAGGTCGCTGGCAAGATATAAGAACAAAGGTGTTAAGCGCTGGAGTGGACAATTACGATCTGATGTATTTAAAAGATGACCAGAACAGAGTTGGAGCGTTCATAAAGGTCTTGAATGTTGCTCGTGGCATTCCAACGAATGGTGGTGATGGTGGTGATGGAGGCTTCAGTGCCAAAGCAGGTCCTCAGTCATTCATCGTTAAAAACAGGACTTCTATTGAATCAGTGAAAATAATTCGCACAGATGGACTCGTCTCATTAGCTGGAAAAGCAGGCGCTGCTGGTAAAGCTGTGAATAGTCACGCCTATAGGAAATATTTTTGCACATCCAATGAAATACGAATTAATTCAAATTTTTGGTTCATGATATATTTAGATAAATTTTTGAATTTAAGATGCTCTATGGAAGAGCACGGGTTATCTTCTGATAAAACTCCCGAAGCCCGTGTTGGCAAGCAAGGAAAAAAGCATTCTATACTTCATAATGCGTACAAACAAGACCCTGAATATGACATCTTCCGCCTGATCGATGAATATTGTTCCTTTGCAGTCACGACAACTAGATCCGTTGATGGGGAATGCGAATCACATGCATTTTTGGAGTACCTTGTAACTGACAATGTTATCATCAGTATGCTCAATATCGAGATATACACAAAATTTCTGGAACGCCTGGATACATATTTACAAGAAAGTAATAAAATTGGCAACGTTGAAGCAGTGTATTTTACATTGTATCGCTCATTCAAAATGTTTATGACAATGTGCAGCACTTGTGACCCCTGGAGGCTGAAAGCCGTTGACTTGCTGTTCATCAGCCGGTTGAGCTACTTGCAGACCTTTTCCATAGGCCATCAAATCATACATTTGCCATCTACAGCTGCGCATTTACAAAAAAAATTGTCTAAAGTAAAGGAATCACTGACGGAGATTTTAGTTTTCAATTCTGTCGATAAGGAGATTCAGGATGCTCGCAAGGAAATCGAAAAAGCTGGCGAAATGATTGAAAAAAAGCACAAGAAAGAAGTGGTTGAAATTCAAGGAGAAATCGATGCAAATTTTAAAAAATTGCTGCAAAGAATAGAAGATTTCCACGCCGAGTATGAAGCCAACATTGAAAATCTGTATGCTCATAAGAAAGAAGTGAAGAAAGCCATGAAAGTGAAAATATTTTGCGGCGTTTTGAATGTGGTGGGACAGATCGCTGGTGCGTTCTATCCACCTGCTGCGATTGCTGCTTCAGCCGTGAACGAAGCGGGCAAAGCTCTCTCAAAAACAAGAAATATGGATCTGAAAGCTGCCGCTCCGAATAGGCCGATCAGTCTGAAAAATGCTATGAGCGTCATATCAAAATATAAAGAACAGAAAAAGCGGGATGAACGATTTAGACAAAAAGAACAAATCAAAGCTTTAGAGGAGATTATTGAGACTGAGCAAAACGTTGGGCTAATAATCTTTAATGACGAAGAACAGCGGGAAACTGTGAAAAAAATGGTCTTCGAGTACAAAGCACACAATGTTTCTGCTTTGCATAAGAATTTAAAATTCGCCTTCGATAATATTCCGGCAGTTATTGACATGGCCAGAAACAAACTTCAATCAAAAATTGATAAAACGGAGATGGAAAACGGCTCCAAAGAGAGAATCGATAAAATGAAAAATATCAACAAGAACTTGAACACTGCCAAGCAGTTTGCTGTGGCTTCTGGTGCGGTAATCGACATGGCAATAGCATATGCTAATGATACGGCGAACTTAAAACGGATTGCAAATGTAATTGAATCAAACAAAGAGGCGATTCAAGAAATGAACCGCTATGAACAATCGCTCAACGACCAATTTATGCCTATGCTGAATGACATGCTCGGGACGTTTAATGATATACAGTCTGGCCTGAAAGACGACGACGCAGTGATGCTGCAGTTTCGCAAGGTAGACGTTAAGAAATACGCCCGCAAATTTATAGCACTGATCAACGAGTTCACCAAGGGTTTTGTCGACGAAAGTGACTACGGGATCGGCATTGCTTTTGTGCACATGGAAGAGTACATGTCCCTTCTGATCGACGCCTACGATAAGCTGAGCGAGCTTGAGTACAGAGTGCAGCTGAAGGGCTTCCTCGGGCGCATTCACGGCGGCGATTGCTCTCGAACCGAGCAGCCGCGACAGTGCACGGACCATCAAGCTTTGGCAGCCGAGCTCGAAGCTAACGAAGTGTTCCGAAAGTTCCTGTACATCTTCACTGCCTACCAACAATCGGTGTTTCCGTTCGGCGGATCCAAAACCGGCATTCTTCAGTACGCCGTTACCCAGCTGAAGAAAACACCCAACCTGTTACTCGAGGAGAAAGCCAAGATTCTTCAGGACGCTCTGCAACTGATCATCGACGACCTGAACGAGATGCAGGACACGATTTCGAACGCAAATGACAAGAGCGTGGTGCTGGCCGAGTTCAACTCCAAGTACACCTCGAGCAGGCCCTTCTTTACGTGGCCAAACTCCAAGTTCTCGGCTCAAATCGGGCAGCTGCTGAGGGGCGAGCAAGTGACCCTGGTCGCGTCCGTCCTAGGGCCTGGGGTGAAGAACGCGGCCAAATTCAAGACGCTGCTGCTCAACGTGACGTCGGCTGACCCCGCGGTGACCCGCGCCGTCCACGAGCTGCTGACCCACTTCCAGATCGAGATGGTGCACCTGGGCGAGAGTCACTACCGGTGCGGCGACACGTACTACGTCATCGGCAGCGACCCCCTCAACATCAGGATCTGCTACGAGAACACGGAACGCGGCGCCTCCGTCTGCCGCAACACCGTTTTCGAAAAGGTGGCCTACGGCGACGTGCCCTTGAGTCCCTACACCGTCTGGAAGTTCCAGCTGCTGCACCGCTCCAACACGCAGAAACGCCAACTGCTCGTTGAACTGCAGAAATTCGCCAATTCCGTCGATCTGGAGTTGGTCGGCGCAGGATTCTTTGTCGAAGACGACGCAGCCATTTGCGAAATGGACCTGGGCCAATACTACCAATATTTCAGCGCAGCATAATATAAAAAATAATGTTTTATTTTAATTCTGATTAATTTCTCCCTAATAAAATATGAAATAAAATTGCGTCGCATATTCGTAAACGAAAATATAGATTTGTTCTTTATAATAAAATACCTAAAATTTTAGTGATTATGTCACACGAGTGCCGGAAATTGATTAGCCGAAACAAAATCTTGCTTGAGAATTTGAAATTTCTTAATTATACAATTTAAGAAGTAGAAATTGATAATTTTAATGTATAAAAAATACCAATCATACTCAAAATAATAAACACACTTATGATATAAATAAAATATTGAAAACGAATGCCCAAAATTAATTAAAATTAAAACCAGGCATAAAAACGACGCATAAAAAAATGACTCTTTTTAAGGAGACACCTGCTGGCATTATTTAAGAAGGGTCCAAATGGTAAATATAAAAAATAAATAAGAAATTTGGTCATTTTATTTTTTCGACCATATGCCTAGGTTGAGCCTGGTTTCATTATTTTAATTAACTTTCGCCTTTTAATATAATTCAAATAAGTTTATTAACTATGCACGTGCAATTTATTCGTGCAGATAATTTTAAGTTCATGCGCCGCTGCGATATTATAAATAAAACCAAAAACTGTGTAAGACTCACCCCATAATTGGAGCTTCCATCACGGCGCCGCCCATTATTTTTGTTTGTTGGTGCATAATGTTGTTAATTTGTGTTCAATCCAATCTCCTCTCAAAAGACCTGAGTCGGGATCAAAACACGGGACTTGGAAACTGAACTGACTGATGTGGCTCGATTTAAAGATCCCAACAGGTAAGCTGCAGCTGCACCAGAGGAGAATCTGGCAATCACTGCAGTTGAAACGCCCCCTCTCTTTATTGTTAGTCGCGCGCGCATCCATTAAATGCGCTCGCAGGTGTATTAAAACGACTCTTTACCAAAAATCACAAAAACTTCAAAAGATGATTCTCGCTTTGCTTGATTGAACAATTTTGCTGTTCTTAAAAATGCCTACTTTTTATGGCTTATTAAAATTATATAAAAATTAAACTCATCAGACAAAAAAAATTAATGGGAATGAATATTAAAAGTACTGCGTTTATAATTATAGAATATCTTTTATTCAATCACTTTTACACAAAGATCTGTGTTTGTCTCTCACTCATGATGGGTTTGCCTAATTTGTAAATATTTAACTTAATTCTGCTACAAACTATGAGAATGCAAATTATTGTGCAAGATTACAATTTAATCAGTACAAAAAAACAATTGTATTTTCCTTCCTCCTCAAAGATGAATTAAAATGAGAAACAGAGAGAATTGATCACAATGATATGTTTTCTACGCAAAAATATAGTCCGCGGTGGGAATTAAAAGAATTTTCAATAACTTAATATATTTAATTAAGGCAACGAGGTCAGTGGTGGTCTGCCGACTTGAGGCCGCGCTTCATCAGCTTTGCTTTCTGCAAAAGGGAATTTATGGTTAAAATAAAGTTTAAAATTTGATCAGAAATGAGCATACCAGGCCGCCCTCGCCCTTCTTCATCTTCTGCACCTTGTTGACCTTGTCCTCCTGGCGCCGCTTGGCCTCCTGCACCTTCTGCTTGAGCATCTTGTGCTGCTCGCGCTTCCAGATGTCCTTGAAGTCCTTGCAGAAGGGCGACCACAGCACGAAGAAGTCCTTGGGTGACGCCTCCTGCACCTTCACGCCCTTCGGCACAAACTGGTAGAACTTCATCACCTGCGCAAACCTGCCAAAATCACATTTAATTTTTTCATCCAAATTAAATTCATTTTTACTTAAGCTTTGCTTCGGTGAGCGCGTCGTTTTCATCCGACCACTGCTTCCTTGCTGCAATTTGGCAAAAGTTTAAAGTTTTGAGAAAAAATTAAAATTATAAGGTTGAACCTTTGTCGAGGAAGGACTGCATCTTCTCCTTGAAGGGCTGCAGGTGTTCCTCGGAGGACTCGGCAACCACCCTGTCCGACTTGCGCTGGCAAACTGAGGCAAAAAAGCAAATGAATTCAAGATTTACGTCAAGAGGGACGGACACGCACCGTCGAGCTCCCTGCTGAGGCGCTTCAGCTCGAGGTCAACATCGTCAAAGTCGACCTGGCCCGCCCTGTCAACGTCCCCCGGCTCGGGCGTCGGCACCCCCAGCTCCAGTAACTTGCTCGACTCCTGCCTCTGCAAATCACGGAATTACAAAAAAAATCTTTTGAATTTGAATTTGTTTGCCTTCATGTAGATGCGGACGATGTAGTGGAGGAGGGTGATGCTGTTGTCCCTGCTCTTGACGTCGCGCAGCTTGGGCAGGATCTCGAGGCCGAAGCCGTCCGCCTGGCCCCGCGCCCGGTTGCCCCCGTTCATGTAGTTGCCCAAGGCCAGAATTATGCTCAGCACCGACTGCAGACTCTCAGACGTCATCATTACCTGCAATTTTTTGTTACTTTAATTCAAATTGTTTATACTTTCCAGTCAATGAACAATAATTATTATTAATTATTTCATATAATTTAAAAATTCATTAATGTATTAAGTATCAAGGCGTAAAGCAATCTTTATTTTATTTTATCAAAGAGTGTGCAAAAGAATTGTTTTCCCATAGTATTTTTACCTTGTTTTTAATATAGAAATTAATTTGGAAGAAAAGTTTACCTCACAGGTGGAGGAAATGTTGCTGAGTTTGCTGCTGAGGTTGGCAATGGCGTTGTCAAACTCGTTTTGGAACATGAAGCAAGAAATTCTGTCCGCAAAGTTCGGAATCTCAGACAACTCAAACAGGAATCTGCATTTGTAAAAATATTAGAGCATTGACTGAAGATTTCTTTTTATTTTTTATGTTACTGTTCAGGCTTGTCTAAAGGAACGTCCGGTTTGCTTTTCACGTGATCCCGAATCATCTCGAGCTCGTCGTCCGTCGCCCTCTTCAATTCCAATCCATAAAAATCATTTTTCAATTAAAAAAAATCTCACCACTTCGTAGATCTGCTGCAAGGCCTCCAGACTCACGATCGAAGTGTCAAAGTGGTAGATTGCTGCGGAAAACTTTTAGTCAAATTTTTTATTTGTAAATAAAACTCACCGTTTTCGATCTCAGGAAAGTCGAGGTGCAGACTCGAGGACAAAATCCCCACCCTCTGGGACCGCTTCCCGTCCAAAATCTTGATCGCCTGCAATTAAAATAAAATAAACGTGAAATTAAAAATCAGAAGGAGGGAAATGTAATATAATGCATATATTTGCAAAAAAATATTTCAAATAATCAAGTTAAAAAAATTGATAACCTCAGTCTTTGTGGGTCTCTCGGGCTTCTTCTTGGCCGGCTTGCGTTCGACGATTTGCCGGGAGAAGAGGTCGGTGAACTCGTTTAGGCTCTCGATGTTGGCCTCCTCGAGCTGCGCCCACAGCGCCGTCCTGAGCAAAAGTTTTTACAAAGATTTTCACCAAAGTTCAATTTTGACTCACGGCGACTTTGCGCCCTCAGAGGTGGGCGAGGGAGGGGGTGAGGCGGCCTCTGCGGGGGCCACGGAGGCGGCAGGGCCGTCGGGCACAATGATCCTGGTCCAGTAGAGAGGCTTCATCGGGATCGGCGGGTTCACCGGCGCCTTCCGCAGCGCTTTTTGCAAAAACAATTGAAACGTCACAAATTTTGATCTAAAAAAAATCGAGAGCAAAAGCGGAAAAGGCGAGAAAATAAGAAAATATATTTGCTCTTCTTTCAGAGTATAAAAAAGCTGCCAATTAAAGTGAACAACGTCCAAAGCCACAGTGACAGCTCCACTTACCCACAACACGTCCAGGCGACGACACTTTAAGATTCGAACAGGGAAAGACTAGAATTAAAATATTGCGCCTCTGATTTCTCGAAATTTTATCAAAGTGGGTTGGAAATTATGCTCCCCAATATTGATTTGAAAGCAAAAGTTTAGATAAGTTTTCAAGCAGAACAATTTTAACCAAATAATTTGAATTTAATTAATTGCTTTTGGAAGAAATGACATGTTTTCCTCCTATTTAATTGTACACATTTACTTAATTAGTTCCATTCTTAACTGACCCAAAACTATTCACGAAATTTCAATACAAATTTTAATTTTCTCATTAACAAAAAAAAAAAAAAATAAATAAATAAATTCGTAGAAGTACAGAGACATAAAATATCGCTCATGACCTACACGAAAAACTGATTTTAACATATATGTATAATTAATTTTGTAGTAAATTACGCGTTCATCTCCAATTATTTGCCATATAATTTTTATGTTCATAATTAATTAAAAATTTAGGCTTACTTGCTTGGTTGGAGGCCCATCCGCCCGGGGGCGGAGGCGGCAGAGACGGAGGCAGACCTGCTGCAGCGCCTTCGGGCAGCGGGGGCGGCGGAGGCCCCGAGCCAGGCAGCGGGGGTGGCACAGGGCCCCCAGCAGAAGGCATTGGAGGCGGCGGCGGACCCATTCCACCCGGAGGCGGTGGAGGCGGAGGAGGAGGCGCTGGAAGGGGAGGTGGCGGAGGCGCTTGGAATTGTGCCGGTGGCGGCGGAGGAGGCGGCGGAGGAGGCGGCGGAGGAGGCGGCGGAGGAGGCGGCGGAGGCGGTTCTGGTGCTGGGACGGGGGACTGAGCCGCGGGACTAGTTGGGCTCGCCGCCCCCGGCACAAATGCCGCCCCCTCGCCAGTTGGAGACTCAAAGTCTGCCTGGACGCTCTTGGTCAGTTGCTGCACCGGAAAAGAGAGAGGAAATTTTAAATCAGCTCAATTAAATTTAAGGGTTTTTTTGAAAATTAAATTTTTTATAATTTATGTTCAAAATATTTAAAAATTTAAATTTTCAAATTATTTTATTTTTCTTTCTAAAATTGAACTACTTTTATTGATTCTTCTGACGTGAGACGAAAATATGATTTAAAAATGTTGTTTTGATTCGCCCTTGTGTTTAAGGAAAAGGTTACATATTTTAACTTAAAAACTTTCAGAGATTAATATTGTAGACGAACCTGAATGTCGGCCAGGGTCTTGTAGCGCTCGACCTCCTGCTGCAGGGCGGCGACCTGCTGCTCCAACCTGAGCACCTTTTCCTCGGTCAGGGCGAGTTTCTCGGCGTGTTCGCCGCGCAGGTTGAAGGTGGAAACTTCCTGGCTGCGCGTCAGCCGCTCCAGACTCTCCTTGTGCTCGCGCTTCAAACCCATCACCACCTGCTGGAATTCTGCGGCCCCCGACAAATTTTTACCATTTAGAAAAACACAAATTTTAATTCCGAGGGCCAAAAACTGGAAATTTATGCCTCTAAATCTTTTACGCTTTCAAGAAAAATATTGACCTTACAAAATTGGGCACCACAAACGAAAAGTATTAGTTCTCCCACCACAAATTGATGTTCATAATTTAGCCACAGATCAAAAGCGTTTGATGCAAACCAACACCTGACAAAATTACATTTAATAACGAGGGTTTTCAGGTAAACATTGTTTTGATTAAAGGTCAGACCCACATTGCTCTTCATTTCATAGCTTTTCAGGACATTTTTTTATACAGGAACTTTGAAGTGGCAAATTCAGGACACTTTTTTATTACTTTAGGTTTGTAGGACAAAGAAATAAATTTAGGAGCAAGAACGTCGACCTGATTAAAGGGGTTCTGGGGGCGGATTTACCTGGGCCTTTGGGGAGGAGGTCGGCGACCGGCGTGGCTGGCACGGACGCCGAGGAGGCCGACGGGGCTAGAAGGGCCGAGGCCACCCCTGCACCCCCACTCAAGTCTGACCAAACACCACCAGCACCACAACAAACACACAAATTGTTAGTCCAAATTAAGAGGAAAAAAGTGAATGGATACGAACCGGCCTCGGAATACCTGGCGCCGGGCTTGGCGGCGGCCAGCGGCTGCAGCGCCTGCACGTCTGGCAGGGCTGGCGGCCACGCGGCGCTCGGCAGGCGGCCAGGCGTGCACGGCAGGTTGGCCGGCGTCTCCGAGTGCGCCCAGTAGTACATCAGGTCCGGCTGACAAAAAAGAAAACACTTTTCTAACTAAAAAAGAAATGGCAGATTTCTATTTTGTACCTCGACGGTTTTTGTAAGTTATGCATTTACTTATATTCAAATTTATAAAGTTTCTTTTCTTCTTGTTAGGTCACCAATTGAAAATAGTTAAAGCAAACAGGAGCAATTTAACATGTTCTGACGGAACTTTAATTTGGTACAAACAATTAAATTTTAAAATAAAGAAACTAAAAGTGGCCATTATTCAGCAAATAATAGCAAATTTGTTGGATTTGAAAACACACTTTTGCTTTTCAAAATTGATTAATTAATAAAAATTTGATCAAAGAAATTAATGAACATTCACTTTTAATTCGTTTTCATATTTTTTTTTTTGCAAAAAAACTCTGATGAACTCAATTGTGCAAATTTAAATGTGAAGCGATTGAGAATTGTATTTTTTACATACCCTGAAGAGGGCCTCGAGGGGCGCGTCCTTGTCGACAATCTGCTTGATGACCCCGGCGGCAAGCATGTGGGTGGCGAACTGGGCGACGAGGATGCGCAGGTCCTGCGGGGTCAGCAGCAGCCGCAGGTAGTGCTCCTCGCCGAACGCCGTCAGGAACCAGTTGATCAGCATTTGTCCTGCGAAAATACACATTTTTTTTTCTTTGAAACTTGATCTGACGACGCGTCGAAGAAACGGTTCGAAGTCTTGATTGAAGTGCTCCATTAATTATCAAATTTAAAGGGCCATTTCCACTAGAGAGGAGGAATTTATTGTAGGAAGACAATCATTTCAGTTTAACATAATAATTTTGTGGGCTTTTTAAAATTATTGTATACCAAAATTTTAAAATTTCGACTAATTCCCTTTTTTTTATTAATATTTTGAAAGAATGAAACGTGTACAAATCTGAAACCTCAAATGCTAGAGTTAAAAAAATATCACCGTTAGACTCAATTTTTGACAAATAACTTTACTATGGCCGCCAAAGTTGTAGGTCAAAGGTCAAGGTCACTTTTAGGCAATTTGATTAATTATTAGTAAAAAAAAATCCAATTTCGGGGATGATGTTCTATTTTTGCAAGTGTTGGAAAAATGTATCTTGAGTAATTTTATTTTATATGGATATTTCAGAGTCGAAATTTTCAGGTTTATCCTACAAATTGTTTAAAAAATTAAAAAACCTGAAAAAGACCCGTCAATTTAAATCTTTTATTGAAAAAAATAAACTGAAGTAACAACAATTCCAGCTCAAATTTTTCCTTGGGATTCTTCAATATTAAAAAAAAATGTGGCTCTTGTTACAGTTCACCTCTGGTATAGCTTTTGCACCCGGACGCGATTTGAGAGCTAACAAAATTAAACTCTTAAGAAAACTACATACATTACGTGAAACTACTTTAGCTACATTTATTCCTATACCTAAATAAAATCAAAAGGGATCATCATCCCAAAAATTTTGAAATTTAAAAAAAAAACTAAAAAGTGATCTTGACCTTTTTAATCCACATGTTCAGCTTAAAAAATTTAGCGAAGAAGTTAAGTGTGATTTTTATCACATTCATCGTTACAGATTTATACATTTTTAAAGTCAAAATGTCTACAAATTTTAAAAATTTTGATGAGAAAATCCTTATTTGAAGACCTTTAACATTTAAAGCTCAGAATGATTGGTTTCCTGAAACAAATTCCTCCTAAGGCACCATGGAAATGCCCTGAAAAAAAAACTTTAAAAATTCACTCACTTCGGCAAGAGCAGGAATCGAATTGCCTTGACGCAGAATAAATATTTTCTTATTGGAGCAAATACGAGAATGAATTGTGAGACAACGCGTGATCATAATTCTTCTCCTCCCACTGGCACCGAACAAATTGTGATTGACAACTAATTTATCCCACCGACGCCAAAAGACCTGGAAAAACTTAAGAAATTCACCTTCAAACTTTTCGTAGATCTGGTATTCGAGCTTCTGCGGGACGTTCTTGGGCCGGTTGACCTTCTGGTCGACGGTGGCCCTGTCCAGGGTCAGGCTGGCCACCTTGCGCAGGACGTTGCTCTCGGCGGGCACATCCGACGTGGACACGAGGCGCCGCAGCGGCGGCGCCGCCCCCTCTTCGCCCCCTGCAAACATCCCCAAAGTTGATTCAAAAAGTTTCCAACAGGCTCGCAGGCAACAACGAGCGAGCGAGCGACTGCAAGCGTGAGACCAACAATGAAACCCGAAACCTCGACTTTCAATCGCAACCAAACCCTCCCTCCCTCCCTCCTGCGAAAATTAATATCACTATTGTTTCGATATTTCAATAATGTCAGTTAAAGAAATTAAAAATTGAATTAATTGAGTGCAAAATAGAAAATTTGTTGCATTCTTTTGGAAATTTTCTTACGACTGCACAAATGGTCAGAAGCATAGATTCAAATTTGTAAACAAAATAAAAAAAAATCTTGCTAACAAATTATTATATGAGCTATAAAAAATTTGAAAATATTATTTAAAATACAGGATAAGCTGAACTGATGAATAAAATATTTATCTTTATTTTTACTTACGCAAGACGTTTAACTCTAAATTTCTAGTGAAAGATTTGATTAAATTTGATTTCCTTGCAGAAAAACAAGCACCATTTTTTTTTTTTTTTTTTTTTTAATTTTTAAAAGGGAAGTCGATTATCCAAAGAATGAAAATGTTGATTTGAAAAAGGGGGATTGCGGACCCTCGAATTGGTCTCCTTGGCGGTGCGAGAAAAAAACAAAGATAAATAAATATAAGTTTGCAGGTCGCCGCGTTTTCTCTGTGGGAACTTTTCCCACGGGTCAGACGATCAAAGAGACAAAAACGCTTCTTTATTATTTTGGTTCTCTCTCTCTATCAAAAAGCAAATTCGGTTTGTAAATAATAAACTAAAGAAATTAATCAATAAAAATTAAAAAATTATATTAATAGATGTAAAAGAAGTTGAATTAGATGTAATGACTAATGAAATTAAATTGTAATGAATTAAAAGTTAATTTCATATACAATTTAATTAAAATTTAATAAAGTCGATCTTAAATTATATTGAAGATACCATAAATCGTCATAAATATGAAAGTAAAATAAAATACAAATTAAATTTTACAGAAATTATAATAGAGAGGAAGTCTAATAATATTATAAATAAATAAATTAGCATAATTAATACGAAATTAAATAAAATTAAATATCAATGGAAATATATGAAACTTTGAGGAGACGAGCGAGTTTAAATTAAATTGTATGATATCAGAGTGTGCGCGCAATGAACAGGAAAAGGGTTACACGCTTGAGCGCGGGTTCGCCCCACTGATGTTTTTTATTTATTCCCAAGATCGGTGCAGGTAAGAAAGGTCACCTTTGGACGGAATCGGTCACGCCTCCTCCGCCCTCAGGGAAATGAACCAAAATAAAGTGTTGCTTGATCAGATGAATAATTAAATAAAATAAATATTGGCAGTCAATTCTTTTGTATTTACATACGCGACTTGCACCTGGCGTGAAATCGACCTTCGTATTTCAGGTTGCGGACAAACTCTGCATGCAACAAAATTTTGGTTGTTTTCCTCCAAAATAATTGAGCGTGTGTACCTGGAAGGGGCGAAACGTGGCCGTTCTCAGGGTCGGCGGCGGCCAGGGGCGCCAGTTCGACCTTCTTGTGGCGCACCACGGTGAAGGCCTTGTTGGCCGCCGGCGTGGCCTCGGCGGCCAGCAGGATCTCGGCGAGCAGGTCGTCGTCCTGCGGCTGACCCTGAGTGGGGCCCTGACCCTGCAAGGAACCCTGACCCTGTTCCTCGAGCATGTTGGAGTGGTAGCTGCTGGCGCACGAGTGGCCGGCGGCCGCCTGGAGGGGCGTGGCGAGCGTGGCCGCCGCGGCCACCGGCGAGCTCAGCGGGTCCGTGAACAAAAGCGACGAGGAGCCGCTCGAGTCGTCGGCCGCCCCCTCCACGGCCCCCGCCTCCTCCTCGCATCCGCCCCCAGATGGCGCCGCGCTCACCTCCGGCGGCGGCGGCGGCGCCAATTCTTCCACCTGCCCAAAAAAAATAATTCACATCCACCCTCGAAAGCTCAACAGACGAGAAAAACAAGTAAGAACAAATTTCCGCGCAACAATTGCATGATAAGATAAGCAAACCCTCCCCTCAAACATTTTATTGTGTCAACACAAATTGTTTTCTCAGTCAAAGTTTCAATTCCAATGATTCACTCCTCATTTTCACATTTTCATTTACTCTCAATTTACAGAAATTTATGTATGAATTTTCAAATTAAATTGCAATTGAAAGTTCTCTTAATTAGAAGGACATTTTTACCAAAAATATATAATAAAATATTAATTTATTTATTAAATTTTTATTAATTTCTTTCTGCTAGTAAATTTTGATAAATAAACGTGCCACCATCGATTTTCCATACAAAATTGAAAGAATGAGTTATTTGCTTTGAAATACACTTTGAAATAAATTTTAAAGCATTTTCGCATATTACATTTAGTATTGTAATGGTAAATTTTTAAATACTAAATTTGCCATTTATTTAAAATTAGAATTTTTTGTTCAAGCTTTTGAAACTGTGTAATATGATATTATAAATCCAGAGATTCAGTTAATCAAAGGAATAATAAGGAAACAAATTGTAATTAACACTATAACCACGCGTTTTCACTCTTCCAATTTTAATCTCAATTGTGATCAAATAAATAATATTGTGAATCATAAATTTAGACGCAAAATTGCTATGACACACAATTTGCAGTGTTAATTTTTAATTAAAATTCTTATAAATTGTTAAAGATCAATAAATTTTCTAACTTTTTCCCCAAAAACTTTGAAACATTTAATGGAGAAAAATATGCAATAGATTTAAATGGGGGAAAGTATTTTGGGGTTGAATAAAATCGACTGCGACTGCATACCTGGCGCGGTGTTGGCGTGGATGGCGTTTGTTGTTGTCCTGCCTGAAGTTTTTGCTGCAGCTTGGCCGGCGACTTTGCTCTCTGGCCTAGGAACAATTTGCTCCTGGAGCGGCCCGGACTGTCGGCCTTGGCCGGCTTGCCCTTGGCGGAACCCTGCGCGCAGGTCAAAGGTCAACGCACGTGCTTAGTAAGAATAAAGGAGCAAAACTGACCTGGAGGTTGCCCATGGCTGGGTCGTCGTCGGAAAGTTTGCGGCGGCGGCGGAAGGAGAAAAGGAGCGACGAGAGCGGCCTGAAGAGGGAGAGGTGCGAGGGGGTGGTGAGGCGAAGGTCGTCGGCAGGGTGTGCACCCTGAGCGCCCCGCTGCCACTCCCACGGGTAGAACGCGGCCGCTTCCGTCCACACGTCCGCCTCCTGCTCAGCTGACCCCCTCTCGCCGCCGCCGCCACCCCCGCGCCGCATCTCGCTCGCACCCCAATCAATAAAACCCACCCCTACCACTGACACGTGCGCGCCATCCACGGACGGCTCTTGAGGAAGGTCAGGTGCTCTCTTGTCCTTCGCCGCTCTGTCAAAGACAAAAAAAAAAACAGTATTAAAAATTTAATTAAGGGTTAAAATATCAATGATTTTAATTAACTCCAAATAAATTACAAAAATGGAGTAAATTACTGACGTTGATAATGCCAATTTTCTGCACATTTTATGCATATATTTATTTGCAGGAAAGAAAAAAAATAATGATTTTCTTGGTGCATAGAGCTGCAGTGGAGTTTTGAAAATTTTAATATTTCTGATATTTCAAAAAAAATTATACAATATCACGACGATCGATTGACCATCACAATGGTTTCAATACAGCCAAATTGATCTTCAAAATTTCACAATATTCACAATTTTTTCCAAAGCAAACTGAAATTATCTATCTGGCTGAAAACATGGCTTTAATTAGAAAAAAAAGTAAGGAATTTGAAAATGTATTTTTCAGACTCGAATTAATGTAAAGCCCGTCAGTTTGATTCTATATCATTTTTGCAAATATGGTCTTTACTTTCAAAATTTGATTTTTATTTGCCAATTTTTATAAAAGCGCTGATTAATTTACCGATCCACATTCAAAACGGAAAAAAATATAAAAATCCTGGAGCTGGCCTGTTAATTATAATTAATTGAGTTTGATTCGTATTTGAATTTCTTTTTCTGATTTAGTTATTTTTATTTATTTTAAGTCCTACAAATATTCACGCTCATTTTATCCATTTTATATTCTCAAAGATTCAAGAACAATTAAAATCATAAACGGTAATTAAATCCATTGGAGAAGAATAGCGTTTGCAAATGTTTGAAGTTTGACAATGAATTTGTCTAATTAGTGCTGAAACTGCTGAAGAATTAAATGATAATTATGAAAAACTCACTTAAGTTTTGAATGCTTGGAGGAATTGCGTGGCTCTGGAAGTCGCGTTTTGTCGTTGCGGTGCCAAAGGAAGCGCGAGTGGAACTGTCCGTGGCCGAGCAAAACTATATAATTTCACAGCGAAAAGGCTTCTTCTTTTCTCCTTTTGCTGCTTAATCTGCTCTCTGGGGGGAAACCAAGCGATGAATGCATTGCAAACGCTCTGACACATTTTGTGCCGCCACTTCACCAGCGCACCGAACAATGCAACTTATTGTAAAGGCGCAATGAAAATAAAATTGAAGCTTCGGAACGTGTCTCGACCCTGCACACTGCAGTCTTTCTCACTATTAAGGATCGAACTTTTGCCATGCAGAGTTCTCAATTGTCAAAGCTTTTTCAATGGTTTACATTCTTATTGCATTTTCTGCATTCAATTGCAGGAAATAAAAATAACTCTCAACACCATCAGCATTCTAATAAGTTGAAAAACTTTTTTTCAATAGTTCTCCACAGACATTAGACAATTACTTAAATAAAATAAAACTAACGATTCAAATACATTATTTTATTTTTATTAAATTTCTTCAAATATTGACTTCTATTTCATTTCATGTCAACTTTTTCTAATTTGATGCCATCATTGTGCTTTCACAACATATAAACTTTGTTATCTGTATTTATTTGAATTAAATTTTATTATAACCATCGTGGCAGCTTCTATTTATTTTCATTTCATAAATTAAAATAAAATTTTGTTCCTTTTTAAAGTATTTAATTTATGAAATTACATTGGTGCTCAAAAATTTTAGTATATTAATATTTACAAGCCGAAAATAAAATAAAAGTTTTCATGAGGGAACCTACAAAGAATTATGACTTTAATTGGAAAAAAATTAACCGAAATTAAATAAATATATCATTTACTGTGTATAAATTATACAAAAATTCTTCAGTCACTGATAAAATAATATTTTTGTCGATTTTTGTATGAAATAAAAGATTTTTAATCAAGTTAATTCATAGAAATTATTTAAATCAATTAAATAAGGCTCGGATAATTTAGGGTCCTAGGGTACAACGGTAAAATTTGCCAAAGCACAAAATTGAATAAAATAAAAAAAGAATAATATCATAATATGAAATAAAGTAAATGCAGGAAATAAATAACAATATATTAAACGAAACCCAATTAAATTGAATCAAAAATTTTAGTTAAATGAATTGATAATTTAAACTATATTAATGAAGAACATAGAAATTAAAACAAAACTTTACACTCAATGCTATTAAATAAAATTACCTTAAATTACATTTAATAAACATGGAAATAAATGAATTTAATTTAACGAAAAAGAAAATAATATTATAATAATAATTGAAAAATACAATGAAATAAATAAGGTAATAAATAAAAAGAAACAATACAACTGTGTTAAATTAAACTAAAGTGATAATAGTGATATACAAATTAAATCGAAATGCAGTGAAATACACTTACAAAAATATGATGGAAATTGTATTAAAATGAACTGAATTAAAAGTAATTTTGTTCGCAATTCGCATGATTATGCTTTTTTGCATTTGCCTGGATTCGCTCATTCACTTTGGTAACTTTTCGTACGGCCGCTTGGAGCAGCACCGTCGCCACATGGGCCATGTGTTTACGTTTGATGGTGCTTGAAAGGAGAGTAGATAAGAGGAGGCACCGAATTTCAACAGCTGGAAGTGACCTCATTGAAGAAAAAGCGTTGTGACGTCACTTCTGGTATTGATGTTAAGCCCTGATCGCATCCACCCTCGCAATATCATCGCCAAACTCTTTTCTTTTTGGACTTTTCGATCCAGCAAGGCAAGGCAAGGCAAAAGACACAAGCATGGCCGCAAAAGTGAGTTCGGCGCGGAAGAAACGCGTGTCGAAGAAGAGCAAGAGTTCGTGGCGCAGCAAGTCGGACGTGCAGGATGTCGAGGACTTCCTCGAGGCGCAGCGCACCGAGCAGATCCAGGGGTGCGTCCCCGCCCTGAGTGAGACCTGAGACCCTTTTTATTCTGACACGTGTGTTTGTTTTTCTCTTCAGGGGTCCGGTGTCGAGCAAGCCGGACGCGCAGCTCTTCACGATCGACACCAAGGCCAGGAAGATCAGGGACGTGGCCGCGTACCTGAGCAGGAAGGACAGGGCGCGCCAGAAGCCCCTGCGCTGCTTCGCGGCCCTCGAGAACGACTCGGCCGTCCAGGACCCGGTCATCAAAAGGTTCCATCTCGATCTTACCCTTGCGGGTTTATGATAAATTGACCCTGATTTTCTGCTCAGGAACAAGGTGCGGCTGCCTGGCGAGGGTAAGGGCATCGCCAGGGTGCGCCGTCTGCAGAACACGGCCAAGCGGCTCAAGAAGGAGGCGCAGTCGCTGGAGGACTCGGCTGCCTACTCGGCCAACAAGCCCCTCGGAAGGGACCTCGCAGCTCCCGCCGCCCTCGACGTCTGGGGCGACGAATGCAAGTCCTTCAAATACCTTCCAAAGGTGAAATTTAAAATTGAATTTCGATTGCAGATGGATCGGTGAAGCTGCCGATTGACGAGCAGTGGTTGGCGCCCAAGACGCTGGTGCACACCATCGAGAATGTGCACAAGAAGGTGGGCGTCAGGTCGCGCTTCTCCAGGGTCAGGAACTCGAAACTGCCGGCCATCGAAGCCCCCCACCCTGGTAAACAAATCCGCAGTTTTCTTAGTGCAGGTCTGTGAAATTCGGATTGCAGGCGAATCGTACAACCCTTCGCTGGAGGACCATCAGGACTTGCTGCAGCAGGTCGTCCATCATGAGACGGCGCTGCTCAAGAAGGAGAAGCACCTCGAAAGGGTCACCACCAAGATGTTCTGCAAAAGGAGCCAGATCCCCACAGAAGTACGCTAAAGCTGTTCAATGATTTATTGATTTGAGGTGTCAATTCTTGTTTGCGACTTTTAATAACTGGTGGTCGATGTCAAGATTAGCTTGATAATTATTTAAGTTTTCTCTTAAGTCGGATTGTTTTTGAAATTCATATGATTTCTATAGTTTCATTTTGCAAAGTCTCGACAGCAAACTTCAGACTAAATACTGGACATGATGTCCTGCAGCACCACCTAAATTGTTTTAACATCGTAAAAGAGCCAGCAACATGCAAACTTTGTAGATTAGAAAAGCAAGACAAGGAGCACCTCTTTAGGTGCCCTAAACTCAAAGAAGATCTAGACGCGATACCTGACCATTGGAGCAGGATAGAAAAAGAAGCCCACTTGTATTGGATAGCTAGAAAGAAGAATGACTTAACAATCACCACTTCGGCATAAGAAGAAAAAAAAAAAAAGTTTCATTTTGCTTCATTAATTTTCACTTTATTAGTTTATACAGTTTCATTTCTATCAATTTTTATTTTTTGATTTCCTTCATCAATAATTTGAAATTTTTTTGATTTTTTTTTAAGTTACTTTAATTTTATTCCATTTCATTTTCATTGGTTTAATTGATTCTTGTCAAATTTAATTTAATTTCCTTAAAATTCATTTAATAGTGGTTTCTTTTAATTTTTATTCATTTTAATCTTTTTCATTTACTTAACTTTCATCAAATTTTTGTATTTAATTTCAACTTAATTTGTAAATTGTTTCATTTTAATGTAATTTAATTTAGATCTTTTTTATGTAGTTGATATTTTTGATTTATTTAATTTTGATTTACGCTATTTTAATTTATTTGCATTGCTTTTGTTTCTTAAATTAGAAGTTGTGAATTGTTTTATTGTCCTTTTTTAAAGTACGACTAAATTTGTGAACGGATTGCAGGAGGAGAAGTTGAAGGAGTTGGCGCAGGGTCTGCCTGTGCCTGGAGAGGAGGTGGTGGACGACGAGGTGTTCGACTCGGAGTACAAAGCGCTCAACCCGCCGGTGATCAACAAAAAGAAGACCCTGCAGAAGCGCAAGCGGCTGCAGACGGCCAGGGAGGACCAACTGCGCCGGTTCTCCGAAAAGATGGAGAAGAAGAAAATTTCTGACATTGACAGGTGCGTACGTGTTTCGATTTGAACCTTAAAAATCTGACTTTGGTTTTGCAGACTGAAGAAGGTGGAGGAGGAGATGCGGGCAGAGACGGAGGAGATGGCGCGCAACAAGGTCCTCAAGTTGCAGGCGCTGGCCAAGAAGGAGTTGCAGCCCAAGAAGATGGCCAACTACAACTTTGAGGCGGCCGAGCTCGACTTTAACCTGCCCAAGGACATCAAGGGCAACGTCCGCCAACTTAAGGCCGAGGGCAGCATCCTCGCTGACCGCTTCAAAAGCATGCAAAAGAGGAATGTCATTGAGACCCGTGTCAGACAAAAGTAAGAAATTAATTATTGTTAAAAAAAGAAACTAGTCACAGAAAATTAAGACGGGTTATTCATTTTTAATTTATGGAAATTTTTCTAAAAGAAAGTCATTTTGAACTTGCTGATTTCTTTGGAAAAAACTAAACTTGTCAACTTTCAGGGTGAAGAGGAAATTCCGACCCAAGAGATTCGTCAAGGCCTCCCACAAGATTGACCCCTGATTTATTTTTTTATTGTAATTAAATGCATCGGTTAGTTTCGAACTGGCTGGGTTTTTTTCACTGAATGTCACAACAGAGGTCAAGGTCAGGGTCCAGTTGCAGAGGCAGAGGCGGTGTCAGAGTGTCCCTGTACACCAGGAGAATGGAGGGGGTGTGCAGGTCGACGGGCAAGCAGAGACGCTCAAAAAGGTCGCTCTCGTCGATGATGCCGTTTTCCTCCAGGATCTTGTCAGGGTCCAGCTCCTGGCCACTCAGGCTACAGATCCACGCGTACCCTGACACAATCAGGCCCAGGGCCTCGTACCGCCGTTTGATCTCCTCGCAGGTGTCTTCGGCGCAGCACTGGAAATTATTCACAAAATTTTTGCAAGCAATTACAAAAAAAAATCATTCAAAAGAAGAAATGGGCATATTTTTGATAAACAACAAAGCCTATTTTCTTAATTTATGTATGTTAGTGCTTAATAATGCGCGTCACAAGGATCTAGGCTAAAATTCTAATTCAATTTTTTATTTTTAATTATTAATTCTAGTTATTTAAATTAAAAATTACGTCAATATTAGTGGTTTTGCCAGTGAGGGTGTTGATGATACGGATTGTCCTCTGTTTTTTGGTGACTTGACCGACCTGAAGTCGCTCATCCCGCCACCAGACGGGTTCCATGGTGTCGTCCAACACGTGGGGAGGCACGCCGTGCAGATCGAACGGCAGCCGCTGTCCGCTTGCCACGTCTGTGTACCTCAAGAACTATTTGAAAAATGAAAAAGGGGGGCGTATCGCAGGAATAAGGAAAAAAATCAATCGGACACCTCTTGGGTGTGAGGGTCGAACCAGTGGCTGACATCCTGGCCGGCGAATCTGAGGATCGGTCTCATCTCCTCGGCGTCCGGCCCCACCGCGTGCACCAGCGGGGTCACGTCCAGCACCCTGCCGAAGACCACCAGCCAAAGGTCGCTCGACCGGCTGTGCTCCGCCACCTCTTTCTCCATGAAGAATTTCATTTTAAATTACAATTGGAACTAAAGATAACTTTTAAGAACAAATCGCAACAATTGGAAATAATGGAAGGCAATGTCTGTTGACGCCTTTGTTGCTTATTGAATTTGCAGGCAGAGTGATTTTTGCCGCCTTTTGGGTTTCCCGCCTTTTTTATTCAAACCAGAATCTGATTTTTTGTCATTTAACAAACGTCTTAATTTCTATATAAATTTAAGGATATTTGTTTTAAGAAGCTTAATAATTAAATTTAGTATTATTTTAGCAAAGAAAAAGCGTTTCGCCAAACGAATGAAGGTTTTAGTTTTCGGTGCTGGTTGTTTTGATTCGAGTTCCTTCCCTCCCCTCGTGGGCACGTTTGCGCCAGGTTTGCGCACGTTTTTCGGACGGGGAGGAGTGAAAATCTGATCTGTCGTTGAAGAAGTGTCTCTCGCAGGGCGACGCACTCGACCGACTGCTTTTTGTGATTCTATCTCAGAGTTTAGTAAACTAAGGAAGCGAACCCTTGCGATGGCCGACTCAGACGCGAAAAAGGTATAATTTGCTCGCCAAGGTCGGCCCTGAAAACTGGCAGACAGACCGAGTCTCTCGATCTCCTCGCACGTTTCGCTTTGTTTTTGCTCGCGTTTCGGACTCGCTTGCCGCGGACACGCGTCCCTCGTCGACCACAATCGGACGGGACGTGACCTCTGAGGTCCCTTGCGGTCATCCGAGTGCGGAATGAGCAAAATTTGAGGGGAATGCGAGCGAAAAAGGAGTTTTTCGGATGGTAAACAAAGCGCCCCGGCACGATCGTTGCTCTCGTTTCGAGGCAACGGCGCAATTCGAATGCAAGTGCGCGTTTCGAAACGATTCTTTTCAAAGTGCCACTTCGCTTGTTGATTAGCAAAACAATCACGCAAAACGCGGCCAAAAGTTTGACGCACTGCAAAATACTAAAAATATCGTCCATCTTTTTCCTCTCCCAGAGATTTTCAAAATTTCACCCGAATTAAACTTTTGACGAATTTAATTTCAGGTTCTGGAATACAAAGAGCGCGTCAAGAAACAGGTACTGATCCATTTCTTATCTTTGATTTGGCCTCACGGATCTTCTGGGAATGAAAAAAATTCATAGTCATTTTTGAAATAGATTTAAATAAAGATATTTTTCTGAATTGTCTTTTGTTCTTGATTGAAGGCCGAGGAGCTCGTGCTGAAGGAGTTTCCTCGGAAAATCGTGGTCTTGGATGAGCTTTTGAAGACGAGCGACTTCAACAGGAAGAACCTGGAGGAGGTGCACGAATCGCTCAATATTCCTGTCCCAGAACCGGTCCAGCTAAACAGGTTTTAAATTTTCACACCAAAATAAATTTTTTTCTAAATTATTTTGCCGCAGCCACTCTGAGCCCGTGAACAAGCGGTGGAAGGCTGACTCGAAGCTGGAAGAAATCACGGGCACCAAGGTGATGGCCCTGACCAACGGGGCCGTGCCCTGCAACAAGCACCTCTGCAACCTGGTCTTCCAGGTCAAGCCGCACGTCCGGCAGCTCGTCGAGGATTCCAATGTGGTTCGTCCTACTCAGGATTTACCTCCATTTTGTTACTTAAACGGCCAAATTGCAGCTGAAGATGTGGGTGTCGTTCCTGATTCCAAAGATTGAAGACGGAAACAACTTTGGCGTGTCCATCCAGGAGGACACCCTGGCCGAAATCCAGTCTGTAGAGTCTGAGGCCGCTGCCTTCTATGACCAGATTTCCCGCTACTTTCTCACCAGGGGCAAAATCGTCTCAAAGGTGCGGCAAATTCATCTAATAAACAATTTGATTAAAATATCTAGCAGGAAAGATTGTTCGAAAGTCAGACAAATCAAATCCGTCATTTTTTCTTTAGAATTTTCCAAGTTAAGAGTAAAAGCTAATATTTTGACATAATATTTATTTTTTAATTTAGGTGGCCAAATACCCGCACATTGAGGACTACCGTCGGGCGGTGGAGGAGCTGGACGAGAAGGAGTACTTGAGTCTGATGCTGGTGCTGTGCGAGGTGCGCAACAGGTACTCGACCCTGCACGACATTGTGACAAAGAACCTGGAGAAGATCAAGCGGCCGCGCTCATCCAACACCGAGTCGCTCTACTAGACGGACGGACAGTCGGACGACCGCGTCCGCACGCAAATGTGATCGCAGCGCCCTTTGAGCGCTTTAATTCCTTTGAGAAAGACGCATTATTTTTTATTACTCACATCTCCACTCACCCCCAGAAGAAGCGGCAGCAGAAAAGCAGGACCCTGGCTGGCCATCTCTCATGTTTTTGTTTGTATTTGTGCGAGGGATTGTTTCGCGGTTGGCCCCCCACCACGCCAACTCAATAAATTACCAATTCTCATAAAACAATCCTCATTTTAATAGTTTTTTTTACATCCAAAAGGTGAATTCTTTCGGATCGCAACGCCTTGGTGCGCGAATTTGAATCGGCGGCAGTGTTGTGGTCACGTGACGTGTGCGAGCCAATGAGCGCGCACCACCTCAAGGGGGAGGGGCGTGTCCGGCTGGCTGCCATGTATGCACCCTTCGTCGCGAATTCGGCGAATTTTTTTATTGTTCTGCTGTTTTGAAAACAACCGACTGGTCGAAGGTCGACTCTTCCGTTTGCCCGCACCCTGTCCAAGGACGCAGAATGGTGGTGCCCTAAGATGGTGGGCGGCTGAAGCGAGTTTCTAAAGCACGCAGAGTTCGAATTCGCGCGGAGCAAAAAAGATCCAAGTAAGATGAGGGCCGCGGGCGTCACCCTGCTGAGCATCACCCTGACGGCGGCCGTCATCGGCAACGCCTTCTACCAAAAGAAGCAGTTCTACCCCTCGGTGGTCTACATCACCAAGTCCAACCCCTGCATGGCCGTGAGTAGTGCCGCGAATTCTGCACAGTCATCCCCCAAAAATGTATGACGAACAAACTCTAAAAACCTTTGCCTTTTCAGGTCATGTACATCCAGGCCTTCGTCATGGTCATCCTCATGGGCAAGCTGATGCGCAAGGTCTTCTTCGGCCAGCTCAGGGCGGCCGAGTTTGAGGTTTGATATTAATTTGAAAATGAAGAGTTGGAAATTTACATACTTTTTTTCTAATTTCGGCAGCACCTGATGGAAAGGTCGTGGTACGCGGTGACTGAGACCTGCCTAGCCTTCACGGTCTTCAGGGACGACTTCAGCCCCAAGTTTGTGGCGCTGTTCACGGTGCTGCTCTTCCTCAAGTCCTTCCACTGGCTTGCCGAGGACAGAGTCGACTTTGTTAGTCAAATTCGAATGGAAATGAACTTTTATAAATTGGAATGGCGATTTCAGATGGAAAGGAGTCCGGTCATTTCGTGGCTGTTCCACATCCGAGTCATCTGTGAGTTGTTTTGTCTCTTGGCAAGGGTGTGTGAGAATGAGCTGGGGGTTGTTTCAGCCCTTCTGAGTGTGCTGGGGTACCTGGACTACCTGTTCGTCGGTCACGCGTACCAGTCGACGGTGACCAAGGGGGCGTCGGTGCAGCTGGTGTTTGGCTTTGAGTACGCCATCCTGCTCACCATCATCTGCAACATCGGCATCAAGTACGTGCTACACGCCGTTGACCTGCAGAGTGACAACCCATGGGAAAACAAGGCCGTCTTTCTGCTCTACACTGAGCTCGCCATGGGTGCGTCCCCACCCCTAGCGCAAAACACTTCTTTTTAAACTTGTTCGACTCGGCAGGTTTCGTCAAGGTTGTGCTCTACGTCACCTTTGTTGCCATCATGGTGCGCATCTACACGCTGCCCCTGTTTGCCTTCAGACCCATGTACTACACCATGAGGTCAGTCTCTTCCGAATGTTACATTTCAATCAATTTGAATGACTTCTTGTATTTGTTGGTTACTTGGTTTTTAAAGTAATGCATCTATTCTTCAAGAGTTAAAAGGTCAACAGTAATTTCAAGGATAAGTCAAGATCAATATTTAATGCAAATGATAAATATATATAAAATTCCTCTCAAGCAATGTTTAAAATGAAATGTTCATTGATTCCCGTAGGGCCTTCAACAAGGCGTTCAACGACGTAATCCTGTCCAGAAGGGCCATCAGGAACATGAACACCCTGTATCCTGACGCCACTCCTGAGGAACTGTCTGCTGCGGACAACGTCTGCATCATTTGCAGGGAGGAAATGGTCACTGGTGAGGAAAGCACTTTTGTTATAAATCTTGCAGAGGAATTTATTTTTGGGAATGAAGTTTTAAAACTAGTTGGTTTTTGGCATCAAGAAATTAGAGGAACTAGCTTTTTTATCTTTTTCCTTGAAAAGGTCTGAAATTTGGATTCTCAGTTTATAAAAAAGGAATGGTCATTCAAAAGAGTTATACATTTTAGCTCATTATTATAACGTTTTTTCTATTATTGTAATTTTCCTATAGTTAAAATGAACATTATCAACAAAATCTTATAATCAATCAATTCTCAACTAATTTAACAAAAAATTAAATTTACATCGGTATATTAGCTTATTTTTATTTAAAAATATTCCATTATTACCAGTTAAAAGTTAAAATTATATATATAGTAATAATAAATTAAAATAGATATCTTACACACTAGTATTTTATAATAGTTTATAAATTAATACGTACAAAAAATTAATCAGGTCTCATAATGTGACTGTTTTGAATTTTGAAGCAAAACTAATGGAAAATTTCAGCGTCCAAAAAGCTGCCGTGCAACCACATCTTCCACACGTCGTGTCTGCGCTCGTGGTTCCAGCGGCAGCAGACGTGTCCGACGTGCCGCCTCAACATCCTGCAGACGCCCCCAGTCGCCCCCCACCAGCAGCAACAGCAGCAGGCCAACAACAATGCGGCGGCCGCGCCACCCCCGGGGGCCCCTGCCGCCGCTCCCGGCGCGCTGCCCCCGCCGATGAACCCCTTCGTGATGATGGCCGCGGCGGCGGCCGCCGCCGGAAACAACATGTGGCCGCCCCCGCCCTTCCCGGTGCCGCCCCCACCCCAGCAGCAGCCCCCACCCACCGCAGGTACGCAATCGACCTTTCTTTTCACCTGAGATTGAATTTTTTTTCCGCACAGGCCCGAGCACAAGCCAGGCGGCCGGTGGCCAAGCCCCCTCGGCCGGCAACCCGCTGATGTACCTCCGCTTCCCCATGCTGCCCTTCAGTGAGTACCTTTGCCCCACTTTTCCAGCTGACCTGATTTTGCTTGCAGTGGTGCCGCCCCCGGTGCCCCCGCGCGACCTCGGCGGGTTGAGCGAAGAGGAGTTGAGGCGGCTCGAGGGCGTGACCAGAGAGGCCGTCGAGGCGCGCATCCACGCCCTGCGCCAGGTCGCCCTCCTCCTCGACTGCGCCTCCCTCATGGCTACTCAGGTTGCCGCTGCCACGCCCCCAAACTACCCTCCTACCGCCCCCGCAAGGTTGGTTCCATCAAAAATCTTGATTTTTTTTTTTTTGTGAAAATAGTTGAATAATAATTCTGATTTGGCTTTCAATTTGATAAAAATTTTAAGAATCGTATCTTAATTTACTTTTCCACACCTCCGAGATATATTATTGCAAATTAAAAAGAATATTTAAATTTAAATGTTTTTTTTTTTCATAAATTTAAACTTCTGAAATGGAACAAATTTATATTGCAGATTTGGCTTTCATTCCCTTGCAATTGAAGCCAAAAGAAGTGATTGATTGAAATGTTTTGAAGCCATTTCTCGGTTGTGAAATTTCCATGTGCGAAAATCAATTGTCAGTCTTATGCAATAATCGTTTGGTACAATTTCAGCAGCCCGGCTAGTGGAGAGGCAAGCGCCCCCGAGGCCGAGCAGACTGAAGCCGCCCCTGCCACCCCCGCAACTCCCACTTCTCCTCCCAGCACGTCAGCGGACCAAACCACGTACGTTCTCTCCTCACTTGAAGGATATGAAAAATAATTTTATTTTCTTGGTGCGCAGGTCGAGTGCGACGGAGCCGAGTTCGGAGCAAGAGGAGGTGCGGAGGCGGCGGCTGCAGCGTTTTTCGGCGCCCCCGGACGCCAACGACTCCAACTGAATGTCTGTGATCTTCGATTTTTGTCTATTTCCTCGGGTGTAATTGAAACAACGTTCCAAGTCAAAGTGGGGGACAAAGCTGTTCTTATCTAAGAGTGTTCTGCAAATTACGTTTTGTTGTGCGATATTAATAAAACCTGACTTGATTCGCACGCGTGTCCGTCATTTTAATTGCGTTTCTCTGATAAGCAACTTAAATTAAAGAGCAATCGATTGAACGATTCTCTTCATGTCCCAAAAGTTTTGAAAGAATTCGCACTTCAGCGGCCGTTTTGCGTCGGGACCAATGAGGGCGCGGGTGCGGCCGGAGGCGGGCGCTGATTGGCCGGCCGGCGCGACTCGTTTCGTGCGAATCTCGCGCAGCAGCACCTGAGGTCGGTCGGTCGGCCCAGTCGAGACTCAGACACGGCAGGTCCGTGTCCGCAGTGATCGGTGCGTCTGTCGTCGGACGGACACGGAGGATCGGTCGGTCGCTCACGGACGCAGTCGATGCTGCAGGTGGCGCCGCCGCAGGTCATGGCGCCGGAGAACAGGAGGAACGGCGCGGCGCCGCACGCTAACGGCGCCGCCGACATCACCATCCAGACCAAACCCTTCCCCGTCAGGGGTGAGTACGAATCCGGCTCAGGGTCTCGCACCCTTCCCAGGGCAGAGCGCAAAAGGGTCTCGTCGGCCGTACCGCCGAACATCGATCCAACCCCCTCCCACCCCCCGATCGAATTCATCCCCCGCAGATTTGGGATTACCAAAAAATCCGGTTTCCGGATTCCCAAAAGTGACGAAATTCGTCCCTAAATTTCGAGGAAAAAGCAATTTTCCTGGAAGCAATTTCTTCTTGTTAAATTCTTTTTCCTTGAAAGAGAAAAAATCCTCGTGTATTTTTTTTTTACGAGCGAGGCTTCCCTTTTCAAGAGTGACACACGTTGCAATGGCGATCGCGGTCGCGTAATTAGAAAAGAATTATTTTTCAGTGCGGGTCTTCGAGCCCAAGGCCAAGCGTCCATCTCTGATTAATCAAGACTTGGTCGGATCAACCGCAAATAAACCAGGTCGATTCCTCCACAAATAATTATTAAATTCGAAAATTATTCATTTCTAATCGTAAATAATTTATGCAAAAATTGCAAATATTTTTGGTAACGATACAAAAATAAATATATTTATTCTGTTTTAAATTATTTGTTAGTTAAAAAAAATTACAAAAATATATTTTTTCTCAGGTTTGTTAAATTTTTTATATATTTATTCTGAATAATTATGTTATTTGGTGGATTTTTTTTGCATCAAAGCGATTTTCTGATAAAATTGATCGCGCCCTCTGAGAAGAGGAAATTAATGTTAAGACAGAATTTAATTTTTATTTTTAATTTTTAACTCATGTTGGTTTTTGCGTTGTTTTATTTTTGACGAAGCAATTTTTTAGTTTTGCTCAATCATTGAAGCTCCTTTAAATACCAAAAAACCACAAATGTTTAAAAAAAATTCAATATAAGCTAATTATTTTCTTGTTGAAGGTGCCAAAATTTGGTTAGCCTTATTTTATTGCAAAGGAGCAAAATGAAATTGTGCTTTCCTCGCAGTCGATTTCGGATGTGCACGTGAAAGGGGTGTGCGTAATTAAGTGCAGAGCGCGTGCAACACACACACGTGCTTTTTGCATAATAAGTGGGTTTGGCCGCGCTCGGGGATCAAAAGATAGCAAATCTTAACGATTTTGGTTCTTACTTTGTTTGTCGCGCGCGATCCGAACTCAAACAATCGCCTCTGACGTCAAGTTTGTTCAAATAAAACAAAAAATAGTGAAAATATTTAGTCACACCATCCAAAAATGTGTCACCAAAACTCATCTTAATCGGCGTTTATGTTACGTAAATCAATTTTCAAGCAAATCAAAGTTATTTTTACGGTTGATGAAAAGCAATAGTGACGTTATTTTTGCTTTTTAATTAATAATAAAATAATTCAAAGAGAGACAAAAATGCAGAAATTTTAAAAGCACAAACGTGATATTGAGCAGAAAAATTGTAAATTTTCTAGATTGTTCTTTATTAAGAGCCGATAAAAATTTAATTTAATTTTGTAACTTTTTAGTAAACAAATGTTTTTAAATTAATAAATATTTCATCTTTTGATTTTGTTTTCTCAAATCAATTCAGTTTACACGCAGAACTTGTGAATCTGAAAATAAAGTGTAATTTAATGTTTTGATTTTTTCCATATAAGAAATAATGCGACAAATAAGGGAGGCGCGTATAACTGCTCGAGCGCGGCGCAAATAAATCGCAGGTGTTTGTTTTCAATTATTTATTTTTCCTACGCGGCCGTGATTGCCAAGGTCGCTCAACAGCACAAGGAAAATCGCATATATTCTTTTATTTGAAACTCATTTGAGTACAACTTCAACTTAACTTAAAAAATTTTACAAAACAATTTTCAATGTGGTGCGCGACAAAATAAATTCAAAGTCTTTCACTTCATTTTTGAATAGTCATTAATACTAAGGATGCGATTTTTGCACTCGGCCAGGTGGTACTGGGTGCATTTCTCACCGCATAGCAAACACACGCAGGAATCACTTTCATCGAAGCACTGCTGTCGCTCGGAACTATTGCTACAGATTTGGTTGTGAAAACCGTGCATGGCATATCGACAAAAAACATGGCGTTTATCAAATAAGGGTTGTTTCCATACATCATTTCTCATTGCCGGTGTGACATTAAAGTTAACATTAAATCTAATGTCATGTTCAGAATTATAACTCTCAAGGAACTTTAAATAATTTTCAGTCTCCGGGAGATCGTATTTTTCTTTTAAGTCATTTACAAATAATTTCTCGTCAACTAGTTTGTACACATAGGTGTTCTTGTTATATTTCGAAACTCCCATAACTTTCTTAAAATAGCGAGATTTCACTTTTTCTAATTTTTCAAAATCACTCTCTCTTAAATATTGCCAGATCACTTCAATGCCGTAAGAGGCCATCGGAGCAAATTTCAAATCAAACAATTTTTTCGCACAATCAATAGACAATTTTCGCAAATCTCCGTACATATTCATTGCAGTAAGTGCTTTTTCATTTCTCTGTTCTATATGTTCAGTGAAATCTCTACCTGACCTCTGGAAATAAATTCCTAAATATGGGAAACTTCTAACATATTCAATTTCATGGCCATCGATAACAAGGAAAATCGCATAAAGTTAAAAAAAAAATCGATGCAGCCAAACGAAAAAAAAGCGAGATGAAAAAATGGATCACATTGAGGGACGTACGCGCGAGAAGTGGGGATTGGGGTGACCTTGCCGCGTGCGCAAGGCCAAGGTCGAATCTAATCAAATAAACTCCAAATCAGAGCGAATTGCATAACTTTTCTTTTCTATTTTTCACAATGAATCGTTTGTCGTATTTTTTGGCATTCAAGTATTATTTCTTCTCGTCAAAAAGGTCTTTTTATTTATTTATTCAAAAACGTATAAAAAGTAGAGATTGCTGCGTAAATTTTAGTTACTTTGTCCATTTGAAACAAAAACTTTATAGTAATTGCGCTTGAGTGTTAAAAATTTAATTGAATAAAAACATGCAAATTTAAAATACATAAAATGAATAAAATTTTGTGATTTTTCTGAGCGTTGAAGCGTTTTTTTTTTTTTTTTTTTTTTAATAATTTGCTGCTCAAATAAGTTTATAGGTTTAAAAACTGAAAACTAAGAGTGAATCTTCAAAAATTATCCAGGTTAAAATAATTACAAAGGTAAAAAAAATGCGTTTATCTGAAAATTTCAAATTTAAACTTAAAAAAAATTAGTTAAATTTGGTATTTTTGTCAAAAGTGGCAAGTATTAAAGTTTCTTCTTTGTCTGTGTTAAAAGTCGGTAAAGTGAGTCGAGCAGCAAAACAAAGTGCGTTGGGATCGCGCGTTGGTGCGGCGCCGATCTGGGAGTTGGCGATGGGCCGAGTTTGCGGCGGCCAAGGTCGAGAGCGAGTCGCGGCCGCCGCGTGCTCTTCACGTGAACCTACGCCACGCCCCCTCAACAATTTTTGCAATTCAACTGCGACGAAAATCTCTTTTTGCTTTTTCAAAACCAAAATTTAACTGAAGAGGAAGAAATTTTTTTTTTAACAAGAAAAAAGGCGACTGCGCGAATTTAATTGCATTTGATTGGCTGCGGTTTTGGTCTGCGGGGCAAAAGTAACGGAAGAGGTCGTTTGTTTGTTTGGTCGGTCTTTGGCCTGCAGTCGCGTGATCAACGCCATGGACGACGAGCGCAATCCGTGGCTTCGCAGAATCAGCAACGTCGGCCACGGTAATTTCATTTTCCATTGAATCAATTTAATTTCTACTATTTTGCTCGAATTCCTTTCGTCGTGCCGAGCTTTTGTGCTTTTTTCGGAAAACTGCTGGCATTTAAAACGAGAGCCAAGTCAATTAAAATGAAAAGTTAGGCAGGCCAGGCCGGACCTCCTCTGTCGAGGAATAAGTGAAGCGCGTGCAAGTTAGACTCGCCCGTTCCACACCGATGCCTCGCCGACGGCATAACCCCCAGTCATCTTCCACGTTTCTTTAAATAGACGGAAAACAATCTTCAATGAATTTGGCTGATTGCGATTAAATCTTTTTTATAGAGAAAATTTTTGGTATTTTTTAATTAAAACGCAAGGCACAATTTCTAAAACGTGTTATTTATGCCAAGCTAGAATGCCTAGAATTATTTTGCAATTTAATTTGACCAAATAACTTGATTATGATCATGTCAATTTTTTATTCTGTTTAAATTTATATTCATTTCAATCCGGAGGAATTTGTATAAATTTTTTTAATTAAAAAACTTTTTGATCTCTTTAATGTAATCATTCAAAAAATTTAATTTCCTGTAGATCATTCAAAGCTTTCCTGTCATATCTAAACAGAATTTAGCTCTACAAGAGAGATTTAAATTTTCAAGTTAAATAAAATTAACTTGTCGTGAGATTGTTGCGGTTTATTATCAAGGAGCTCGTGAAATCTACACTGAAATTATGACTTCTCAACCTTTTACGCTTTTACCATAAGATCAAGATGTATATTTTTTATGTTGATCAGTGGCGGCAATAAGGGTGTTGGGGGCGAAAGGTTCCACGGGCCCCGGCCTCAGCCTGCATTAAAAAAAAAATCGGAAAAATTTTCAAGCAATTTTATGCTTTCTTCTTTGCACACAATTTCTACTTCCTTTTTCAAAATTCTTAGAAGTTTCTCCAATGACCTTTGAGCGTTATTTTTCTTTAATGATTGCTTCAAACTTTTATGATGTTGGGGCAATAGACCTGGACTTTGAAAATCCGTTTTTCTGGGTGAGTTGATTTTATTCAATTATTCGTTGATTTTTGTATACAATTTATTCGGTTCGCTGTGTTTTCCAATGTAAATTAAAAAATCTCAGAGATGCGTTTTCAAATTTTGTTTCCGAAATTCAGGTTTATCTTTGACTTTTTATTGTTGATTTAAAATATTTTAGTCCTCACTTCAACGATTTCAAAAATCTCAGTCCTGAAGAACACAGAGTCGTGGATTTCAAAAATTCCAGACCAGAAAAACGCATCTCAGGGATGCGTTTTTAAATTTTGTTTCCGAAATTCAGGTTTATCTTTGTGCTATAGCGTTAAGGAAAATCAAGGCGATTTCTTGCTTGTTTATAATTTATCTTCTTTGTTTTTAAATCGGCAATTTTTTTCCAAACCTGGTAGCACAAACTTTTTCATTGACATTTCGTCTAAATAGTCCCCTATGATTAGAAACTAAAACAAAAAAGTGTGTGCTATCATGTTAGGAGAAACAGCACAAGATAAATTCAAGGTTGAAATAGCAATATCAATCTTGAATAAATTTAGATTCTCCTAAACATGATAGCACAAACTTTTTTATTAAGTTTAGAGTAAATAAAGGACTATATAGACCTGAAGAGCTGAACTTTGTTATTAAAAATCGTGTGCTATCACGTTTTGGAGGGGTTTCTGGGTCGCTAGTGTGCTTTTGCGATCTCTTTTTTATAGCAAAATCAGCAGTTTTCCCAAAATCATGATAGCACACACTTAATTTTGAAAATGGCGAAATTTTCGTTTAGAGAAATAGACGTGAAATGAACAATTTCTATAAAAAAAATGTGCTATAGCGTTAAAGACAATCTAGGCGATTGCTTGCTCGTTTATAATTTATCTTCTTTGTTTTTAAATCGGTAATTCTTTTCCATTCCAAACCCGGTAGCACAAACTTTTTCATTGACATTTTTAGAACTTTTCTTCTAAATAATCCCCTATGATTAAAAACTATAACACTTAGTCCTCACTTCTGTAAAGAGTCAACGATTTCAAAAATCTCAGTCCTGAAGAACATTGAGTCGTGGATTTCAAAAATCCCAGACTAGAAAAACGCATCTCAGAGATGCGTTTTTAAATTTTGTTTCCGAAATTCAGGTTAACATTTGACTTTTTATTGTTGATTTAAATGTGAGCGAATGAGCCATAGAAAGAAATAAAACAAACACTTGAGTTGCTTCATTGAGACCCATGGGCTTGGAAATTCGAGCCGCCGATGCAAATAACAAAAGTGTCGTCATCAAAACAACTTTCATTGAAGGACGAAGTTTCATTTCATCCGTCAAGTTATGTGAACACGTTGCTTTTATTGCTCTTCATTGAGAGGCAAAATTGAGTCTCTGTGTGGAGGAGAGAAAATTTAACTTCAGAAATTTTGCAGAATGAAGTTTTATTAAGTATTCACAAGTAATAATTGTCTTAATTATGAAATTATGTTTCAGTAAATTGGGAAGCGGTTCTGATGGTTTTGGCTTGAAAAGTAGATTATTATTAATTAATTTTAAAAGTTAAATATTCATTGACATGGAAAAATTTTCCTTTCAAATAATCATCAAGTTAGGCTCTCGTTTTTATATTCATCAAAAATTAGTAGAAGCGAAACCAAGTCTCGATTCGATTTCGGAAAAGGAACGCACTCATTCGCATGTTGGCATCGGACACCTAAATTGAAAGATGATAATTTCAGAGGAGAGGGGGTTGGCGAACGCGGGTCGGGGAGGGAGGGAGGGGGTCCGCGTCGCCGCCTTTCTTGCTCTCGGTGTCAGTCGCGACTCGCCACCCGCGCGCACGTATAAACAAACAAACTCGCGTTCGCTGCATTGTTGGAGGCGTCGATTGTTGGGCCGGCCGCCGACGACATGTTGCGCAGAAACTCGCAGTTCCAGCGGAAGGTCTCCGTGCGCATCGGTGAGAGCAAAAGAAACCATTAATAATAATTATTATTCGCCCAAACCTGCTTCATTCAAACTAGATTTTGTCCTTTTCGATCTCGAGACGCGCGGAGGAATCAAAAGATAAAAAGCTTATCTTTGGTTTGGCGAAAGGTGCGGCTGCGACCTCTGCCAAGGTGAGGCCGCCGGGGGCGCCACCGATCGACCCGTGGCGCCGCGCCAACTATTCCTTAACCCCGCCGCAACGACACCGGCCGTCGACCCCGACCCACTTCCGACCAAAATATTATTTAGCGCTCGTTTCGACTCTTCAAATAAATTCATCCGATTCATTAAGCAAAGGCGCTCTTTCGACGCTTTCTTTTAAAAGTTTAAAAAGTTGATTTCTTTTTTATAAATATATATTCATGCATTTCTTCAAAATATTTGTAATAAATTTTTATATTTAAATATTTGCAAACAAGAATTTTATAGAAAATTGTCTGTTTTTGTTTTAATAATAATTCCATTATCAGAAAAAATCCAGTTTTATTTGTGTCAGAGTGTTTTTGACAGCGGCGGTTGGAATTGAAATTGAAACGGCTGCACTTTGCGTTGAGCATAACAATGGGCGCTCTGCATAATGCACTGGTCGCAGCTAATTTTAGAATTATCATTGCTTCGAATCAAAGTGAGAAAGTGTTGGTTTTGTTTTGCAGGCGAGCGGGCCAACTACGTGAACAGCCCGCACGTGATCGCGATGGTGGGGCTGCCGGCCAGGGGCAAAACCTACATCTCCAAGAAGCTGTCGCGCTACCTCAACTGGATCGGCATCAACACCAAAGGTACGCCTGCACCTCCCCAAAAGGGCAAACCTTCGAATCCGCTCACCTTCAAAATCATTCCCTTTGTTCTTGTCACAGTTAACTTAATGGAAATCGCTCTTCAATGCCTTGATTTGTAGAGGATGAAACCACATTAAAAAAACTAATATTTAAGACCATAAGGATCATTTTGATAATAAAAAATTGAAGCACGACGCATAATTTTTTTTTATAAACACGCATTTTAAATTATACTGGCTTGCTTATGTAAAATTTTCACAAAAAATCATTCGATCCCATTTTAAGTTTTTGGCTAATTAAGAACCAAAGACAATTTTTTTAAAAAAATTAAGTTTCAATTATGATCTTAATATTTCGTTAGTAAAGTTAAATTTTGTTTAGTTTTCAACTTGGGCGAGTACCGGCGACACGCGACGAGCGCGTACAAGAGCCACGAGTTTTTCCGTCCGGACAACAAAGAGGCGATGGCGATCCGGACGCAGTGCGCCCTGGACGCCCTCAATGACGTGTGCGCGTGGCTCGAGAACGGCGGCGAGGTCGCGGTCAGTCTCCACAAGTTTCTTCTTCTTAATCAAAATTTGAAAGATTCAAATTTCAGGTTTTCGACGCGACCAACTCGACGCGCGACCGGCGCCAGCTCATCCACAACATCGTGGTGGAGAAAATGGGCTTCAAGTTGTTCTTCGTCGAGTCGGTGTGCGACGACCCGACCCTGATCGAGCAGAACATCATGGAGGTCAAGGTCAGCAGCCCCGACTACCGCAACATGAACGCCGAGGCGGTGCTCAACGACTTCCTGCTGCGCATCGAGCACTACAAGGAAAAGTACGAGCCCCTCGAGGAGGCGCTCGAGGCCGACCTCAGCTTCATGAAGATCTACAACACAGGTTTGCAACCCCTACTTTCAGTCCTTCCAAAGCAATTTCTTTCAGCTATGGATAGTGCTGTTGAAGACAATTCCAACGATTTGTCACAAGGACTATTTTAAACTAAAATTTTTAGTAGTCTTCGGCCGCCCTACACTTCTATCAATTCTGTTCTGAAAGTATAGAAACACTTTTTTGAACCCATATTCCAAATAGATCTAGCAAAATCAATTTCAAAAATATGTGACAAGACAAAAGACCCAATTTGAGCTCAAATCGACGTAGAAATGCTAACTTTAAACAAAAAGCAGTCGCCGTATTAACAATAATGGCCGCCAAACGTAATTCATCGGTATCTATGCTAATTTTGATTGGAAATTTGATATCCGCACATTGTTAGAATCGTCTTGAAATAATGAATCAGAATCTTCGTAAAGACCAATGAAATGTTTAACCCCTTTAATATAAAAATGAATTTATTGCAGGTGAGAAGGTGGTGGTGCACAAGCACGAGGGCCACATCCAGAGCAGGATTGTCTACTACCTGATGAACATCCACATCGTGCCCAGGACCATCTACCTGACCAGGGTCAGTCCTTTTCTCGCGGTTTATATCTTTCCTGACTAATATAATTATGCTGCTTAGCACGGGGAGAGCGAGCAGAACCTGGAGGGCCGTATCGGCGGAGACTCGGACCTGTCTGCGCGCGGCCGGCAGTACGCCAACGCCCTGTCGCAGTTCATCTGCTCGCAGAACATCCCCCACCTGCGCGTGTGGACCTCGTGGCTCAAGCGCACCATCCAGACCGTGGCTGGCATCCCCGCGCCCCAGGAACGCTGGAAAGCCCTCAACGAAATTGACGCTGTCAGTTCTTTGTATATTTAATTTCATTCCAATCAAAATTATGCAAGTTTTTTATTCCAATTGCAATTTTAGAAATTTACCTATTATTGTGGAATTTCTCAATTTTGATTCCGCAATTGCAAAGACAATTTCAGTGATGTGTCACAAAGATGATTCAGAGTCTAAATGCACTACCATTTTTCAAAGTTAAAATTTGGAGAGTTTTCAATTTTTCCCCAAAGAAAAGGTTAAATCGTCTTAGAAATGTCCTCCGGGTTTGATGAATTTTAAATTGTAATTGACATCTTTAAAGCCAAAAGTTGGATTTCTTTACATAAAAGTTAGTTAAAAAATATAATTTGGGGCACAAAAATTTGGAAAAGAAAAAACTTTCCTTGACAAACGGTAACAGTAGTTGATACTAAAAAATTGCATATCTTGGGGTCTATTTGAAAAAAAGTACGCATGTGATATGGGTGATTTTATTTATTTTCTGACGATACATTTAGAATTTTTTTTTAAATTTCTTAAAATAATGTGGCAAAATGTGAATGTTTTTGTTTTTTATTTATTATAAGTTTTGAGATGCTGTTCTGAATTTTAAATATGTTGTTTCTTCAGTTTAGGACTACATTAGTATTTTTTTTTTTTTTGCCAAATTGAAAGTTTTTGTTAGAATGTTTTTGTATGTGAGACCTTGAGACCTTTGACTTTGAAATTATTTGACCTCTCAGTTGAAGAAGCGGTTAAAAAAAATTGGTTTTAGTTGCATTTCTGTATCTCAAATAGAACTCAATTCAGTTTTAAAGTAAAAACTTTATTTGCGTTTTCCAGGAAAGTTTTTGATTTTTCAGTTTTTCCCCTCAATATCAATCCATCAAATTTTCACCTAGTTTTTTTAAGCAATCCATGACCTGTGCATTAACTTGAAAGGTGTCAATATGCGAGAGTGGAAGGGCCCTTTAAGGCTGTTTGTCTAATTTGTACGAATGTTTGTGATTTGAACAGGGCATCTGCGAGGAGATGACGTACGAGGAGATCGCGCTCAAGTACCCTGAGGACTTTGCGGCGCGCGACCAGAACAAGTTCACGTACCGGTACCCGCGGGGCGAGAGCTACGAGGACCTGGTGGCGCGGCTCGAGCCGGTCATCATGGAGCTCGAGCGGCAGGGCAACGTGCTTGTGGTCAGCCACCAGGCCGTCATCCGCTGCCTGCTCGCCTACTTCACCGACAAGTCCTCCGGTCAGTCCCCAATACTTAAGCAAAATTTCACAAAAAGCTGACCAAACAGAGAAAGCAAAGCGAATCTTTTGCAGAACTCGACCGGCGCAACGGAAACTGCAACCAGGATGATCACGAAGGCGTGCCCGACGCGCTCGGTACTTTTCAAACTCGATCCCCTCTGCCTTGACCCCCATTGACCCCGAAAAGCATGGAAAAGTGGATTTCAACAGCATTTTGAGTCTTCCTTAAATTGTCACAATTTATGCAAAAATGACAATTGAAAAACTGCGGCCTCAAAACTTGAATTTGTTTTATAAATGCTTTTCTAATTTTATTGCATTCAATTATGCAGATGCTTTTTGAATTAGAATTAGAACAGATTTTTAATTCATTAAATTATCAATTGACAGCTTTTTGAAATATATGTCATTTAACGAAAAAAGTCTCTTGAAATCCACTTAAATTTTTTGGTTGAGCTTTTGTTTGTGTTTTGGGCCTCGTGTCATCATCCTGGGCGCCGGATTGCTGCTTTCCTTGTCTCTGTTGACGCGCGTGACTAATTCCTCGCCCGCCAAGGTTTTCGTAAATAATTATAACGTTTTTTATTTCAGACGAGCTGCCGTACCTGGAGGTGCCGCTGCACACGGTCATCAAGTTGACGCCGGTGGCGTACGGCTGCCGCATGGAATTGGTCAAGCTGCCCATCGAGGCCGTCGACACGCACCGCCCCAAGCCCCAGGTACTTGACCCTTTGACCTGACCCTGCTGTCAATCGGCGCTGCGCATGCTTTTCAAATTCATTAATTCTTCATTGGGCTTCTCGGTTTCGTCCATCACTCGTTCCATCGCTTCAGCCTCGGCGTTTTTCAACAAAAATAAAAATGCGCGCTTTTAAAGGAACCGAACATTCAAAAATTCCGATTCCAAATTACTGCAGAATTTGATAGACTTTTGCAAGGCAAATCTGAAGTTGCCCAAAAAATGACTTTTGGATGAAAATTGACAGAGTTGCCCTCATTTTGGTCCTGGTGGCCTCAATTACACAAATTTTTGGTCTGATACGGCCCTTGTTACGTATCATTGGAATTGACTTTTCGAAATGTGTCAGACAAAGACTTTAAAATTTGGTTTAAAATGAATCAAAATTCAAGAAAACATGTTGAAAATCGCTGCGGACTCATTTGTGAAACATCGTCTGAGGAGGCAGAGAGAATTGTATGTCTGAAGTCTGGTTTTTTGGTTTCGGCAGGTCCCAGGCACCTTAGACGAAAAGTTCAAGGTGAAAGGCGCGGCCTGAGGCGCGGGTTTGTGGTGGCAAAGAAATAAGAGCTTTTGTTTAGAGTTTGATTTGAAAATGGTTTGGCCCGCTTTGCTTGATCGCTTTGCTCGGACACGCCGAGACTGACCCGTGTGCTTTCAGCAGGGCTGGACCCAGCAGGACTAAGCCGCAGTGCCAAACCATCAGAGACATTCGCCTCCACCGAGAGTGACAATAATATTTAAGTTAAGCAGCTGCTGAGATGGACACCCGACCTTGCTACTGTGATATAATTAATTGAGATTGTGAACCTAAGTTGGATAGTTCCAGTGGCGGCAGGATCGCTCTTCTTCTCTCACACACACTCCTGGATTTTATTCTGTTTTTATTTGTTGAAACGAAGAGAAATATGAATTGACGACGTTTTGAAAACTTCAGATTTTTCGGACCCATGATTGTCTTTGTTAAGTGGACACGTCGTTTTGTTATCGTAAAAGCGAAAATAAACCAAATATCAATTCGCATTATCAATGATTTTCTTATTCACATTTAACCTCCAACTTGATCAACAATTACTTCGGCATGATTTGATTTTTATCTTAATCTCGTTTTAATTGTTAGAACGCCAGAGCTGTCAAGATTGCATGGGCCGTGCTAAAAAAGTCTTTTTTTTCAAGAGAAATATTTACAAATCTTGAGAACAGAGATTTTTATATGCAATCAATATAATAAAAATTTCCTGTTACAATTGCATTTTGTAATAATTCATGTAAATTCAAACTACCTCTCTGCAGACTCTTTTGACAACCATTTTATGAAAAATCAAATTGAAGAAAGGGAACTGCAGCATAAAACCTTTTCTTCACGAACAAAATGTAATTTACGGCTCAGATTAATAGATTTATTCACACCTTTTCATTTCGCGGCAAATTACAAACAATGAAAACTTTTACATAAATTAAAGTTAAAATTTATAAACTAAACTTTTTTTTATTGGTTTTTATGAAAATTTTACTTATTCGAATATTTCAGTTTTTCCACATTTTTTGGTCCAATCTATGTTTTGTTTATTTGTGAGGTTAAAAAAATTATTTATAATGTTCTCGCACTTCCCACTTGGGCCGCGCGCGCACCTTGGGAGATAAGCCAAGGGTAAAAGCGCGGGCGGCGCGGCCGAGCTTGCACAGTGTCGTTGCAATGGCCGCTCGTCTGCACGTGCTGATCTTGGTTTTGGCCGCCGCGGCAGCCGCTTCGGCCGCCCAGGTGAACATCCCCGGGCTGGGGTCGGTCGAGGGCACCACCTCAACCACCGCGTGGAGTCAGAGGACCGTGTACGAGTACAGGGGCATCCCCTACGCGAAACCACCCTCAGGCGTCAACAGGTTCAAGGTTCGAACAAACGTCGTAAAAAAACCTACAAGCAATGGATGACATTTTGATTCCTAAGTATTTAGAAAATTTCAATTCAATCTTTTGTGAAGAGACGATTTTGATGCTAAAGTTTTGTGATTTTGCCTGAAATGTAAGGTTTCAATTTTCTCTTTTTGAAATATTCCAAGGGCTTTGTGCTGGGTCACTTCAAACAGATCAAATTTCTTTCAACAATATTTGCGTGTTTTTAAAAATCACCATTTAAATGAAATTAAAAAAAAAAAAAAAATACAATGCAAAAACTGCTTCTGTTCTTAAATTTAATTTGAGGAGAAATGACTAAATAAAAACTGGTTAAGGCTCCTGTGAAAATGGACGCGTGGATCGGCGTTCTGGACGCGACGCAGTTCGGACAGGCGTGTCCGCAGCCGTCGTGGTCGCGGCTGGGGCCGCTCGCCTCCTTCATGACCCCTGACCCCGACGCCCTCTACCAGCAGAGCAGGGCCGCCGCCCTCGCCACAGACCCCGAGGACTGCCTCACCCTCGACGTCTACACCCCAACCGTACGTACACTTAATTTAATTTTTTTTATTTTTAAATAATAAATTTTTAAAGATGTTGAGGTTTTTATCAAAGAAAAAGGACCTTGAGTGGTTTGACAACGAAAGTGATCGATTGCGAGATAAAAACAGATTTCGTACCTTGCAAGATAAAGCATTCCCAGTTTTTGTTCTCCTCAGATTTTGATTGATTTTTTTTATTGTCCTGCAAATTTTATCTTAATATGTTGCATTCCAGATAAGTTTTTTACAGTTTCCTCTTAAAATTCAATTAAGAAGACAAATATTTTTGCATAAAAGCCAACAAAATTTCAACGATTTTTACAAGGTTCGCGCATCAGAACAATTGAAAATTTTTTCGATTGTTGTTTGAGCTCTCTGATTGGGTGCAAGTAAAATTGCACCCAATCAGAGCGCTCGGCAACAATCGAAATTCTCTAATACGCGAACCTTGGATTTTTATAAAACTCTCTTTTTAGCTTAAATTATAGTTGAATGGGATACAATTTTTTGGCCTTATTCTTATATAGAAGTTAAAAACATCCAAGATGAAATTAATGAGGGCGATCCAAAAGGCTAACTTGGCCCAGGCTAAATTAACCTGGCCTGGGCTAATTTGACCCGCCATTCAATTTTGCTGGTAGGCTAAGTTAGCTCTGGGCTAAGTCAAGTTAGCCTGGGCCAGGTTAGGCTTTTGGATCGCCCTCAGTATTATTTTAACTAACAGAATGGAAAATTGTTATATTATTATTGAGGGCGATCCAAAAGCCTAACCTGGCCCAGGCTAACTTGACTTAGCCCCGGGCTAACTTAGCCCACCAGCAAAATTGAATGGCGGGTTAAATTAGCCTGGGCCAGGTTAATTTAGCCTGGGCCAAGTTAGCCTTTTGGATCGCCCTCATTGTTTCTTACAAGTAATGGTATTGAGATGAGACACCCCGATTTTGATGAAAATTGGTGTACAACTTTTACTACCCATTGGTACCCCAGAAAGGCCATTAATTTTTGCCCAATTTCCCTTGTTCAAGTTTTGCCATTTAAACTCCATGTTATTTGAATTACACTGGAGAAATCGAAAGTATGCAAAATATATACACAGAGGACGCTTTTGTTGCCTACATTTCATCGTTTTTGACATGCGTTTGAATGGAAACTACCAACCCCTGTGAAATTGGGCAACTTTTGATAGCCATTCCAGAACACCCAAGGGTAGTGCAAGTTGCATACCAACTTTCATCAAAATCGGGGTGTTTCATCTCAATGCATCTCAATAACCTTACTTGTTAGAATAACAAGTTCAGCAGTCTTAATTTTTTTACTCTCCTATGGAAAAATTTGATTTTGAAACTTTTTTTTGTTTTATAGAGAAAAATGTTTTTTTTGTTTTTAGGAAAAAAATTAAATTTTGAAATTTTTGAATTGCTGATAGACGGAGCCTGGGGCGAAGTTGCCGGTGCTGGTTTACATCCACGGCGGCTTCTGGTTGTGGGGCTCGTCGGCGGTGAACCGACCTGGCTACCTTTTGCAGCACGACCTGATCCTGGTGTCCATCCAGTACCGCCTCGGCCCGCTCGGTTTGACCCTGACTGATTTATTCCTGAATTTGTGTGAATAAAAAAAAATTCTTTTAGGCTTCACGTACTTGGACGACGCGGAGGCGCCGGGCAACGCGGGTCTGATGGACCAGGTGATGGCGCTCGAGTGGGTCAGGGACAACATCGCGGCGTTCGGCGGCGACCCTGCCAAGGTCACCGTGGGCGGCTTCAGCGCCGGCGCGGCCAGCGCCAGTCTGCTCATGCTCAGCCCGGCGGCCGACGGCCTCTTTCACAGGGTGGTCAGCCAGAGTGGCTCGGCCCTCGGCCTCTGGGCCGTCGACGAGACCGTCGGCGTCAAGGACAGCGAGGCCGTGGCCGCCCTCGCGGGCTGCGCGGCCGCCGCCCCGGCCCAGGTGGCCGAGTGTCTCCGCGCCAAGAGCCCCGACGCCCTCATCCTCGCCTACCTCCAGTACGCGGTCAGTTTCCTTTCCATGCTCTTTATACAGAAGTCAACCTACTCAAAGCACTTTTATATTCAAAAGCAATTTTTGCAGTCAATCTCGGTTCAACATATAAATGAAACCATCACTTGTCAACAGGAAATTTATTTAGCTTTCAAAAGAGATCTCAACAATTTTGCTAATTTTCAGCGTCAAAAAGCACAATTTTCTGAATAGTGTTATTAAAATTCGACAATTTTTAATACATTGGTCTCGCTTGTCGCAAAATGAGATTGGAGAAAAAAAATTATAATAAACAACAGCTACGTCAATTTTTCCCACTTTTTTAAGGCTTTTGTTCAAAACCAGACTCAATTTCGCGAAGAAACTTGTGGAACCTTATCAATCATTTTTTATCCAACTTAGATTATGTACATATAATTAAATCAATAAGGGGTACTTGACATATTGAATTTAAATCTACCCTCTTAATCAGGAGGAAGGGTTGAAATAATAATATGATTCAAATTAAATCTTGCTTTTATAAAAAAAAAAATTGGTTCAAAAATCAAATTCCTTCAACGTGCCTGTTCAAGGTGACGAGATATTATTTGATAATTTCTAAAATTTTTCCACTCCCCTTTGTGCCTTTGCATGGTTTATTTCAAAATAGTTCTTATCCATTTCGCAAATTGAGTTGTAAATGTCTTGTGGAAGTATAAAACAATTTAATTTAAAAGTATGTTTATGCGTGATTTGATACAAAGTTTAAACGTTGAAAAGTTTGCTCTGTTCACGTTTTGGTACACTATAGAACATCATATTAAAAGAACACCTTGTTCCAGACTAATTTAATTCGTTTAATCAAATTTTAGGGAGGTTTAAATTAACCTGGGGCCAGCTAAGTTTGGCGCCCTCATTGCTCTCAATAAGTTGAGTTGTTGATTAGCAGGAGAAGAAGAAAATCAATTGTTAAATCTTGAATATTATTCAGATATTCGTGAATTTTGGCGCCAATTAGAACTGTTCATTGATATATTAAATTCGTAACTAGTTAAATAATAATAATTGAATTAAATTGAAAACGATTTACTGAAAAAAAGAAGTGTAACTAAAGAATTGTCTTTAGGAAATTAATACCTGTAGAAGGTGCTTTTTTGAAAGATGATTGATAAAAAAAATACATAAATTACGTAAAGTTAATTACAATTTGAAGGCGGAACAACGAAAGAACGGGCAGATGGGCACCGGTGGCGCGATGCCCGTGATCCAGAACCCCGCGGGCGAGTACCCCAAGGTGCTGGTCGAAAGCCCCAGGGTCACCCTGGCCAACGACACGTACGAGGCGCGGCCGCTGCTCGCCGGCGTCAACAAGCACGAGGGCATCTTCGTGCTCGACTGTGAGTTTTGCAGCAAAACAAAGGGAGCAAAAACGAAATGAAAAGTGGCAAATTGCAGACGCGTACGAGACGTTCCTGGTGCCGAACGGCCTTCTGGAGGACGAGGACTTCCTCAAGAACCAATTCGTCACCGTCATCCTCAACGCCTACCGTCAGTTCTGTGTTAATTCTTATGAATTCCGTTGAAAATGAAAAATTATTCACAGACGTGAAGGAAAACTCGCAGACGTTTGTGGACGCGGTGACGCGGCGCTACTTGAACCAGGCCGACCTTGGTGACTTCACCAAGATGACCGAAGGCCTCGTCGACGTGAGTTTTGCATTTCAATTTAGAAAATTTAAAAAATTTGGCAGGCCGATTCCTTTCAGTGTATACAGATGAACATCTAAAGAAATTTTGAGAATTCTCAAAATTGCCTGCTCAAATTTGGGTACATATTTTAAAACAGATTTTGAAAACTAAAAAAAAACCGCTTCATTTGTTAGAAAATTTCAAATATTATTTATTCCCTAATTTGTTTCATATCATCGATATCATCGCACAATGCAGAAATAGTTAATTTATTAATAAAATCAATGGAAATAAATTGAATAAAGTGATTTAATTTGTAATTATAAAAGGCATTTGAAAACTTTAATTTTGTCTTGTAAATTTAATAAATCAGCAAGAAAGGTATAAATTTATAGTCGAATTTGTGCAATTTCAGATGCTGGGCTCCGAGTTCATCAAGAGCCCCTGGTACCGGCAGGCGGACCTGCTCTCCCTGAGGGGCGTCGACGTGTTTCTGTACGCGTGGGACTTTTACGGCACCTTCTCCCTGCTGCAGACCTCCAACGTGTCCGTCCCCGTCGTCGGAGGTTTGTTTTTTTCAAATGCATAAAAATAAAAACACATTTATAACAAAATTGAAACGAAAAAGGAATCACGCACGGCGACGACACGATCTACTTGTTCCCCAAATCCGAGTTCCAGCTGAGCACCTACGAGACGGACATCGCCAAACGATTCGTCGCCGCCTACACCAACTTCATCATCAACGGGTAAGCAACTTCAAAGCTTAACTTGGTGGTTCAATAATATCGAGTATGGACTTGTGAAAATTAAAAGTGTGTTTGTTTTTGAAGTGATCCGACGCCGAGCGGTGCCGCGTCGAGAGAAGCGCCGGCGCTGCCCAAGTGGGAAACGTTCACGCGCGACGCGAGCAACTTCATGAGTTTCCGTCACGAGGCCACCCTGAAGAAGGACTTCAGGAAAACGTTCACGGTGGCGCGCGACGAGCAGATCCGGGGCGCCGCCGCCGCCACCCTCGCCTCGCCGCTCCTCCTCGCCGCCCTCGCCCTCCTCTACACCCTCCTCCAATAAAACAGTTTTATCGTTGGATCAAATTTATATATATGAATAAATTTTAAAATAAATAAACCATTCTTACAGGAATTTTTTACATCACTTCCACGACACTCAAATATTAAGGGGCTGAAAAGTGAAGAAATCAATAAAGCAACAAGGATATAAAAATAAGTAAAATATTCACTTCATTTATTGCGGTTTTTTTGGTACAAAAAAAATGCAAATCGTTCGTGCCGCGGAAAATTGTCCCATCTCTTTCGGTCGCGACTGGTAAAATTGTCTGAAGTCGACTTGCGAAAATTTCTTTTACTTTTGAAACACTTGTCCACCTTCTAATAAATGCATCACATTAGTCGGAAAAATGTTCACAACTAAATAAAAAGCAATAAGCCAAGTGCCCTGCATAGCACATCCCCTAAAAGTATACTGTTCTGCTATACGCCCAAAAATATTAAAAAATTGCTCTAAATTTTCGAAAAGTGATCCGATTTTGATAAAAATTGATTTCTGACATCTTCTTGATGTGACAAGTCGAATGATGCCTTTCTGAAATGGTTTTAAATTTTTCAAATTTCAAAGGTTGGGAAAATCACCGATTGTAAAAATACGGCTGGAGAAAAAGTTTTGAAATTTTAGGAGCGTCTTGCCAAATAACCAAGCTACATTTAAGCTATCTCAAAATCTGCTCAAAATGTTGTTGAGGGTTGCATACTTACTAGGAAAAATAAAGCTATCTTCAACCTCACTTTTCCGGAAATTTGCTACCCACAGGCAAATAATAGAAAATTTTATCAGCTTTCACAATTGCTATAATTTTTTCCGTTTGCTCCCATAAAAATCAAGATATAGACTAAAACGTTGACCCCCTGTGAAAATGGGAAATTTTCCAGAAAATAGCAAGTATGGAAAAATTTCCTTGTTACGATGTCAAAATCTACCCCTCCAGCAAGTTATAAATGTTTTTCTCAATTAGTTGATTATTTTTCCCACTTTTTGTCCATTTCTATAAATTATGGGGATAAAAACATGGAAAAAACATTTTCCTAGCAGCTTTTTGGGTACAATCGTTCTGTAAGGGCCATGATGTGACCAAATCAGTGGCCTGAAATTAGCTGATTCAAGAAACATTATCAGAAACAGGTAAACAGATGATTTTCTTGCCCAGAGTATTAAAATCTATAAAATAATGTCATTTAATTTATTTTTGGAATAGAATCCGCTTTAAAATGTATAATGACCTTCCAGAGATTTAATGCCCAATCATTTTCTTTCATTATTACATGACTTTACTTGAGGCGTGGTTAATAAAGTGGATTTTACTTCGTCATCTTGTAAAATTTGGGGAATATTCGATCAGACAATTGTACTGTTGGTACAGTCGCGACAGGCAGAGATCGGACAGTTTTCCGCGGCACGAACGTTCCCTTGATCATTCATGGGCAAAATAATTTTCAATGTCTATTAAAAATGATATTCTATTTAAAAACAATTTTAAATTTTAACTTTCACCCTTTCACACATGTAAACAATTTTCGCTTAAGAAAGCATAATTTCAGCTTTTCGCAGTTAATAATTCATGTTTCATCGTCAGCAGGCAATTTTTTGTGTTAAATAAAGGTCCACGTTTTCCGAGAAAAGCGGGACTTTCCGACCATTGATTTCTTTGATCAGCCAGGCGTATTTGCTTAAAATTTGCAATAAAACTGCCAGAGAGTTACTGTAAAATTTGAGAATCCACGAGGAAAGGCTGCCATCGTCTAAATTGCCATGAAAGAAAGACGTGCATTTAAAAAAAATTACCACTGACCGACGCAAAACAAAATTTTTCAGTGACTCGGTGCCATTTTCTTTGATCAGCAAGGCGAGATTGCTTAAAATTTGCAATAAAACTGCCACAGTGTTACTATTATATAATTTGAGAATCGACAAGAAAAGGCCGCCATCGTCTAAACTGCTCAAAGATTTATTAGCTTTATCCATCAGAGATCAGATATACATGTCGTTGCATACTTTGCCCTGATAATTTTGTGCAAATGATATGAAGGACCAATGGGGACGACAAGACACACGTAGGAAAAACTCAAATCATACGTCATCCCAAGAGTTAGAGCTAACTTTAGTCGGCAATTGACCAGTTTTTTGAAAATTATTTAAAGGACTACCGGAACCGTCGTCTCACGTGTCAGAGAGGTAAGCTCTACCTTGAGACATACAGGTATGCCCAATTTTTTACAAATAGTCAACCTTTAATCCTATGTGTGACTTTCGCAGTACCCCAACTTAAAACAGTGAAAAATTTGGCGTTTCATTGCAGTTTTGTATTAAGAAGGCCAGGCTAAGCTTTAAAATGCCTCTAAACGCGGCGTTTGAGCGGCAGTTATTTAGATATTTACATTTTTTAATTTTACGTCTTAACTTGCCTTTAATCCTAGGTGTGACTTTGGCAGTACCCAAACTTAAAAAAGCAGTGAAAAACGTGGCGTTTTATCGCAGTTTTGTTTTAAGAAGGCCAGGCTAAGCTTTAAAATGCCTCTAAACGCGGCGTTTGAGCGGCAGTTATTTAGATATTTACTTTTTTTTAATTTTACGTCTTAACTTGTCTTTAATCCTAGGTGTGACTTTGGCAGTACCCAAACTTTAAAAAGCAGTGAAAAACGAGGCGTTTTATCGCAGTTTTGTTTTAAGAAGGCCAGGCTAAGCTTTAAAATGCCTCTAAACGCGGCGTTTGAGCGGCAGTTATTTAGATATTTACATTTTTTTAATTTTACGTCTTAACTTGCCTTTAATCCTAGGTGTGACTTTGGCTGTACCCAAACTTTAAAAAGCAGTGAAAAACGTGGCGTTTTATCGCAGTTTTGTTTTAAGAAGGCCAGGCTAAGCTTAAAAATGCCTCTAAACGCGGCGTTTGAGCGGCAGTTATTTAGATATTTACTTTTTTTTAATTTTACGTCTTAACTTGTCTTTAATCCTAGGTGTGACTTTGGCAGTACCCAAACTTTAAAAAGCAGTGAAAAACGAGGCGTTTTATCGCAGTTTTGTTTTAAGAAGGCCAGGCTAAGCTTTAAAATGCCTCTAAACGCGGCGTTTGAGCGGCAGTTATTTAGATATTTACATTTTTTTAATTTTACGTCTTAACTTGCCTTTAATCCTAGGTGTGACTTTGGCTGTACCCAAACTTTAAAAAGCAGTGAAAAACGTGGCGTTTTATCGCAGTTTTGTTTTAAGAAGGCCAGGCTAAGCTTTAAAATGCCTTTAAACGCTGCTTTTGAGCGGCTGTTTATTTAGTTTTTCATTTGTTTCAAACCCCACATTATTCACATTTCATTTGTTTCATTGCGTTTATTGTACATTAGATCTTATTTTGAGCGGAGGGCACGTTTTTCTCAATATTTACAACATATTCGTGCTGAAAGAGTGGAAAATTGAAAAGAAATTACCATCATTTTTTTTAAGGATAAAGTTAATTTTTTATTCAGTGTAATTTTTTTCTTAAAAAATTGATGAGAATATTAAGTGTGCCGCTTGACTTAAATATAAAAATAAAAAATAAGAAATTAAAGGTTTTAAAAATTAAACATTGTTAATACAATTTGAGCAGCATGACGGATCGTTTATCCGGTGCGTCGATTGAGAGAATTGCTGCGGTTGCTGCGCGACGATCAGATCATGGGCGCCAACTTCCTCGCCGTCCTCGTCCTCTTCGACACCTTTCTCTAATACAAAGTTTCCACCTTTTTTTACCAAATCAGTGGATCAGTGCAGTTTATTTTAGAGTTTCTCCTGATAAATTTATCCAAAATTGTGTTACAGAGCCTTTAGAGGAATGAAATAAAAAGCCAAAATTAGCATCCGAAAAAATCACGTTTTGGCAGGAACTTGAATTATTTCCGGTGCGTTTTCGACGATCCAGTGCAGGTGGTCGGTGACGTCGGTGAAGAGGATGTGTTGGAAGGGGTCGGTGCCCACCCTGCCTCGAGCCGAGCTGACCACGCCGCGTAAAAAGTGCAGCCCCGAAGTTTGTTCTCTCAGATGAAATCCGCCGCCGAGGCCTCCTGAAAACGCGCTTTCTAAAAAAACAAAAAAATATCATTTTTACCTCCAACAAAAGAAGGGAAACTGACGAGGATTTGGAGGAAACGCGCAAAAGTTTTTGCCGGGTCGCAGGTTGGCGGCGAAAAACAGCTTGGCGCTCTGGAAACACTGCTGGTGCGAAGCCACCGTCAAGTCGACCCTTTGCAGGGACTTGGTCAGGTTGGACGCCGCGAAACCCCAGCCGAAAACCTGCGATAATGCGATCGTGAATTTGAAACAAATATAAAATTATGAGACAACTTTGCCCGTTTCGTTGGCGATCTTGCCGAGGTTGTAGTCCGAGTTCCACAGACAGATCGGCCGCACCGAGTCGCCGATTTGCACCTCCTCCTGCAAAACGATCAATCCAATCGCGTCCTTGAAGTCAGCCCTGCCCGTGTCGTGGTGCACAACCACCTTGGAAACCTGCGATTAATTTTCTTTTATTAGTTCAATTCACCAAAATTATCAATTAATTTGAGTTTTCTTTGACACAACTGTTTTAAATTAAGCACAATTCAGAAAAATATCTAATTGTAAATAAATAAAGTCCCTTATATAAAATGATAAAAAAAATGTTTTTCTTAAATTTTTGTTTGCTTTAATACAAATAAAATATAAAATAAGTCTCGTTCGCTTGTAAAATATGCACTTAATTTGTACCTTAAACGTTTGTTGCGTTTCCTTGTTCTCATTTGACGTCCCAAGCACGACTTGCAGATCTGTTTCGTTGAAAATACAGTACGCCGCTGCAGAAAAAGTTTAAAATATTAATTAATAAATTCCGCTGACTACAGAAAATTACAGTGACTTGAAAATTTGCGCTAAAACTTGGGAAATGTGAAAATTTGTTAATATGGTTGGGTGACCGCCTAGATTTAGCTTTTAGATGGGACTGAAAATGATAGAGTTGCGCAGTTTATTTTTCAACCATGGGGTTTTGAAATGCTCACTGAGAGAAGAATGGGAACTTTATTAATTGGTTAATAACATTTTGAGAACAGATATCCATTGAAACTACGCACAAGCTATTATTTGATTTAAACATTGAAATAATTTGGCCATATATCTGACTAATACTGATTTTGAAAAAGTTGAAACAATTAAAAGAAGAGGGATTTTTTATATGTTATTTGACGCTGATCACCTAGAGGAGAAAGATTTGCTAAATTAAGTTGAACAAAATTTCTCAAAAAAAAAAAAAAAAAAAATTGGCTATGGAAATATAGGCCGCAAAATATGACAAATTCACTAATTTTGTTAGAATTACAATTTTATAATTTAAGAAGACAAAACTAGCTTTGGACATCAGTCAGTGTTAACTTTATCTAGAAATATTAATTCTTTTTACCGCATTTCTTAAAGAGACTTAAAGAGCATTTCATCATCAATCTTTCCGTTGAACTGTGTCTCGGTTTTATGGCGAATAAGCGCAGGAATTAATTTAATTATAATAATTTAATTTATAATAAATAGATCAATAATAATTTCTTTTTTGGAATGTGGGAAAAATTTTCAGTATAGGAAAATCTAGAGTGATTTACCAGTGATGAGGGTCTTGTTGGAAATGAGCGTCGCCGAGCAAAAGTTGGTGACGTTGCCCGAGTCAGTTCGGAGGACGAGATTCGCGTGCCATGGAAATCGGTCCTCGTGACTCGCTTGGCGCCCGCAGTCGGCAAAGCTCTCGCCGAAATCTGCATGCCGAGGTCAAAAGTCACAGTTTTACGAAACAACTTTTGTCTGAAATAAATGGCAAACCGATCCGCTTGGGAAGCTCGGGGGTTTCGGGCATCAACGCCATGTCGACGGACGCAGACACGATTTGCCTGGTGGTCGGCATCAAGTCGATCAACATATCCACGTCTTTGTGGGTAAACGTATAAAAGGCGCGTAAAAAGAAGCGACCTCCGAGCCTAACGAACAAGTAAACCGGAACATGAGGCCGTGCTGCAACCACAAACAAGCAATTTTGCCTTTCAATAGATAATAAATGCACATATCAAAATTTTCCTCGACAGTGACAATATACGTTGCCTCGAATTAAATTTCCGATCAAATGTTTTTATAATAATGGAAGATGTGAATAAAATCTAATTTTCAATAACGAGTTTGAACGTAAATTTACTAAAAAGTAAGTTCAAGACTTACCGTCTGAAACGCATAGAAAGATGCCGCGGGATATAATGACGTGGCGCACGCCTTTCATAATTTGTCTGTAACAATTTTCTGTGGGCAAGAAAAGATCCACCGCCGTCAATCCGGTCTTCTGAAAGTTCTTTTTAAAGGAATAATTATACTTTACATTATCTTGCTCAGGGAAAAAGTCAAAGAGACTGAAAGATGTTTTTCCTGAAAATTTCATCGGAAAACCTCTTTTTTTACTCTATATACTTTTTAATTATTTTACGAAAAACGCCATCTGATTCATTGTCTTGTGTAACGTAAAATTTCACGCTCTACAAAATGGCAATTTCAGAATCCAAATAAACTTCAATTTTGAGGTCAAAGAAAGAGACCTAAAAACTTAATTTGACCGATACGATTTTGCACTCATCAGCAATATGTTGTAAAGGGCAACAAGAGGAATTAAGCCATATCTGGGTTTTTGTCTCACAATTATGGGAAGTTGAGTATTTTCAAATTTTCCAAAATCCAAATTAGATTTTCCTGTAAAATCTCTTAAATTTCGAGATAATGGGATAAAACTTAATATTTTTGAAAGCCTCCTGGTCTTTAATGTCCTAGAATATGGTTGAGATCAGTTGACTCTGCCGAAATTAAATAAATTTTCACCAAATATTATTTTTTAGTTTGCATTGATGAATGAAATGAATTACACTAAAAATAAAACCCACGCGTTTCCTCTCGCCCCGTCAAATTATGGAAAAGGCTAAATACGTACCACGTAATGCGAGTAATAAAAGTGATGCGACTGGTCGTGGCGGTTGTCGCCGTTCCACAGACACGCAGGCTGCAGACCCGGCCCGAAACGCAGCCTGCCCTCGACCGTCCACACAGTGACCTGCTTTTCACCAATCCAAACGAGCTTGGCGTCGACCACCTGGGCTCATTAAGGGAAATTAAAGCAATCAAATGAATAAAATGAGGCTGCTCTTCGACCTTTTGGTGCAGCAACGTCACGCCATAGCTGCAATTGGCCGAGTCGACGCATTTTGCGCCGAAGATTCCGACTTCCTTCTCGCTATTTCTCAATTCGCGGATCTCACCATAGCAATTGTCTGCAGAGAGTCAAAATCAGAGCGTGAATAAATTGGTTGTGTCTTGTTTGCAGCCCTATCTAAGAATGATTGCATCTTTTCAATCGATATTATTGGATGCAAAATAAAAAAAATAAAATAAAAACTAAATAAAAATTAGGGCCGTAGTGAGGCGACCAAGGATTTGTAAATTAGGCAACCAAAGTCAATTGTTGGAGTTTTTTTGCAATTCTTTGGTCGCTTGAACCAGGATTGTTTATTTTGCATCTAGGATTGAAAAGATTCTAATATACAATTGGGCTGCCATGAAAGCATCTTATTGAATTGACATAATTATACCCGTCAAGATGGTTCGCTCCGACAAAACTATGCCTTCGCAGCTGCTGAATTGACTTTCGCCGACGAAAACTCGCCACGGGGGGATCGCAGACTTGTTCTTCACGCCCTCCTCCCACACGCCGCACCCCTCGAAGCTCAAATTTTCTTCGACGAAAGAAAACACTGGAAATAGTTTTTTCAAATTGAAATTGTTTTTGATTTGATGACGATTTCAGCAATTAAAGGAGCTCGAGATAATAAACCACATTTTAATCATTCAAATTTCATTCTCTCTCTTACCAGGTGCAGGAAACACAGTTTTGTTCTCTCCGTCATTCTTGCTCTCATCAGAGTCCAGCCTCTTGAAAATTAATTAAAAATCCAACCTCATTAATTTCACAAACAAGCAAAATAATTTGTACGAAGATAAAATAAAATAAACCCAATCAAAATTAAAAATTTGTGTATTTTTTTTCACTAATTTTTTGATCATTTTTTCTGTTACAATTTTTTTAAACAAAGAACTAGATTTTTTTACGTAGTAATTATAATTGATATTAATTTAGTGTGAATAAAATATGCATTAAATCATTGTTTCAATGATTTTTTTTCTCTGACATCTAAATGTATCCAAAAAAATTTAATTTTACCGAATTTCCAACAAATTCTGAGGTATGAAATAAATGAACTGACTCACAATGGCATGTCCAAAATGAAACGAACTGCAGAGAGTGAGCAGCCAAATCCATCCGATCGTTTTCATCTTCGATCTCATCTGGACACTTACTTGCAATTATAGTTTAATTTTGGATTAATTTTTAATGCGTTCAAAACTCGTTTCTCGCGTCTCAAAAATTTAACGTAACTCAATAAGAAATACAACGCACCATTGAAGACAGAAAGATAATGATTAAATGAATCGCTCCGTCTAAAATATTTGAAAATTTAGATGATTTTATTTGCCAAAGCTGGGAGGCGATTGGTCCGTCGTCGAGTGGCGTGTTCGGTCTGTGAAGCTTTTATTGACCCCAAGCGCGGTCAGCAAACAAGTCCGAAGTACCGAGCGATTGGGAATAAACGAGTTTTAGGCAATATTTTCAATATTCCATGGCCTGTGCTTGAATTCTTTTTCTTGGGTCAGGCCAAGACAAGGTCTTGTCGGCCTGTGCCCTTTTCGTGGCGCAGAAGGCGCCACTCAATTTTGTCTTTTTTTAAATAAAGGAAAAGGTTTTGAAAAGCAACACGCAGAAATTACAATACAAAAAAATAAAGTGAATTTCTGCAAACAATAATTCGATCTCATACTTCTTACAAGATCAATATTGATTTTGATTAACATTTATCCTTATTGAAAAATATCACAGTTTTTCTCGAACAAAGCTGCTTTACGGTGTTTTTCATCGTTCAATTAAAGCGTGATTCCATCAATGATTGAGGCGTCTGGCGCAAATAAAGTCAGTCTCGTTTGCTATCAAACGAAAATTCCTGCCAGTAATTTTACTGCAAATCCTTTGTTTAACTTCTCTGGTAACCAAAAAAGGAGCTTCTTTAAGGGGAAATTCAGGTTTAAAGAAAGTGGCGGGGCATAAATATTAAAGCGCTCTTGAAAATCCCTATAAACCAAAAATCGACGCACGCAAGATTTTTTCTCTCCTGAATTTCTCGAAACGCTTTGCTCTTCATTTTCACCGATCCTTGATTTAAGGATTAATTGTGAAATATAATCAAAGCTCTTTAATATCCAGAAAATAAGCTTTGAGCTGCTTTAACACTTAATTATACGAAACGCAAGCTGAGATTCTTGCTTCGCTCGTATATTTTGCGCCCATTCGTGAATAAAATTGTGAAAATATAATTAAATCATTGCTCGAACCGCCTCCGTATCTACAAAATAAGTTTTAAAATAGTTAAGACAGATGTTATTAAAAATAGAAAATAAAATGGATGCATATCATAATCCACTGCATTTATATTACTAGTTTTTCTTTTCGATACAAAGCACTGTTTTGATAAGATTATAAAAATAATTTCTACCAAGCAACATCTAGAGTAAATTTTGTATCAATGCATTGATATTTATTAATTATTTCAGTTCTAATAAAATTAGTTACTCGATTAATATTTCTGCACTGCACGTTTTTCATTTTCATGTTTGAATTTGTCTTCTTGAAGAATTCTCTAGTTGTTTAATCGTGATCATTGTTTGATGTCAATAAAATTTCCAAAGGAGAGTTTTTATTGCAATTATCAGTGGGTCGTGTTATCTTGAAAGGATTAAGGAGCGCCCTGTTGGCCGGATTAGGTTGAGCAATAAAAGTGGCTGCGGCGACGGCGTCATTGTTGCGCCGACGATGCTGCGGACGAGGTTTTTGCTGATCGGCGCCGTGCTTGCCCTGGCCAGGGCCACCGAGGTGGACGTGCCGGGGCTCGGCAGGCTCAAGGGCACCACCACCCTGACGCAGTGGACGCAGCAGAAGGTCTTCGAGTTCAGGGCCGTGCCCTACGCCGTCGCGCCCAGCGGCGCCAGACGCTTCAAGGTCTGTAATTCATTTTCTGCTCGGATTTGTAATAATTTAATTCCCAATTCTAAAGTGAGAATTTTCAGTTTTCAAATTTATTTTTATCAATCTTTGTTTTTTAAGAAAAACACAGACGTGAAATATCTTACCTGTAAAAATTTAATAACGTCCACTTTTTCAGAATAAATTTAATTATTAATTAACAATTAATTTTCATTAAAATTTGATGTTTTTAATCCTTTTGCATTGAAAAGAACCTTTTCTGTCAAGTTTTTTTTTCTCAAAGTTACTGCCAAAAATGTGAATTAATGACCCTGACGCTTTGATAAGTACCCTGAGAAGTTCTCGGGGTGGTTGGGGACGCGGGACGCGACTTTGTACGGACAGGCGTGTCCGCAGCCGGGCGTGAGCGCCGCCGTCGCCCCCCTGTACGGCCAGTTCCTCAGCCACGACGAAGACACCCTGCCACGAAGGGCCTCCGCCGACCCTGAGGACTGCCTCACCCTCGACGTCTACACCAAGAAGGTACGAACGGCCCAAAGCAGATTAAATCGGATTAAAATCTCTGATAAAAATTCCTAAAAAAAGATAGCGTATATTGCAAGGTTAAATAACAAGTACAATAATTGAGATTATATCCTTAATTTTATGATTGATTAGGTCATTTAAAAAAAATTTTGGAGGTTTTCACACTGATATGAGACATTCAGAATTTAATTTTTTAGATTCCTTTCAAAGCAAAACAAACAAACTAAAATTTATTTATAGCAATCAATAAGAACCAGTTAATTTTTTCATTTTTTGATTTGAATTGAGATAATTTTATTATATTTCGCTGAAAGAAATTTAAATTAGCCTGGTACAAGTTATGCTTGCGATTGTCCTAATAGTTTCTTGAAATTGATACAAACTTTTTGTTCTAAAAATGAGTGCCGTCTTTTAATTATAATTTGATGTATGTTACAAGGCACTCTTCGCTGTTGAAAATAATTGTGTTTTCTTCTTTTTCTCCTAAATTCACTTAAATTAAAATTAATTAAACTGCTCAAATGGTAAAATATGAGATCAAATTATATTTTACAACAATTTCACAGCCATATTGAAGTAATTTTATAATTAAAATTTACAAATTAAATCTTTATAATTGAATTTTAAAAACTACTCATAATATATATTGATCTCGTAAATTTTGTATCGATTTTGAAACGAACTATGCAACCTGCTTGGCAGGGATGTCTCGCGGGTTGCGTCCTTTTGTGAAACCAGTTTATGTTGTTTGCAGATTGGCAGTTCGGAGCTGCGGCCGGTTTTCGTTGCGATCCACGGCGGCTCCTTCCTCTCGGGCATGTCGTCGTCGCTCAAGCCGGGATTCCTGCTCGAGAAGGACATCGTCCTCGTCGTGCCCCAGTACCGCCTTGGCCCTCTAGGTATACAATTTTTTGCTTCTTTTTAAGTAAATCGAATAGTCCATGAAAAAACCCAGAAAAATTCATTTATTGTAATTTTTAACCATCTATTGAGACATATTTATTGTGATTTCCCAAGGTTTTCCTCACTGAAAATAAATTCACTGGACCTTTTCCCATAAGATACATTTTTAAAATAGAGAAATACAAGAAAGTAAGTCAAATTTAAAAATTTCGGTTATCCCAATTCCTTTTATTGCTGTCTTTTTTTGAATTGACATCTACAAATTGAAGTTAATGTAAACAATAATTATCAATTATCATCAAAATCAATTAATTTTTTTTAATCCTGTTGCTTTCTGTGGAAATTTCAGGGTTCCTGAGCTTGGGGACGAGCGAGGCGCCGGGCAACGCGGGTCTGATGGACCTGGTGCTGGCGCTGGAGTGGGTCAGGGACCACGTGGCGGCGTTCGGCGGCGACCCCGGCAAGGTCACCGTGGGCGGCAACAGCGCCGGCGGCGCCAGCACCAGCCTGCTGATGCTGAACGCGCGCGCCGCCCCCCTTTTCCACCGCGTGCTGCCCCAGAGCGGCCCCGCCCTCGCCTTCTGGGCCCTCGACAGGTCGCGCTCCACCAAGCCGGCCTCCGACCTCGCCCTCGAGGCCAACTGCAGCCCCGGCCCCGCCGCCGTCCTCCTCGCCTGCCTCAGGTCCAAGTCGGTCGCCCAAATCACCAACGCCTACATCGCCTATGCGGTCAGATTAAATTAAATTATAATATTAAACTTTTTAAATCTGCAATTGCAATTTTATTAATTATTTTAGTAAATTATTTATATTTCTTTTAAAATTATCTTATAATGTAAGATAATTTACATGCTATTCAAAAAGCCATTTTAAATTAAAATCAATTATAATAAAAATATTCGAATATTCAATGACAAGGAATGCCTTCATCTACAATTTTGCCTTTTATTACTGATTTGTTAAATGATAAAAAAAATTCATAAAATCAGCGATTCGCACAATATAAATATAAAATGATTAAAATCTCACAGAAATTGATTATAATGAATGAAAATTTTGTCTGCAGTTGAAAGTTTACGCGAGCGGCGACCTGGGCATGAAGAACTCGATGCCCGTGATCCAGGAGGTGGGCGTGGGCGAAAGGGTGGTGGACAGGGACCCCGTGGAGGTGTTCAGGGCGGGCGCCTTCAACGCCATGCCCGCCCTCGTCACCGTCGTCAAGCACGAGGGCATCTTTGACCTCGACCGTCAGTCCTTCTTAAATATTCAATTAAATAAAAAAATCACATTAATTTTTGCAGTGATGTACCAGTCTTTCCTGCTGCCCAACGGCCTCCACAACAACGACACCTACCTCAGGGAGGACGTGCTGCTCGACTTCCTCAGGGTCTTGGGTATGCAAATCAATATTTTTACAGAAACGTAAAAATTTGACAATTATTTAAGATTTCTTGAAAAAAATTTTACCCTGAACCCTGATTTTGACATCAATTAAGGAAACTTTATTCAAATTTATCTCAAACGCAAGAGCTAAAGCAGATATTTTTTAATTTTGTGCAGGGGTGGATGACTTCACGGGGGTGTTTTCCGATTCGCTCATGTCCAAGTATATGGACGAGGCCGACGTGGGCAACTTCAGCCGCATGACGCCCTCGCTGATCGACGCAAGTTCCAATTAAAACAATAATTACAAAATTAATTTGATGGAAAAATTGAAAAGGTGACGGGGACGTTGTCGCACAAGGCGCCATCGTTCGCGCAGGCGCACTCGCACGCCTCCAAGGCCAACACGTACCTTTTGACCTTCGACTACCACGGCGAGCACACCCTGCACGACGACACGCCCACCAGCGTGCCCATCCCTGGAGGCATCACGCACTCGGACGAGCTCATCTACCTGTACCCTCGCGAGGGCAGAAAACTCAACGACGAGGACACCAAAATCGCCAAACTCATGGTCCAGATCTTCACCAACTTCATTATCTCAGGGTCAGTTTTTTCAATCAGACAAAATCAGGACATTCTTCTAAGGGAGTATAAATTTATAATAATTTTGGCCTCAAAAAGTTTTCCAACAAACTGCCAAAATACTTCTTTTAAATAACTGAAATTAAGTTCATATTATTCAATGCTTCCTTTTTTTGCTACAGGAATCCTTCGTCGATTCCTCTGGAGGGTGTGCCTGAGTGGCCGCACCTGAGCGGTCTGCAGAGACACGTGCTGAGCGTGAGGAACGGCGGAAAACATGAGCTCTTTGACGACTACAGACGAACCTACACGGCGGCCAAGGACGAAGGTCTCGTCCTGAAAGGCTCTGCCCCCCTCCTCTCCTCCTCCACCCTGACGCTCCTCCTCGCCTTTGCAACTTTGATTCTGCTGAGACGCTGATTTTTTTGCTTGCATTGTAAATCGAGGAGAAGAAAATGAATTTAATAATTGCTTCAAAACTGTAATTCGTGATTCTTCGCGGCCGTTTCGCTATCAATTTTCATTTTATCCCTTGAATTAGTGGTTGCTTTGATCAAACAGAAATTGAAATATTTCCAATTTAACTATAAAGAAACAAGTTCTCAAATTTTATTAATGATACATATCATTAGCAAAATATGAAATTACTAATAATACGATTTTGTTTATAGTGCAATGAATATTGATAATTGAAATAAATAAACAAAAGAAAAAATTCTGAAAGTATAGAACTATAATATTTGTTTAAATTACATATTGCTTGCAAATTAACATGGCACTGACTTCTCTTGACACTTCACGTTTTAGCAACTTTTGTTTGCCGCATAAACGTTACCATTTCCTTTCCATTTTATATTTCATCTTTTTCTTTTTTCTTTTTAATTTTTGATGAATAAAGAATAAATATTTTAAATTTTCTTGACAAATTCAACCGTTCCAACTTTCAGAAAACAAGCTGAATTTTACAAAGCACGCAACCCGCGTGACATCTATGTCCAGCCGGTTGCCTATCTTCAACTATTATCTGTTAAGTGAAATGAAGTGCGGAACAATATGAAATGAAATAAATGAGGAATATTAATTAAATTGTTTATAAAATTGATAATTAATCAACAGAAAATCTGTTTTCATACTTGATGAAATTATATGGTATATCGTTTTTTAAAAGAAAAAAATTTCAAAGTAAAAAGGTATTATTATTTCTAAATTATTTATTAATATAAAAATTAAACAGGTGCACAAACTTTCCTTTTCTTTATTTTTAGGAGCAAAATTCATAGCAATAAAAATTTCACGACAGATTGAAACCATCATCATAAGAAATTAAAAATGTAACAATCGGCCAGATAAAAAATTATTTGAATGCTAGATTAATAATTAATTTTTATGATCAGCATTCAAACACTTTTCCTTCTGGTATAAATTTGATAAAGTTAAAAAGAAAAAAATGGCAATAAAACAATTAATCAATTGTTTTAATTGAAAAAAAAAAATACAAACTTAAGCTGCTATTTTTCATGGACCGAATCAGAACGGATCTTAAATTTACTTATTAATATTTACGTTTGAACTAAAAAACCATTTAAATATTTTTCTTAAATTGGATAGCACAGATTAATTATACCATTCATTTTTATTGAAACAAATATTGTTGTATCTGCTAATAAAATGTTGGCTTGCCACTTGCATTGCAGTTTTTCCGTCTACATCTAGCTCTGAGGCATCAACGCCGGCACTGACGAGCCACTCGTATCTTTCTTTCGGTCTCAGCCCGCTCTCGTTTTTGGCCACAAGATGCAGCGCGGTTTCATTTCTATTTGTCTTCTTCTTAAGAAGACAACTAGGGCTATTCAGAAGCAAATATTCAAACATTTCAACAGCACTTAATTTCCCAGTTTTTGAATCATGGATATAAGAAGCGGCATAATGGAAGACGTTCCAGCCCTCGTCGTCCACGGCGTCTACCTCAGCACCCGCTTCTTCCACGAGCCATTTGCATTTCTCCAATAAGTCGTTTTTCACAGCTAAAAGCAGCACTGTTTGGTTTCTGTTGGTCTTCTTTTTTACGAGATGTGGATTTTTCCGGTGTAAATATTTGATTAAACGGAGATCGTAGCTGGTGTTATATGTATCGAAGTGCATCACGTTCCAGCCATCGTCGTCCTCGGCATCCACCTCAAGGCCTATTTCCTCCGAGAGCCACTCGCATACCTGCAAGTTGCCACGTTCCGCAGCTAAGTGCAGCATCGTTTGGTTTTTCTTCGTCTTCTGCCTTATCACATCCGGATTTTTCTCATGGAAGTATTTGATGAAATCAAGCCGGTAAGTGGTATTGTAAGAAGCGTAGTGCACAGCGTTCCAGCGCTCAGCGTCCAATGCGTCCACTGCAAGGCCTATTTCGTCCACGAGCCACTGACACACACTTAGCTTTTCATTTCGCGCTACCAAATGCAAGACTGTTTGGTGTCTGTTTGTTCTCTTGTGGATCAGTTGCGGATTTTTCTCGTGCAAATATTTTAAGAGTTGAAGATCCACGTTCGAATGGACTGCAGCGTGGTGTATAACATTGCAGCTCTCGTCGTCCACCGCATCCACCTCGAGGCCAACCTCATCAAGAAGCCATTGACACAACTTCATGTTGCCACTTCCCGCCGCATAATGCAGCACCGTTTTATTGCTTGCCGTTTTTTGACTGACGAGTTCTTTATCAAGATTATGCACGAACTTCATATATTTCAGAGTCCTCCCGTGGTGATCCTTATTGTTGGCAATAAAATGCATAATTTTCTCGCCACTCTCGGTCACCGATTGAAGCAGGCTTGGCTGAGTTTCAAGGATGAAACGCATCTTCTCTTCACTCTCATTGCAAAACCATCCTGCCATGTCCGTATCGTGCATTGCAAAATGAAGAACATTCCATCCTCTGTGGTCCACATCTCCTAATTCCAGGCCCTGCTGGCTAGCTAGCCATTCAAAGTCGGTCACACCTATGTGATTGCTTTTAGCAGCAAAGTGCAGCACCGTTTCTCCTTTCTTGGTTCTTTGTTTAACACACTCGGGGATGGTCTCGCTTAACAAGCTTATTATCATATTCAAATCCCTTTTCCCTCGGTCGTCATTCTCGGCCATGTTCGCCCTGGTGAAGTAGTGGAATGCATTCCATCCGCGATCGTCAGCAGCTTCCACATCAACTCCATTTTCTATTAGCCATTTGCAAATTTCGAATCTTTCGAAATGAAATCTTTCCAATACCATGTGAAGCAAAGTTTTGTCACCATCACTTTTGCGTTTGATCATCTCCGAATTATAAGTGTGCAGTGTATCAAGAACAGATATGATTTGCTGGATTCCAGGGCAGATAATTATTTCCTCAATGAATTCAAAATCTGGTGGATAGAAATCTTTAGAGCCTTTAAATCCAAATATGGTGTGGCACAAAACATCACATTGCGATTCGGTCATTGATTCGATCAGATTCGGATCTTTTTCAAGGAAGTATTTCACTAAACCATGATGCCCGTATTGGGCTGCACAGTGAAGAGCATTGCACCCCATGGCGGCGTGATCATATATGTCGAAGCCGCAACGTTCCACCAGCCAGCGGCACAGAACTTCCACTTCCTCGGGATATCTATTCCACTGAATTACTTCATACAAGGCTCTGTTGCTGATGTCAAAGTCTGCCATTTTATTGTTGACGAATCTGTCATGCACAGCCATAGCTGCTTCAACATTTTTGCTTTCAAGGGCAACGGTAAAAATTTCTGCCGCTAACTTCGGAAGCGTCTCTTCTTTGGTCTTCAGGAGAGCACTCGCTGTATATTGGTCTAAATCTTGAAATTCATATAGGTCGGTAGTGTGAGCACCGTGGTCTATCAGATGCTCAACGCACTCGGCGCTACAATGACGGACGGCAAGTTCCAGATGCGCGCCCATAAATTCTTCAGTATGTTCGGTGTACTCTTTTTCTAGCACCAGCTTTAACACCTCATGATTATTCCACTTAATTCCTAAACGAACTGCTTTGTACAGTCTTTTTTTATCTCGCTGCGCTAAGAGTTTCAGATTTTCAACTTTCTCCTCTAATTTTAAAAGGAGACTGGCAAAATTTTTTTCAATTGCATTAATCAGCATTTTTGCAGCGGTATCTTCCGGCCATTTAAACTTTGAAAAGGCACCTTTTTCTAATATTTCCACCGCAAATATTTCACTATATTCGCTGGCTTTTTCCATGATGTAGTCAATATCCGAGTACATAAAATTTAGCTTACTGCTCTCAACAAGAGAAACAAGTCTGGAACTAGCATACGAAAATGCACCGAGTCGTTCGTCCCAAATGATTTTGAAAAGAATTTGTCTTGTTAGAGTCTCATTCAAATGTTTTTCCAGCACAGCGAACACCTTCGAAGATTGCTTTTCAATTGAAATTCTCAGATCAACGAACTTGCGGACTCCACGGAATTCGTCTCTAAATATATCAAAAGGCATTTCAAGGTCATCAAAAAGACAATCAATGAAGTATGTGGCTGCGAAAAATTCCGCAAACGTTTGATGTACGAATCGGACATGTCCATTGGTGATTGTTGCAAGTCCATTGTTGATATTTTTTAATTTGGTTGCAGTGGTGCCGGTGCTAAGAAAATCAGCAGAAATCCCCTTCAGGTCCTTGAATATAGAATCACGAGCTTTTTCGTACGCAAGTGTGCCTTCTTTGAACAATGTCAGTGTAAGGCGCAATTGTTGATCCACAACGTTTTCGTAAATATCGTACAAGTCGAATTTTTCTATTACAGCAGAATCGTCAAGTTCCGCGATCATTTTTAGATGGAGCGGGCTTTTTAGTACGTCCTCGTGACCATTTCTTTCGTATAATTTAATCTTTAGCTTACAATCATGAAAAGATTTTTGGGACAAAATCATCAAAAATCTTATTTGCTCAGTATCGCTTAATGGGCAGATTTTAATCCTTCTTATATCTACTTTTTGGTCCACATGTTGAAGAATAGCATCTTCTTCATGTTGTCTCGTGGAAACCCAGATTGTCACTTCCTGTTTCAAAGCTTCAGCAAATATCTTCAGCACTTCAGCTCCGTAATTTTTGCTAATTTCATCAAAGCCATCAAACATCAAAACAATCTTCTTAGTGTCGATTAGATTTTGAATGTCTTCTTCTAGGTTGCCGCTCACGTGGGCAACGATAGAAGCAAGGGACGGTTCTGTCTGTCTCTTACTTTTGGCTGCATGGAAAAGGTGGGAGACGCGGACGAGGAAAATTAGATAAACCTTTACATCGCTGTTTACGGCTCTTTGCATTCTAAATAAGATTTCCCGGAACATAGTCGTCTTCCCAGATCCCGGGGCAGACGTCAGCAACCACATGCTAGTTCTATAGATGAATCTGGCTCGGCTGATTATAGATTCAAACCTCTCCGTATTTCCATCCAATTCGAAATGTGGGTGGAAGAAGTTTTGCTCCAGGTCTGGGAAACTGAGCAAGTGCGCTAAGGTAGAAACTATCGTCACTGTGTTTCCTGAATCGTCATTTGATGTCGTCAGCAATTCTCCTACAAGTTCCTGCAAACTGCTCTGCTTGTCTTTGAGTTTTTGATTCTCGAAGACTTTGATGAATTGCTCAAGAAAATCTAAAAATAAAAATGAAATAAGTTTTTTATTTCTTTTTGTTTCAATCTGAATTACGCACGTGAGCTTCTATTTCGAAGAACGACAACAAACCAACCATTGTGATTAGTTGCTCCGAGAACTCTCTGACTTTTAATCCGTGGCGTTATTCTTCTTGTCTAAGTATTAATATTATGGTCAAAAAAGGATATTTTAGGGTTGCTTTTCGTCAAATTTGGATTTTGTTATTAATTTTTGCACAAGAACGGGCGGAAAAACGAACAGCGTGGTTAAAATCAAGATTAGATCCAATCAGCGCAGATGAGATTTGAGATCATTTTAATTTTCACGGACAATTAACCAAGATTTTAAAATGCTGCTTTTAGGCAAGTTGTAGCCAAAAACTTGCTCTTTCTTTTTGGCATTTTAATAAAATCTACAAATTCTTTCTCTAAAACATGGATTAAGTTTAAATTTTTTTCTGTCATTGCTACTCGATTTAACATTAATTCATCAGTCCATGACTAAACGTTATCTTTTAAAAGCCCGGCTGGCAAGAAATTACATTCGAAATACTCGGACAAGTCCTTGTTTTTAAAAACTGCGCTAAAAGTCTTTGACTTTGATCTTTTAGCTACTTTTTGTTAACGGCTGAGAATTTTGTTTCAAATTTATTTATAGACTAATTGAACGAATGGATAATCGATTGGAAAAATCTTTTAAAATATTCCCTTGTATAAAAATATTGAGGGCGATCCAAAAGGCTAACTTGGCCCAGGCTAAATTAGCCTGGCCCGGGATACTTTAACCCGCCATTGAATTTTGCTGGAGGGCTATGTTAGCCCGGGGCTAAGTTAACTTAACCTAGGCCAGGTTAGGCTTTTGGATCGCCCTCATGAATTCTATATTTATTTCTTTACTTAAATAATATATATAAAAAATTCCCATTTTATTTATTTCAAAAAGAAAGAGCTTGTCTTGGACTAAAACTTAAATTGCTATTAACATTTTAATTCTAAAAAATTAGATTTTCAAATAGTACTTCTCTTAGCTCTCAAGTGTACGTGAAAATTTAAAAATTTCAATGAAAGTGCCTTGCTTTATTTATCAAAATTTCATTCACTTTTCATTAATTATTCATTTACTTTCACGGCCTCCTGCGACCCTAGTCAGAATCAACAAAATCCGCAGTTAACAATCTCACTTTTTTATTGTTTGCAGCGATGGGGCAGGTCACATGAGGAAGTGCCAGAACTGGATTTTGAAACGCCAATATATTGATTTTGCCCACAATTTTTCCGCCTCTTTTTTAATAAAATAAAAATTAGAAAAAAACCGCTTATACCGTCGGTTGTTGATCAGTTGCCACGCAGTTTTGATCGATTAGAAACAGAAGCTTCGGTTTTCCAATCCAGTCATCATTTTGCACGCCGAGTAGTCCGTGAGTTAACTCGCCGAGCGTCCTTCGCTCTTTTTCACCCACACTTATGCAAATTTGGCCTTCCATCTCTCTGATCTCAGCAAAAAAGAATGCAGAAAAACAGCCATACTTGTACCGCCCTGTGCGCATGAGTCGTGTATTTTCGGCATATTATACGTATATTATACGCATAATTTTGGTATAGCCTAGATGGTGTATAGACGTATATTACACGTCTAAAATGTCCGTCTAATATACGTGTAATATGCGCATAGGCCTACACCGTGTACGCTAAACGCTTTTTATGCGGCTTTTATACCTCTTTATATTTTCGCGTTCTTTTTATATTTCTATTAATTATTTCAGCAGGTATTTTCGTAATTATCATTGAAAGTCAAATTTATAGCAATATTCGTTTTATTTAAATAGCTCTCACGTAAATTCCATATATCACAAAAATTTCCAAGTATTAACACAGAAAGTAATTTAACATAAACAGTTCCATACCATTAAAGAACAAAATACATCGAAGATCGAAGAACAAATTAAAGAGTTAGATGGTTAATTAAAATTTTTGCAATATAAATTTGAGATATTTTTAACACTATATTTTCCATTAACTCCATGCAAAAAGTACAGAGATTTCTTAAATTATCCCCACTAAATCAGGTACGATACTACTTTTATTTTTAGTAACTAAAGCAGTACCGAATACAACATTTTTGAATTAAAAGATTTTTTTAAGTATTACATTACCTACAAATAACTAAGTGGAAGACTGCATAATAAAGGAATACACTATTTAATTTAAGCCCCCCCAAAAAAAAGAGTTCATAAATTAAACAAAACCAGCAGCACACATTTAATGAATGGTATATCATTCCTTCCTCTCTTTTTTGAAGGGAAAATTAAAAATATTAATTAGTTCAAAAGAAGCTCAAGCGTCATTAAAAAAGCGACGGCTAGGCCAGATCATGACAATTTTTTCATGAATAGCGTGCTCACTTTGGAGGTTCAAATAGTATCTGATTGAACATCACTTAAATTATGGAAGTCAATAAAATAATTTTCAAAATTGTCTTCGTTATAGAGTTTTCAGAATTGTATATCTTCTTATTGCCCCGTCTTCATTTTTCTGCTCTGCCTTGGCGCTGACTGGCTGTTGGCAAGTATGTCTATTTCAGTGGCATCACCATTGCAATCTTGCTGTTTCTCTATAATGAAAAAAAAATCTTATTAAAGAGTGCAAAATTTGAATATTGTCAATATATTATTTTTTTTAAATCCGTGTTTCATTGCGGAAGCTTTTAATTTAATTTGAGTATAGTTAAAAGTAATTAATTAATAAATTCCCTTTTTCTCTCTCCATTCATCACTTTTAAATTTACTCATATCAAATTCACAAATAACTTAATTTTTATTTTTTTTTTTTAAATTTCAACATTTTCTTTGAACTAAATTAACAGATATTAGATTTACTAAACCGCAATCCACAATTAATAGTTATTTATATTGCCAATGTGTTTATTGACATTTTTTAATATTCTTTTACCTCAGATATATTTGTTGTCCATTTAACTCTGACGAGAATAATGGTACGCAGCTCATCGTCCATATTTCTTGATCTGAAAACATTTAAAAAGATTAGTTTAAGGCCATTTTTGTCAGATAATTTATTCTTTAAATTTTTTTCAAATAACATAATTATCTAAAAGTTATATTCAAATTACAACTGTTTTAGTCTACTTTTCTTTTTCTCTTTTAATTATACTCGTAAATTCTAAAGCTATTTGCCGCACTGTTTTTGCCGACGCTCAAAAATAGAGCAGCAGCAAGTTAGAAGTCAGGGTAGGCAATACTGCGAGGGCGGAGCATAGGGTAGGTAGGATCTAGGATGCTTGAAAAAGTTTAAGGAATCTCCGCCATCGAGGGGATGCGCTGGTGTGCCGGAGTTGAAGGAGGCACATTCTTAATAAATTCAAGAATAAAATTGTTATTGCTAATTAAGTGCCGATTGGTTACTTTTTTGGAATTAGATTTTGTGAATATTGGAAAATATATTGATTTGATGCAAAAATTTATATATGAAAAAAGTTAGACAAAAAAGACAAAAATAAATAATTTACTAATGAAAGCTATGCGCGCTGCTTTATTCACAAATATTTTTTTTTAAATTAATTTTGACAATATTCAACAATAAATCAAAACTCAACAGTTTCGCCTCAAAAATAAACAGTAAAACTTATAGCCTAAAACTGAAATTTAATCGTAAGCAAAATTGAAAGCATTGAATTTGAATTAAATTTCATATAAAGAGAAAACATAATTATTTAACATACAGAAACGAGTCTGTAAGGCTATATATCTGAATCTTGAGATTTCAATAAAGTAGATAAAGGCAGATATATATGTAGAACGAAAAGTATTAATTACCTTTGAAATTAAAATTCCATTTGATGAGCTCAAAAAACACGCAGTGATTTCTTGAACGTCCTCACAAGTGTGTTGTTGGTTTGTTTGTGCTGCTGCTGCTGCGTGATGCGCTGCTCTGTGCGGTTTTGCTATAGTTGACCACTTGGCAACTGCCAGGAAGAACCTTTTCCACCCCCTCTTTGATACAGCAACTCCAAAATTTTACATCCCCATTGTAGGACACGGTGGCCGCGAGCAAGCGGAGCAAACAATCGGCCTGCAAGCGAGGAGGGAGAGATTTCAAAGGGTATTTTTCAACGACTGATGCTTTTTCTCCCAAACAAACAAGAACATATTTCACGAGAGTTTGGTCGCCTGCTTGCTCGCTCGCTGTTTCTATATTATTCATTTTTTTATTTTATTTATTAAATTGATTTATTTTTTCTATTTTTATTTTAAATTCTTTTGGAGTACTGTGCTAAAAACAAAACTGTGCTTATTTTAGAATGTACCATTTAAAGTCAATGTCAAAACCTTTTGCACAATACATTACACTTTGCATTGCACTTTACACACCTGGCACCTTTATTTTAGTCAGTGGGTCTCAACGCGCTGCTGACCGTTCTGGCTGGCGCCTGACCGTGCTGCTCATTTGGCACTATTAGCGCCGCGAATGAGTAAATTATTTTGCTCCTGGAACGCTAGACTTCCCCTGCTTTTCGAATAAAATTTGAAATTATGAATGGATTGGAATTTTTGAAAAATGATTTCAGGAATGGAATCGGCAAAAACAATTTGTTTTTATAAGAAATTTTGAATTCAGTTCTAGCAATCAGATTATAGCAAAATAATTTTTAAGAATTTATTAAATAATTATTATCATTCATAATTAATTTTTATTTTCTTTGTTACATTATTTTACTAAAATTTAATAAATTCCTTTGCTTAGGCGTGGTGCCGTTACTAAATTAAATAAGCAACAATACGTCCTTTGAAGGATTAGCAATTTTTTTTTTAATAGTTACGCGATGGTTGTATTAAATTAAAAAAAATTAATGATGAAGGAGAATAAAAAATTAATAGTATGTGAGAAATTCATTTAAAAATTTAATAAAAATTTTAACTTATTTTTTATATAAACGACAGTAATAATATGAGCAGATCATGCTACAAATGTCAATCAAAGTTTGTTGAGCTCCAATTTTTTGCCGATCCTAAATCTGAAATCATTTTCATATAGTTCCAGCCCGTTCATAATTTTTAAAATTTGAGGGGAAGAAGTTCAAAGGAGATCAATCGCCCTAAGTGCGGAGTCATTTACTAAATCGCGGCTCTAATAAGCCAAATGAGTAGCGCTGTCAATACGGCGCGAGTACGTTTTTTTTTTTGAGACAGAAATATGTGACTGTTAAATTATGAAAATTTTTAAATAGGCGGTGAGGGAAAAACCATGATTTTTAATCAAATTATGCAAATTTGACCAATATAAAAATAGTTTAAGAGCAGCTCGAGAGAAAGAGAATGAAAAGCACCTGTGAAATGTATGTAACAATAATAATAATAACACCCTATCAATGGGGGGAGACACATAGTGCTCTTTGTCGCGCGCGCCTGTCTCGCAGCATAACAGTAAAAACAGTCTGCGCCACTTTAAAATTCTAAATCGTTTAAATTCAATAACTTTACTTCTAGAAATCGGAATTTAATTTGGTCAACGCCACTGGAATCCTTGAAAGAAGGCGCTTCCAAAGATGCTAAATTTAAATAATTTTATTTTTGGGGTCATCAGGGCAGAGGTGTGACCCAGGTCAAATTTCCATTCCAAAATACTTTCTTGCAATGGCCCACAAAATTTCTAGCTAAAATATGTTTAAATGAAGTCTGTCCGATTGTTAGGAGCATTGCAGTTTCACTCGATAATTTAAAAGAATCATCACGTTTTTCCACCTTTTAAATTTGTTATCTCAATTTCTATTAACACTGGCGCCATGAGCGATTCAGAACTTTTTGCCCATTAGTTGAGGAAGCAGGCCTTCAAATTTCAAGAATGTATTCAGTTATTTAATGTATTTAATTCACAAATATATTACAAAATGTGCCACATCTCCTTTCAATTTACAGAAGCACAAAATTTGATTGAGGAAAATTTTGCACTGACTCATTTTCTGATAAAATTTTCATCCATCTAATTTCTCATTGCAATATTAACCGAGATAATTAAACCGAAGCAACAAAAAACTCGGCAGAGTGCGTGTTTTGCGTGTCTCCTGAAGGCGCCTCATACCTTGCTGCTAGTGTGCAGAGAGATTGAAGGCTTCGTTTTGATAATGGATTTCATTTTTTCGTAGAAATGTTGCTAATGGGAATAATGACTTGATTTTTGCTTTATTTAAGACTTTTTGTTAATGCTTTTGATTTCTTCCTCAACATATTTTTTGTAGGATGAGTATTTAGTTCTTAAAATAACAAATACTAAATTTTTAAATTAAAAAATTTAATAATTTAACATTTTAATGTCTGTAAATTTATCAATTTTTTAAACTTCAACAATATTTTAAATTTTTTGATTCTGTTTTTTCAACATGCAGTTCTTTCTGAAATCGCATTATTTCATTATATATTTTTTTAATTATTTAAATTTTGTAATATATTTTTAAATCACAAAATACTAAGTTAAAATATTTAAATTACGGAGCAAAATTCTATAATTTATCATCCAATTTTTAAGTAGCTATAACAAAACGTATCTGGAATAAACATTTCTATCCTAAAACAAACAAAAAACAAAAATTCCTCCGCACGTATTTATTATTTTGTGGTCTGCAAGCTAATTCCCGCCACGAAAAGGGAGATTTGTCTAAGTTCCGAAACGAAAGAAGAGCGCAAACGCGGCTGAATTGTACAGCAGCGAGCCTGACCGAGCCGCTCCGAGCTCGGAAACCTCCGAGCACTCTGCTGGCTGCGGAACCGAGTCCTTTTCTGCCGCCCCGTTTGAGATCCAATAAAAACTCATTAATAGGTGCAGGATTTTTACAAAGAACGCGAAAAATTAACTATATTTTGCTAAAAATATTTACATACTTTTTTTTTGCCAAAGTTTGTAAGTTATTTTAACTTTATAAATATCTTCAGCTGAGAAAATTTTTCAAAATTCACACAGCTATACAATTTAATTTATAATTAAATGCTTTGTGTTTTTATTTCTAGTAGCTGGCGGTGGCACACTTGAAAAGCGCGAGCCAGGTTGTTTGTCACTTGGAGATTTCTCTCTAGCACAATAACCTTTTTCCTCCCCTTACACATACATGCGCTTCAATGAACCCCCTCGCAACAAAAGGAGCAGCAGATTTTTCTCTTGTTGTTGGGCACGGTTGGGCCACATTATTTCCTAAACTAAAAACTGCCATCTGTGTAACTAACCTAAAAATATTTAACCGATTGCAGCACCCCCTGGAAACCTAACTGATATTTTTACAGAAGGGTGTATTTTATGATGTCTCAAAGCACCCTAAAAGTATGCAACCTATATGCAGCAATGTATAAGAAATTGCATACATGCCGTTTTGTTTTAGGTTAAATATTTAAACCAGTTTTCACTTGAATTAAAATTTTAAAAACAACAAATATAAGAATGTTTATACTTTAAGTCTAGAAAATGTCTTAAAAAATCCAAATATAGCTAAAACAAGATATAAAACAGGATTTTCCCTCCAAGTCCAAAAGTATCTTATAACTACTAACATTAATAATGGTATTATTGTAATAATTGAGAAAACTAATATTTATGATTGATTAATGTGGCGTAAATATGGTTGGAATTTTTTGACCTGCTGAAAATTGAAATTTAAAACAATCAATTTTAAAAAAAGGACTAAAAAATTATTTTTATTTGTGCTACCCGGGTACATAAAACACTTAAATTAAAAGAAATAAGAATTTTAATTTGATTTGAATGAAATATTTAGTGCACGTATTTACTGTACGAATATTATACGCATATCTTTAAGGTGTAAAAACCGCATATTATGCGTGCAGACCTAGCGCGCTAGAGCTATACCTCTTTTAAACGTCTTCTACACGCGTGTAAAAGAGGGGTAGCGCTACACCGTGTAGGAATACACCGACCATGTTGACAGGGCGTGAAACATTTTCTGAAAAATTTCAATATTTTTTATAATTTCCACTTATTAAATTTTCAAAACCTTACCTTGTTTGCCCAAGTAATGGTCTACCGTATTAATGTCCGATATAACAGTTTCAAAACTGAGATTTCTAACCAAAGCATTTTCTAGATTTTTAATGTATTTATTATTTGCGTCTCCTTGATGAAATATGATGGCACGTCTTCTCCTAAGAACGGAGTTTGACTTTTCATTCCACCAATCAAAGTGAATCGAATTCTCCTGATTGCTTCTGCAAAAAAAAATTTATCTATTTTCTATGAATCCTCGAGAGTCTGAAAATAAACTCACAAATCAAGGGGAAGGAAACAAAATTTTTTATCACAAGTAAACAAATGGAATTCCGGCGTCTGTCCGCTTGAGCTTTCAGCAGTTTCTTGGTGAACTCTGTTCAGCGTTCCTGTCAAAAATTTCAAAACGCTCTCGTTTTCCGTCATTTCGTTCAACTGCTCGCACAAAAATTTTACCAACCAAGTGCCTGAATCGGAATCCCTGTTTGACATTGTGGCTGTTGAGAAAGAAAATAAAAATGTAAATTGCAAATTTATTGAGCTGGAAAAACATTTTACTTTCAACAGTGGAATAGAGAACGAAAAGGTTGCGTATCTTTGTTTCAATGGAAATTCTGCCAAAGTTTTGTTTTTTCGTAACATTATTTTGTAGCTTCAGTTTAGATCGGGAGTGAAGAAATGTATCTTCTGTTCGACCTCTGCAGGGCTGAGGGCAAAAAATCAGAAATCATATTTTTTTCAAGCGATAATATTTTTTATATTTACTCCAAGGATCACGAATTTGAGGCATTTTGGAAACAAATTTCCGATGGAGTCGATGACTTCTTTGGTGGTGAAGGTTTCGTATTTGTTTGTTTGTGAGCTGCGATCAAGGGTGTCCGTGAAAATGATTCCGTTTTCAGCTCCGTGAGACAGAATTATCAAAAAGAACAAATCCGGCTCCAAATCTGCCAATTATTCCAATAAAAAATTTGATCGGTATTTTTTGGAAAATCTCACCGTCCGATTCGAAGAGCCTTTTAATTTTGTGTCCGTCTTCGAGCAAATCAATGAGGTCCTCCCTTGTCGGCGACAACCTCTCACGGAATCTGCATTTCCTGTTTGTTTCAAAAGCCTCCCTCAGGTTTTGAACGTCCTTATCGTCGCCCGGCCGTGGCCAGTCGTCTTTGCCCTCCTTGAAGTCAAAGTGCACGACCAGCACCAACACGCTTCGGGTACATGTTTTGAAAATATATTCAAATAAAAAATAAATTACTTGTCCGCTTTTTCTTGCGTGCCTTCTTCCGTTTCAAAATATCCCAATTTAGCCGGTTCATTATTTGGATAGGGACTGCCTGTATTGGAAACAAATAATGCTTCAAATTATTTTTCGAGAAATGGAAAGAAATCAAACCTTTTTTAATCACGTTATCCATCATTGCTGTTACGTCACGGCCATTCATTTTGCTACAATTTGGCCGTTTTTTTTTCGATTTGTTTACGGCATATATGAAGACTGATATTGCAAAATATATTAAAATTTTTCCTCACACTTCAATAATTAATATCCTTTCGCTCTACGAGAGCAAGGTCTGCTCTGCTAATTTTGTTTGTCACCGAATCTGGAAGAAAGACCAAAAGTTAGATAAGATATGGGAGTGGAATGCGAATTACAAGTGGCTGGGGTGGGGGGGAGAGACTTTGAACATAAGCGGCCTTGATAAATAGTGGATCTAAAATCTTCCTCAAACGCCCTTTGTATTTTTTATATATTTTTTCCACTAATATGAATCGCAATCACCAAAAAGAAGTGCAATCAAATTGAAATCTTGAAAATTCGACACACATACACACAATAAAAGCGGCTCTAAACGGCCCATCTAGTGGGCCATTTAGACCCGCTCTCTTCTGTGCAGTGAGGAAAATGTATTTGGTCGTGATTTAAATAGAGTATACTTATCATACTTTATTGCATGTACTGATGAGGAAATAGCGGCAATGATGACTGAATTGTGAATAAAAAACTAGCTCTCTTTATCTACGTACGTGAAAAGACGAATTGTGCGATGTTTTTATTATCTTATTTTAAGATAACATAACAAGTAACATATTTGATGTTTTGACAGACAGGGTCATATCTCTAATGCAATTTGTACTTTGACGTGAGATAAGGCAATTGAGGTTCAATTTTCATTTAAGCAACATATTAATTATGCTACAAAGGTGAATAATGAGTAAAAACTTTTATTTCGGGATATTTTTTTATGAAAAAATAGCTGTGCGTATTATTCAGTATTAAACCAACACGTGTTTATTAAATTTTCACAAAATTAAAATATAATCTTTCAGAAAGAATATATATTTTTTTTCAAATTGTGATTCCATTTTGGCGACTCGAATCTGAATAAATAACTTTTAAGTTAGAAAACCAATTCAAGCGAGGCCTTTAACAACTTGGAGAAGAGTTCTTCAATTTTAGAAACTTCTGGACTCCATCCGGAAGACAATCGCAGATGAACGCGGCTGCAAGGAAATCAGTAAACGATTGATGAACGAAATGAAGTTCATTGTAGATCGCCAAAATGTCTTCATCGACTTCGGGGTCGATGGCGGTGCCGAGAAAATTGGCAGATAATTTTTTCATGTCATTGAAACTTTTATCTAGAAATACTTTGTAATCGTAAGCATCTGGGTTTAGGTCCGTCATGAGTATAGGCAATGCTTTTTTTACGATATTTTCGTAAACTTCGTACAAGCTCAGTTTGTTTTCCGTATCAGAGCCACTAATTTCGACAATGATTTTCAAAAGAAGTGGATTGCCCATGAGTTCAGCCAACCCTTTTTCCCTGTAGATTTCAACTAGCTCTTTGCAATCATTCTTGAATCGTGGCAACGGCCTGTTCCACCAACGACTCAGAACTAAGAGAATAACTTGATTGAACGCGGGTCTCCTCCTTTGTTCAATCGTATTCTCTCAGTCTCTCTTTTCTGCAATTTCCTTCTTCTCCACTCAACTTCTTACTTTTCTTCTCTTAAACTATTTCTCTCTCTCTACTCTACCTAATCTTAAACTAAATCCCACGGGAAACTCCAACTCACGAACGAAAACCGCAAAGAATTACAATTTAAACTGAACCTCTATTTATTCTACTTGCTAACTTCACGGTACTTTACACTTGAAACGGCCAACAGCGCCTCTACCGGCAAAGGGAGGAAGGGAAACAAACTAACTCGATGGGAGGAATCGGGCCTCGGTTACCGCCGCCGCCGACAGGGCGCGCTCGGTTCACCGGTTTACACAAAACTCGCAACTTCCACTAATCTGACAAAAATATGCAAATTAGCGGCGTAAACAATTCAACCGCTAATTATTCCGACAATTTCCACGCAAAACTAAACAATTTCGGGACTTACAACTCAAAAATCGGCGGGGTTCAGCACCACGTGCGGCCGACGTAACTTCTCAAACCGGGCAAAATTAACTAAAAATCCAATAAACTCACCAAATAAACGCCTAACCAACACCAGACCAACTCAGGGAACAATTCACACTACCAGAGAACTCGCAAATCTAGGCCGAAATTCGTCCGAAACCCGTCGGCAGCCAAGAGCTCGCGGCGCGCAGCTCTTGCTCCTTCAGCGTCTCAGCACGAACTCTCTCGCTCAACTGCCCAGCGCCAATGAGAGAACGCATCGGTCTGCTTCTACTCGCTTCCAGAAGGTTCCGGCCAATCAGATCGCGAGTTCTCAAATCGGGCCTTATATGGTCATTTTCTCCGGGGATTATCCAAACATGGACGGCGGAGATGAGAGAAAACGACAAAATGGGTTTAAATGACTTGAGCGGGCAATTAAACTCAAACCTGATGACTTATTCGGGTCGGGACTGGGACGAGTTGGCCGGCGGCGAATAAAAAGTGAGTCTATTTGCTTTCTTTCTTCTTTCCGGCGACAGCAAAAACACGAGGCGGTTTGTTTACTTTCTGATCGTTCCAATGTTGACCGGTAGATGGCCACGATCCGCCACTCACCGAGAAACCTCGGCGGACAATCGCGGGCTATTCAAGCGGGCTCTCTCTGGTTCATGCCCCCCAAGTTTTTGTCATATGTCTCGAAGAAACATTTGGCAAAAACTTACTAAAGGAGCTTAGGGCGAGGGAATCGGGTGGATGATGACTTGGATGAATGTAAGGACGACACTCAGCCAATCTCGGGTCAGCCAGGCAGAATGTGCGCAAGGGCAGCTTATCTGGTGGTTCTGAGGGAGGAATCATGTAAGGGGTAGCCCTGCTTGAACGCCTGTCAGACGACTTTCGCAGCCTGACCGCCCTGGATCCCACGTAGGTGTCCGATTGTCTCAGGACACATGGAGCAGTTTGGTTGTCATCAGCCTTGTCTTCTTTCAGAGTGATGTCCGGTCCATGCGGCTCATCCAAGATGTTGCACCTGGTGTTGAAGAGTGTCTTCTGCAGGGCAGGCTCCTTGGCGCGTACAGTTGTTGTCACTTGTGGCAGCAGGCCAAAACCAGAACCAGCATCAGCGTCTGCTAGCTTCGCAAAACGTCTCACTTCTGTGTAGTCGTGCTGTAATGAGGCTTCTGTTCCAATGGTCAGCATCTCGTCCTTCACACAATCCTCTAGCGCTAGCTGGTGGTCCTCGTTGATGATTGTGCACGTCTCCGGCTCATAAAACAGGTCACTCAGTCCTAGGTTGACTTCAAGGTCAGATCCAGGTCCCACATCTATGCTTCCTATCTGCGCCAGTACAGGGTCATCTCCAGGTTCGGGGTCCTTTTCTGGCTCACAGTCATCATTAGGGGGATTGGAGTTCAATTTTTTAATCAGCTGGTTCAGCTGATAATAGGACAATTGTAGGTACAGGGAGGGCTCTTCCTTCCTGAAATAGGCTTGGGGTGTTGGAAACAGTTCCGTTTCACACCTGGGAACATTGGCGGTGTGTTGAGGGGATAAAGAGAGCAATTGATTAGCATCTGAAACATGTTGGTCATGAAGTGGAGGCTGAAGATCCTCATTCACTGCCAAAGAGCTGGAAACTTTGCCGTCTGACTGCTCACCTATACTAACTGCTGCTAACGGCCCCCCATCCTGTGGGTGCTGAGAAAGCTCGGCAACACCTTTCGGAAAATCTTCAGGACTCGCCAGTTCTTGTTGTGTTGATGTCAAAAGGTCACCACTAGAAATACTCTCTGAAGACGTTACTGCTCGGTCATGGACACCAACAGTGTTCTGCGCTCTTTGTGCATGAAGATCAATGTGTGCACCATGAGCATCACTGTTCGAACCTGGGTTGAAAGGAATACCACAATTGGCAACATTGTCAACAGGAGCACTATGAGCACCAACAGGGCTAATGTACGAAGAAGCGTCACTATCAAAAGGATACTGCAGGCTCTGAGGGAAGAATTGCGTGCGGAAAGCCGAAGCAAAAGTCGCATAGGAATAACCTGGTGGCGTGTACACCTCAAAAGACTTAAACCATAGAGCTGCATGAGCCTCCAGAAGTACCTTCATCATGGACCGGCAAGCAACGTCAATGGAGACGGGAAGATGCAAAGCATACGTCTCAAACTGAGCTAAAAAATCCACTGGGTCAACCACGTCACCAATACCTTTGAAATGTGGTGGCTTTTTGTGCAGCCAAGAGGACGATGCTGGAATGTGTGCAGTATTCACCGGTTGGATACCTACAGCGGCCTGTGGAGAGGGCTGAGCACCGCTGGCACCAAAAGCAATATTCCCCTGTTGAGCACCAAAAGTTTGCGGCACCAAAGCATGCGCCGGTTGAGCACCAAAAGTTTGACGAAGGTTGTTGTTCACCATGGAGGCTGGTGTAACATGAGCACCATATGCATTCTGCCCGCCATAAGCATACAGATTGCCGTGGGCTGCATGAGCACTATTAGAATTGGCTGGGAAGGGAACTGAGTGGGCACCACTATAAGGTGAAAAGGGAGGTGAGCACCACTTGCTCCGCCAAGCTGAGCACCATTTGGAACCATTGGGACACTATGAGCACGAGCTGAGTTGACAAAGAATGAAACGGCAGGAGGATTACTGTTCACCATTTGAGCACCATTGTGCACCATTTGAGCACCAGGAGGAATTTGGGCTGATTGTGCAACAGGAGGTCCACCATAATGAACACCATTGTGCACCACTGAAGCAGCATGAGCACCATTTGCTCCGGGAGGGTAGGCACCGCTTGGAATTACAGGGAAATGAGCACCGTTTGGTACCATTGTGGCACCATGAGCAACACCACCAAGATAGGCACCGTTCACCAATGGAGCACCAGTAGGTATTTGGGCTGCGTGGGCACCAGGAGGAAACTGAGCTGCTTGGGCACCAAGAGGTCCACCGTCCAAGTAGGCACCGTTTTGCACCCATTGTAGTTGTTGAGCCACCAGTCGGCGACGTTCCTCGGCAATCAATTGATGAGATAGTTCCACAGGGATCCATTTCTGCAACGGGGTGGGTGGTTCGCTCAAGCGCAAACTATCGACATATGGGTAACATGGAGTCGATTGTGGGACAGGGAAATGGTTTGGAGAAAATACATCCATTGTATTACTCCTTTATTTACAGCAAATTCACACAATTTTTACAAAATGCAATTTCCAATTTTCTAATACTACAAGAAAAAAAATTCACTCAAAACTAAAACTCCAAAATTTTCCTACACCTCGCGGTTACTATTTTCTACACTAACAAGGCCCCCAAGGACACTCACAAAGACTTTCCACTAATACCAAAAAGAAATTTCCAAACGCAACCAACTTTCCACTAAAAAGAAAAATTAACACACCGGATTACACCGTGGAGTCACGCCAGACGACGTGAGGCACGACAAGGCCAGGCCCCCAGGTTCTGAATCGTGGCAACGGCCTGTTCCACCAACGACTCAGAACTAAGAGAATAACTTGATTGAACGCGGGTCTCCTCCTTTGTTCAATCGTATTCTCTCAGTCTCTCTTTTCTGCAATTTCCTTCTTCTCCACTCAACTTCTTACTTTTCTTCTCTTAAACTATTTCTCTCTCTCTACTCTACCTAATCTTAAACTAAATCCCACGGGAAACTCCAACTCACGAACGAAAACCGCAAAGAATTACAATTTAAACTGAACCTCTATTTATTCTACTTGCTAACTTCACGGTACTTTACACTTGAAACGGCCAACAGCGCCTCTACCGGCAAAGGGAGGAAGGGAAACAAACTAACTCGATGGGAGGAATCGGGCCTCGGTTACCGCCGCCGCCGACAGGGCGCGCTCGGTTCACCGGTTTACACAAAACTCGCAACTTCCACTAATCTGACAAAAATATGCAAATTAGCGGCGAAAACAATTCAACCGCTAATTATTCCGACAATTTCCACGCAAAACTAAACAATTTCGGGACTTACAACTCAAAAATCGGCGGGGTTCAGCACCACGTGCGGCCGACGTAACTTCTCAAACCGGGCAAAATTAACTAAAAATCCAATAAACTCACCAAATAAACGCCTAACCAACACCAGACCAACTCAGGGAACAATTCACACTACCAGAGAACTCGCAAATCTAGGCCGAAATTCGTCCGAAACCCGTCGGCAGCCAAGAGCTCGCGGCGCGCAGCTCTTGCTCCTTCAGCGTCTCAGCACGAACTCTCTCGCTCAACTGCCCAGCGCCAATGAGAGAACGCATCGGTCTGCTTCTACTCGCTTCCAGAAGGTTCCGGCCAATCAGATCGCGAGTTCTCAAATCGGGCCTTATATGGTCATTTTCTCCGGGGATTATCCAAACATGGACGGCGGAGATGAGAGAAAACGACAAAATGGGTTTAAATGACTTGAGCGGGCAATTAAACTCAAACCTGATGACTTATTCGGGTCGGGACTGGGACGAGTTGGCCGGCGGCGAATAAAAAGTGAGTCTATTTGCTTTCTTTCTTCTTTCCGGCGACAGCAAAAACACGAGGCGGTTTGTTTACTTTCTGATCGTTCCAATGTTGACCGGTAGATGGCCACGATCCGCCACTCACCGAGAAACCTCGGCGGACAATCGCGGGCTATTCAAGCGGGCTCTCTCTGGTTCATTCTCAGCATTTGTGCCCGACATCAGCATGAAAAATTTCACTTGCTGATACTCGTTTAGAGGCACAATTTTTGCCTTGCGCACCTGAATTTGCCGGTTCAGTTTTGCAAGAACGGCGTCTTCCACGCGTGGACGCGTTGAAATCCAAACCGGCAAATTTTTTCCCGTGGCTTCTGCCAGCACCTGATGCGCCTGAGTCTCGTATTCTTGAACTCTGTCAAAGCCGTCAAACATCAAGATGGCTTTATTAGCTTCGATCAAAGTTTTGATGTCATCGTTTCGGTTTCCAGTCACGTGAGAAACAACATTGACCAGGGATACTGCTTCTCTGCTCTTTTTGGCTCGTGCGAAAAGACCGAAGGCGTCAGCGAGGACGACCAGAAACACTTTGAAACTGGTGTCAAGGCGTCTTTGCAGTTGGAAAGCGATTTCGCGGAACATCGTTGACTTTCCAGACCCCATGGGTGACGTCAGCAGCCAAACGCGAGCTTCATTTGTGCTGGCGAGATTCAAAAACTCGTCAAAATCCACTGATCTCCCTTCGACGTCAAAGCACGGCTCTAGAACTTGGCGATCCAGCGCTGGGAAACTGAGCAAGTTGGGCAAAGTCGATACCACCATCACGTCCGGCTCTTTTGATCCTGGATTGTTGCTCGATTTCGTCAACAAGTCTTCGAGAAGCTCCTGCAAACTGCTCTGCTCGTCTTTGATCTCTTCACTCTCAAAGATTGCAATGAATTGCTGAATGAAATCTAAATTTAAACAGAGTTATTTAAAATGCGAGTCTGATTTTGAGGTTCAACTAAAAACGCACTCGTATTTTGAAGGACGAACACAAACCAACCACTGAAATTGGTAGCTGCGAGAAAATTATTTTTAGTTTGTGTTGCTTCTGTCGGTCCAACCTAGAAAAAAAATTAATTAAACAAGAAAGGGTTTTTTTAGGTTATTAAAAGGAGAGACTAGTTTTTTATATTTTGATTCTATAGCTCACCTATATTAAAAGAAAAATAATAATAATATTTGGCCGAATGAGACACAAATTTCGTGGCTCATCATGATTGAAGTTTTATATCGGTTATACTTTTTCTCATATTTTCTGTGGGGAGGAGGGTCATAATTTTTATAAATCGTCATCACACTTTAAGAAGTAATCAACAGCTATTATTGCAGAAATATAAGAAGTCTACATTCATTCAATTTTAAATAAATTGCTATATATGGCGTCAAAATGAAGCGTTCGTATGCAAACAAGCATGAGTAAATTCATATTAAATTTGCTACTTTTTATAATTTTAAATGGAAGATAAGAGTAAGTATCACTTAAATAAATTCTGCAGAGTCCTCTTTATTATAATGAATGATGTGCCGCTAAATAAAAATAATTTAATTTTAAAATGAAAAATCCCCAGTTTTCTCAAAAAGTCAAAATTAATTTTTTTGTTTCTGTTTTCCAAGCAAAGATGCTGTCTGTGTATTTTGAAAGCTAGACAAAGTTTCACATAAATTAAATAAATTGCGAGGGATAATTGTGCTTACTTGTAAAAAAATTATATTATGATATCAAAGCAATAATAAGTCAGAACAATTAGAGTTTAAACGAAATCTTCAAACAGAAATCCATATCATTAAAAATAATGCATCTTTGTTTCTATCCTAAGTATCGATGAATTAAATTGTTTAGTCCATAAGGAAAATTCTTTTTCTGCTCAAAATCTCTTGAAAAGATCCCACTCGCTTATGAAACTATTGCATATCAGTTTTTACTCAGAAATAATAATAATTAAAATATTTCTATTGCTCAATTAGCATATTTTGCTGATATATAAATTATAGATATACATATACGATATATACATACATAATATATTAAATCCATATTGAATAATTCTTTCATATTGACATCTTAAGCCTCTTGCTAAAGTCCGAAAATTGAATTTTATAATTAAAATTTGAATTAAGAAAATAGCAGGTTTAATTAATTAAAGCAAAAACTTATTCCTTTATTGTGAAAAAAAGCTAATTATAAAAATTAACCCCTCGCCATCTGCCACATTCACATTAGAATAAATTAATAAACAATTAAATGTTTCAAAAGGATTTCATGGCCGATCATCATTTGCAAATAAGTGTCAATTCTCAGCCCCAAGCGAGTACCTCGGGTTCAATAGGGACCTTCTGCAGTACCACTTTACAGGAGCACCGGCCAATTACGTTGGAAATATGAGCTCACGCAGTGAAATATGTATTTGTTCGCGCTATGAATATTTAAATGCTCTCCTAAAAATGTGCAGGAATTATTCAAAAATATTAATACTCCCGTGTCTTTTGGTGTCAATTTTTGATCGAGCAGAAACAATAATTTGGGTTTGCCGATCCAGGCGTCGTTTTTCGGGCCGAGCAATCCGTAGATCAAATCGCCGATCGGTTTATTCTCATCTTGACTCAATCGAATGCACATTTGACCGTCCACGTCTACGACGTCGGCGAAAATGAAGGCGGCAAAACATCCGTACTCTAGCCAAGGATCGTTTTCTGAAAATAAGCAATGAATGAAAATTTATGCAACTTTTTGATATAGATCGACTGACCCCGCTTGCTGAAATAATGTTCAAGTCCTGCCGCGTCTAATTTTGCCAGAATGGTTTCGAAGCCCAGATTGTTAATAAGAGCAAAGTTCAGTTTTGCGACGGGTTCGGTAATTTGAGCTCCTTGGTGGAAAATGACGGCGCGTCTTTCCCTGAGAACCGTTTTCGAATTTGGATTCCACCAAGTGAAATGCACAGACTGCGGCTTTTCCTCCCTTCTCGGCATTCGCCCCTTGGAGTCTGTTCCTCTTTTTGAAGAACCAGATGCAGCTTCATCGCTTTAAAATTAATTTAAACCAAATATGCATTAAAACACCGTCCATTAATCGCCACTTTTAACTCTAAAAATCTCACGTGTCAAGCAGATGGAAAACAAATCTTCTGTCACATGAGAACACCTTGAATTCCGGCGTCTGACCGATGGACATGAATGAATTGATAGTATTTTGGTGAACTCTGTTCTGCGTGCCCGTCAAGAATTGTAAAATGCCCTCGTTTCGCTTCATTTTGTTCAGCTGCGCGCACATACATTCGACCATCCAAGTGCCGAGATCTTTGTGCCTTTTAGCCGTCGTAGCTATGCAAAAAATCAAACATTCATTGAACTGGAACGAAAAATAAAAAATATTTTACTTTCAACGGCCGCATAGATAATGATCAGGTTGCGCGTCTTTGGCTCAAAGGAAATTCTGCTCGAGTTTTTATTTTCCTCAAAAGCTTTTACATCTTTTGGTTTCATGAGATGAAACATTTTTTCCTCTAGTTTTCCTCTGCACGCCTTTCGCGAAATATCAAATTAGTTTCATATTAGATTAGATTATTCTTCAATCATACCCCAATTAGAGCGAATTTGAGACATTTTGGAAACAAACTTCCGATGGAGTCGAAGACTTCTTTGGTGGTGAAGGTTTCGTATTTGTTTGTTTGTGAGCTGCGATCCGTGAAAATGATTCCGTTTTCAGCTCCGTGAGACAGAATTATCAAAAAGAACAAATCCGGCTCCAAATCTGCAAATTATTTCATATAAGAAAGTTTGACCTTTTTAACAAAAAAAAGAAAATCTCACCGTCCGATTCAAAGAGCCGTTTAATTTCTTGTTCGTCTTGGAGCAAATCAAGGAGTTCCTTCTTTGTCGGCGACAACTTCTCGCGGAATCCGCATTTCCTGTTCGTTTCAAAAGCCACTCTCAGGTTTTCAACGTCCTTCTCATCGCCCCGCCGATGCCAATCGTCTTCGCCCTCCTTGAAGTCAAAGTGCACGACCAGCACGAACACGCTTCAGGTACATATATTTTTTAAACATTTATTTAAAAAATATAAATCTTAAATAATTACTTGTCTGCGTTTTCTTGCGCGCCTTCTGCCGTTTCAAAATATCCCAATTTCGCCGGTTCTTTGTTTGGATAGTCTATTCAAAATAAATAATAGTGGATTAAATGAAAAGAGAACAATGACAAAAATTTATAATTAGTAGGAAAAGGCACTCTAAATGGTTCTGTGTGTTCCACAAATAATTTCATACTCTTTCATGTTCCACTAGAATTTATTAAATATAATTCATTATTATAATTTTTTGTATTTTTTTAATTAATTCCTTTTGTCTCCTTTTAAGCAGAATTAAAACAAACGGGAGTGAATTGGTTTTAATTATGTCGCAGAAAATTAATTGAATTACAATTTATAATTTTTTTTAAACATTTCTACTTTTTTCTCAAACAAGCGTTATAAATAGTTTATTCGAACCTTGTTTATGCACGTCGTTGTCCATATTAGGCATCTTATTCAGAGTTGAATCTCACCCGCCTGCGGAAAAGCAAACCTTCCCTTGATTTCAGCTCCAAGTGACCAATCGCAGCGCAAACCTTTTCTGTTTAGAAAATAAAAAAATCTGATTTTCTTTAGAGCTGTAACTTACAATTCTAGAGGAACTGTGTTCTTGGAGGATTTCACTTTTGAAAATTTTTCACGGATATCTTCATTTTACATTGGGTTCATGTTTATACCACAAATGACCTTTAAAATCCAATTATATAACAATACTCGATCCCATAAAATAACCATTCAAAATTAAAATGTCAGTAAACCAGCGATACATAATATATTAAATTTGATTTCAGTTATCAGCAATCATCATATAATTCACTTAATATCACTTGCCAACCCTTACAAAAATTTGACGTTCGCACATGTCATGTTTTATGATTACACTCTTGACAAAAATAAGACTTGATTGAAGTTAGAATAAAATTGAATTGAGTTTCAAACAAGCGCCAGAGCAGTATATTTGTTGTTATGAAATTTAAATTAGTCAATGCTATTAAAAACTTAACATAGAGTGCTGTTTCTTAAGTGGCAAAATGATGGCTCTCAGCAGCTAAATAAAAGGAGAAAACTGATGTCCGATTTTTAACTTTACAGTGAAATTTAAAAGTTTCACGTTTTTTAGTAATTTTTTTTTAACAATAATTTGACTGTAAAATAAAAAACGTCTTTTTCTATTTGTTAATAATAATTAATTAAAAAATGACAATAATAAGGTTCTCCCTTTTGCTGCTGAGAGGTGCAACCTGAGAAATAACACTCAAGAATTGCTGGACAAAAAAAATAGTAAACGTCAAATCCTCATTAACATGTAAATGTTATATAATTTTATCATTAATTGTTTAAAATTCGAATAAAATTTTAAATTTTGAATGTTTTTTCATGAAAAAAATAGTCACTTTTAAGCGAGGATGAAATTCACAAAAAAAAGGATGGAATTATGATCACATGCATAGAATATTTTGGGCGTTTCAATTCAATTCGTTTATTCTCTCACAACAGGTCAAATATTATTTTGGGGGAAAAATTACATTGAAGAGAGAATTGGCAGCCAGCCCTAGTAAACAACTAGGGTGATTAAGAGCAAGAGCACCAAAATACTGGTGATGTATTTTATATTTCTAAAGCAATAAACTTTTATCTGATCTAACAAATTTTTGGATGACGACCAAAAAGCCACTTTCGGACGAATTTCTTTCGGATGAAAGGCAGGCGGTCCACCAATCTAATCTTCACGACAAGCATTCTTTACAGCCTCAATAAAAAAAGTCATCGCAATAAATGTGAAACCTTTGCTAAAAATTAGGCGTAGTGTGTATTAGGGTAGCGGGCATCAACAAATTTGGACCACAATTTGAATTTATATTGAATTAACAAAAGAGCATTAAATTTTACTTAAAAATTTTGCAGGAAATATTTCCATGGCAGCAGAATTTTTTTGTGAAAATCCAAATTAATTTTGTGAGGGAAGTTCTCAATTAATGTTTGCTCATTGTATAGTTTGATAATTTCATTAAATTGTTTTGGGGTGTTTATTTTAAATTAATGGTGAAGCGTATATTATATTAGCCTACCTCAAATTCGTTTCGAAAGGAACAGCGATCGCGTCTCAACCAGCTTTGAGAACCGGAACTTTTGATAATTTTGATTCCCCGAGAGTTGCTTGACCAACTGCTTGACCTACTTTTGCACTCGACGCTAGACTTTAGTTGATTTTTTATGAGCCGCGTGTGAGCGGGTAGCCCACAAACTAGACTTTCGCTTTCGAAGTAGGAGTCGGTAAATAATCACGTGACTCTGGCAGCCATTCACAAGATTGGCCGGCGTTACCACAGACTAAACTAAACATTTATAGTCTGTGCATGTCACCAACAAGAAACTATCAGTTGGCGGTTGCGATACTAATTCACGGGCAAAATATAATCCAAGTTTTTCTGAATATTTTTAATTTTTATTGCTTGTGAAATTGGGTTGCAGGCCATCTTCTTAACCTTTTTTTATTGATAAGATAAAATATTGATGAGGATATCAGAGAATATTGACTCTTCATTGAAAACGCGTAATTTCAATTTTATATTATTTGAGTGTTATCTTTCAAATTATTAATTTTAATTGTTTTAATTGTTTTTTTCACATTTCTTTTCACAATTTTTGAGAAGATTTTTTTCTTTTATTGAATATAATTTATTTATTCTCCATTTCTCTCCATCTATGCAAAAAAGTATTTTGTACAAAAAAAAAGCGGAATCATGCATCGACATAAAAAAGTATTAACATAAACAAATTTGCGAATCAATGATTAATGTAAATGTTTAAAATATATTGGGAAAAAATGAATCAATATACTTTTTAATTTTTCTTTTTTATTATATTATGTAAATTAATATGAACAAAACGCACACTCTGTTATTTTATAGTTTTAATTTTTCACGCTACAAATATTTTTTGTGTTACACTCAGCATTTCACTATTATATTGTTGGATGCAATACATTTTCTTTAAATTTGTATCTCACTCTTTTCCTATTAATCCTTTTATTGAACGTGAACACAATGCACGTGCTGTTTCGCGCCAGAAGAGACTCGGCGCCTTTTGGCCCCACCCAGCCCCACCAAAGTGCGGCGCGCATGCGCCCTCTCCACGAACAAAACAAAACGAACCTCGAGTGGTGGGCCACGCCCCTTTTAATAAGCAAATTTGAAAGACATACTTTGTTTTGTGACACAGTTTAGCGTTTAATTCTGGTGACATTGCCCGAATGGTAATTTGATTTGGTTCATCCTCGATTTGCTCGAGTGTTTTCCTCGCTTTTCACGCTTTTCGCGGCTCCAATCCAGTCCAAAAATTCATTTAATTTAAACCCATTTTTTCGCAGGCCGAGCGACGAGCAAAGTAGAAAGATGAGGAGCACGGACACGGAGACGATCATCAAGGGCTGGTTGTCGGAATGCCAGCGGACCAGCCAGGAGGACTTCTCGACCTTCGCCAAGTCCCTGTCCGAGAACGAGGAGACGTCGACGGCCATTTTCCGGGTCCTCGAAGACCGCATCAAATACGCCGAAGTGAAAATCAAATAAGTTCGATTCAAATCTAACTTTGTCCTTTGTTCGTTCAGAGCATCGAGCTGGTGGTCGGGCAGCTGTACAGTTTTTACCAGAGCCAGAACAAGAGTCTGCAGAGCTACACGCTGCAGTTCCTGCCCTCGCTGGTCTTCGTCTGCCTCAACTGCGTTGCCCACGGCGATAAACAGGTCACCGAATTTTTTATTGAAACCAAACATTGCTGAAAGTCTCGATTGCAGACGTGTCCGACGGTGGAGACGCTGCTTCTGGGCATGTACAACCAAGAGTTGCTCGACAAAAGCGGAAAGCCGCGCGTCTTCAGCTTCAGAATTCCTTCGCTGGCGCAGGCCTCGGTTTACCACGAGGCATGATTTTTCTTAATAAATTGAATTATTCCTCGGAATCATAAGAAAAGGACCAAAATTTGATAGAAATCTTATTCTATGAGGATTTTATTTAACAATTTTCATTTGAAAACATTTTTTCCTATCAAATTTAATGAAATCGATACGAAAGCTTAATTAAATTTTGAATTTCTGCAGCCGATGAGTTTGGCGCCGGCGAGCTTGACCGAGAGCGCCCTTCGCAGGCTGGAGGAGTGCAACACGCACCTGGTGCAGAAGGGTCCGTACCAGCCCGAGGAGAAGCTGATCGGCCAGAACAGACTGTCCGTCATCTCGGCCCTCATCTTCCTCTACAACTCGCAGCTCTCGACCATCCCGGACGCGGCCGTCGAGTTCCTCTGCAAGGCCGTCTCCAGGTGCCTTTTCTCATTTCCCCTCTTTTCCAACCCCCACTCACGGTCTGTCCGTCCGCTCAGGTTGGTCACGCAGGGCTTCAGCAAGCAGTCGTCCCACCAGCGCTCCTCGTACGACTCGACCCTGGTGCCGCCGACCCTGCCCCGCATCCCCGTCAACTCCGAGTTTCTGCTCGAACTCCTCACGGCCATCCACCACGCCCTGTAAACTTAGAACTTTTTTCTGTTCCAATATTCACTGATTTTAACAGGTACACCCCCTTTTCGAGTCTGGCCACCCAAAGTCTGGACGACGTCCACTTCCGAGCGTCCCACGAACTCCTGCCGGACGTCCTGCTCGTCACAACCGCCATGAAAAACTTGCTGCACTCAGCAGGTACCTCATTCAAAAGCCAACATGGAAATTATTTAATTAAAAAAACACAAATTCAAAAGGAGGACAAATTAATGAGTAAACTGTTAATTTTTACTTATTTATCAAATAATGAGACTTTTTACCAATGCATTGATTAATCCTTTAATTTAGTTTACCTAATTAGCTTTGATATAAATCAAATTTAATTGCCTAAAAATTTATTCCACTTTTGTAAAATCTTTCAAATTATAATTTTTAAAGTTTCAAGTGTTTGTTTCTTTTAGTATCTTGGAACATCAAAATTGTTTTAAACAATCTTTTAAAATGAATTGTTTTGCAGCTCCGGTGAATGAGACGGCCGTGTCTGCGAACATAAGTCCGGTGCTGAGTGGGACGGCGGCGGCCACGACGGTGCACAAGTCGCTGATCACGAACGCGTCGTTCCGCACCAAGAAGTTGCCAGGTAGGATTTTGCAATTTGCGGTTTCGTTCGATTGAATTTGGCCGGTAGACAGCCTAGCCACCGCTTTTCTCCTTACTTTCCGCAGTAGGGCGGGAGGGGTAGTCGGGGGTGGGGGGTGGTTCTAACGGGGCACTCACCACTGTTTGGCCAGATGACATTGAGGCGCCGCCGGAGTTGCAAGAATGGACAATCGAAAGTAGCGAGCGGCGCAGTAGCGGAGTTGAGCCGCCCCGAAATGAGTTGTCGCCCGAGGCGGGCGGTGGGAGGGGGTCGAGGAGGCTGTCCGAGGGCCTGCTAATGATCGGCTCCTTGTGGAAGTCGCTCGCTAAGGGGCCCGTTCAGTGAACACCGCGTAAGACTTTTTTCTCCACCAAAACTGTGCACCGATCGCTACCATTCGCAGGACTTTTTTCTGTAAAAAAATTCAACCGCCTTTTATTTCAAATCCAACTTCATTTTTGGAAAGAGCTCTTTGAGAAGATTCCAACGATATGCTGGAACTCTACTTTTGTTCAACTTCGGTCGCCATCTTTTTCCAAGATGGCGACCAAACTTCGAAAGCATCCTACTCGGTCAATTTCAAACCGAATTTGGTTTCCAGCACATCTTTAGAATCGCCTCGTCAAGGACTTTCCAATTTTGAACATAGTAAATTTTGACTTTTCAACCCTTTAAGTCCTCGGATGAAGTTGATCAATCAATAGGGTAGTCGCATCAAAGCTAATTACATTGGGATTTAGCACTTGCAGACGTTGCGCTCAGTAGTTTGACACACCGCATGGCCAGCTTTGAAGCTTTTCCGTCGAAATTAACAAAATCACACTCACATTTTAGATTGAAATCAGAATTACGATAAATATTTTAGTCGAGCAAACAGAACACTGTGTAAATAGACTGCAAAGGATTTTCCCTGATAGATTTCCTTGTCCATAACCCCTCCAGATGTCAGGCAGCTTGCGATTAAAAATCACATCATTTTTCTCATTTTTGATTATCAAATTGATTCGAAGTGAAAAAAATTGAAGCTTATTTCAGCCGGATTTGAACGATTGACGCCGCTTCGGAATCTTTCGGACTAATTAAAATATAAAATGCAAACTGGCCTGCCTGGGCAAAGTCTAGCCTACTAACTTTGACGCATTTTTGAGCTTTTTGGTAAAAAATTTGCAAATTTTCCAGACGACATTCCGATTCAAGAGAAAAAGGAGGAGGCGGAGGGGAAGAACCTGGAGCCGATTTGCGAGGAGAACGCCGAGGTGAAGAAGGGCATCAAGGTGGGCATGCCTAAGTTGCCCAGCCTGGTCAAGAAGCGCACCTCGTCCGAGTCCAAGGCGCCCAAGAACAAGAAGAAGCTCGAGCAGGAGGAGCATAGCGACGAGGTCGTCTTCTCGCCAGACTCGGACTCGCAGGACGGACAGACCGAGGCCTTCGACCTCAAAAACCTCAGGGACAGTCTCGTCTAGTTAAAAGGCTTCTTTCCAACACCCCCCAGATCTCAACTTCTCTGAATTGTATTTCAAGTTACCATTGTTAATTATTAATTTAAAACGGCGTTGCAGATAAGCAGATTTAAATAAAATATTATGAAATATATTATATTGCGGCAGTTTGAAAAATATGCAAATCTTTAAATGAAAAATAAACATCCTAAAATTGGTATTTTTTTGTTTTTGATAAGACTCTATGTAATAAAAAGAAAATATAAAAAAAAATAGTCCTGAACAGTCTTAATAGGAGCAATTTTACTCAATTTGTATTTATTTGGAAGCTTCTCTCTTCAAAAACACTTTAAAATGTTAAGTTGAAAATTAAAATTCACTACTTTTACATTTCTTTGTCTCCTTCCTAATATCGATAAATTGAGAACAGCAAAATTAAAAAAATTTGTAAGCTACGCACATAAATTAGTTAAGCATTTGTTATTGATTAAAATAATTTAGTATTTTAAATTTATTTGCTACATCGGCTAAAAAATTTTACTTTTGGTAGGATTAAGCGATCTTGACCGAATTCAAGGCCAATTTGCCAGGAGAATTTCAAAAATACAGTTCAAAATTTTTTGATTTTATGGACACTCAAATTTGGATTTTGGAAATTTTAGAGAGGCTCTATCTCGGCTTCCCGTGGCCGTAGAACAAAAATATAGATATAGCTGAATTTCTCTCGTTTTCCGCTACAACTTTGCTGTTGAAAGAAAAATTTTAGGTCAACGTTCAAGGTCACTTCCGGTGACCTCTAAAATGAAGGTTATCTGCCAATTTTATTTTTATTCTGAAACAGCCATTGTGCAGAGCGTGAAATTTTACGTAATGAAGAAACATAAGCTAGAAGCTGTTTTTCAATAAAATTAATAAAAAAATCATAAGCTCAAAAAACACGGTTTTCTGAGCCTATTAACCTATTTTTGGGTTAAATCTCTTTGCGAGCCTCTGTGATTATTTTCCTGAGCATGATAGCTCAAAGTATCTGATGACAAAAAGTAATTGCCTTGAAATTATCTCTCTAAAAACGTATTACATGCTATGAACAGGCCACAAAAGGTCATTGACCCTGGTGACCTTTGACCGTAAAACCGCTCTCAAAACTATTTTTTCTTAAAGTGTGACACATCGTTCAAAAGAGGACCTCAAGGGGGTAATGTTGGTATCTGGAATGTTGTTCTAGCCCCAATACAAGCAGAGTTACTTTACAATATAAACCGTAATTGTACTATCAATCGCAAATGACTTTTTCCATTTTTGTTTCAAGTACAACTTTGAAGATATATTTCACATTTTACATCCCGTTTCGTGGTTAAGGTTTTTGAAGTATTGATTTTGGGGTTGCATTTGGCGCAGCTTGGCCGTGCAGGCGACGGCGAGTCCAACGTGTCCGTGGCAACGGAAGAATGGCGTGCAGCAGGGCGAGTTTCTTCCACTCGTGCCTCAAAGTGCCCGTGCACCCTGACACGCGGATGCCCTCGCCAGGCTACGAGCGGCCCTCCGCCCCCTTCTCGCCCCCCAGAGGCCCCTCCAGGTCTTCCAAGGTCACGTCGCGAACCTCCTCCGCCAGCCGCGCCTCCTCGGCCAGACCACCCCGGCCCCCCAGCACTGCCAGGTGTGACAAATTAATTCATGCAAATCCAGTTTCAGTTGGAAAAAAGTACCAGTTTAAATTGTTTATTTACAGAAATACACATTATTAATAAAGTAATTTCTCAAAAGGAAATAAAATAAAGCAGATTTTGAATTTTATTCCGTAAATATTAAGACTGATTTTCTATGAAGGCTGATGAAGAATTTAAAAATGCATTGTTTCCTCATTTTATCAATTGTGCCAATGAAAATTTTAACATAAATTTCTGTAAGAAGTCTGAAAATGATCTAAAAGTATGTAAACGTAGCTTTTTAAAATAGTTATTTCTATCCCACAATTATTTCCAACCAGAATGCGAGGCACAATTACTTTTTTAAACGAATCGATAAAAATTAGAATAAATTTTTTCATCAGCCAAGGTAAATGCAACTTTTTAAGTTTCTTATCTGTATTTTTTTTAAATTTAAATAAAAGAATGAGCGTTGAAATGGGGAGCGTGGCGCCGGTGCTCAAATTCTACGAGTCGATCCCCGACTACGCCGACCTGAACCACCTGAGCGACAAGGACTTTTACGCGCGGGTCAGGGAGCTGCGCTTCCTGCAGAGGAACTACGTCACGGCCATGACCGAGCCCAAGACGACGACCAGCCCCAACAACTGGCAATCCGGAATTCAGGTTTGCAAAATTTATATCCAACACGCGTTCTTTTTTTTTATTAAATTTTAAAAATTGAAAAGGGGAGCAAGTGCCTGATGAACGCGAGTCGCGCCGCCACCCCCAGCAGCTGGCGCACGGGCAGCCCGAAGATGGCCTGGGGCAGCCACACGCCCAGCACCAGGGAGGACGTCTTCAGCTCCACCCTGAGTTCGCCCCTCTCCTCGCCCCAAAGGTCCAGGAAGCAGCGGGACCGACGAAAGCCAAAAACGGCAAACAATTCCGGCGCCATCAATCGGTTATTCCAAGTTTTTACATATAGAAATTAATTGCAATTTCTAATTGAAAATTTCAGCGGAAATAAGAAATCATATTATTATCTTTTTTATAAATTTCTTGGGTGTGTAAATTTTGAATCAGTTTCAAACCGAGTCTTTTTCTTTTAGAATGATTGTTTGGTTTGATGTTGGAATATGATTAACATTCATGAATAAATAATTTTAAGACGTAATTATTTCGTGGAAATTGCGTTTTGTATAAAGTTGTGGAAAATTATTCACATATTTAGAAATCCCGAATGTATTTATTTAAATATTAATTTTTTGCACAATTTTCCTCACTCAAGTTTGTTCAGTTTTAATCATTTTTAACGCCTTATAAAGATTAGTTTTTGCAAATCTTTAATTATTTATTCCAAAATTTATTTGATTTTTGAATGTGAAATTCGCAGAGGTTTAGATAAGTCTTTTAATCTAATTTGGAACTCCGAGTATATGAAATTAAATTTCTGTTTAATCAAATGAACTAAATATTATCATCTTTATTATTATATTTCGTTTAAAATACTCATGTCATTGCAAAATAAAAAACCCGAATTTCGATGGAAACATTTTTAAACTGCCATTGAAAGTGTCAACAATTTTGGCCCAATTTTCCATTTTAAAACTTGTTCGCCAAAATCTCGTCTCATATTAAAACTTTAAACAAAAAACACTAATTTTCAGTTTTTTTTGAAGTGTAATTTGTGAAGTTTGTACACTTATTTCCTGTAATAATTAAGTAGAATGAAAATCGAACAACATTAATTTCTTGAGCACAGAAGTGGTTGGGCGCGCGAGGCTTCGTTGGTGTCGGACTCTGAGGAGGATCGGTCGCGGGCCTGCAAGAACGCGGGGTGGCGCGAGGCGCAGTTCCGAGCCAGCCTGCGGGAGGAGGAAAAGCGCGACCTGAAGCAGCTGCGGCGCGACCTGATGCTGTCGCCGAGGCGCCGCACGCCGTCGCCGGTCAAAGGTCACGAGGTGCCGCTGACCTCGCGCCTGCCCATGTACCACGCCATACTGCTTGAGCAGGTCAGACGAAACTTTTATTCCAGTTACGTTTTCTATTTCAATTAAGTTTAAAGTAGAATCAACTAATTTTTTACTTAAAATTAAATTTATTCGCGAAGAAATTAAAAGATGAATAATTTAATATTATTAAATATTTATAAATTATTCTATTCTTTAAAAAATAAAAAATTAAATAAATTTTATAAACTTTTTCTATTTCAATTAAATTAATTATTGACTTTATGAATTAAAGGTTGAATTAATTATGTATATTTTCTGTTTCAATGAAATTTATTCTTCAAAAAAATTAAAAGCTACATTAATTTTACTTATTTTTTATATATCGATTAAATTAAAATCTAGACAAATTGCAAAGTTCAATTGAATTTTATTTCATTGTAATATTTACAATTAACCCAATTTTTCTGCGTTGAAATAGAAAAGAAAATTTTTTAATAAAAAAAGTAGAAAAAACAATAAAGGAAGGTAAGGAACCTTTGAATATTCGTCATTATAATGTCGCAGGAGCTGCGTCGCGAGCGGCTCAAACGGAAAAGCAAGGCGCGGCTGCTGGCCCAGCTCAGGCCGTTCAGCTTCGACGTTTCGCCCGAGAGAAGCCTGGCCAAGAACTGGAAGTCCCTGCCCGAGCTCAGGGACTTGGACAGCGGCAGGAGCGTCTTCAGGGCCACGCCCATGCCCTGGCAGATCTACGGAATCGAGGCCGAGATCAGGCGCCAGGAGGAAGATTACCTCAGGTTTGTGCCAGTCACATTTTTAGACGAGCTTGTCATGTTAAAAAATCTTGATGCGAACAAAGTATTTCAAGCCCCTCAGAAATCTGAAAACCACAGAAACGATTTCCCAAGAAAGGGAAAATGTTTTAAAAATAACTTTGTTTTTTCAAAGTTATTGTTGGAATTATATTTTAAGCAGGTATTATTTTTATTGAAAATGTTCATTAACCTCGATAAATATTCTAAATAATTAAAAATTCTGCATTGATCAAGAAGAATAAATAATCATAAATAAATTATGAAAAATTTGCAGGAAAATGAGGCGCGAGATCCGAGCTGAGGAGATGCTGGCGCGGTCGATGTTGCCTAGGTCGATGCAGGTCAGGTGCAGGTCGCAGAGTCCTCCGGCCGAGTGCAGAACCTCGAGGGCGGTCGGGTCCTTTTTTTACCTTTGCGAACGTTTAACCGAATTTGATTAAAGAGCTCGGCCGCGGTCTTCGGTGCTGAGACGAAAAGGTCGCCGTACGCCAGCACCTGCACCAGCAGGGTGTCCTCGGCCGCCGCCCTGCCACGACGACCCTCCCCCATCAGGAACAACCTGGCCGCCGTCCTCCGCATCGAGGCCTCCAGGTGAAACACATACTTTTTATTCAAACTAACGAGAACTTTATCAAGACTCAATTCAAATTAGCAGACAAAATGAAAAAAAAAAATTTAATTTACTTTTATTAAATTTTTTTTTTTTATAAATTCCCTATTTAAAAAAAGGGATGCAACCCACACAACAGCAATCTTTATTTTATAGTTTTGAAATAAATTGATGAAAATTAATTTTTACATCATTTTGGAATTAAAAAAAAAGCGAAATTGAAATTTAAAATAACATTACAAAATATGAATGTTTTGAAATAGTTTAATTGCTGTATTATTCGTATTTAAAATACTTGTATAATTTTGATTATATTTAGTAGCAAATCTGAAATATTTTTTGAGGAATCAACGACATGACTTTTCAAATAACTGAAGGCGCAAAAATTAATTAATGCTCAATATTTCAATAATTTTAGTCAAAGCAAAGTTTTTATAGAAATGTAATTTAAAATAATCTGCTTAAATTAGGTGAAAATTGAAATTCAGAAAAAGAGATCTCTTCAACTTTGTTTGAAGAAGTTGACACTCGAGGAGATGATCATGGAAATGAAGCGATCGGGCTTTTCCTCGTTGCAGAAAATTGTTTTTATTCAAAAACAAATGGCTCTACCAGTTTCGGTCACGGTCTGCGACCCTATTTCATGAGCAAGAAAAAATACAAAAAATCAGCAAATTGAAAAAAACACTACATTTTAAAATAAAAATAAAAATCTTAAAACTAACAAATTCAGGTACCAACCTATTTCATGAGCAAACGCGCTGCTCGCTGACTAATACAAGAATGAGCTAGCTAAAGACAGATTGATTGGGGGAGGTGATCTTTATTGGGTGACCGAAACTGGTAGAGCCATTTGTTTTTGAATAAAAACAATTTTCTGCAACGAGGAAAAGCCCGATCGCTTCATTTCCATCTCTTCAACCCTTTCTTTTAACAAAGGGGGTATTTTTTTTAAAAATAATTTATTATTTTCTTTCCTTTTCAATTTAGAAATTTTTTTATGAATTGAAATTAAGAAAAGGAGCATTAAAGTTGAAAGGGTTATAATTGAGGGTTGGTGCAGCAGGCGGCGGGCGGAGAGGGAGGCGGCCCTGCGGCTGGAGGAGGCGCGGCAGCTGGAGGAGGTGAGGTCGCGGGCCAAGGTGGTGCGGCGCCGACCCGCGTGGCGCCGCATGGCCAGCGTCAGCGCCAGGAGGGAGCTGGCGCTGAGGGCCGAGGCCAGGAGGGAGGAGGAAAGGTCGCGCCAACACCAACACGCGCGCCACATGGGCACCATGATGAACAGGGTGCTCCACATCCCCACCCTCTTTGAACGCCAGCATCAAGTAATGAAAATTAAATTTATTCAAAATTAATTGCAAACAATTGCTAATTTTCCCGCGAAAGTCGAAATTCGTCACACTTGTTTAAAACTGGCCTTGATTGTAATATTTATGTTTTAATTTTTCTATCACTGGGACTGAAATGAGATCATCACCAATTGACAGGAAATTTAATTAGCTTTCTAAATAACTCTAAATTTGATAAAAATCGGACAATTTTTGCTACCAAAATGTCGGTTTTGTTTGAAACTTTTATCTTTCAAATTATTTTCTCAAAGGAATTTATTAAAAAAATAATAATCAAAATATGAACAAAAAACAAAATATGTATAAAACATTGCAATCTGCTTGACTTGCCAAATTTTGAATAGAATTTTTTGCAGGAAGGGTTGCGGTTCAAGATGTTGGAGGCTGACGAGGGCCGGCGCAGGATGAAGCAGCAGGAATTCCGCAAGCAGCGAGTCATTGTAATTAACAGATTCTTTAAAATCAAATTTCAAGAAGATAATCAAAAAATTTTAGAGTTTTTCGCCGGAGGAAGAGAAAAAGGACGACGAGCCGGAATTTGAAGAAAAGGACGATTTGAGGGAAGAATGCGACGAGGAATTGGAAAACTAATCAACTATATTAACAATTTGTATACATTTAATATTGTGCTTCGTGTTTTACATGTTAAAGAAAAAAAGTTATAGCTGCTGTGAAAAGATTGAGATACGAGAGTGACTTTTTCACAGTTTTTGTACATTCGAATTAGAATAAATTAAAGTTTTGATTGTGTCACTGGCGGATGTGGTCGAGGATCCACTCGGCGTACGAGGAGACCCTGGTGAAGATGGCGGGCGGCGCCGCGGCGACGCCGCACTCGTCGGGGCCGTGCGAGGCGACGCCGACCTGCATGTAGACGGCGGTGTCGCTGAGGCCGCCGTAGCCGTGCGTCAACAACATCAACGGCCCGCCGGTGTCGCCCTGGCACGCCGTCGAACTGTCCTCGGACGAACCCGCGCACAGCTGCGTGTCCGCGATGTTCTTGTGCAGCGCCAGCACCTGACGCACATCAAAAATATTAAGAAAATATTTACAATTTACCATTAAAATCTTTTGCAATTCTAATTTGTTGAAGGCAAATTGAATAAAACTTGCTAATTTGACTGAAAATATCATTAAAGAGTCTTCATTTCGTTAAATTTAACTCATTTTAGTTCACTCCTTCAAATGCTTTTTTAAAGTCAACAATGATTTAAAACGGCTCTGCCTGCTAATGTTTAAAAAAATGTTTTTAAGATACAAAAATACTTCTATGTAAATTTTTTTTCATTAAAAGCAGATGGAAACTTTTACCAAATTGTATTGAATTTAGAGTGGAATTCAATACACCAACTAAATTTTGCTTCAAATTTGATGGCAGAATAAGCTTCATTTTCTAAATTTAAACACCTCGGAACAGGTCAATTTCAGTTATTTATACGCTATTTTTAAGAACAAATAATTAATAAGGTAAAAATATTTCAAAACGGTTTGTTGAAATAAAATTGAAATATTGATAATTATAATTACTGGGCGCATCATTTGGCTATCTCGGATTTTTTTGTCAGGTTGCTTATTGCAAGGCGAAAAACTTTCAATTTTGACCTTTTGCCAGGGTCAATGACCTTTGGCCTAGAAACTCAGCCAAGAAAAGATACCTTGATTCATGAACTTACATTTTTCACCGAGAAAATTAACAAATCTTTTACCCAAATTATTTTGCGAAGAGTTTAAGTTCGGCTATTTGGAATTTGCCATATATGACAATTTTTCATTATACGAGAACCAAAGTTGTAACCATCAATATATTAATAAGCAGAAATCAATAAATTCCAAGAGTTTAAAAATGAGCTTGTTTTCTGGTATACAAGAAGAAAAAAAAACACATTTCCAACCAGCTTCCATTAAATTTGTTCAAAAATTTGCACGGTGACCCCCAATTTTCCGGTTATCAAAATGATCCTTAAGGCCTAAATTATTATTTTGCATGAAAGATTTTTGTGGATTTTTGTTCAAAAGCGAAAAAGAGAAACTTGCCTGCATATTTCCGCAGTCCTTGTTTTTTACCAGCGGCAACTGCGCCTCTTTCAGGATTTGGTGGATCGGTTTGCTCACTACAATTTATATTTCAAATTATGTAAAAAAATTAATTAAAAATTCGCACCGGAGTGGCTGAGACCCCAGCCGACGGTGATGAGCTTGGTCCTGTGGACGTCGTTGACGACGTCCACCTCGGGCTTAAGGGGGATGCACACCGGCTTGATGTACGCTGCGAAAATGGAATTTAATTTTTGTTTTCTTGGGAACATTTTTTGGCTCACAGGAAAAGTGGGCCGAGAGGGGACGTTTGAGGCGGATGAGGCCAACGTCGTTTTGAGAATAGGGCTTGTCGTAGCGCTCGTGCCTGATTTTCTCCTCCACCTGGATCACGGACACGAGGTCGGCGCACTCGTCCAGCCCGAAACAGTCCGGGTCTGTGTTCGTGTTGTACTCGCCCAGCCTCACGTGCGTCCTTTTTCACAATTTTCATTATCAGTGAAAAATATTAATTAGGTTTCAATTTTACTTTTTTTATTTTAAATACATCCATAATAAAGTTGAAAATGGTTCCAATTTGATCAATTCTCCATTAATTTGTTTATTTCAACAACAAAAAATGTATAAATTAAAAAAAGGTAATTGTTATGAAAGAGGAGAGCAATTTATAATTCTGGAGGCCAAATCTATAGACATCTATCAACAAAAAACTCGATTTAAAACTGTACGACTAGAAAAACAGATCAAATTTTGTTTCTGTTTTGGTTTGCAAGTCTATAGGAACTTTATGATTTTGTAACTCGCAATAAATAATCAATCAAATGAAATGACGCGCGCTCTCCGCAGCTCGCAACAAAGAGAATAAATTAACTGTAAAGTGACCGCGAAGCACAATTTGAACGCGTTTCCTTTGCTCTTCTCCAGTGGAAGCAAAATTCCTTTTTTTGTACCAAAGTCATTGAAAGACGCGCGGAATAAATTTCTTCTGCGCATTACTTCATTAGGCGCAGTAACGAGAAGACAATAAAAACGAGTTTTCCTCATGCGGAGTATTCAATTCAAAACAATTGATACATTTTAAAAAAAAGCAAAAATATAATTAGAGATAAACAATTGCAAATGTAATCAACAATTGAGGTTGCATTTTGGTTAATTTTTTCTGTTAAAACATAAATTTCTTCACGTCTTTTCTCTGTTTTGTATTTTGAAGAAAAAATTGAACTCACAGCTCCGGTCTGATGCACTGCCCGGCGGTCAGGATGTACCTTCTGCTGATGACCGACCCGCCGCACATGACCCTGAAGTTGTTCCCTGCAACCACTTCAGCTTAACAAAAAAGTTTCACCCCAAAATTCCATCAATTTTCTTGTAAAATTTCATGTTTTTAAAAGTTATCTTTCAGCTGGTTTAAAAAGTTAAAAATAAAAATCATTAAAGACTTTAAATTTATAAAAAAAGTAAATTTAAGAAAACCCAAAACCCTGTTTAATCGTATCATTAGACGAATATGAAAATACAAAGTATCAAGAAAAATTAAAACCAAAAAGAGTATTTCTATTACATACATTGAATATAAAAAAAGATCGGTCTGCTGGTGCTTTAAAAACTAATTAATTTCTTTGGTCAATTCTTAAATTAAGCTGGAATTTAAGAGATATTAAAAAAAAATATGAATTTGATATTTGTATTTAAACTTTTATGAACAAAAATTTCGCCATTGATTTGAAATTGTTCAATGAAATCCACCCTAAGCAAAATTGAAGTTTTTTTTTTTAATTTTTGCTGACCTCTGAGCTCGCCGAGCTGCGCGACCCAGGGGTACTCGCCGAGGGAGGCCTGTTGTGCGCCTGCGTGGATGCGTTCGGTGCTCTCGTCAGCGTTGCGGCCGCACCGCTCCACCGGCAGCAGCTTCACGTTGGGGTGGCGCAGCAGGTCGCGGGGCGGGGGCCGCGCCGACCCCGGCCGCACCACCTCCGCCTGCTCGAAGGTCACGGGGCCGCCGTGACCCGAGTTGACCTGGTTGGCGCCGGGGTAGGAAATCGAAGAGTAATTATTTCCGGCGAGCAGAGGCGGCGACGGAGGGGCTGGAGTGGGCGGAGGGGTGGCAGGGCCGAAGCGCACGTCCGTCGCGTTCTCGCGCAGGAACACCACCGGCGCCGCTGGTTTCGCGCCCAACAGCGCCGAACTCGCCGACGACCTGCCAAAATCGAGAACCCCCCTTGATCAGAGGCGGATAGGCAACCCTTGCGACGCCAACGCCACGCTATTTGCATACAATTCATTTGCATAATTTCATTTCTTTTAGCGATTAAATTAGTGAGCTTACGTAAATTTGTAAAATTTGAATAGAAAAGCTGCTTTTAATAGTTTTTAATTAATTATTAAAATTTATCTGGTTTTATATCAAAATTAATTAATTAAAGGAAACTCAACTTATTCTCAAGGAAAGAAGGCCATTTTTTGTGTGCCAAAGTCCACCTGCTTAACTAAAGGAAAGGGTTGAAGTGACGCTTTTTTCAAAATTTGATCTGCAAGTTATTTAATTTGTTGAATTTCAAAACAAATTTCCTTTAGAGGTTTATTTTAACCTTGTCTCAAAATTCTATTGAAAAAACTCAAATATTTTCAAATTTTTACGCACAAAATTTTAAATTAAATGAAATTTTTTTAAAATTCACAACTTGAATCTGTTTTTGGGCTAAAACTTGCATCTTCTCTGCCATTAAAAATTAAAAATCTTCACTTTTGACCTTTCTTTTTGATAACTCACGGTGGGGCAGGTCTTTTGGTGGTTGCAGTGGTTGCGGGGGCGGCCGTCGTTCTTGGGGTGGTGCCGGGGGTGCTGGGCCTGGCGGTGGCCAGGGTGGGTCGCTGCTGGGTCGAGGTCAAGGGGCAGCAGAACTGGGGAAAGCTGCCGTCGAAGCCGCAGCGGGGCAGCGCGGCGACGTTGGTGGCGCCGCCGTCGTTCAGGCGGCGCCGACACTCCTTGGCCAGGGCGCAGCTGCTGCCCTCGGGACACGACACCGCCGCTGCAAAAACACAATCACACTGAGAACCTTGACCCCGCCCAGTTGCGAGACAGCAAAACCAACTCTCCTTTGCGAAATTTCACTTGTATTCCATCGACGATGCAAAAAACAATAATACTGGATTTGCGGTCTTTTGCAAGAGATGGGGCTCAGCAAAAAAAATTAATTGGAATTTTTTATGACCAAGGAAAATTCAATTTAATTTATAACGCATATTTTAGAATGTAAAATTTATAGCAATATAATTTATAATTTAATTATTAGCAAAACAATAATTTAACTTGTAAAAATCAGTTTCTTATAGTTTTGTCTAAAAAAAAGGGATGATTGTCTGAATTTGAATACACAGTATTAAAAAAGAAGGAAACTGCGGAAAATATTCATACCGGATTGAAAGTTGAATTTAAAAAATTGCTGTATTCCTATTACACACGATAATTGATTCAATTCAGATTTCTAATAAAATTTGGATAAAAAAGTGCATTTAAGAGTAAATTTTAAGAAAATCAGATGTGATTATTAATTAGTTTTATAAGAATAATGGTAGGCGAAAAATTAATGAACTTTTTATAATTTTTCAAATAATATCTTTAATTACCGCAAAAAACCTGTTTACTCGAAGAAGATAAAGCACTGCAATTATTTAATTGAAGTAAAAATTGGGACTGATAATTCTAATTTTTATGAAAAGCTTTTTCATAATGAATGAAGTAAATAAATTTAAAAAAAAAACTCCATCTAGCGTTTACATAAATGAAGACACGCCAAGAGAGAGAAATAGAAACTGGATCACGAGTTTGGCAAAAGGCTGGGTGCGCTGGAAAGAGTTGGTTTTGGCGAAAATTGGAAAACTGACCTGCGGCGGCGGCGACGAGGCCGAAAAGGGCGAGGGGGCGCAGCATGTCGGGGGCGCAAAAGGCCCTTTTGTTGAGGAAAAGTGCGCTGCGGAGAAGGAGGAAGTGAGGTTTTGCGAGTTGCGACGCCACGGCCGCACTGAGCGAGCGAGCCAACGAGCGGCCGAACAGCCGCCGGCGAAGCAGGTTTTTTCCTCCACCTGAGCAGCCACTCTTGCTTTTAATTATACAGACACGAGCGCGCGCACGCCGACATCTAGAATTCCTTTCGGTTTTGGCTGAGCAATTTTTATCATTATTATTCCGAGAAGAATTTCTCAAATTAGTACAAAAAATTAAAAAAGATTTTTTAATGTTGTCTTATTGTTGTTCATTAATCCAATATTGTTGAATCAAATTGTTTACATTTCACTGTTGAAAACTAGGAATTGTAGGAAAAAACGGTACAACAGCTTCCGGAAACTAAATTATGAAGAAAATTTAAAAATTAAAAAAATAAAATCCATTTATTGTTACTGTTTAATTTTTAAATAGATTTATTATAGTTTATAAGTGGTACTGGTACTGTTTGTAAATTTATTCATTTAATTTTCAAAATATATTATACTAGCTATTGTGCTTTTTAAAGTTTTGAGTTTAAAAACAAATTTATCCAAGCCAGTTAGTTTCATAAGAAATTGTTAAATCGTGAGAATTGTCTTAACTTCCACTTTTGAAATAATTTAATCGTAAAAAAAACCTGAAAATTAGATTTATTTTCAAAATATTGCTTTTCTTGAAAAGTCTATATTACGTAGAGTTCGAAGACTTCTTAATATTTAATTTGATTAAATTGTTGAAAATCCGCAACGGAAACAACAAGTTCAATGTCGGGCGAGATTGACTTGTTGGTTTTCCGGCCAGAATCCCAAAACCACGCGTTTCCCGCCACTTTGAGGAAATGGTGTCGCTTAGAATTGAAAAAAAAACCTTTATTTGGTGCGCCGAGCAAGTGTCAAGGATGAAGGGCAAACTCGCTTCGGCCTCTTTGCTGCTCCTCGTTTCCACGGCGCTGACCCAAAACGTCATTTTGGAGTGGAGTGAGTTCCAGTTTTTTTTTCTTGTCAAATTATCTGCTTCTTTTGGGCTCGTTTAATTTAATTGCTGGCATATAAAAGTCTCTGCCGATTTGATTAATAAAACATTCTTATGATTCTTTTGACAATATAGAAAAAAATTTAAAAAATTTCATACGAAAGTGGAAGTGAATTTAATGTTTGCACACTTTATGATATTCTTCTGTTGACATATGGGCAAAATGCTTTTGATTTGCGGACAATTGCAATTAATAAAAATCAATTTTGAACTAATTTTTAATTTTATTTCTTTTTTTTTACATTTGATTATTTTCCAATAATCGCAGACCAGCGCGAGCGTGCCAGTTCTTCGTGTGGGGTTGGGACGCGTTGCAACTCTTTCGGGAACTGCATGCGGCAAATCGGGTACGCGAGTCACCAAAGGTTTTCCCTGACAGGGTCGGCGCTGCGGCTCAGGTACGCCATCGGGGGCCACTTTTCTCCCGCGTCCGCCTCCAAGCTGCTGCTGCGCACACGCTGTCCCGGACACAAACGCGTCTGCTGTCCCGCGTGGAAGGTCGTCCACCATGACCTCAACAACACCCGCGCCGACCCCAAGGTGTACGACCCTGAGACGACCACCCTGGCCACCCCAGGGCCCGACAAGAAGCGACGCCACCTCAACCGAAGGCTGCTCGAGAAAAGCTGCGCCCAGCAACCCTTGGAGTTCAGGGTCGCCTTCGGGGAAGAGGTCAAGGCAGGTCAACTGCCCTGGCTCGCCATACTCAGGTTCAGCGGTCAGTTTTATTTCTTAATATTGCTTTTCATCTTAAATTTCTATATCTGAAAGTATTAAAGAAAAAAATTAAATTGAAATTAAATTTATTTTGATTCAAATACTGCATTATTTGATCATAATATTTTTGATACTTTGAGATAGAAAAATTCATTGTTAACAATAGAATGCTAATTTAATGCGAAAAAAGGTGCAATATTTGAATTTTATATATACATTTGTTCAGGAAACGTTTATTTACGAAAAAAATTATTTTCATCTAACATTTCATGAAGTGTTCTATCACAAAATGTACATTTCTAACATAAAGTATCTCTGGCCTTTCAAAATAAAACAAATCTGATATACATGCCAAGTGACCATTATCCTTGCCATAATTATATATTTTGTCTCTATTTTTTTTAATTACAGATAATGGGACGCAGAGATTCAGCTGTGGCGGGTCTCTGATCACTGATCAGTACATCCTGACGGCTGCCCATTGCGCTAAACCGCTAAAAAAATCCATGAAATTGTAAGTTTAGGAATAAAAAAATTCACAAAAGTAATCGGAATTCAGAAAAACCACTTTGTATCAAGCTTAACTTTCAACCACAATAACCTTTCTCCTGTCGGATTTAGGACGAAATGTTTGATGATAAAAAATGTATTCTTTTCATTAACTTCTGTATCACATATTGGGTCATTGACCCTGGCTACCAGTGACCTTCCAGGTTTTTATTTCAAAACGTGTGACACAGCAATGGAAAGGGGGCATCAGCAGAAACATTCTGGAAACCAAAAATTTGTTGTAAATCCAGCAGGAGAAAATTTAAAGTTAATGTTCCATAAAAAGAGCTCAGAAAAACAACCCTTTTTACTTTCAAATTATCTCGGAAACGAAAAAGAATCGTGTATTGCAGTTTTTTTATACACGCCGAATTACGTAAAAAACGGATGACCCATGCCAAGAGTGTGAATTTTCAAAAACTTCCTTAATATATTTTAAATTTGTTTGCTCAGGGTGAGCGCGAGGCTGGGCGAGGTGAACCTGGCGAGCACCTGCGACCAGGTGGCGGAGCCGGACGACCTGTTGAACGACATCTCGTCCGTGTTCGGCGACCTCTTGCCCAAGTGCGCCGCCGAGCCGCAGGACGTGGAGGTGGACGAGGTCAGGGTGCACCCTGAGTTCAGTTACGACTTCATCGAGGGCTTCCCGCACGACCTGGCGCTGGTCAGGCTCAAGCACAAGGTCAAAGCGACCATGTTCGTGCGGCCCATCTGCCTGCGCGGCCTGCACCCTGACGAAGGTCGCCAGGGTCGGGAGGAGGGCACGGCCAAGGTGGCCGGCTGGGGCATGACCGACATGTCAGGTGCGTGTTTTCAATAAAACATGACTTTTTTGACCTGAGAAAGGGTTGCTGCAGAGGGCCCAAGGAGCAACGAGCTGCGTCAGGTGGCGGTCAAAAGGGTGGCCAGGCAGGTGTGCAGGGACGAGCACAGGGTCATGGTGCGCGAAAGGTGCCAAAAGTGCGCCGGCAGCAGCGACGGCAGCGCCTGCATGGGCGACAGCGGCGGACCCCTTCTTCAGGTAATGAAAATTAAACTAAAATCACAAAATGTTTAAATCAGGGAAAATTTTTAACCAGCTATGTGAATATTAAGGGTTAAAAAATGGAATTGCAGAAACGTTCAAAGTTAATTATGATCAAAATTTTTCCAGAACATGCTTATTTATGGGTTTTATTGCCCTACAAACATTTGAACTTTGCTAGTTGAATCAAAAGATTTTCTGTAATTAATTTGATAATTGCCAAAAAAATTATTAATTTCTTTAAATTTCTTATATTTTTCTCCAAAGATTTTTCGATAATGCAATAATAAAGGAGTCGATCTCAAGTATTGCAATTTTCAATGTAAGTGAATAAAAAAATTAAATTAAAAACATTTATTTTGACAGGAAATGGGAAACACGACGCTTCTGGCCGGCGTCGTCAGCTACGGATCGTTCGACTGCGGCACTTCGGCGGTGCCGAGTGTTTTTTCTGACGTGTCCTGCTACCTTGACTGGATAATTGACACCATCCGACCGTGATTCATTGAAATAAAAATAGGAACTTCATGGAAAAATACTTTTGATTTTAAAATTAAATTCATTTTAAAATTAATACTGATAATTGCGTTCCATGCTCATGATTGAAAATCTACATTTTTCACGCGCTTTGCTTTAGATTAAATTTATTACAATTTTTAGAAGCTTTAACTTTTGTAATCAGCACTCAAATCAATTTTAAGTCGTGACAAAGGAATTGAATAGGAATTGAAATGAGCAGAAACTAAAATAACTTAAGAAAGTCTGAATTTACAACTGTTTAATTAAATATAAACTTTCAATTTGAAACTTCATTGATTTTTTATGGAAAGAATTACTTATTTCATTTATGAAGTGCGTTGTCATTACTTATTTAGCACAAAAGAAGTTACAAACTTTAGATTAATGTTAAATTTTTATTTCATCAAATTTAATTAAAAATAATAATACTTGGTTAAAAAAAATAATATATTATAACAGTCTTTATTAAATTATTTGACAAAAAAGTTGTTGGCTTTTGTGTGGAAGAAACTTGCTCACTTTCTCAAAATTTTGCTGGAAAGTTCAGATTTAATGTTTTACTTTTATTGCAAAAATACCAAAGGCAGTCGTAAAACAACAGAAAATTTTAAGTCCTCTAGCTGTTTTAAACTTCCAATTAAAAGTGCATTGCACCGCGTCAGCACTTTCCCCCTTTTTTGCATTGGCCACGCATTTGTTCTTGGGCTACGCGTGCATTATATCATGTTTCGCGGCCGCGGCTCTTTTTTGGTCGTGCTGATTTCAAGCGTCACGGTTTTCCTCACCCTGCTGCAGATCTACCTGAAGGTGGCGCCGAACTTGCGGCGCCGCTACGCAAACGAATTCGGCGGCGGCGAGAAAATCCGCAAACTGCCCGACTGCATCATAATCGGGGCGAAGAAGGGCGGCACCAGGGCGCTGCTCGAGTTCATCAACATCCACCCCGACGTCGAGATCTCGCCCTTCGAGGTCCACTTCTTCAACATGGAGAGGCAGTACTCGAGGGGCCTCCACTGGTACAGGTCAAAATAAAACCCACATTTTCAAGTAGCTCTCAATTAGAGACGAGTCCGATGATGTTGGAAGGCCACTTTTGGTTCAAAATTAACCGAAAGACGAGCAATTAAATTTCAATGATGGCCACCATCTTGAATTTTTTCAAATTTGATTTACTCCACCAAATTTTCGACCACTTATTTTGAAAAAAACTCGATTGGACGAGACTGGAGATTATGTTGGAAGGCCAATTTTGGTCCAAAATTAATCGAAATACGAGCAACTTCAGTTTTATGCTGGCCGCCATCTTGGAAATATTTCCAAATTTGATTTTCTCCACCAAGTTTTGGCCCAAATGCAATTTCAAGCACATCATTTGAATCCTCTGGATGAGAGCAATTGGAATTTGATGTAAAAATTTTTACCTTTCTAACCCTTTAAAGGTCGCAAATGCCATTGGCGGCGCCAGGGCAGCTGGTCGTCGAGAAGTCGCCAAACTACTTTGTGTCCAGGGACACGCCAGGACGTATTTTTGAGATCAACAAGGACATCAAACTGGTGCTGGCGGTTCGGGAGCCGGTCGAAAGGGCCATTTCGGACTTTGTCCAGAGGTACAAACCCTTTCGCTTGAAATGCCTCGCTTTAACCTGAGCCCGAGGCAGCTACCAGCGCCACAACCTGACCTTTGAGCGACTGGCCTTCAAGGACGGCGACGGCACCTTCGAGAGTGTCAACACGGCGTGGTCGGCCATCAAGACGAGTTCGTACGCGCGCCACCTGGAAAGGTGGCTTGAGGTCTTCCCCAGGGCGCAAATCCTGGTGGTCGAGTGCGGCGACCTGACCGCCGACCCTGCAGGCCAGCTGCGCAGGGTCGAGCGCTTCCTGGGCCTGCGGCCGCACATCTCACAGCAGAACTTCTTCTTCAGCCGACAGAAGGGCTTCATGTGCTGGCGCAGAGGCCCCGACGACCCCGGCCACTGCCTCGGCGACCGCAAGGGTCTCAAGCACCCTGAGGTCCACCCTGCGGCCGTGGCCAGACTCAGGAGGCACTTTTCCGCGCTCAACAAAAGGTTTTTCGAACTGGTCGGCACAGAATTCAACTGGCCCCAGCAATGACAACTGACTTTTAAAAGTTTTGTTTAATTTTTAATCAGTTAATTAATTTCACAGAGGAACCTTCAGGCACACATTTGTGCTTCCGAATATTATCAATGTAACCTATTTATGAATCAGAAAGTATTAAGACTTGTTGTAAAGCAATTGACTATTAAAAGTTTCATAAAAATACTTCTTAAATTAATAATTTAGTTAAAAATAATTGGAATCAATTTTGTTGCTCTCAGTCAAAAGCGTGACTTTTGAGTGCGTTTCAAGTTTTCCTCCAAGTGCTTTTTCTTTTCATTAGCCCACTTCAGGAGCTCATTGTATGCATTGGAAACCATTACTTGCTTAGTCACATTACTCTCCACCATGTTCTTCAAGTTGTTGTCATGGAAGGGGTAGTAAAGCAGATTCCGTCCAGCCTGGGACGCCGCCAGGTGCTGGATTTTGGCCTTTAGCACTGGATCACCCTGAGAAAATTAATTGTTTTTTCAACACATTTTAATAAAAACAATTTTAATGCAGAAATTATACTTTGAAGCATCCGCCTCCCCAATTTCCAGTGGCAATGTGAGCCTCGGGAGCAAAGGAGTCGCATTTGAATCCCGCATAGGCCTTGTTCAGTTCACGGTCGATGGCCTCTTTCTCGTACTGGTAAAGTCCGTTGTCCTGATCATTGGAGCTGCCAAACTGAGAAAGAAAAATTAAATTAATTTCATTGCATTAAGAATCGAAACCCACCGGAATTAAGCTTTTGTAAAAAGGCTTTTTTTGCCTCTTGTCCGGGGCTCTGGTGTAGTCGGTGGCGTCGATGGCGATCATGGTCCTTCTGTGATAATTGGGGTCGGAGAAAGGGCCGGTGTGTTTGAAGGTCTCCTGGTAGCCCTCGTAGGACGAGAACTGCTCAAAGCCCTGCACGATCAGGGCCTCGTTTTCCTGCAGCTCTTCCGTGAACAGCCGCGCCACGATCAGCTCAGGGCAAGTGATGAACCTGATCTCCTCCTGCACGCACCCCCGACCAATAACCCCGCCGCCAATTTTCCTGTAGACAAATTTTTTCGTAAAATCAAAAAGTTTAAAATTTAATAAATAAATTGTGAGATGGTTTATTTTCAGCAATTGAAATTGAATTTAAAATGTACACAAGCTTAATCATTTTCAGGTTATTTTCAGTCTTCAGAGTTATGCTCTAAAGAATCAAGAAAAGTGCAAGATAAATTTGAGGAATCTTTTGAATAGAAGATAATTTATGAAACAAAGTGAGAGTTGAAATTGTTTTAAACAGATTTCTCATTACAAATATACCAAAGTTTCTTTTCTTTTGACTGACTCTGCTTGAACCATAAAAAAGGGGCCAATACAACAAGCAACTTGATTTTCTTAAGACTTTTTGTCTAAAAACTGAATAAGCGTGGATAAGGAATCTAAGCAACAAACCTGCTCATAAAAAACTTAACATAATAAAAATTAATCTGCCAAAAGGGAAACTGCACATTTTCAGCTTAGGTTTGCTCAAACTGTCAATCATTGCATTTGTTAAGTAATTCTCAATCTCAAACAGTTTTCATAATCTTGATTGACTTTTTGAATTCTCACTTGTTGGCAAAGTCGACTTGCAATCCAGTCGCCTCCTCCAATTTCTCATTCGGGTCCACCACATAGATCTTCTCCATTGGTGTGTGAGAGGAATCCCATTTGGGAATTGCTTTTGAGTCGAGACAGACCCTCTGGAATTTGACCTCTTCCAAGCCACGCTGAGAGGCTGAAAACAAAATTTACTTTCAAAAAGGAATTTACAAATAATTAAGAAAAATACTGAGGAAGTCGTTGGCTTTTTCGAAGTACTCGAAGAGGCACTTGAGCTTCTCGGCGTTGGCCTTGTCAGCGCGGCCGTCCCTCTTGCGGAACAACCTGAAGTTGGATTTTTGTTAATAAATAAAATCCTTTATTTTCACAGAAAATCTTACGAGACAAAGTTGACGTTGGGGTAGCGGGGGTAGTTGGGGTTGTTGATGAAGTCGCGGAAGGGGAAGGTGCAGAAGAAGGCGTTGGCCAGCAGACACGCAATTTCCCTTTTGGTCAGCACGATGCTTGCGTTCTGACCCGCGGCCAAGGGCATCACAGGCTTTTGCAGGACGAAAGGCAATTGTTGCGCCAATGTGATCATCCCGTGGAAGAACCTGTCAAACCTTTGGACCAACCCCCTCGGCAGCTAAAATTTGAGTCAATTATATTTAAGAGAAAGACACATAGAAAATTCTAACAAACCTGGCCGACGGTTTCGTGCAAAAGGTCAAATTTGATGTTGGCTCCGAAGCCGCTGGTGTGCTTCTTGATCAAAGTCTCCATGGCCATTGTCATTGGAAGTTTCATCTTCGGGATGTTTGAAAGACTCTGCAGAAGCTCCCATTTCTCTTGGACAGTGTGTGGTACTTTCCCATTCACCTGAAATAGAAAACTGGTAATTTAAAAAAAAAATTAATCTTTTAGAAAACTTGCGTCGAAAAGTCCGTTCCTCATCGGGAAGGGCATCGAGATGAACCTGAAGATAGAGGCATAGGACGGAGAAGTTGGAGAACCTTGGTGTCCGTATTGTCCAGTGTAGCTGCGCGATTGGTTCGCAGAAGGGGTTGAAGGACTGTCAGTAGGACTTCCAATGATCCTGTTGTGGGTATTTGGAAACTGGCGAGGATATCCTCTGCCGCAGCGAGTACTTTGAGAAAAGTTGCCTGACGACATTTTTCCTTTTCTTGTGGGCTTTGAATTTCTGGGCATCAATCGCAAAAGATCTGTTAATTTTTTCCCAAAAGAGATTAATTTGAAATTTCCAAAGTGAACGAAAATTCGTACCTATGAGAAAGGCGTGTTGGTCGGAGTTCGGAGTTGCTCAGCTTTTTGACTCTAGACTTTCCCGCAGCATCGTTTTATATCAACTGGAAAAGTCTTCGACCGGCCAGCATTGCGAATATCTCGCCAATCCACTCTAGACTTCGTTATCTATGAGTCGGCGGTTGTGTTGTTTTGACAAATTCACGTGGGAAAAGTCTAGAGACAAAGCAAATCGCGAATTCGCGACTTCTGGCGACACCTGTCGGCCGCTTCACCAACTTCTGGCGCTCGCGCGCCAATCCGCAGGTCCTCGCCGTCAAATGCAGACAATTTGCTTTGATTTTATGTGAAATTTTATACAAACTAAATGATATGGACGAAGAAGTTGAGAATATTTGAGATTTCAAAACAATTTCGAATGCAACAATGAGCAAAAATTTACCACTTAAATGATCTTTGTTGTAAAATACTAATTTGTGATTTGTGATTTTGTTTAGTAAGAAGGATGCAAATTGTTGAGAGAAGGGGGAGGAATAATATTGATTGTTTGATTCTTTGAAACGTTAAGTATTTGCGTATTTTGATAAATGATCAGTATGAAAATATATAATTTTCTAGAAACTGAATATTTAAAAAAATTGAAGCCTTTCAAGAGAATTTAATAAAATTTAAATTGAATAAAACTAAAGTCTTTAATAGATTAAGTGCTTTATTTATCACGTTTTTCTCTTTTTTTAATTTTAATGAATTTTTGTGTTTCCCTAGCGATTTTAATTAAATCCTTTTTGGCGCGCCAATTCGTCTCAAAATAAAATGGGATTTTGCTTACGGCTGCCAAAAGTGAGCAGCTGGTGCTCAAAACCAAGAGGGGGTGCGACACGTGGTGACCCTTTCGGAAGCGCCCTCGGACCTACGGCAAGACTTGGCCCGACTGTTGCAGTGGAGCGTGATTGAAGTGGATGAATTCGAACCGCCGTCGCTCCAGCAAATCCGGCAATTCATCTCCATTTGCGAAAACGCAAGAAAAGTCAATCAGGTCCCCCATTTTTTTTTTCAAAACTTTCCCATTTGTTTGGAAATTTTTTTAATTAAAATGAAAATTTTGTGTTTTAATTCATAAAAAATGAAATTTCTGGTAATTTATGAAATTTTTATAAATATTTGTTACGAATTGTTTGAAATGAATATTTTCAATTAAAACGATTTTTTTTTTAATAAATTTTGATCAATTTGAATTTATTAAATTTAAAAATTTCATTATTTTGTGAACTTTTTTACTGTTTTAGGATAATTATTTTTTTTTAATTTGAAAAAAAAATAGGGGTTTTATTATTTTATTAAAAAAAAAATGTGGTGTAGGCGGTCGGCGTGCATTGCCGGATGGGTCGCGGCAGGACGGGCGTGATGGCCGCGTGTTTCCTGACGCGTTTCTGCGACCTGGCGCCCTCCTCGGCCATCTGCAACCTGCGACTGATGCGACCTGGCTCGGTCGAGACCTTTGCCCAGGAGAGGGCCGTCCACATGTACCACGACTTCCTCCGCACATCCGACACGGAATTATCCTTCCAATAAAAATCTCGAATCTTTTCACCGAAATTATGCAAAAGTTTCGTAAAATCCTTCGTCTGCTGATCCAGTGGCAAAGTGCAACTTTTTTTTATAAAAACTCCAGCTTCGGCTTGAGAGATGATGCGATGTAGGTCGTGTTGAGAGAGTGGTTTTGCACAACAAAGGAGATTAAAGTCTTTGTGGCGCGCACAAGAAAATCCGAGCCGTAATTCGAGAGAGACGGAAAAAAATTCCATACGCACTGCACGACCAACAATGCGCGCACGGCTGCAGGGGATTACCCTTTAAAAAACTTATATAGTTGAGAATATTTATTATACGCGCTCAGGTTTTATTTTCAAAGATTTGCAGCAAACGCTAGAGTAATTCAGCTGCTTTTCTTCAATCGTCATTTCCCTCTGCGCCAAATAATGCAGAGATTTTTCAGAAGAATTAAGGCAAACAATTCTAGAAAAAAAGGGGAATGTACTGAAATCGAGCACAAGTATTTGAATGGATCACAATTATAATATTGAAACTAAAAAAATTTAATAAAATCTTTTAATATATAGAAAATGGTTATCAAACTAGATTTCTATAAAAATATCCATGTACCAAAAAATTATAATTATATTTTGTCAAAATACTTATTTTTCCTGACAATGAGTTGTGTTTTAATAACCTCAAGTGACGTCATGAATCACGAAAGAAACTTTTAATTAAAATAAAAACGCAAATTTCAATCGAGTGCCAATTTTTTGGATGCTTTTTGTTATTTGGAACAAAAAGTGTCGCGACCTTTGCCATGTTTATATCGCTGCACAGAGTGGGTATTTTTTTCCTTTTGGCACTGAAGTCACACCTTTGGAGTGTGGGACGAGAGGGGGGGGGGCAGATTTAAAGGTTCTTTATGGAGCGAAAAGGCGCACTCGACGTCAAAATGTTGACTCGGCAATCTTTGCTTTCATCGGCCCTGCTGCTGTTTTGTCTGCTCGTTCGCACCGCGGCCGCAACTCCAAGTAAGTTTTTCAACAATACATCGTGCAAGTTTGACCTCATAAAAAATGATAACTAAATTCTTGAAAAAAAAAAATAACATGAATTATAGTTATTGAAAATAAAAGCAGATTTTGTTGAAATTTTATTCATCGTCAATAATACAAAACTTAAAAGCTGCTTAAAGCATTATTTTACTTCATTTTAATTGAGAAAAAAAAAACAGTAAAATTATGCGATTTTGTTAATTCAATGATAAAAAGTGAAATGACCTTTAATAAGAAGCAGTGTGGAATTGTGCTTGTTCATGATCTTGGCGCGACTGACGTGTTTGCTCATTGCTTTTGATTGTTAGAATCGCCTTTCGCTCTTTTTCAATCAGCAAACCCTTGAGCTACTTTTAATCATTTAAATACATTTAAAAGTGAGCTCAAATGCTCTCAACAATTTGGCTTTGATTACTCCAAAAACGAAAATGAAACATATTATACTGTCCATATTTTTTAATAATATAATTATGTTGCTCTCAATTATATTTGGCACATTTAGGCTATTTTCTATTCTGAATATTTCATATTCTGTGTTCTAAGAATTTCAGCTGCAAATTTAAGATTTGAGGTTTGATGAACTTGAACATTGACCTACGATGTTGCACTTATTACCAAATTTTTAGGCCATCTAAGGCCCTCAAATACAGTTTTTTCTTCTATTATCTCTTGCAAAATGTAAAATATTTCGATATTAGAAAACACTTAAAAAAAAAAAATCTTATTTAAACCCCTGTAAAAGAAGCAATTTTCAAAATTTCCCACTACCATTTGGTTCCATTTGATCTGCCAGATTTTAATCAAAATCTCGGATGAAACATGCCAAGAGCAGTGTTTCCAATTAAAAAAAGCTAGCCTAAAAATTAATTATTTTTCCCTCAAATTTATAACCAAAAAAGGAAGTTGCTGGTTTTGATCACACGGCTGCTTTTTTTGCTATAATTAAATTTGTGTGCGACGCAAAAAGAAATTCCCACGCGCTTGTCGCTTGGCCGGTTCACGAATTCGCGGAGGTATAATTTTTTTTCCAAACACGTCTCTCGTGATGTCATTTGTGTGTGCGTTGACCTTTGGCTCACCTTGCCCCTCCTCGCCGCGTTTCGCTAACGAGAAGATTATCTATGCTGATTAACAAATCCGACTTGACAATTTGCACGCACGCCCTCGGCCAAAACTTGACTTCCCGCATCGCAAATTTCCTGAAATTTAATTGATTTTAATTGGAATGGTTGAGAGATGTTTATTTTTAACTTATTAAGTTAACTATCAGGAAGTCTTCACCTTTTTTTCCAGCGATTGATTGTTTAAAATAATTAATTTATCTTTATATTGAAGAATTTCAATGGCACGCAAAAATTGAAATCCACAATGAATTTTGTTCATATATAGATTTCTTGTGATAAATATACTTTTGAAAATTGATATTTTCTGCCCAAAAACAACGTCGATCAAAAAAGGCTAACTTGACCCAGGCTAAATTAACCTGGCCTGGGCTAATTTAACCCGCCATTCAATTTTGCTGGTGGGCAAAGTTAGCCCGGGGCCAAGTCAAGTTAGCCTGGGCCAGGTTAGGCTTTTGTATCGCCCTCATTATCAATTGCATTAATTTTTATAATTTGCTTTATTTAATTTGAGCATTCTATCCTAGATTGATGAAGAAACTATTCAAACAGCTAAATTTCAAATATCTAGTGAAATGCTTAGAGCCCATTTTTAATTAATTTTCAATTGTTATTATTAATTAATTCCTAAACAAATAGTTGGAAATTTAATTTTTATATTTTCTATCAACCGGTATATTTTAATCAGAGTAAATTTTATCCCATTTGTATTTCAGAATTTTTATTGAAAAATAATGAAAATCGTCTCAGTTCCAGACTCTGGCGGTTCGTCTTCGTCAAATGCTTGTGAGTGAATTTTTTTTTTAAAATTGAATTTTTTGTTCTAATTTTTGAGTTTGTTTCTAGCGTTGGAGGTGTGTTTGCGGGGTCCGATGAAGGAGGGGGCCCTGATCGAGTGCGACGCGTACCTGCCCATGTACACGTTCAGGGCGGCGAGCGGCGAGTGCGAGGGATTCATTTACGGCGGCTGCGGCGGATCCGAAAACCTTTTTGCGACGCGCGCCGAGTGCGAACACGCCTGCCGACACCTCGTCAGGGGTACAAATTCAGTTGCAAATCAAAAGTTTATTGGAATCTTCAAAAGTTTTAACGGAAACTACAGACATTTTGTAAAAAGAAAATTTTCTTTCGGAAAAAGCTAAAAATCAATTTGTATTGTTCACAATTTGGATGGATAATTTTGAAGAAAAAGGATTTATAAAAAAAGGACAATAATATTCTATTTGATCATGTGTTTTTGCAGAAAGACGCGGCTTGGATTGCGGGCAGCCGACCGAAAAGGGCCGCTGCTTGGCCGCCCTCCACAGATTCGCCTACAACCCGGTTTTTATTTAAACTTATCTTCCTTTCGCACGTTTTCACTTTCACCATTCACAACAAAACTGACAACAAATAATCACGTCCACCAGAAATCTTCTTTTCATACATTTCTCAAATTAACAAGAAAGGGATCAAATTTATCCTTCTCTCATTTATTTGGTAAATATTCATCAATATTTTCTTCAAATGTGTAAATTTGTTCAATTAAAGATCATTTTGTTTCATGATTTCAATAATGTAGCAATTTTATGATATTATTTGCTAATTTTTTGATAATTTGAAATCAATTTAATGAAACTTTTTGTTATCATTTCCAATTTTTGACAATCTGTCAACAATTTTTGAGAGAGTGATAACCAAATTTTGATTATAACATTGCAACGTTTTTAAAAACGTTCAAGCTCTGCGACAAATTTTTATGGAAAAGTTTTAATGACTGCAGAATTTTTTTAATAAAAAAGTGAGCACATAAAATAATGAAATAAATTGTAAATAATCTCCATTTCAATGCAAATACTTTCCAATGATATGAAATATTCGCTTTTCTTTTTGATTGATTGATTTTTCTTCTTCTCTATTAAGATTAATTTGAATTTTTTTTTAGACAAGCCGCGACTGCGACGAGTTTGTGTACGGCGGGTGCGGCGGTAACGCCAACAACTTCCGCACCAGGACCGAGTGCCTGAAGAAGTGCGACCCCGAAGTGGCCAAGTTCAAGGACGGCGACGTCGTTCCTCCCTTGGACGCCCAAATCGTCGTCGAAGCCGTAGATTAATTTCCAAAATGGAATTTCCTTCCGAAGAGTACAAAAATTGTTAATAAAGAGTTTTTTTCCATTAGAAAATTGAGCAGATCATTCCCAATCCAGCAACCTTTTGGCAGGGTAATGTAAATTTTCGTACCTTGTTAACCTTGCCAAGAGGTTTTCTAAAATTTATAATTTTCCCAAAAATATCTAATTATACGGGACTTAATTCAAATTTAATTTTTTTAAATTTTCAATCGGCCATAACTCGGCCTCCTGTTGTCGTAGAACAAAAATCCAGGTATGGCTGAATTTGTCTCGTCACCCTCTACAACTTTGCTGTTGAAAGCAAAATGGTAGGTCAACGTTCGAGGTCACTTCCGGTGACCTCGCGACTTTGACCTCAAAATTTAAGGTTGTCCGCCAATTTTATTTTGATTCTGAGATAGCCATTTTGTAGAACATGAAATTTTACGCTATATTTGTACATAAATCAGATGATGTTTTACGTTTTTAAATTAATAAAAAAATAAAAAGAGCGAAAAATGTGGTTTTCCGAGCTGAGTTTCTGGGTATTTGAGCCACCGTAACTTTATTCCTGAGTCAGATAGCTCGTCAGATCTAATGACAAAAAGTGTTTCTCTTCACACGACCTATCTAAGTACGTATCACACATGGTGACCATATCACATTAGGTCATTGACCCCAATGACCTTCGACCTTTGTGCATTTTTTCAATGGAGTATGGCACATGGTTGGAAAGAGGGCATCAAGGCGGTCATTTTGGTACCTGAAATTTTTCATTATCTCCAAATGAATCTGAGCTATCACCGTTTTTAAATTATCTCTCATGAATTTCCAGATTTTAATTTATAAATTTTATTATTTTTCCGCTACATTTTGACCCTGCCAAAATGTTGCTGGATCGGGAACTTTGTTTCACCGAGAGTTTAGAGTTTGGTGTCCTTTTCGGATCGATGAGATGGAGGCGCGCGTGGAAGTGACACACGCACGCCGCGGGAGGCAATAGTCAATCTGGAAACGCGCGCACAGCTGGAGACATTATTTCCACCAACTAATTCATCCAACTTCGCGGAAATTACCTCCTGCGAGCCGCGCTTCCAACACACGTACACACGTTCTGCTTTACCTTCACTTGCACACAAAACACACGTGATATGATATGCGGTGGTGCAAGCTTGCAATTTTCACAGTTTTAATGTATTTGTTTTCCTCAAAATAGGTAAAATATTTATCAGAAATTAAAATTAAATCGCAATTAAAATATTCTTATTTCACTTTTAATGAAATTCTGCTATAAGAAACTGTTTCAATTTTAGAATAAATCAGTCTCAAAACAACTTTTGAAACTGAAACACACAAAATTTTCTCCTCATTCTGATTTTCAACGTAAATTAAATATCTTTCAATTCATCTTATTTAATTTTGAACGGAATATAAATCAGGCTTGTCTCCGCGCAAATGAATTTTTCCACTCTATCTGTTTGAAAGATGTCGGCCGTGGCTTTTCTGCACCCACGCGCGTGTTTACTCGAAAGCAAAGTGCTCTTTGTGCAGGGCAACATCATCAGCATCAAGTGCATGTGCGCGCGACACTTAATTAAAAAGTCGTTGCGGCAACGCAACCTTGTCTCGCCCGCCGAGATGTGGCACAAGCGATACTCAAAGGACAATTCAGCGCAGCGCGTACATTCGAGACTTTGCTTTTGCAGCGAAATTAATTTCTGTAGCGAAAATGAACAAATTTATTACTAATTATAAGAGAAATTTTTATTTTTTCATGGATTTCTGTCCAAAAAGCATAAAATTAATGGAGTGTTTTTAAATTTTATTTATACATATTTGAATTGAATTTACTAGAATTTGTGCGGTTAAATTAAATTAAGAATTTGTAGATTTACGCTCTCCAAAATGCCTAAGTTGACATATCTATGGATGTCAACTCGCTTGAAATCAACTTTAAGAAAATACGCGGATCCATTTTCATTTTGTTCCTGAATTTAAACGAATCCTGATGTAAAACCTTCTCAACTTGTTCGTTCCAAAACTTCTTGAAATTATCATTCAAACTTTTACACTAGGTTTTGGGAAAAGAACGTTCCGAATAAAAATAAAATAAATTGTAAATATTTTTCCAATGCTCGTTTCTTTGTACCCTCGGAAACAAAAATTGGTGCGCATTTGAGGGCAAAAGTAAAAGCTGCCCCGTTCTGAAGTTGAAACAAGACTTGAAATAATCTGGAATTTTCAAAGGGCCTCGAAACTCTCTGGCAACCTCAAAAACCTCCAAAAAAGGTTCTTTGGTATCAGAAGGTGAAGAAGAAAAGTGTCGAGTGAAAAGGACGCCTCATTAGCAGCAACATTGGCCCAAGATTTCTCTCACGAGGGATTATTTTAGCACTTTGGCCCAAGAGGAGAGTGCAAAACCCCCAGAGAGAGCAAATTAATGTTTGAGAAATTCACGACTGATTTATAAACAGATTAAACAAGTTAGGGATGATCTTATGGAAATTATTAGTAAAAAATAAAGGAATGAATAACTTGAGACTTTCCGGAAAATGCACCTTAAGTCACTTTCAAATATTTACATACAAACTGCCTGACAAAATCTTATGAAATCAAGATTTTAACCTAATTTTCAACGATAACTTAGTGAAAAATAATATTATAAATGCTGCCAAAAATGGCCCAATCAACCAGAATATCAAAACTTTTAGCCGGAGCGCTTGTGTGATTTACGGTGACACTATGGTCGGGCGCTGTGCGTAATAAAATTTATATGACGGGCGGAAATTTGCAGCCGCGAGGATAATTTTGCTCGTTTATCAGCGCAGACTTTGCAAACAAACATTGCAAGTGTTGCGAATTATTTTCAAATCTGCAACCCGCGCAAAGTTTATGAATAAAATTCTGTATTAATGAGCCAAAGTAAAAATCCACTCGGCCCTTCATTTTCACGCGCGGACAAAAACAAAAGCTCGAGATTATTTTTATAACAAAAGCAAAAACACAACGCTATACATTCAAATTTTTCATTCATTGGCCAATTTTAATTGAGCGAAATCGGCTTAAAAACACGAGAGTTTCCGATTTATCTCTGTTAGTAAAAAATAAAAATAAAATGGGAAATGTGTTTTTTAATCTGCCCGAGGGGATTTTCGTGTTTGCATAAAACACGTGATTTCAAAATAAAGCATTTTCACTTTTGATTGAGTACTCGTTTGATTACTCAGGATTTTTATTATCATTTATTGCTTTTAGCAAAACAAGACCGGAATTAATTTGAAATAAATGTTTATGTCAATTTAAATAAAAATCACAGTCAAAAATGAAAATAATTTGATGAAGTCTCAATGGTAAAGTAAAATCGGAGCCACCGGAAATGTAAACCGTTTGTAATTCGTGATAAATATCGTGTGCGGTTTGGCACTGGATTTATTTCCAAAAATAGTTTCCTGCAAATCCCACATCGAATTTGTCTCGCAATTCCCTCGGGGCCACTTTTGCCATTTCCCTTGTACAGAGGAATATTGATTTTCTCTTTGGAAATAGGATTCTTTTTCTCTGCTCCAAACAAGGAAACAACTTTTCACTTTTCATAGCAAATCAAATTTAAATTATATGCTGAAATAATTGCAAATTTTCGCTGTATTTTCTGAGGACATTTAAAAAAATATTATAATGTACCAATTTTCCAATCCAATTATTCAAAATTGAAGAAAAAGTTGTCTTCTTGCTGATAGCATCGAGCGTGAAAGAAAAAGTAATTTTGAAACTCATGAAAAGAATGAATAATTTGAATATGCTTTGACACTTGTTCTTTTTCCTCCAAAGCTGTTGAAAGGGCGGAGAATGCAGTGTGAGCGTGTCACAGATTCGGACTTTTTCGAGGGATGACAAGAGAAGTTGCAGGTCAGGACGATTCTGTATCAAATTTGGCGGAAATTAAAGCGCCAAAATAAGGGAGGAGGACGCGCAGGTCTGCCTCGTCGCTGCAAAAGCAATTCGCCCTGCTCAGTCGCGTTTTCACCCCTCGACGGAGAACACGCACGCAACCCTCTTCTCGCTGCCACTTTTTGCTCCAATCTTCACACGTGAGTCAACCAAAATTGATTCATTTTCAGCAGGATTTCTTTAAATTATTCCGAAATTAGATCAAGTTAATTTGATAAAAAAAAAATCTGCATGCAAATTGAAGAAGATTTTTGAAGTAATTTGTAATGCTTATTTTAATTTAATGAATTAACATTTTAAAGAAAGGATGAATATCGATTTGATTTAAATTTTCAAAATACTTTGTTGTTTTTTATTATAAAAATGGTGATTTTTATTGGAAGTCGCTAAATGAAATTTGAACTGCGACAAATTCACGATTAAAAAAAAAGCTCGTGTTGCAGGAATTAAAAAAAACTCGCATTACAATGCAGATTACTAATTACTTTTTCGCCCAGAGTGATTTTTTTACAAAACAAGTAGACGGGGCTTTGATTATGAATGCGAAGCCGTTTTTATTCGTTAAAAATTCAATTAAAAAAACGCAAACAACAGAATGGAGGTTTTTGTTCTGGTCGAAAATGGAACATTATAAATCTCGCACCTCTCATTTCGGTCCAAGAACTTTTAACCACGGCGTGACAAGCGAAATTGAATTGCGCCTTTGGAAAAAATCTTTTGTGTGTTTAATTGAATTTTCCTGAAAATGTGAATAAAAACAAGACCTTAAAAAGTTCGGCTTGTCAGGTTTAAAGATGAATTTCGTTTGCAACCAAATTTAAACGCTCTTACTTAATTTTGGGAATAAATTCAGATAAATGAGAGTTGAAAAATCTTTTCTTTCATGAATGGCGAATTGGAGAAGGATCGATATCAATATCTGCGTGTGACAAACCGTTTCTCTTGTAAAAAAAACAGCCCACGCGTTTTTATTGTCAGAATATTTTTAGCCGCGCTATTGATTTGCCGCGGCCATTCATGCCTTAAACTCCCCTCAAATAATAATGAGGGCGATCCAAAAGCCTAACCTGGCCCAGGCTAACTTGACTTAGCCCAGAGCTAACTTAGCCTACCAGCAAAATTGAATGGCGGGTCAAATTAGCCCAGGCCAGGTTAATTTAGCCTGGGCCAAGTTAGCCTTTTGGATCGCCCTCAATAAATGCATAAAAACTTTTCCTCGTAAAAATGAACAAGACTTCTGAGATTTAAAAAGAAAAATTGTACAGAAGTTATTGATTATTTTAATACTAAATTTTTAAACAAAGTCATTTAGTCGATTGTTTAAATTGATGATTCGCTGCAAGTCGACGTGAAATTAACTTCGGCAGGCAAATTGTTTATTTGCTTTTTCTGCTCCACATTTGAAGATGAGAGGGAAACTCCAAAACTTTCCCAGAATTACGTTGACAAAAATTAATAAATTATCTATCTCCTCTTTTGTAAATTTCATTTATAAATTTTTATAAATTATTAAAACGTTTAAAAAATTTCAAATAATGTTTAAATTCAAAAGAAATTTCAGTTTGCAATTTCAAATCCAAGAGATAAAATGAAATCGCTATTAAATCAACTTTTCAATGAGATCGTGAAAAAGAAAATAAAAAGCGCAGTCGCATTCCCTCTCAAGGTGGTATTTGCGAGCATACCAGGGTGTTCTTTCAGGGCGGCGCCTCCTTTGGACGCTCTTCAAAGGCCCTATCCATCCAGCAATCCCCACCACACGACTTAATTCACACTCAATTCATTAGCGACTCACATGTTAGTTATGGGCTCTTGTGAGAGTCAGACCGCACAATTTAAGGATGAAAAACAACCCCATCACTCTTTACGCGACGAATCCTGGCCTTTTTTTAGGTTGTAAACAGTTTTCAACAAATTCTTAATTCATTTTAATTCAATTCGTTTCAAATTCTCTTCATTTCGTAACTTTGAAATTTTTAAATTTAACAAATTTCATAAAAATTGAATGTAAAGTTTTGGTTTGCTGGAATTTCGGTATGAAAATGAGGTAATTTGGTGATTTCCCTGTCGACCGTGATCAACGCCACCTGGGACAGGTTTCAACAAGCTGGCAGGTGGCTCGAGGCCTGCTTTACAAAGGGGAGGAGTGGTTTGTTTATTTTTAAAAGTTTATATTATTATATTGCTATTTATTAATAATATAAACTAAAAAAAGAAGAAATAATTTATTCTTTCTTTAATCAACAACGTGGATCTAAATAAGCGAATAATTAAGTTAAGCCTTGGTCTTATTTCTTTAAAGGTGAATCCTCTTTAAAAATATTCCAAGCCAGCAGCCCTTTTTAATAAATCATCTTTTAAAAGTCGAGCAGAAAACTTGCCCGTGTCCGCAAAGTTTCGCAGAAGAAAAGTCGGCGTGAATAATTAATCGACTAATCGAGCATTTCGTTCGTAAATATCACGCGAAAATGTTTCTTCGCCCGCGCGTTGCAGCAAAAGCGCAGAGGAAAATTCATGGAAAAGTTTTTTAAAACAAAAACAATTTATGTTCTTCAATAATTTCCGAGTATTAGCCGGAAAGGAAAATTATCAAAAGAGGTGAACAAGAAAGGTAATATTGGCGAGCGTGGCGAAAATTAAAAAAAAAGGCGTTTTTGTACGGGCCAAATAAAATAATTGGATTCCGCTGAAGATGCGAATAATGTCGAGGCTTTCGATGAACCACGGTTTTAGCAGTTAATGGAGAAAAATATTTAAATTCCAGCAATTAATACGCACTTTGCATTGCGATTTTCAATGATATATTTACTAATTTCGCTTTCATTTATTCAGTTTCCGAACTGATTTAAAATTAATTTGGAAAAAAAATTGAAGCTGAATTTTAGAAACGATCCTAGTAATTTAATAAATGTATCAAGCCGCCTAAAATGGGAAAGCAAGTTGATAATTTTCGTTGATTAGTCTAATTATCGTTCTCTTGAGACGCGGAATTTTCCGCAATAAATGCGAGCACGGCGCGTTGGATAAAAAAAACGGAAATGTCCTACCTTGAATGGTGGCGCCGTCCCTGAAGGTCGCTTCCGGATCCTCGGCAAGTCCTGGGCAGGTCGGCGAAATCCTCTTCCGTCGGCACCAACGTTTCGGCGACACACACGCGCGAGTCGGCAATCTCGGCACTTTGAACTTTGATTGAGTACAAAGTTTGATTATGTTCCGCGCTTTCCACATTCCTTTCCCCCTTCCTCTGCTGCTCTGTGACACTGGCTTGGAATTGCGAGCAAGAACAAGTCCGATCATCCATCGAAATGGAATTTTTCTCGGTCTTGCAGGCGCCGATTCCAAGAAATGGCCAGCGGCACGTGTCGTCCTTGATAGCGCCAGGCGCCAGCAGCAGCCCGCGGGTGGAGGGAGAGAGAGGCTGATCGCCGCACTCGATTATCGAGAAAGCTGTCGCGGCGATCAGCCCCCGAGTGCGAACAAGAGGTGCCGCCGAGCCCAGGCAGCTGACCGTGCAAAACACGTGTGTGCGGACGAAAATGCCGAAATGGGACTCTTTCTCTGTGTTTTGTGCCCTTTTTCGCCGACGGACGAGCCGACCGAGGACTTTTTGCCGAAGCCGACGAAGGGGCCGAACAGCAGCCGACGCCAGGCACTCCAGGTAGGCCCGATATCCACCTTTCTCGCCGCATTTTTCCCTCCATTTCGAAGTTTTCCGGTGAATTAATTAATCGGCACGACACTGAACGTTGCCAGATCTCTTTTCTTCGGCCACTCTGCGTTTTGTTCCTGGAATTCTTTGTAGAAAGACAATTTGAGCGTCACAGTAAATCTGTTCAAGCTCTTTTCTATTATTTACGGCGCCGAAAGCCTTTAAAAGATAAATTTTATGTATTTTTTGTTATAAATTGCCGCAATATCAATTCCAGCCTTTCATCTCGTGAAATGTTGGAGAAAAAACGACTCTATCCAGTACAATCCGTTTATTGAGTTGGAAATTTATGCGGAAAAAGAAAAATTGGCGAACCATTTTTGCTCTCCGATTCCCATACGATTGAATTCGCCGTGGGATTGAAAAGAAGATATAAATCACCAAAATTTCCCAACAAATTTTCCTCTCTTGAATAAATTTAACTAGAAGAAAAAGGTTTTAGTTTCGAATCATAATTTCAAAATTTGATTCTAAAAATAAAAAAATAACAATTCGATCTGAATGAAAAAGATGCTTTGAAAAGACTCTTCTCGACTCTGCAGGAATTTAATTAACGCTTGATTATACTTCGCAGTTTGTTGTCTTCGTTTGGCGCGCTCGACTGAGTTTAATTTCGTAATTTGCTGCCGAGAGAAAGATTGAGACGCGGCGCCAATTAATTTAAATGAACTCGCAGCCAATTATTATTCCAGATTCTCTATGCGTCTGTGTCCGCCCAAGGAGAAACTTGATCTTTAATTGTTCAGCTTCGGAATCGATAAAAACGAATTTAACGCCGTGGAAAAGAAAAAAACCTCACTAGTCCTGCGAAAATCTTGAATATAGGTTCACAGAATTTAAAAGGAAAACTAAATTATGGAATCATTTCCATTTTGAAAGTTTCTTCAAGGAAAATTGTACGATGCATAAAGTTGATCAACAATTATGGAGAGTTTTGTATTTAAAAACAATTTTATTTAAAGCTTAAATTGATTTTACAAATTACTGCGATTTACACAGTTTTAATAACTTTAATTTAGAATAATGATTGGCCGTAAATTTCATTTCATTTTCACCACGGACAATGAATGGGACTCGTCGTTTTGCACACCTTGCTTTTTTTTCTTACTTTCACCGAAAGCAGAAAGAAATCATCTCGCGTGCGGAATGTTGCACGAAAGAATTACACACGTTTCTTTTTTTTATTGATGCCCGGAATGGTGCTTTTATTTGTGTCGGGAGCAAGAGCAGAGTAAATTAAAGACTTTTGAAATAAAACGAATGCGTTTTTCAGACCAAATATTCGCCAGCTGTGTTAAAGTGCTGTTTCAAAATTAGTTTCCTTTTGAGGCCAGCCATGTGTTCTTCTCCTTAATTAATAAATTTTTCCATTAAAATTACAGAAACATACAATGGGACTTTTCTAATCTATATCAATATTTACCTAAAACGTTTGCAAGGTGAGCTTAAATTGAACATTTTTTTTTTTTTAATTTGAAACATTTGAATTAATATTCTGATTTTATTATTTTTTTTACCTATTTGAATAAAGATTAAAAATTTATTCAAATTAAATGTTAGGTATGTAAAAAATTTCACTGATTTAAAAGTTTTTTACTGAAAGGGAAAACTATTTAAAATTCAAGATAATCAATTGAATTATGTGTGCTGACAACAGTTAATCTTAACCAAACCTCATAAAATTTGCATACCGATTCACCCCCACTCCTTTGTTGTTGTTGTTGTTGTTGTTGTTGATATTGATTATGGTTTTGGCAGGACCATTCAGCCAGATCTGTGTGTTGAGTGCATTTAATTACTTAATGTGGAAAATATTTTTGTAGAAGACATGCAGGGCATGATAAATTTCTTTGGTTTGAGTCAGAAGTATGTGATGAAGGAGAAGCGGCTGGCGACGAAGATGTGGAGGAAGCGAGGACAAAAAAATGAGACCCCCACTCCAATTAACTCGAATATTTCAAGCTTTTTCATTTTATAATGAAATAGTTCAATATATGATTACGAATTTGCATTAATTTAGTTGCAAATTTATTTTCCAATAAGATGGTCGAAACATGCAGCTTAAAAGTTTGAGCCGTTATTTGGTTGTCGGGCCGAATGCAATTGGCATTACTGGCGGAATGAGAGTGCGGCCGGGGGTTGATTTTAGCAGGGTGGGTTCGGCCGCGATAAGTGCAAACAGCAGTAGTACTTTTCTGGCTTTGTTTGTCGGCCGAGCCAACAAACAACGGCCGACCCTTGTGCCCGGCCGCGTTTTGCAAAGGAAATTAAAGTGATTACAGTTTCCTGTTTGCGGACTCGCACGCTCACCAAATAAACCTCCCTCGTGTGCCGAGCTCGCTCAAAATCAAAACAAATCGCGTTTTCGAAAATTTTCACATTGCGTCGAAATGGATAAAAATTCAAACAATTTTCGCGAGGCCGATTTTGCGTTTGAAATTCAATTTGGTAGCTAAAATAAAAGTAATATAATAATTAACAACAATATGAAAAAATCTGGTTGTAATTTTGTTTATTTCCATTCAAAACACCAGCATAATTTTACATCAGGATCCACTTTTTTGTTTTGATTGATTTGCTGTGTTGAAAGTGTAATCAGAGGAGAGTGACTCGTCGAAAGTGTAACTTTTGGACTAGGAAATTCAATTAGTCTCTAAAACACTTGACGAGGCTTTCAAACTTTCCGTACTCGCAAACATAACTCGGCTTTAAACAGCTTTGCTGCATTTTAGCTCTTGGGATTCTGAGCAGTTTGCTTTTTGTTTCAATTACTCTGAGCAAACGCGGAAGGAAACAAATTTATTCATCAATTCCTTGGGGGGAATTTTATATCGCAAAAATTATGTCTAGACCTGCAGGAAAAAGCATCGCTCCTTTCAAGTAGTCAAAATCTTTATCCTTGTAAAAGACAAAGGCAACAAAAAAATTGAATCGGAAATTCTTAGAGCATCATCTGTTCCGCTCATAACAGAATAATTAAATAACAATTAATTCGCCGAAATTGATCCACCGGTAAAAACGAGAGGGGCTTGCATAGTTCGAAAGCTTCTTTTTAGACATTGAAAAGGTAGAAAAAATCTCTCGCCATCAAGAATTAACACTGAAGAACATAAATCAAAAATTTTAATTTGCCTTTAATCATTTAAGAGTAAATCTTTTTTCCAGACATTATTCAAATTGAATGGTAACACTCGAGGTGGATTTCATAAAAGATTGAAACCGGGCGAACCTCGTTGCAAAGAAAAAATGAAAAAAGAAAGGACAACTGACCCCAAAGGCGACCTGCGGTCTGCTGGTACTTTAAAACCTAGGGTTTCTTGTGTCCGACTAAAACTAAGTGGAAGGAATTAATAAAAAATTAAAAATAAAATGGGAGAATATAATTTTAATAAACAAAAATTGCATAATTTAATTAAGCAAAACTGTCCTAACCAGTAATGCGGCAGATTACTGTGATTTTGCCAGAAAAGTCTTTGGGTTCATTGCCCTGTAAATTTCTGCCAAAATCACAGTATGAAGCTGTTGACTGACTCTTTTGCTTGATTAAATTCTGCATTTTTTGTTTATTAAAATTATATTCTCCCATTTTATTTTTAATTTTTTATTAATTCCTCCCACTTAGTTTTAGTCGGACACAAGAAACCCTAGGTTTTAAAGAACCAGCAGACCGCAGGTCGCCTTTGGGGTCAGTTGTCCTTTCTTTTTTCATTTTTTCTTTGCAACGAGGTTCGCCCGGTTTCAATCTTTTATTATTCAAATTCACTTTAATTTCTGCCTTGCTGAACCTGAAATAATTCTGACAACAAATCACTGTTATCTTCCATTTTGATCCTAATTTTGAAGTGCAAGTTGCAAAGATACAAAAGCATTTGAGGGAGCGAAAAGAGGCTCGCCAGAAATTCTCCTCGAGTTCAGCCGTTTTTAATTAAACAAAATGGCACTCTGGTCGCGTCTGGCCCGCCGAGGAATGTCTTTGACGCGGATTTTGTGCTCTTTTTGTGCTGCTGGGTCGTTTTTAATCCGGCCTCTCTGCTTTCGGTGCGAGTTGGGACTTTTTTGTTGGAGTCTGATTGTGATAAGCGGATTTCACGGTTCGGTCCTTCGGGGCGCGCGCCGATCTCGTCTCGCAAAAAGAAAAACACAAAAATTAATAAAGATTGTGTCAGCATGTCCGAGATAGATGCAGTTTTTTCTTGAACATGAAAAACGGTAGTCATGTAAAATGCCGATTCTACTCCCTTACAGCAGAAATTTTGAGATCAGCGGCGATTTAAAAATTTTGAATAAATGCGGATATTTTTTTTATAAACATAATATAATATTTTTCTTTCTCTCAAGAAGAGTTAATTTGCTTCGAGGGCAGAGCGAGATTAGTTCTGTGTGTCGTAATTAATTAATTGATGCGGCGAATGTCCGCAGAGAGAGAGGACGAGCGCCTCGTTTTTCTGCTCCATATTTCGCAAAAGCTGCATCCATTTCCATCGCATCGTTTCAGGAAAAAATAGCCATCAGACAGCATCGGTTGTGGCGAAACAAGCTCTTTCACCGGAGGGAATTTGAATTCATTTCAACGTTGAAAAAGTTAAACTTTGAGTGAGAATGGAATAAAAATATCGTTTTGTAAACAAACTTCTGTCGCAATGGAAACGTTGAATGAGAATCTTGGGGGCCGAGAGTTCATTTTTGTTTCACGCGGCCGCGCAAATCGAGTTTGTGCTGGCTCGGGGCATTTCATCCCTTGCGTTGTCGGTCGTTGTTGGTGCGCGGAGGTCGTGCGTGTTTCGCTGCAATGCACCCGCCGCCGGCGCACTATTAATTACCCGCGCACCTGTCTCAACACCCTAAGGACATTCGACAATCCGCTACTTTTTCGCAATACAAAAAACGCGATTGTAACGAAATTCCCAAATGCAGCTAAAATATTAAAATCGACACACAAATAAGAAAGT